AAAATATTATATTCAATTTCCATTGGCTAATATTTTTTATTTCCATCGCTTCCATTGGCTACTGTAGTTTTGCTCGAGAAATTTTGTCGCAGCAGCTGCCGCTGCTGCTTTATCATTTTTTAAATTGATTGCTGTATCTTTATTACTTTAGTTTTTGATTGTAGTAGCATTTTTTCTTGAGCTTCTTATATCTAAATTTTTCTAATGGATGAAAATTTGCTTATGCCATACAAGCCTAAGCTTTTTTGCGCTGTTCTTGTGATCCACATAGTAACCTCCAACAAATCTCGTTACTGCCCTTTAAAAAGTTTCGAAGGAAATGACCGTAAACTTCACGGATTCAAAGATAATTTGCAGAAGAAAATTATATACATTTCTCCATAGGCCAAAAAAAAAGAAAACAGAATTTCTGCTCTCGTCCACGTAAAGCTATCAAAGGGTAATTTGTAATACCAGCACTTTTGCTATAACCCGGATGGCATCCGATGTGCTCAACAAATTATTTATGAAAGTAGAAAAAGAAACTTTGATTACATTTGGAGTAGAAATATTAGTGAAATGAAAACTTGATAGGATTCAGAAACACAACAATGGAGTATGTGACGAAGGTTCAGTAACCGCATTATGAAAAAGAAAATTTCTACTATCATGAGGACACTGTTTTTATACCTTCTAAAATTTTCACTCAAATCCATATATAATTATCAAGCTCATTCTATTTTGTATTCTAACTTTTCAAACAGCAGCCTTCTAAGCTAGGGAACAACGATCGACTTCCGATGAAATAGAGGTCGAGACAGTTGTGATTTAATGAAATGCAGTTGTATTTTCTAAGCGGTGAGTAATGTAATATGTGGCATTTAGAACAAATAGATTAGCATAGACGAGCCAGAAGACTACGAAATTTCATCGGCCACCTTAATATCAAATTCTAAGCATAGAACAATCACTGTAAATGTCAAAGCAGCACGGTCGCTGATTCGATTTTAATTCAATGTATTTGGGCCAAAATTTTTCCTTGGAATGGTCATGGGAGACTAGGATAACGCCTTCCCAAGGTGTACAATTGCAACGGCCGACTGCAAATTTTATAGAATTGCATCAGAGCACTGCATAAACCGATCAGATCAAAGCGTCTAGTCAGCCAACTCAGTTGGACCGAGAAAAGAAGACCAGTTTTAGAATGCAAGAGTTGATTGATTCAACGCTAATTAGTCGCAGAAAAGCAAAGATAGAGCAAGCAAAATTTCAACACTACAACGTCTACATACCTAAAAATCTCGTTATACCCAAGTCTCATTTATTCTACCACCTATTATTCCTTGACTACCATTTCTCGAGCTCGGATTAAAAGCGACCACTGTTTTAGTGTCTAATGAAAGCATTGCGACATATGTGAAAGTTCTCTACATACGTTGGTAATGAGTGCTTGTTACCTACTTATTATGGATTGAATGGCCATTTAAATTTGGAAAGAATGCTAGATAGGTTGTCAAAACATTAAAAGTCTTCTGTTACGTATAAATGTGCTCATTAAGCATGGAGCTGGTATAGTCATTTAGAAAGCAGGCATACCTCATCTAGCCAGAACGGCATGGTGGTGTTCTCCTGCACGACAAAATCCCTCACAGAGTTTGGATGCACCGCCGACAGCCTGATATACACAAGACAGCAACATGCTATGTATTTAAATCTGAGAAATAGACACTTTTCATCCATTTGTCAACTGCCGGGAAAAAGGAATCTGGAGTAAAGCTCTCCAAGAACTACTGCCTAGAGAGGACATCGACTTGCTAACCAAGGTAAAGCAACTACTTTTGCTATCTGATAGTAAGAGCATCTGAACGCCTTCTAGAAAGCAGATACTATCAGCAATTGGGCTCATTTTGGTATCAAAACGGAAGCTCCACTGGAAAAGCTGTATTGAGGACAAGAGATGGGTTCCAGATGCATGTATCTGGACCATACGGCGCAACAGATGGCGTTGGTTAATGCAGCTACAACTTGAAGTGGTGCCCGAAGTGGACCAAAATGTGCTCATTGCCATTACAACGTCCTATATCCCTGAATTGGAAGAGCTTAGAGTAACGTCTTACGCGCGCAAAGACGAAATACAAGATTTCCGTAGATATGGCACAACGCTACGAAAAGTATATATACCCGATACCCCATGTATGTGTCAAAGTGGATCATACCGTACCATCATGGCTAAATAGCTCTCTTTGGCATCTGAGTTGGCAGCTTTGAACTTCCCTTTCCTACCTTTCTAGTTTTGTGTTTTCCGTTTTTTTTCCGTCAATTTCTGTACCTTTTGTTCCTGAATTTGTAAACTTATCTGCTTCGCAAATAGCTGAATAAAACGTGAAAAAAAAAAAAAAAAAAACTGTTACGCATACAGGTCGGCTGCACTAGTTACGAACAAGTTAAAATGTCTTTCACATACACTTGGGGAAAAAAGATTTGTTGTAGAGCTTAGCCTTTCATTAGATGGATGGATAATGCTCAGCAATAACTGTTTGATATGAAAACCAGATTGGTATGGAACAAGTGGTTGAGATACGAGCTGGAGACGGGCGATATATGGAATTTCACTATGCTTTCACCGACTTATTCAATGATTTAGCGTAGCTTATTTAGATGTACTTGATAGTGAAATGGCCGATTTATTTTCGTTTCTGCTAGTCATGGATTTTGGTAATGCATAACGGGGGTTTTTTTTTCTTCAAAAGAGTCGTGATTTATTTCAATGTGAAGTATAGGTCTCAAAATTTGTGAGATAGACTATGCTAACTTATGGGGGTATGAAGATGCGAGGGCGATTGATATAGACAGTGTCATTAGACCACTCCTACCACTCCTTTCCTCAGCCATTTTCTCTTTTCTTTTTTTCTTTTTGCGTCGTCTTGTATTCTTGTTGACAGGGTGTGTCACAATGACTCCACCAATTGCTCATAAGTCAGTCTGTCTTGCTCCTCCTCGCGGAAGACAAATTTCCAGTGGCAGCGCCAGACGGTCGCTATGGCCCTACTTAATATGATTACGCTGGAGGGGTTGCGGTTTAGGCTTATCTTGCTCCATAGAAACTGGAAACCTTCTACAACGTTTTGTGAGGTCAACCACCTTCTTGGACTCGGAAGATCTTTATCAAGTCATATATTAAAGAGAGTCAGGGTGTATTGCCAGAATCGATTCTTGGGTGGGCTGGTAATGCATAACAAGTTACAAAGTAATTTTGTTTATAACGCTTGAAGAGGACGATAAATAATAATACTAGGCATGCGTTACAGTGGCGGTTGAAAATCACACAGCTTTCCAGTAACTGATATTTCAAGCTCACCGGCTCCCATTGCGAAATGCTTTGCCATCTACAGATTTAGCCTTTATGGTCACTGCAGCTGATGACATACTGATTTATTTCACTACTAGTCATGGCTGGCTCTCTTTTATGTGTCGCGATCAAACCTTCCCCATGTCACAATCGCACCGTCATCTTTTGACAAAAATTCATGATTGGCCTATAAGGTATATATTCAACTGCTATCAGGTTAATATCTGATAGTTTTCGCCCTCCAAACTTCACGGGAAGCGCCTCTACCGTTTTTCCGCCTCTAATTAAGCATTGGCCAAAATGGCGCCATAGTGAGGCCTCGTGGCACTCCACTATTTTCGTTACATTAGGCTCCGCTTCGAAGGATCTGCCACTGAAGGTATAGGCCAGATTTCAATGTTCCGGATTTTGCCGCGATCTGACCTCCTTGACCATTGCCAGAAGCAAGCTTGCTCAGCTAACTTTAACGACTTGAAAATTTAACGCACTTCTGTGGTACACACGGCTAACTTTAACGACTTGAAAAAGTCAACGCACTTCTGTGGTACACAGCGGCCAAATAAGACAATGCAATTTCTGTAAGTCACCAACAGTAGATTAACGATCTGTATCCACAACGTATAATGTACTGTGTAAAAATATTATAAATGACTGACTTACATTTCTATTGTAACAAGTATTCATTGGTGTGCTCAAGTAGTTGAATACTCCGATTTGCGAGGATAGCTTGGTCAATAAAACTCCATTGGTTATAGTTTCTTCCTAAATGCAATCAACGATGGAATATACAACAGTGTTTTCCTTCGATTGATGAAATGCTTGAGTAGTGTTACTGAAGAACACGGCGTTGCAATAGCTAGAAAAGAGTCGAAAGTATGGACTTGGATCGGATATCAAGGCTGCTAAACATGATGCGGACAGGCTTGTTCCAAGCCCGACATGCCAAATTACAGGTTCAAGAGCTCAGCCAGATCAAGTAGCAAGTATGAAGAATTTCTGTTGATAGCAATTCGACAATAGCCACTACTTGTAATTGAAAGAATAAAGAAAAGGGGACTCCTTTTACTTCGTCTAAAATTATCACCCTTCATAAGAAATTTTATCCACAAGTAGCTTACTTTTAGCAATGTCAAAGAGCAGCTAGCAATCCCATATTGTGTTCGTGAATTCGGTGTGCTAATGTGGGCTGCTTACTAATATTACTGTCGACGTTCATTATATGCGATGCTTTTTTCATTGGCAGTCGAGCAATCTACATCACAAGGGATGTGGTTTTTGAGTTTAAATGGTGTCATACAAAGTTACACATCAAGCCTGGCCAGGAATTATCGTTCTGGAAGCTACAGAATTTGTCGTTCGAACAAAGAAACTTTTTTTTTTTACATATCATTTTCGAAAGGTTTTATCAACAAATGAAGCTCCTAGTTACTCTGCTACCGGTTTATGAAGCATTTCGTTCTTGTGTGATTGTGTCAAGAGAAAAGCTCGTTGAAAAAAGCGGGGCATGCTGAATTTCTTTTTAAAAAATAAGCGTTGGAAGTGGCGCCATTACACAGAAATTTCGAAAAGAGCACAACGGTTCTCGTTGTAGTCAAGCCATACACCCGTATTTCACAGGTCATACCTTGCAAGGTTACATCTTGCCACTTGATTCCTTTTTTTTATTACATCTTTAGACAAACAGCGCGCCTCGGTCTTCTAATCAGGTCATTCGGCTGGCTGCTTTTAGTAGGGTAATAACGCTGACCTCGTAAAGTAATTTACATGCATACATTCCTTTCAAACGAGGAAACAAGTGTACTGAATGACTCCGTCGACTTCCTTGTATAGCTCATGTTAATTTGACTTCGTACCTTCTCAGCCTCGAACTGTCCCATTTTTGTCTCTGGCTGGATGGATGTTTTGCCGCTCTAGCGGATGGACAACGGTATATATAAAGCATCAAAGTACGCTTTTTTGCAAGTTAACTTTCCCGCAATGTCAGCGCTCAACATTCAAAACTACCTTCAAGCTTATGCAACCTGGTTTGCTATGAACCCCATCTTTATCAACCATGGATTCCAACTGTTGAGAAGGCATCTAAATCTGGATACATCCAACAATGTCCATCTTCACTTTCTGTCAGACGCTAGTCATCAAATTGACATGAGGAACTGCGTAGACCTGGTTTACATCAAGATTTGGTGCAATGATCTGGTCCCTACTGCAAACCCATTGACTATGGATCTTCCGGAAGGCGCAAGGGTGTACATTGGACAAACCGCCAATCCACGGGCCAGGGAACATGCTTTGCAACCTTATATCTCGGCTTTTGGAGTTCCTACACTTCATTTGTGTGTTGCCCATAATTTGTCCCAGTACCATCGTGATGCCCTGGAATGTGCCATAATAGCTTGGTTCACATTGTTTCTTGGACTGGCTGTCTTGAATAAGTCTCCTTATGGAAACTACATCTACCGAGAAGTAAATCCAAATGCTACTGTTGATGAGATATTGCCAAGTGACTATCGTGCGGTTCATTCCTTCAGCAACTGGAGGCTCACGATTGTCGTTGGTACAGCTCCTCCCGCCGGCGTAGCGTTGGCGGCAGCATATCGAGACAGAATGGAGCGACATCCGCTCATGAATTGGGACGCGTTTCCTAATACCGGGTTGGGGATGTTACGATTCAATCTAGTTCAATATGCTCTTCCTCCTTTCATCAATCACTATCCTGATGATGTAAGTCGAGGCATTGACGACTGGTATCCGCATTTTGATCAAGAAAAAGTCAATAACGCTGATCGAAACTTAAAGCAATCTATGAGGGAACACTCCAGACCAATTGCTCTCATGCTCGGTGCTAGACCGACACGACTTGTTGACGGTAGCCTCCGTAACAACTTCATGAGTGACCGATGCGGACGGCTGAATTTCTCGCGCCTGAATTCTGGTCGCTTCATTGCCATGCTGTGGATGCCCGATCCTAGCCACTACAGACACTTCAGGCTCCAAGACAAGATGTTCGGCGTTGAGCTGTACACATTAGCTAGCAAAGCGATTTACACCCTTGAAGAGAAATTCTTATCGGGACGTGATGGACGGGCTGATGAGCAGGATGACTTTGGTTTTACCAGCCTTGAAGTTGAAATGCTACAGTTTTGGTGGGATTCTCATCCACTTTGTGCCAAGATAAGGCAGCTATGTCTCAAAGTGGCATTAATCCCTACATCTTACAAAACAGCATGGACCGGCACCTTACCTGTAGTGAATACTGGCTTGTTTGGTAAATTTGAATAATAGACTTTTGAAAAATAGAAGAAAGGACTAACATTTTCAACAATATATAGATTCGGTTCCCACGAATTTATGGTCAACTTTGCCAACAACCTACGTCGATATCGACATGTTAACCATTCCGGGAGACACATCCTTATATGTAGATAAAACTGAGGAAGGCTTGACACTGGTATGTTATCACATAGAGTAGCAAGTCTGTTAAATAGCGAATCAAAAGTATAACCATTTTTAATAGCCCACAGATACGCTTGTTTTGTCTGGGAGACAGGATCAAAGTGACGAGCCAGCTACAGTGTCTATCGAAGGTACCATACGGCATGATACAAGAATCATCCGTATGGCTACCCGAGATAATCCCAATTTTTCGGTTTTGTCTACTGCTGAGCAAGTCCAAGTTGTTCGACGAGCCATCGGTCAGTATGCGCGAATTTTGAACGTTGGTTTCAAGGATAAACGCATTGCCGAAGGACACTTTCATCCTCTGCCTGATGAACCTGAAGATGTTCAAGTCGCTAGGTCCAGGCGCGAATACTACGACCAGCAAAGCCACACCATCAGGGGAAATCAATTTTTGTCAACTTGTTCCTTATGTAACTTCCACTTGCCGGCAAGAACATATACAAGAAACAGGAGTATCTTATTTTCCTCTGGATGCCTCTGCGGTCGGACACGTTTCATAGAGGGCTGTCATTTTGTCCAAGGGCAGATTCCACTGAAAACGTTTCCGGATAACAATGTCTTCATCCACCACATAATGCATCTGCCGGTACCACTTGTTATAAATCACAAACAGCTTGTGGTCTCGGTGATCGACTTTCTAGAAACTGAAGGAACAACTTACTTTCAGTCTCAAGCTCAGCCGATCATCGAGATATATGGCGCTGTCTTTGCAAATTACAAAGCGTATCGAAACCAGGAAAAAGAACACAAAACTCTGTCGACGGCTTTTTCACGCATGGTGAACCAATTGTACAGAGATTTGAGAACTATAACTGGATTCGAAACAATTGGCCCTAGATCCACCTCTCGTGCTCCTAAACCGATCGAGAGAGCTGCTTACGGAACTGGCACGCCAAACAAGTTCACTCTTTATTCATTTGGTGCGTTGACAGAGGGTTCGCTGGAAGAAGTTGCAACCACGGAAATGGAGACATTGGAAGACATGGATTTTTGCCAGTATGGAAGTCGCCTGACGGAGCTAGCGCAGCAAAAGAGAGCTGAAAGAGACGCAGCTGCTGGTGGATCTGGACAAGCTGAAGGATCTGGAAGAGCAGGTCCGTCTGGATCATAACTATCACTTGTTTCAAAATAAAATACAATGTATTATTTGCCAACAAGCTTGTAGCTGAAATTTAGAAATTCTCGTTAGTCTAGCAGTCGAAATACGATGAGCATCAATTGTAGTGGAAAAAAAAAATCATTTTTGGTGTGGACAACATCAGAACCCGCGCAATTTTTTGAGGTGACGCGATAGAGTTATCAGTTGAGAATAGTCATGCATTCTAATTTAATCTATAATATAGAAAGTAGTTATTTCGACTCTCTTCTACTAGGTGAGTAAAGTCAGTTCCATTTCATAAGACAATATGGAATTAATTCGAGATAGTAAGCTTCGAGGTTTTTGTGTAGATCATAAGAGCAGCGCAAAAAAAGCTTAGACTTGTATGGCATAAGAAAATTTTCATCCATTAGAAAAATTTAGATATAAGAAGCTCAAGAAAAAATGCTACTACCATTAAAAACTAAAGTAATAAAGATACAGCAATCAATTTAAAAAATGATAAAGCAGCAGCGGCAGCTGCTGCGACAAAATTTCTCGAGCAAAACTACAGTAGCCAATGGAAGCGATGGAAATAAAAAATATTAGCCAATGGAAATTGAATATAATATTTTTATTGACCAATAAAAAATCTCTCTGTCAGGGGGTCGAGCCGTGGCATTTCGAAAGTTAAAAGCCGACGCAATAGAAAGACAGTTAATCATAAATGGGACTGAATAAAAATGAAAATAGATAGGTTAGATGCAAAAGCGACGACTGCTGCGACAAAATTTCTCGAGCAAAACTACAGTAGCCAATGGAAGCGATGGAAATAAAAAATATTAGCCAATGGAAATTGAATATAATATTTTTATTGACCAATAAAAAACTCTCTGTCAGGGGGTCGAACCCTGGACATTTCGGTTAAAAGCCGAACGCTCTACCAACTGAGCTAACAGAGATTCTGTTTTTTCGGAATGTGACCGCTTTTATTCGTAAAGAGCTGTCACATTCACCAATAAGAGAGAGTGCTTCTGTTCAATGACGTGTGTGTTCCGCCTATGAGTATTACTTCAGTAGCAATAAAGAAGCAAGATCACTGTTTTCCTCGATTTATATAGTTTCCAGTGTGCGTTTATCACAGTACTATTTCACGTTAATGGCTGTAATAGTAGCGAGCTCTCGTTAGGAGCAGTAGCTATTTTATTCTTATTCGTTGTAATGACGATGAATATTAAACTTGTTGAATCAAGAGAAGTAAATCAAAAATGAGAATACACTAATACTTTTAATCTAGGAACTATGGTATGAGTCGCTTCAGACTAAAGTAGCGTCATTCATTTCACTCATGGGCCACATGTCTCAGGCAATAGCAAACTGGTATTATTAAGAGCAATAGATGTTTAGAAAATTCCATTTTTATATTGTGCTTTGGTTAACACGTATTTATACATAAAAGGTTTTTAATTTTTCTTTAATCAGTTTATAACCAGTGTAATCGACCGTAGCACATGTAACCACATGGGTATTACTGGAGATTCTTAATGAAGCTCCTAAAGCTCGTTATGCGGCTTTATCTACTCTGTATTGTTGAGTGCAGCTGAGGTTGTAGCTTTGATGTAGTATGTGATTAAATTAGTCGCCTCCGATTTTGTAGATTGTCCTCAATCAACAGCATTTATCTGAGAGAGCTAATCAACGTACTTAGACTGACGCATGAACGACAATGAATGCGATATGTAATATAATTTTTTTTTACAGCTTCTGGTCTGGGAATAAATTTTTAAGTAAACAACAAGACTGCAAGTACCGATTATTTTTTTTTATACAAATTTATATTTTCGCCAAATTCATTAACCTGTTTGCCATCCTAACTCACACGTAAGGCGGCAAAACCCAGTTCTCCAAACCGGAGTGAGTCGTCTGTTACTTCCTGAATAATGTGGCATATCCCAGGTGTAAGTTCCTCACATCTGAACACCCTGGCGTTAGGACTGTATTCATAAATAAAGTTTGCACCGTATACCCCTCTAGTAGTCGCTACTAGCAACAATGAGCCGGTACCGTATTCTTTCAGCAGTAGAAAGCCATTCGTTATAAGAGAACCAATTGGAACAGGCCATGGTAAGTTGACGTTTCCGGTGAATTCTTGGTCCTGAAGGAAACTTAAATGAGTCTTTCCTAGCACAGCATGCTTGTCATTTTCGTCATAAGAGGCTGCTAGAGCTACTATGTCACCATAAGACACATGCCGCTCTTCATGAGTAAAGCTGAATACTCGTGACTTATGTTGCATTCTTATAAAGTCAAACCAGCTCCAATCCACTGCCCTTGTTGTTTTGAAGATTGTAGTGACTATTCCAATGCCCACTAAATACAAGCTCGCCGCAGAGGTGATGTCAATACCGCTCAGCTTGCCTACATGCAAGGCCAGGCTAGTCTGCCATATGGCGATGGTGAGAGCAGCCGCGATGACTGCAAAATAGGATCCTACTAGTACCTTATCCTTGACTATAAAACCATCGGGATGTAAGCGAGCCCATAGAGCGAACACCTGCTCCGTATTTGGGAAGGAAGGAGTGAACACTGCAAGTTCATGACCTACCACGGCTATCATTCTGTCAGCCTTGGTCTCTATTGAATGCTCATTACGTACTATAATATCATGCTTAGCACCGCTCGTATGACTTGTGGGGTCTTTTCTTTTCGTCATGGTGGATTCCTTCCTTTTGCCGGTTTTAGCGCTCCGATGGTGTACTACTAAACGGTTCTTCTTCTTTCTCAGTGCCAAGATAGTAGCTGCCGCAGGTAAGTATGTAACTTTGAGATTTTTGAATTCAGTATGGTTGGCCTCGTCATCAAGTTTGATGAGAATGTGCTTACGCAATAGCCTTCGTAAGTGAAAAAAGTCGTTTCCTGAGTCCTGACGCAATAATACGACCAGTTCTGTTTCTAGGCACGATATATCTCCTCCAGAGGCATACAATACACTGTAATCTTGAGTTAAGACGGTGGAAAAAATAACATGTCTTACTAAATACTGCACGTTTAGGCTGTCGTGAGAAGCCATATTGTGCGCTCCATGAGATGCTATATCTCCAACCCTACCCACATGCTCGTCGAACGAAGCATAGCATAACAGCCTAAAACAAAAATCTTCATAAGTCCACGTCAACCCTTTATAGCTGTACCCTTCTAGCAGTGGCCAAGGAGTACCTAAGTCTTGTCTCTGAGCTCTTCCAGGAAGTCTAGAATACAATCTGGCAACATCGCCGAATTCGTATTCTAGCCTCTGAATGCCATAATCCAGCACTCTAAGTACCAAAGTGAGTTCCAGCCCCAAATTGTTTTTAGCCAACACAGTTTTTATGTGGTTGCTAAGTAGCCCACACAGAAGAACGTTATTCAGCGTATAACGTCTATCGATACCAGAAGTACAGCATTCTTGTTTAGTGATATGCGCCAAAACGTAGTTCATCACTTGGTCGCTGTTATTGCACTTCTTTAAAGCTCTGATGTTGTTGATACCTTTAAGCCGTCTACCGTCCGCAAAGGACCTCAGTGGTATGTGCTGCATAATGGCATAAAGCGCGTATAAAAGTATATTTAAATAGATGCTGAACCGCTGCACTAACTTATAGAGTTGCCGTTTGATGAATTGCTGTACAGTAAGTATTTCAACTGAATCCGTGGACATATTAACAGCGTCAGCTTTCATAGCGCTCGGCGCTTCTGGTGTCATTCCTGCCTCTGACATATCGATGAGGAAGATGTCGTCTATGTGGTGTGCACTCCTCACCTCTGCCGTGTCTTGTTCTTTCATTGATGCAGCCATAATGCGGTGCAAAGCGGTGAAAGAGGCGGTAGTGAGTGGCTCTGCTCTAAATATACGGCCAATCACGATATTGTACGACAATTGAAGCGTTGCACATTTGCACAGCGTAATATTCACTTTCTAGGCATTTATTTGTTTATCGTTTTCCAGTTATGTCTTATTCGGGTACGTGCACTTGCTCTTTTTCGCTCCACATTGATCCCACCGCGAATGAGGAAGAGTACAAGCGACGTCGCTGCCTCACATCTATTCTTACCTTGCAAGCTGTATGATAATGAAGTGGATGCACAATGGCTCAATTGACGCATCTACACAGATTATTTTCTGCCCATTTGAATTATAAAGCTTTCTATTGTTTGCGAGGCAAATTGTTGATAGTTTAGGCGGTCAAGTGGTCGGATGCTGATAGAAAGCCCACTATTCAGTAGAGTCATCAGTGAGAGTTGATGAAAAGTCAAGGTTCAGGCTGCGTGCGAAGGTTAAAAAATGAAATCAATTCTTCAGTCTACATTACCTATTACCATACACTGCTCGGTATTGATGCAACGTTAGCCATAAAGCTAGAAAGTCAAGCACCCATGTTCGTAGGCTGTACAAAAATTTGGCGACAGTCAAGGACTAAATTGCCTTCTTGTATGCTATTTTTGGATATTTCAGGATTTGCGTGTGGACGGAAGTAATTGAACTGGCGTCGGATGCTTACTTCATAAGAAACTGCACCTTCCATGCTGGCTCCTCAAGATGCCGGGCTTGAATGGCAGCAGTGCAGTCAGGGCCAGAGGTCGTGAAGCTAAAAATGACAGTCCGTCCCCCAAAAATAACTTTTCTGTTCAGCACGGGCTCCGTCCAAATTTTTCTTCCGTCTCCTTCGTACTTGCTTGATTGAATGTACAATTCAGTCATTGCGTTTCTACTAGCCCTGCTAGCTGGTCTTGGAACAGGTTTTGGTAAGACTTGGCCGGACAGATGATGCTACTCTGACCTTCTGGTATTGACCTTGTCTGTGATGTAGGAGGACTCTTTGTTGTAGCAACGCACAATGTGTCATCAACTGGCAATCTGCCACTGACCAACGCTCAATCTACTGACAATTCATCAGGGAGGCGGAAACCACATGGAGTGACCATCAACATTCAGTCCGACTCTGACAGCTTGGGCAAAGAGAACATCTTATTCATGGGACGAATGCAAGCGTTTTCGGCAGGCGTCATGGTTTATTTATCGGTGATTGACATTATACCCGAATCTGCCAGAGATATTGGTATAGCGCTGGCGCTGATCTGGATGGCCATTGGCGTCATCAGCATGTGTCTTCTGGAGGCCATCCTAGAGCCCTACACGCATTCTCGGGACGGTGAAAAGAATGATCAGCAGAGAATGCTTCATACGTCCATGGTGACATTTGTGGGCATGGCTCTTCACAATACGCTGGAAGGACTTTCCGTCTACCTCTCGGCACTTAAAGACATTAAATTTGGACTTCCTTTATCGATTGTCATCATGCTACACAACATGGCGGAGGGAGTAGCTGTGGCCATACCCATATACCTTGCGACAGGCAATCGGGCTAAAGTCATCCAACTCACGTTTTTCAACGGTCTGTTCGAACCCATAGGAGTGATCGTTGCCGGATTTTTACTGCAGAGTGTTTTGACCGATGTCCTATTGGCCAAACTACTTGCAAGTGTAGCAGGCGTGATGCTGTTCATATCTTTCCACGAGTTGATTCCCATGGCCCTCAAGTATGCGGGCAAGACACAGACGGCGTTATCTGTTGCAGCTGGAACGGCCATTTGTTTGGTGGTGTTAATGATTGTGGATGCCTTATCTTAGGGCATACCAATTAATGTATATAGCCATTGTTATTTCTTTTTCCTTCACTACTCTAGAATTCATAATAAAGAAAAAGGGTTACCGCCAGTGGTTTTGCTTTTGCGCTACATCAACAGGGGAAATTGCAGTTGCTTGATCCAGCAGAAGACACTGAGTCACCACCAGCGCTTTTTTGCTGTTGTAGATGCATTGTACTTACTGCCAGCGGGTTTCTATACTACAGCTTTCTATTCAAGGCGTGAAATTTTTCCTTGGCAATTTGGCGACAAAAGCTTGGGTGTGACGGCAGTGTGGTTAGGTTAAAATTTCCAGGTCCTCTAAGGCCGAGTCGTTCTTTCCATATTCCAGCAAACCATGTCGGGCAAAGGGCAATACAATGTGATTGTCGAGATGGATGACGAGCCTACTATACAGGTTTGTACAGCGTATTGAGTGAAAAGAAATCACAACGTTTTTGCTGTGCTTGCATAACTAAAAAGTGGCATTGGCAGGCCGATACCCTTGATAATGACGGACTCGAGTTTCAAGGTGAGCATGCGGTATGGATACACCCGTAGCCCTCCCCTGTGAGCTAACACGTCGTCTAGACTTCTCTTCCAGTAGCGCACCCAAAAGCAGTGGAAAGATGAACAGCAACACTCAATGTAAGGACGAATGGGAATCGTGATGGCGACGATGGCCAAGCTTGCAGAATTAACTAATTGTGAATCTCGTGTTGCCTCGATATAGCATTCGCCACAGCACCTGGTGGAGACTTTTTTGATCCTCACCGGCAGATACAAGATGAGGCTATGGGCCGAAAACCTGTGTGGTCATTGGATTACTACACTCGGTATTTTGATGTGGATACGAAGCAGGTAAGCCAAGTCAGGACAATGCCGGCTGCAGATACGAAGGGGGGAGGAGGAGTATGGAACTGGAGATCGGCCCTGAAGCAACGGCGTGAAAGCAACGGCTTGGAAGCAACGGCATGAATCCTTACTGCCGCAATGGCATACATCCTTTATCTAAACCTATTTCTAACGCTACGCTTGGCCATTTGCCTACCTGCCACTTAGGTCCTTCAACGCTGCTTTCACAGCATGTATCCTATAGGATTGTTTGAAGATGTGCTCAACGATAACCCAGATTTATATGGACCCTTCTGGGTGACCACTACAGTGATATTCACCACATTTGTTTCTTCCTCATTGGCTGCATCCATTGTTGCCTACATGCACAGCACACCCTACGTCTACAACTTTGGGACGCTAAGTTTTGCTGTGTTTGTTCTCTACTCGTATACCTTTGGATCAGCACTTTTAGTATGGGCCGCGACAAAATACTATGGTTGCCAACCTAGCTTGCTAAACATTATCAACATGTACGGCTACAGCATGACTGCGTGGGTCCCTGTTTCGGTAAGTGATCTAGATGGAAGCTGAAAGCACCGTCCAGGATCTAATGGTTTTTTCCCGTCTGGTATAGATCCTGTGCGTCATGCCTTATGATATTGTCAGATGGATTCTGGTTGCGGTTGCTTTTGCATTGACTGGTGCGTAGAGATGGTATCCTGACTCTGAAATCCATCCTACCTACTAACTTTTTTACCTTTCTCTAGCTGTATTCCTCATCAAAAACCTTTATTCCATTATTGCTCGAGCTGATGCTAAAACTAGCAGACTGTTATTGATTGGAATCTTGTTCGGTCACGCTATCTTTGCTATCACCCTCAAATTGTCTTTCTACAGCAACGACTTTAGAGATGCTGCCAACGATACACCTACATAGTGTATATAATGGGGAGGGGTTTTTTCTCATGTCTTTATTAAAAACAACAACGCATAGTAATGGATACAAAATGACAAAAGGATTCTAAGAGTGATGGGTTGCTATAATTTAATCAAATTTCTGCTCAAGAGGCTGAATATAATGTTTAGGGAAATGTACATTCAAGACGTAAACGTCGCGGCTGGAGAAGAGAGAGAGATGTCAGCGCACTGGCGTCAGCTAGATGCCATATTCGAGAGACCTAGGTACTCACTGTTCCAACGAGATGTCACCCGTTTTCATGTCTACCTTGCAGGGTATATGGGTTGTTCTGTTTTCAAATGAAACATGATAGCCACGTTCTGATAATACGTCCATCACCATGTCGACAAAGTGGCCATTGGACAATGCAGGGTCCTCACTGAAAAAAAAAGAGAAAAATATTGAGTCTGATGTCAATGGGGAGGGGCATGAGAAGGAATACGCACGTGCGGATCATGGCGGCACCACTGATAGCATGTCGAGTCACCTGCGGCACGACAGTATGATCGATCCACTGAATAGCTTTTTGAAGAGTTTTAGGCTCTTGCATTTGATAGTGTTCCAATCGACTGATAAGTTCCTGGGGTGGTAGATGAGAAAGGGAGATAAAATCGAGGGAGGGCATGAGCAGCATAGGGTACTTGCCTGTCTAGCATGCACACCAATTTTGTTGGCCAAAGGGATATGCGAAATTGCGTCATATGTATCGGATTCCAGTTCCAAAGAAGATTGGTATTCGAATTCCTTCAGGATGATTTGCATGACTTCATTGATATTGCCCACAGCATTGATGAGGTCTAACAATAAAGCAAGAGGTCAGACTGCTGCCTTGGCATGCTCACTACACGGGCTGTCAGTCGACACTTACGGAAGGGGAAAATTTTAGAAAGCTTCAACAGAGCTCCATAATGAGCCTTGAAAATAGCATATCTTGAGCGAATTAACTGTAGATGATGTGGTAAGCTACGCTGTCAGCAAAGCCGTGGGAAAGGTTTTCGCCCTGCCTACCGTCTCGTCAAAATCCGTCACACGTTCCTCCCAAAGAACTCCTTGTCCTGATCGTCGGACCTGCGCATTATGTTCTCGAATCATTTGACCGCGTGCCAGCTGACGCTGGACAGAAATATCTTCATCGACATACAAGACGCAAATGCGAAAGACAGGGCGAGGGAATTGATCGCGGCGATCGGTGTTCCAAAATTCTCGTCGAAGTTCAACCATCTTGTCGTAAAACAGCCTTAGAGCCTCCACTTGGATTTCAGTGCGAGGAAAGCCATCGACCAGGACGCCAACCGTAGGGTCACAGTCGAGCAAGGCGTGGAACAGCATTTCCATGACGGTACGATCGGAGATCATTTGACCGCGGTTAATGAGCTCTTTACATTCTGGGGTATCCAGCAAATTGGAGACAGAGATGGGGGGATTGGTGATGCCTCGAGCGCGCAGGATGGATGGAGTGTGTGTACCTTTTCCTGATCTAGGGTGTATGACAATGGTAAGGACGTTTGACGGATCTAGTAGTTTGATGGGGCACTTACCCTGGGGCACCCATCAAAAAGATAAGTTCTCTAGGTAAATGGAGGTTTTCCCTCCCATAGTGGTCTTCAATGTTCTTCCATGCTTGGTTAAAAATGAGCTTGGTATCCTTGATCTCCTTACCATGGTTGGTGCTGGTGCGAGAGAAAAGGTTGAAGGGGTCAACGAAGATATACAGAAGCAAGCCAGACGAGGCCTTACCTAGGGTGGTCGTCATGAATGGGTTCGCGGCTATTGCTTGACTGATTGACTAAGGATTCAATGGTGTTAGGTTGAACGGTAGAAAACATGGCCGTACATGGTGGGCCCTGATTTTCTTCCATTAGGCTTACCCTGTTCCACTGATGATGCACGGCATGCTGTCAATGTTGGAGTGATATAGGCACGTCTAGCTACTAGTCGAAGCTGAGGTGTGCAGTAGACAGAGCAGCGTCGAATGAGCTGAGGAGCTAATTTTAAAGCCATGGTGAAGAGACGATAAAAATATGATTTTGGCCAATTTGGGGAATTAGGCAAGACGGGTGATTGACGTCTTTTGCTGTTCACCTCGCTTTCTCCCACTTTTTTTGCCATGGCAAGAAGTCGTTTTTTCAAGTCCTTCCTAGCGTTATCGACCACGGGTGCTGGCCTCTATGCCTACGATACAAACACAGAAGCTCAGTTGATAACACGCAACGTTCGTACCTTTTACAATGGCGTCGGCTTGGCTCTAGATTACAAACTCAACTTCAAGCCAGGCGACATGTCGTCCATGGATGCTGTTCACGAGCGTGTAGCCAATCGCATCTTTGACGTTTGCGAACGTAACGGTGGGCTTTATATTAAAATTGGCCAAGTCATAGGTACTCAAGCGTCCGTTTTACCTGCTCAGTATCAAAAGCGCGCACGTCGGCTGTTTGACTCGGCACCAGCAGTTCCGTACTCCGTGGTCGAGCGGGTATTTCTGGAAGATTTTGGAGCCAAACCTGAACAAATGTTTAAAGAATTCGACAAAAATCCAGTAGCGAGTGCGTCCATTGCGCAAGTTCACAAGGCCGTGCTACATGATGATACCATTGTGGCCGTCAAGGTGCAGAAACCAGCCATTCAAAAACAGATGACAAGCGACCTGAGAGCGTTTCGAATGTTGCTGGCACTGTACGAACGAATTTTCGATTTACCCATGGTGTGGATGTCCGACTATTTTGAAAAGCACATTCGCATGGAAGCAGATTTTGAACGGGAAGCACAGTGAGTACATGGGCTGTAACCTGAGCAAAGTGAAACTCTGCTTTTATGATACTGACCCATGTCGTTACAGAAACTCTAGCAGAGCGTGGGATCACTTACAAAAAGAGAGCTCGTTGAAAGACCGAGTTTACATTCCAAAAGTATACGGCGAAATAGGGTCCAAGAGGATTATGGTGGCTGAATGGGTGGATGGAGTGCAACTGACTGCGTTAGATGATCTCAAGGAGATAGGTGCATCTCCCACAGAGGCCATGCAAATTACCATAGAAGCGTTTGCTAGTCAGATATTCAAGAGTGGATTTGTTCATGGTGAGTGCGCGCGGGTCGCGGCGGTTTGTGAAGGCGCAAAATGTTAACCATGACCCTTCTTAGGTGACCCCCACCCTGGCAATGTCCTTGTTCGCAAGCATCCCAAAAAGAAAAATGAAATTCAAGTTGTACTTATAGACCATGGCTTGTATATAGAGGAATCAGAAAGGTAGGTCGGGGAGAGCAGGTGACTGAAGCAACCCACTACTAACTGTTCCATTTAGGTTCCGTCAGCAGTATTGTAAACTATGGGAGGCGATGTTTCTACTTGATGTCAAGGCATTGGACGAAATATGCAAGCAGTGGGTGAGTTGGGAAACATCTGGAGCGATGTTGGAACCTTTTGACCTGAAATAACCCGTACTGACCGCCACCCTCCAGGGAGTCAACGACTCGAATATGTTTGCATCAGTGACGTTGCAAAAACCGTATATGCCAAGTAAAGCACCTCATCTATCCAACAGCACGGTGTCGTTTCAAGACGCATACGAAATGCAAATGTCCATGAAATCCAGGATCAAACATTTCTTGGCTGATCAACAACTTTTCCCCCGTGAACTTATTTTTGTTTCTCGCAATATGAACATTGTTCGGGCCAACAACAAGTCAATGGGAAGTCCAGTCAATCGCATCAATGTCATGGCACGCTGGGCAGTGCGGGGCATGGATCGAAAGGACGAAGCCAAAGGAGTGCGAGGGTATCTCCGAAGCACATGGCGAGTGATTCTGTTTGAAAGCACCTTATTTGCCATGACGGTCAGTTTCTACATTGTCAAATTCAGAGACGTGGCCAATAAGTTAATTTGGGGAACGGCCAACCAAGGAGGATTCGAGGGCCTGTTGGATGAACGGATGAAGGAACAGGTAGGAGCCGGTTCTAAAATATTCGTCAGAAATAGGTAAATTAACTGATTTTGGCTACTTGCAGCTTCAACAACAATTTGGAATTGTACTGGATGAATCGGTCTTTGATGCTTGACGACCAGCCAGCCACCGACAGGTGCACCCGTATTTAACGTAGAAAAGATTTTTATATAGTACATGGTTTGCTAAAAAGACCAAAATGTAAAAAGGAAAAATTCAGAGAGCATGGAAAGGGGAACTGTACAATGGGGGGGGGGAGTATCTATCATAAAATGTCAACAGGTGGTATATCTGGAGTGATGTCTCTCTTGGCAGCCTTGGCTTTACGCTGACCACTAGCCGTCAGATCTCGCCAAACAAAACAAGAGTTTCCTTCAATATGCGTCTTGGGTTTCCTTCCTCGTTTCTTCTTGGGCATGGTCAGTACGGTGTCCATGGTGGAGCTTGTGAACGCCGTGGTGGTTTCTGTATCCTCCTGTTCTAATGAAGTCACAGGGGAAGCAGAGGTGATGTTCCATACTGTCGGCGTGACAAAGGTCCACCCTCCTTCCCACACCGGTTCGCGTAAATTAGGTGGCCGACCTCTTTTTCGTTTCAGTATGGGTTCACCGGTGTTGGTAAACAGGATGGGATTAACTCGGGTTTCTTCTTCTGGGGCAGGTGAAAGAGACATCCTGGCCAGTTGGGGAGATACAGCGGATTTTTTGGGTGGTGGGTCGGATAGTCGGCGATGAGAATGAAAGGATGGCACTTGTAAATGAAAGTCTCCCGATTGACTACTGTTGTCTAGGGTGTGCTGTGAAGGTTCGATAGGAGACAGGGAGGGAGAAATGGGGGATAAATAGCGAGCATTGTCTGGCGACGACGTGGGTGAGTAAGGTGACACTGGACTATGAGAAGATGCCGCTGGCGATAATAGCTGGTGGCTATGGCTTGGAGCGGGTATAACCAGCGCAGGTGGTCTCAACAGGTCGGGTATTTTGTTGCTGTTAGCAGAACGAGGGTACCATTTTGATTCTGGGAGTAAGGAACTGATAGGCGGTAAAGTGACTCCTGACGATGGTGATGCCATGATAGCACTGAAAAAAGGTAAAAAGAGAAGTGAGGAAAAGGAATTACATCCAAGTAAAGGAAAAAAAAATAAAATAGAAATAATAATTTGAAAATGGAATACTAAGAAAATCTATCTGTGGCATGTCCTTTCAATGATAGTGGAAGAAGGCTCTATTCGCCAGCCAATGTCCAATCGATGTGATCTTGCTTTACTTCTCAACCGATGCTGCTCATGGTCACTTTGGGTTGCCCTGCTTTCAATGAATGAAATGAACCGTAGGGCTGCGCAACCATCTGAAAGACGCTTCAAACCATTTCTCCATAATCGGCAAGCAAAATCTTATGTCCCATGGAAATTCAGGAAGGATCTTTTCAATGACAGCTTTTTTTTTTTTTTTTCCCCTCCGCCTCCTCTTTGTCACTGGCTTCTTTACCTGAGCCGTGGCAACACATGAACGGAGGGTGCATCGTTTCATTCAATGCAACGTGGTCTCATCCTACATTGTCACAAAAGATACCTTCTTGACACTAACGAGGAAGAACCAAGTTAGTCAAAAGCGCCCGGCTGTTGGGTCCTGCGCCACGTTTGGCTTTATTCTGCAAAAAAGGAAGATTGTTATTTTTGGGAAAGTCGACGCTGTGGCAAAGGGCACGTGACGCGCATTGTTTGGGGAGTCCTGAAGATCCCCGCTGTGGAAACGAATCCTCTGAAGAAAAGTGCTCGGCTACACGTGATATGCCTGGTAATCCATCCGTTCCATAGCTACGCACCCCTTCTTTTCAGTGACGTTAGAACGTGGGCTGTACGAACAGCTAACCTAACGTTTCCCACCGACCCTTAGTGTCAAACGCAGTGGTCTTCCCATGATATATCCAACAGAACGCAATAATGGATGGTAGCGGTGATAGGCTCTTGCTATAATAATTTGTACCTCAGTGCATGCTCGGACCGAGAATAGGCGCCCCTATATGGAGATCCCGTTTGGGCTCTCTATGGCAGCTGACTGCCATACTGTCCTTGCTTGTTTTTGTTTTGATGCCTTCTCCCTCCTTTTCTTTCCTTTCGCTTGGCTTCTTCCCACAGGATCCATGGAAACAGAACCACCCAAAGCAACGTTTGACGACTACATGGATCGTCTCACCGCGCAGTCCCAGCAGTTGTCTCAACAGTTAAATACTATTCTGAAACATCAACAGGAGAATCCTACTTCAGACGACGATGAGTCTTACACTACAGGGTCTCCACAGCGCGTATATCAACAAAACCGTCGAAGAGGATCGAGTCTCGACTCAGAAGGTCGTCAAGAATGGCGGGTTGCCAAACGGCGTCAGTATCGGTCACACTCAGTGCCGTCCATGCGAGCCCCCATTTATTACAGTCCGGAAGAAAGTAGAACGAGTTTGAGCGAAGCATCCGGGACCGGTAGTGGGAGTCTGAGTGATGATGAGTCGGATAGTGCGTCGCAAACGGATGACTCACAGCGAATGGTGGCTCGTCGAGGGAGTTGGGATCCAATGCAGCCAGCACCTTTTGAAGCTCGTATTCAACACTATGAACGACATCCTCATATTCGTACTCAGTCGGGTCCAAGTTCGGCGGGTCCAGTGATACAGCGGCATTCCACCGTGATTGGCTTCACTCAACCAGCCATGATGTATGCTGAGCCTATGCCGCCAGACATACCCATGGTGCACCCGCCTATCCTGTTTGGTCCTCCCATGGGAGTGCCACCCGAATTCATGGGCGGTGATTCTGGCGTTATGTCTTCGGCCATGCTGGCGGATGCTATGCTGGACGTTGCTCCTCCTATGGGTCCACCTGGACACGACATGGGTCCGTTTCACGGTCCAGGCGATATGGAGCATGACATGGTTCAATTTCAGCCACAGGAGCATTATCCGCCGCCGCAGGAACACTATCCACCACAAGAGCACTATCCGCCGCCGCAGGAACACTATCCACCACAAGAGCACTATCCGCCACCGCAGGAACAGTATCCACCACAAGAGCACTATCCGCCGCCGCAGGAACACTATCCACCACAAGAGCGCTATCCACCCTCTTCCGCTATGGACCATTATCAACAAGGCGATGCTAAATCCCCACCAAAGCCACTACCTCGTCATCAACGCATGGTGGCGGCTATCAAACAGCGTCTAGGTAGAGCGGCCGAGCAGCAATCGATTCGATATGGTGTGATCAGTCAAAGAATGTTTGAGCCGCCGCCGCCACCGCAGACAGAAGCCAATGCTAGTGGACCGTCCCGACAATCCTCCTTGGCACGAAGAAGATCGGCACGGCAAAGTCAAGTGTATACTGCCAATCTCGACAGCCCCGAAGCTATGCAATGGTGTTTTCGTCGTCAACGGCGTCTAAAGTCTCTCCCATGGGAGCCTTTTGACCCAATCTACCAATCGGCCATAAAGGACGCAAGCAATCAGAACAAACCATGCGTCATACAGGATAGTCATTTTTCACAAATGGTCAAGGTGATTCCTTCCGACGGATATGCCATTTGTCGCAAAATGCATGGCCATATGCTGTATGATGTTGCGTTTCTTGATCCCACCAAACAATCCCGCACGGTTTTCTTCTGCATACCTATGCGTCGTCGTCGCAACCCTTCTCATCTACAGTGAGTGGATGTATGCATTTATGTATGTTATATCGTCTCGTTTTGCACCTACTTGTATAGCAACACCCTACAGAAATATATTTTTTTTCTTTAACCCATCCAGTACTACATTTTAATGCGAGCACCAATAAATGCACGGCCAGCCAGTTTATGTTGCTTCTACACATTCACTTTATTGCTTTTCCTTTATATTCTTTTTGAGCGAGGGTATGAAAAACGCTTTTGATGAGTTGTTATATTCAACAATAAATTTTTGCAAGAGATAAAGGGAGTGAAATGGGATCTTTGTCTTTTGGAGGTTGGCTTTTTTTTCCATTTTTTTTCAGCGATGCATCTCCTTTTTTTTTTTTTTTTTAATGGTTTCTGATGAAGGCTCCTTTTGTGTCTGTCGAGACGAAAATCTAGGCTTGGGTAGGTTCTTCAGTAGGCTTGGCTTCCTCTTCCTTGGCAAGCAAAGCGGCAATCTTCTCTTCAGCCTTCTTCTTGTTCTCCTCAGTCTTCTTGGGCTGTTCGCTCAAGAAATGATCCCTGCGCTCCTTGAGCTGCTCAATGGTAGCATCAAATTCAGCAGGCTTGGTGGGGATAGCAATCTTAACTTCCCAGAAAGATTCCATAATGGCCAAGGGAAACTTGACGGTTTGGTCAGCCTTCTTTTCCTTGGGTGCCTTGCTACCACCCTTCTTCTTACCACCCACAAAGAAGTCTTCTTCCCGGTCGGCTTTCTTCATGAGGACGGCACCTTCAGGAATATTGGCAGTGGTGTCTGCTTGTCTACCAGCAGGCGACTTTGCGTTGGCATCAGCCTTGCCATTGACGGCATCGGTCGTTGCGTTGCTATCGTTACCATACGATTGCAAGTAGGTGAGCAGAGTCTCACAAGTGGCGATTTCTTGAGAATAGGCAGGGATCTCGGCAAGCTCGCGTTCCTGCTCGGCTTGAGCCTTACGTTGAGTCTCCTCATACTCCTTTTGACGCTGCTTAGCCTGCTCCTTGCGGAGGTCTCGGATTTGTCGTTGGTGGGCAAAGTGCTCATCCATGGCTTGACGATGCTCATCGCGGAGTGTACGCATCTTTTCATATTGTTGATCCAACTGAGCCTTGATGCTGTTTTGCTCTTCGTAAAGCTGGTTGCGCTTGTCGCGGTAGGTCTTTTGGGATTCTTGAATATCGTTGAGCTCAAGCTTGATGGCATCAAATTCTTGGTTGAGACTTCGCATTTGGCTGTCATCAATGTTCTTCTTAAGATCTTCATAAATCTTTCTCTCCTTGTCAAGTTCCGTTTGTTGATCCTTGAAAGAGTCAATGGTGTTCTTATGACGCTTCAATGTGGAGATCTCAGAGAGGATCTAATATGATGGTTATTGATCCAGTGTCGTCACACACTTGTACATCCTTCTTAAATAAATTACCTGCTTCTCTTCAACAAGCTTGACACCAGATTCAATTCTCTTTTCCAAAATGCTACAATGGACGAAGTCAGCAGATTAGTTTCAGGTATGATGGTAGACAGTGCCAAACGCTGATATGTTCACATCAAGCCCTCCCCCCATCCAGCCATGATGGTCGTACCTGATCTGTCTATCGACATCAGCAGTAGTCTTGAATGGGACCTTGGATTGGCCGGCCTTCAAAGCAGCGGTCTAATAGAAATGTCAGTCATGCGCCCCATCGAAACATCTAGAAGGAAAAATGTGAACCGTACCTTCTTCTTCATTGACTGTTGGATGACATCCAATTGGGTAAGGACAGCCTTCTTAGAATCCTTAAGCTCCTTTTGCTGGTCCCGGACTTGGTTGAGCTTGGTGAAGAGTTCTTCACGCTTAGCACTCTTACCAGCTGGTGAGAGCTTGTTCACCTTTTCTCGCACAGCGTCCTAGAGTAACAGCGTTAGTTCAATCAGACATGGAAACGCGCCATCCCATAGCGACACCCCATGCATGATGGACGTTCTGATCATCGATCCAGCACCGAAAGGGGTCCAGCCCTGAGGTCATCTAAAAAGTTAGATCCAACTTACATTTTGCTTCTTCAAGGCGTCAATGGAGGCCTGGATCTCGCCCAAATTCTTCTTCAATGCAGCATCATCAGGCTTCTTTGGGGTTTGTTTGTGGTTGGAAGCAGGAGTAGTGGACGCGATCGTTTCTGCCATGATGGAGAAGGTAAGAGGGAAAAAAAAATAATGGGCTCAAGCGACCTGCATCCACCACTCAATGTTTCGAGAAACTCCGAGGTCAGGTGATTGGTTCGTTCCTTCACCTGCTATATGCCTGACAAGATAGCCCGACCGTTAAGGATGAATGGCTGGGCCGTTGGCTTGAAAGATGCCCATTTACCTCTTTTATATCACCTTTTTTTCAAGAAATGACAGCAATGGAGCAAAGTGTACGTACCATTGAATAAAGTGAGTATCTCTGTGCAACCGTGTCAGTGTTCAATTTTTCCATTGGTTGCTTTATGTTTGGGCCTCCCTTGGATGTCTCTTTTCAGCGGCCCATGACCTCACTGTTTTACAGCCTTTGCGTAGAAATAGTCACATTATCCATTCATCGGATGAAACCAAAAAGATCAAATGGTTCAACGTTAGACGTAAACTGAAAGATCGAAAAGATCTTTGAGAAAACAAAGGTAACTGGCTACTTTATTACCTTTCTTGCATTTCAAGGCCAGCTTAAAGTAACAAAGACATTGAGAGACGAGGAGAACCCCGTCTAAAAAGCTGAATATCGACTGCTAAACCAGGGAATTATTTGAAGAGAAGCTTCATTTTTGGAATTATGTGGTTATTTCATCGTATTTTACAGCTGATTTAACAAGGTGGTTGAAAGCTGGGCTCTTGCGAAAGCCAGAACTATCATTGAAGCAAATTTCTCACTGACCAGGCCTCCATAGGCATAATACTATTACTTCTTTGTTCATTGGAAGAAGCATAGGATGATGCTTTTAAGCAGCTTGTCTGTCTATATGGTGCCTTAAGCCTTTTGCCTTCTGGTTGTAGGGATCCAATGGGACTGCGATTGAGCGACAGTGTGAGTGGCTGAGATTTTTTCGCAGACTTTTTTTTTTTTTTTTTGAGACCACTGAATAAGCACACCAGTAACAGTAACTTCTCCATTACTCTCTTACACCAGCTTTTACACCATGCCAAAGAAGCCATTTATCAATCGAAAAGATGCAAAGCATTTCCATGTCGTTCACAGATCTCAAAAGGATCCTCTGATTAACGACGAAGGCGCATCACAAAGAGTGCTTCAGGAGTTTGTTCCTCCCAACATTCTAAAGGTAAGTTGACATGGCATAGACGACAGCACGGGGCGAACCGCCATCCTTATTCGACATTCTTTCCTTAGCACAAAACTCAAGAGCAAATTCAATCCATACACCACCGACCAGAAAAATTGACTCAGGACCAGATTGACGAAAAGGTCGGTCAGGCTGCCCTCTACGGTGTGTACTTTGATGATAGTGAATATGACTATACACAACATTTGCGACCCATCGGTGCCACCGATGCTGTGTTTTTGGAAGCGCCATCGAAAAAGAAGGAAAAGCAACCCGCCACCGGGGGTATCAACTTTGTAGATGAAACCGTCAACGAAGAGCTTCACCGAAAAGACCGCAAAGTTCACCTACCTGAAGGAGTCCTTCCATCCGACATCGAATTGTTTACACCCAAGACGCCTCTCCGAAGTATCGACTTGTTTGACGGTGGCTTGCAGCCCGACATGGACCCTCGACTTCGTGAAATTATGGAAGCTCTTGATGACGAAGCGTATGTGGAAGACAATGTTGAAGACTTTTTCGACAATTTGAACGCTCCTGGAGAGCGATACGAGCCTGATGAATTTGACGATGACGAAGAGTATTACGAAGAAGAATATTACGAAGATGAAGAGTATGATGAAAACGGCGAGCCTGTGACCTATGAGCCCTTGGACGATGAAGCACCTGAAGCTGTGCCTATCCCTTCGACAAATTGGGAAGCCGCTTTCAAACAATTCAAGAAGAACCAACACGCTGGTCTGGGCTCAGACGATGAGGACGACCGACGCTCTGGAGTGACTGGTATGACAAGAGCCACCACTGCTTCACACCGAAATGCCAATCTTACCTTGTTGGATGAGCGATTTGAAAAGATTGAAGAGGAATACGAAGAAGAAGAGTCTGACTTTTACGATTCGGAGGAAGACGATGAGCCAATGGTGGCTAGAGAAGACTTCAACGCTATTCTCGACGACTTCTTGGATAACTACGAGGTGGTTGGCAAGAAGATGGTGCACAGACTGGAAGGTGATACGAGTGAGGCCAAGTTGGATTCAATCCGTAACGCTCTTGGTGCAGCCAAACTCGATAACGTAGAAACCGACAGCCCCATGCCTTCCAGACCGACCCAGAACAACCGAATTGAAGATGTTGACGTTTGGGAACGACCCGTCAAACAGCGAGCTACATGGGATTGCCAGTCTGTCATTAGTACATACTCCAATTTGGAAAACCATCCTAGACTGATCAAGGAAGACAGCTTCCGCAAGCGGATTCAGATTGATCCCAAGACGGGTTTGCCTGTTCTTGTTGAAGCTGGCAAGAAGCAAAAGGCATCCCGTAAATCGAGACTGCGTGAAGAAGTTGAGGAAGAAGAAGAAGAGGAAGCAAGTGGTTCAGAAGACGATGAAGATCGAGGTAAGAATTTGAGGCAAAAAAAAAAAAAAAAAAGGTCGTAGGCAACCAACGTACTCATGTTGTCTTTATAGTCAACTTAGGTGTGGCTAGATCCAAGAGTGAATCAAAGGAGGAAAAGAAGGCACGAAAGGCTGCATTGAAGGAACAAAAGAAGAACCGTCGAACGGAAAAGAAGGCAACCAAGGAAGCGTTCAAGAATGAAGAAGCCAAGCAAATCAACAGTCTGCAAAATCAACGGGTCAATAAGGGCGTTAAACATATTGCCTAGAGTTTAGCTTTTTCCCATCCATAGATTCCCCCATTCACCTCACCTCACTGTAGCATAATAGCACTACGCTGTATTGTATTCATTCCCATTTGTTCTAGTTGTCATCCGATATAAAGTAATGGGGACTCAACCCACCCACACTTACCCAGTGTATGCTGAATGACCGAGTGAGCGACACTGTATATGTCAGCCTTTTCTCTCAAGTGAACAATTAGCAACTCACGCATATTCTGAATATCATGAATGTATTTTTTTGAGCTTTATTGCGTGCTTTTAGGTATTTTTGTGCTTCCTAGTTTTTTTTTTTTGATCCCTCCTCAGCCTAGAGAATTATGTGGTATCATGGCTTAATATAACAAATAACATTTTTTAAAAGTGGTCTATCATGATAGCCTTTTTTCTATCCACAGTTTCTTATAGTGACTATACATGGAACGGGACGTAACGGGAGTGGTGTTAAAGACATGGAAGGTGTTGACCAGGATGCTAGCTGTATCAGTGAGGGAAAGTCACTGGTGGATAGGCTTGGTCAAGACATAGGCATCCTTGTCGTCAATGTTTTTATAGTAGTTGTTGGTGGTGCCAGTGATTTCAAAGCCTTGGTTCTTATAGAAGGACAAGGCTTCCTGGTTGGTGGTCTGGACATGAAGGTACACCTCAGTGATGGTCTGCTCATTGTTGGTTGAAGCATGCTCGAGGATGTGATCCAAGAGCTTACGTCCTGAAGAGAAGGGTCAATACGATAAATCTTGTATGGCAAACATGCTAAAGGTGCTTCAACTTTACCGATTCCCAAGTGTCGGTATGGCTTGAGGACACCCAAAGTCATGATATAAAGCTTGGAGGAGCTTTCGTTGGTATCGATGGGTTCGACTCGGCAGCAGACAGCGCCGACGCAGACGTCGTTGAAATAAGCTATGGGAATTTCAATCACGTCGTTAGACTATGAGTGCTTTTCATACGACATGATCGGGAATGCTTACCAAGTTTGGCAAATTCACCAACCTCCAACACCTCCTTGTAGAACTTGTCGCTATAGTTGACAGGGAACAGAGTGCTGTTAAGAACACGCAATTGGCCAATGTTGTTGGGAGTCAAATCCCCCAAGGAGATGCGCGACGTGGTCACTGTTGGGGCCATGGTGAATGGGGTTTGAATGGAATCAGGAACTTTTTTGTTGTGCAGCCAGCCATGACCGAGGTGGGGGCCACAGCTCTGTGCACGTGACTGTGACTGTGGTGCTGCTCTCACTCACCCACCAAAGAAAAAAAAAAAAAAAAAAAGACAAGCCGTGCTGAAATAAGAATTATTATTTAGTGGCCTTGCAACGGCTGAATGGAATGTTTTTCTATCCAGTGCTTTCAACTGGGCATACTATGAAAGTAAAGCAAAGTTGCTACACTGATTACAATGGAGGGATTTTTTTTATGTTCCTGGGGGGTAGTGTAAAAAAGAAACGGTGAAAAATACAATATTTGGATTTGCACTAGGCCAAGGTGTTATGGACTAACGTCAGCGGCATTGACAGGGGCGTTTGGATTTCTAGGATCGGATGGTGGAGAAGTTGAATCTGGTGGGTTTGGAATATTGGATGGCGGAATGGGACTGCTTGTACGGAGTCCTAAGACGTCTGGCTTGAGGACCAGTCCAACGATCAGCAGGATGACCAAGAGGGTCATAAACACAGTGAAGGCAGCCCTATTTCTCCGTCTCCAAGTAAGGTACGCACGGTTGGATCTGCCTCTTGCTGGATAGGTGCCTCCAATCACCCAGAACAGAGGACATATGAACCCCGCCCAAAAGTACCATTTTCCATATTGCAAGTCGACGTCTGTATGATCATCCAAGCCTTCTTCCAGTAGGGACGGCGGTGATGATTTTGAGCGGGTTGTTTGAGTATAGATGGCTTTCAAATCATTGTCATTGTATGAATCATCGTTTAATCCCTTTTCTTGGCTGATGAGTTTCTCAAATTGTTTCTTGTCGATGGGTTTTTCATTATGGTGTGAGCCTTTTATATTGGTCAGGACATCGTATCGATTCACATCTGGAGAAGTTCGAGGGGGAACAGCGGTTGCATTGCTACCCGTCATGGCCAGCGCTGAGCCCAATTGCGGGTTAGTAGCGGCCGATGCAAACGAATAGACAGAATTGGATTTTTGTAGACCCATGCCTCGTGGATGACGAGGTGGGCGACGATTAAATGACCTATCAGGTTGAAACAAGCTTTCCCAATACATTTTTCCCGGATGCTCTTCATCTGGATGAAAAATGACACTTCCATCAAGTTCAGTCTTGATACTTGTCCCAGTCATGGACGATGCTGAAGATGATAGAAATTGCCTACGATACGAATTGGTATAGGATAATGAGCCATTTCTTGACTCCACCACCTGAGCTGGAGTGGGAGACTGTGGATAGTTCACTTCTGTATCTGGAGGAGCGCTACCCATACGAGTGTGAGACTTTCGCTTCATAAACGGTTGTTCGGTATTTTCAAAGTTGTTGTTGGTTTTGGTGGGTGACTTTGGAGATGATGCCGCTGCTGCGTTTGCCATGACTGAGGCAAGAAGAAAGACGTAAGTTTGGGTGAAAGATAAATACCAATCAATGTATGCAACATCATATAAAAATTTACGAAGTTTGGCGAATTGCAACACACCCATCAACCCGAAACCACCTTTACAGCAAGTGTGTTTACAACAACGAACCTTGGATGAAGACTGGTTTTGCTGATCTTATTCGTTGTCAAGAAAATATAAAATGAGTGTATCCACTTATTGCATAGCAAAGAAGGTTAAGAAACAGAAGAGTAAAGGAAAGTAAGAGAGAAAGATGAAGAATGACTTTTTTGAAATAACAGATGGGCAATTATAGATATTTGTCCGAGCCCAAATAAAAAAGACTAGTTGTCGAACAAAATTGGCCATTGTAGTATTTTGTACTTATCGGCGAAGAGTTTACCGGCGAAACGTACATACAGCTCTATCGCTTTGCTCGTGCTACGGAGATTATTATTACAGAACCCGTAACATTATCACTTTGACGCTTTCTCCACTTGACGTGTTAGAGTTGTTTGTTGACACAAGCAGATTATCACTGACAAAAAAATTCTCCTGCTCTTTAACTGTACTTATGGTCTCTAACGTCCACGACTACATTCACATCCTTTTGGTTTCAACGTGCGGAAAAACCTGGAAAGAAACACAGATCAAGAATGGCTGCAGTGATACCAACATCGTTCACTCATACCGTGAATTTAGGTTTTTTATTTGTTAGGTTCACTTGCCAAGTGGGCGGCTGGGTGGGTGAGGACGATATACCAACTCAATCCTCAGGTGCGGTCAAGGTTGAAACACAAGACAAGAAAAAAAATGTATTTTTATGTTCTATACCTGTTTCTTTACCTTTCAAGAGGTCATGGTGACCCCTATGCACGATGTGCTAAGGATGTCATGCCTTTATTCTTGTATCCTGTTTTTCCGAATTATCTTGCTTTGTTGCAAATTATTTGACCGCTTTAAAAACGCAATGCAATGCGCTGCATCCAGTATTTGTGTGATGAACTGACGGTTTGGCTGTGGTCTGTATACAAGTTTTGTTCGCGCATTTAGTTTTTATCAAACATCTTTAAATTTCTGAGGTAACTCTAGCAAAACTCAAAACAGTAGATTTGTTATCTCCCGTATTTAAAAAATACTATCAGACAAATTTGATGCGTATTATTTGTCAAGGAAAACCCTTTGCACACGCTTATCGATCAAGTCTACCATGGTAAGTGTAGTTGAAGTTGCATACCGTGATGGTCATAGAATATGATGACCTGCTACCAGAAAGCTAAAATGGAAAGTACAACATACTTGTATCTAATAAACAGTGTTTAGTACTTTTCAGGCACGATGATAAGCTCTGACAGTGGTCATCTTGATGCCCGTACATATCACTTCTTGCTGAATGGAAAACCAGCACAAATCTTGTACAATGATTTGTGAGAACCAGTCGTGGCGATATCCTCCAACAAACTATCTCAGTAATGTGTTCACTTGCAAACAGCTGCTGTAGAGCCACAGCATTCAACCCTCTGCCATGTTCTATTTTTAAAGCTGCGAAAGTGAACGTTTCCTCTCCCAGATCACAGTGCCTTTAAAGTAGGCATCCATTGAAATGCTTGTGAGCATATGCAGGGCACGGCATAGTGCAAAAGGTGAAAGAGCAGTCGTTGTAGACAGCGATGGAATAGCACTGATGGTTTACGATGAAGTGGCATAAAGTGCTTAATCCTCTAGCTGCGTATTTTCCTTTCCCTTTAGCTTCAGTATGTACGCTATAGCTGACATCTTCGACTTGAATATCAGCTATCAGAAATTGAATTTAGACAGCCTTGCTGCGGTGGCCAAAGATTCTGCCTCATAAGTCTAAGGCTCCTCTTACCAACATTGCCTTGCAAAGTTGAATCAAATGTCCCCGTTAGTAAATATTACTTACACAAAGCATCGGGCCAATTCAGAAAGACCTCACAACAAGTCTCCGTATAATGCCAACTCTTGCACCTTGCCACACCTACCAGGTGACCTTCTCCTCCAATGTGGTTTTCGTCCGATTCCCCCCGTTTGCAGCTATGTAGACTTGTATGCGTCGTCAATCCCATAGCGGTCGGTGCATGTTTTTGATTCCATCACACAGCTCAAAGTCAACCCGGGTACAGGTTTCTCCATCGGTAGCTACTCCGATGTAGGGATTCTGACCTTTCGACGTAACCTAATTTGCAATCGGTGGGCCAGGTAATTCATACTGCGATACCACGCTCTGCACCACCCAAAAAATGTCTGGTCATCCATCCAATTCCATTGCAAGGCAAACTCTCCATATAGACGGGAACACATGTACATTTATAGTAATGCTGTGGGAGGAATAAAAAAAAAAAAAGAAGGGTAACTGAAAAGTAACAATCAACAGCGTTGGGGTCTAGAAGAGAATAAAGAGAAAAAGACAGAATAAGTCTATTACCTTGTTTGCCAGTATGTATCATTAAGATAATCCCACAAAATGCAAAAAGAAAAACGATAATCTACAAAGAAGAAGCGAGAGCGAAGAAGTACGAGGGGTAGCGCGCAAAACTTGGGAAAAAAAAAGAGGAGGACGGGCGGGGGGTCCTTTCTAATTGTATGTAAGAGTTGAAATGGGTGGGTGGTGATATGGTGTTGTATGTTGGTAGACCTCTTTCTACAACTTCTGCTGCTTCTTGTAATGAACCTCGGAGCAACTACGCAGTCTTTCGGCAGCCTGCTCGGGGGTTAAATCCCTTTGTGGCTCGCCCATCATCTCAAATCTATTTTAGCGGGGAAATATTGAAGGTCAGTTCATCGTCAGCCCGGTGTATGAAAAAAAATAATGCCCGAATGACTTACCCAACCAAAAACTTCTTGACAGTTGCACTACGAAGAAGAGGGGGATAGAAGTGAATATGAAGATGCGTATCTCCATTATGATCCTGACCATCCACAGGCGCTTGATGAATACCCATGGAATAGGGGAACGAGCACTGGAACAAGTTGTCGTAGCGGCAGGCGATTCTTCTCAAGATGTTGGCCAGGTCCTTTTGCTGAACATCATCTAACTTGGACACACTGGTGACATGGCGTTTGGACACCACCATGGTTTCGAAGGGCCATACAGCCCAGAATGGCACGACACAGGCGAACGAATCATTTTCGCACACAACACGGGGTTTTCCCTGAGTGGTGGTTTCCAATTTAGCATAGTCACAGAGTAAGCAAGCGTTGTTCTGTTGGCGGTATTCAGCCATGGCCTTGATTTCCTTCGCGGGCTCCTCTGGCACGTCTTCGGTGCACCACATTTGACCGTGAGGGTGAGGGTTGGAGCATCCCATAGCTGATCCCTTATTCTCAAAGATTTGAACGTGGTTGATATAATCGACCTTGGCCATATCTTCATAGCACTTTATCCACTGTTTGACAACAGGAAGAATATCTTGTTCAGACATCTCTGCAATCGTGAGGTTGTGTGCTGGTGAGAAGCATATGACATGGCACTGTCCACGCACACCGGTTACACGCAGTAAGCCTAAGAAAGCAGCCAGTCAGTTAGACTTAGTGACACACCTATCAAACAAAAAAACCCCATCACACCTACCCTTGGCACTCTCTTCATCCTCCTTAAACTCTGGTTGGTCGGCCTTGACGGCAGGGAAATCATTGGGGAAAGCATAGGTGGTCTTGTAGGCAGGATTTGTTTCACCGTTGGCTCTCGTATTGCCTGGGCATAAATAGCACTTTGGATCGTATTCTGGCAAGGCAGGCGCATTAGCGGACTCTTGGGCTCCTTGCCACGGTCTCTGAGTACGGTGAGGAGAGCATAAGACCCAAGATTTTGTCAACGGGTTATAGCGCCTGTGTGAGTGTTGTGTGAACTGGAACTCGTCAGACATGTCTTCAGGTTTAGAAATGTTCGGTTCGGTCGATGGAGACAAAAGGAAAAAAGTGAAATAAGCCAGTGTGGTACGGGAAACGAGAAGTATAAAAAAAAAGAAAAAACTAAAACGTGACGTGAGATATTACCTAACCAGGCCGCGGACCATTAGGTAATGCATCACCGATCACGTGCAATTGAGCAAGGGCGAGGGTAAAAGGATTTGCCCTACCAAAATAGGGTAGCGGCCAATATCAAGGGCCTTTAAAGCTTGAACGCATGGAGCGCACATCATCCACCACTGATGACAATGAAAGCACCGTTCATTCCACCGTTTCATCCGCACCCACCACCCCATCCACATCAGTAGGTGTACTGGACTTTAATCAGTACGCTGCGGAGTCCCCTAAGCTTTCGCCCGCCACCACAGCGAGATTACCCATCTTCCATTTCCATAGCTATGGCACCAGCGGCGATCTTGGAGCCCAACCTTCCCCTCCACCTACTCCAGTGCAAAAAGGAGAGTTCCCAGAAGGCATATTCTACATCAAAAGTGCATTGAATGGTAAGGTGCTGGATGTCCGAGGCGGGTCAAGAAAGGTATAGTAGAATGGATGTCTGTCACACATCATCGGCCCCCCGCACACATATATTGAAAACTACCGTTTTAGCCTGATACTCGTATCATCTTGTGGCCGCAAAAATTTGGGAACGATCGTGACAATCAATTGTGGTTTGCCGTGGATAGCTTCATCGTGAACGTTGGGTCCCGCCTTTGTCTGGACATTCGTGGTTGTAAGTGGAATACAAATGTTGGCCCGCGCTTTCCAGGGGGCTTACCAAATCCTTTTTTTTTTTGGGTCGCTCCGTCCTTTTCACCGCTGTAGCTCTTGTGCCAGATGACTTGCGACAACTCGCGGAAACCCGCATTATCCAATATACTCGTAAATCTCGAGTCGAAGCTCATAACCAGCGCTTTGGCCTCTCCCCTGATGGTTACATCTATTGCTTAGCTCATCCAAATCTCGTGTTCGATGTGCGGGGCGAAAGCGACCGTGACGGTGCCACCCTGATTATTTATCCGCGGAAGCACTCTGATAATGGCGGGGCAGTTAAACACCAGCGCTGGTTATGTGAACCAGTCAGCTCGTCTCCACCACAACACGCCCCTGTACGCCAACCCACCAACAGCCTGCGAAGGGCATTGACAGGGTCGTCTTTGAAAGATTTGTTGTCTTGAAAAAGTCATAAAAAGAAAAATATAATGTGGATGGGAATGGGGAGGAAGCTACTTCTAGAGCGAATGAATGAAAAAAATATATGTATAAAAAAATGAGGTTACTGGCATTTACTAAATTAAACCGTCATTTCCCAGCTATGCTTTGCTTAGCTGAGCGAGCGGGCTGGTAAGCTGAGTACAACGGCATTTGGTTTATATAATGGATTCGTTGGTTCCGGTGATAATTCCTCCTTCTACCAAAAAGTTGCCCCATTCTGTAATGAAGCCCACCCCACTGTTCAGTCCATGTGTTCACTTTAAGCAAAAGTCATCAAATCAAAATTTACCTTGCCAGTCGTACCCACTAGGAGCTCCCCAGAACGGGATGTTGCTGGATTTTGGTGGTTGTTTGGCTTCCGTTTCAGGCTGCATTTTATCGTAAGAGATAGGCGGTGCATCTGATAAACTGGCCACAAACTGCTCAATTGGCCAGTTGGCAAACAAGGTTTCCTCTAATTAAAGGAAACAAGATGAGTAAGGAAAAATGCCACGCATACATGTAACATGGTGGCGACTGTACTTGCCTACGCTCATTTGGGGGGTCTGCGGCTGTTCAGGAACAACCGGTGGCCGTTCTTCAGATACCGACACCTTTTTGGTCTCTTCAGGTTCCTTCTTGCCATGGATCTTATCGATAGAATCTTGCAATTTGCCAATCAAGCTCATAATCGGAGGCTATAAATTTGTGCATGAGGAAATTGAACAACGAAAAGAGTATTACAGTGGAGGGGTACATACAGCGTCAGGCCACCGAGAGCATACGCTGGCAAAGATCTTTTGCGATGTGGTGAGGTATTTACGAGCATCTGCTGATATTTTGGGGGTTGTTTTGGCAGCGTTATAAAGGTGAATGAAGGCCGCTTGCATAACTGTCAAGGCTGAATCAAACATGATAAAAGAATCGGGCAATAAGCAAAAGTGCGCATCGTGAAGTCAACTTAAATGATCAGTGCTTACCAGCTGTATGTCCAAAATGCATCAAGTCGTCAATGCGAACCACCCGAGCGACATCCACAATGGATTTAGCAGCTTCGGTGCATCGTCTTGCCGCTTCATTGTCATGTTCGTTTTGTCCACTGACAATGAAAGGTCGATTCAGCAAAATCACAACAGCAAAATAGTAAAGCATAAACGGGCCTGAAGTTCATGGTTTGGGTGTTAGTAATGTGTTTGGAAGCAGTGGACATCGCGCCCAATCAGCGTTGCTTTGGTTTACCTTTTTCCGCGTATGCCTTATCAGGTCGTAACTGAGAGCTGAATTGCGCTCGAAGGGACGATACCTCACTGTCGGTTATATTCAACCGCTCTGGAAGACATTTTCGCCAGTCAAGGAGCATCCCTCGCAAGAGTTCAGTGACATTTTCCACCTCTTTTCTGCCATATCCCATGGCTTTGGCCTTGGCAGAGTACAGGCGACGCAATACCTCACCAACAATTTCTGACAATTTGATGAAATGGAGGAAGGTCTCGTCTTTCTCATTGTTAGCCTCTGGCTTTTCAGTATCGACATCTGCATCTGAGATACCAAGGGGTCTAAAAGCGCATAGTGAGATACAATGTAGAAAAGTGGTCAGACATTTTTCAAACATACCTTCCAAGCATAGCACAGGTCCATCGGTCGGTAATGTATGTGCTCCACCATAGTCTCCTTGCAAATTCCTCTTGTGCAGGCGATACTCTAAATGTTCCATTACATCGATGAAATCCAATGTCTTGTGCCTAAAATCATCAACGTCAAATTAAAAAACCTTTTTTTAAAAAAATCAAACGTTGTGTAAAAACACTGTGGTTAAACTTTACCATTCGAATCACCATACCACACCATATCCAGTTGGGATTACCGTGTGCTGTGAAATTGGGGTTACTGATGACCAACAGCAACGATTGGATAGTAGATACATTAGGGCTGAAGTATTGGCGGGTGAATGCTATAGCAGCTCTATCGGTGAAAAGCTTGTAAAGGCGTTTTGAGTCAAGCTTATGACGGACGAGGACTGGGTGGTCCGATTGGAGATGTCGGCAGGCGACGCAAAACATGGCATTCATTAACATTCTGGAAGGCAGTGGAGTGGTTCTACCCTCAAAGGCATCCATGAATTCCTTTTGATCGATAATCGGACAATTGACCATAGATTCCTCAAAGAAGCTAGTGAAGAAAAAAAAAATTGTGGGTGAATAGGTTGGGTCAATACGCATCATAATCAAGTAGACAGCATACGTTTTGATCAACAAATCCACGAGGTCTTTGGGAGGCATGGCGCCTTTCATATCCAACTGAGCATTTTCCAAATCTCTTGCATGTTCATGGTCATATTGTTCCCTAACCACAAAAACACCTCCATCTTTAATTTCACCTGATTCTTCCTTGTTCTCGGGCTGGTCTGGAAAAAAGATTTTCTTGGTGCCAAATGTTGTCGCATCGTAGACTTTATTGGCAAACAAGTGGATGCCAGCTGAACCTCCAATATACTTGCATACTTTTTGAGAGTCCGGAACAGTCAAAGTGCGCATACTACCATCCACCATTTCGCTTTGCTTTGGAATTTCTGGAGCTATAACCATTTGATCGCTCTTTACCGGTGGAGAAACGTTTGTCTGAGGCTGAACTTCACTGCTAGCCGAGCGGGTCGACGTTCGCAGTGTTGGGGATACTTCCTCATCCATGCTTGCTTCATTGACTTCCGAATCGTCTGGTCCAAATCCATTTCGGAGGGCTGCAGTAGCGGCAGGATTGCCTGACTGAGCTATATTCTCAAGCAGCCGTTCCATCTTCTTCAGTCGATCTTCCAAGCTATCGATGTATCTAAATTATAGAAAAAGATAAACGCACTTAGTATTTGACAATGACTTTCGTGTTCTACTCTATTTGCTATACCTACCCTTTTGGAGGACCTCTCTTTTTTGCAACCTAAACATATGAAAAAAATAATATAGAAAACGATTAGAGTGGGAAAATTATAAAAAACGCTTTGACTAGGAGTCGTTGTCAGTACCTCGTTGAATGTGCACTCCCAACCTGCATTGACACACGTTGTGCAGGCATGGGCACCTGCCAAATTGTCAAAATCGCATCTAGTGAGAGTACCGAGAATTAGATGGTGTAGGCTAAACAATATTCAATATCAGCTTTGTTTCCCAACTTACCGAATCTTTTTACGTCGGCAAGTATCGCCTATGATAGAGTATTAGTGTAACCTATAAGACAAGGTTTCCATGAAAATAACCCACTTACATGCTCTACTGACTCGTACCCGTTTACTGCCTCTCGCATCGTCGGGTGAACCAGGTTGAGGTTGGGGTAATGTGGACTGATATGGACGAACATTTTGTGGTGGTGAGGATTGTTCGAATGGTGGTTGCTGGTTATAAGTCATGGGTCGAAGTTGATTCATCCCAGAAGGATTGTATGGATTGTTCACTAGGTTAGCAATGTGAGGTGCTTGAGTTGGTGGTGGCATTGCATTGGATTTCCTAAGGAGTTGACGGCACAGAGGTAGGCAAAAACGCTTTTCGGGCTTTTGTGGGCCCGCGAGAAATTCAGTCACAAAGCGGAGATTTGTCTGCTCCATGTCTGTGCCAAACGGGCCGGTAAGCAAGCTGCCAAAGTGGCACCACGGCTGGAGAATCAGACACTAATACATACGCTAAAATCAACACTATAGAGGATTCAGGTTATAGAAGGCCGTCGATCAACGCTTCACCATACCCGCTACTTTCATCCTATTCGCTTGTTTCTCCACTGTGGTAATCTCAAGGCAGCCCAACTATCCTGACCAAGGCTGTTCCACTCCCCAGTCAGCCCCAGTAGATCTTACCGCTTGTTTCAGCAGTGTGCCACCTCCCTTCCCCGCTTCTTTTCCAGTCAACCTGTTGCCAGTGTCATTTCTCAACCTAGTCTGCACGGCTTGGAATAACATATCATAGGTTGAAAAGAGCTTGAGGATGGGCCAAGAAGCATGTGCTGTTATGATAGACTGATTGGTGAGCTAATTCTACCGTTTTTGTGTAGGGTTGTGATCCAATGACTCGTTTTGGACAACGGCGCTGAGGGATTCTAAAAAAACAATAACAACCAACTCGAGCAACATCCCTTGGATCTTCTCCTCATGGATCGAATGACCAATCACGAGTATGATCAACAGTATCGCCAGCATATGGACAAAGTCCAGCGCCAAGCCCAGTATATCAACGACTTATTACGTTACTCGTCCCTTCAGGACCAAACTCGTTCTTCCCAACACCGACAACAACAGTATCACCGTGGCCACGTTAACGTACCTCTAACAAGACACGCTACATACCAAGATCAAGAAGACGACGATATATCAGAAATTATTGTTCCAGTCAAACCTAAGCCTAAACCTCTTAAACCCATACTGCGACGTACTGTATCATCCACAGTTGCCACAACTCAGCCGCAGCCGACCTCGGCTCGTCGTCGGCCGATCTCCGCCAACCAGACACGACAACAACCCCACTATAAAGAAAGAATACCGACAAATGATTTTCGAAAAGTTCGAATACAGGAAACGCATGATGTTGCGTATTATCCATATAACCATGCGAGCGAGGAAGAGGACGAAGAAGAAGAGGAAGAAGAAGAGGAGGAACTCTGGTATGACGAAAGGCAGACGTATCGCCAACCCAGCAGTCATCATCATCATACCCAACCCTATCAAAGCGAGAGCGAAGAAGATGAAACCGATTCGTACTCATCCAATGAACCACACGTACAACCTAGTCCAACATGGGGTAGAGCTTCCCCACCGCCTCGACGAGCGAGCCAAGTCAGCAACAACGATACTGCTAACCGTCGGTATCCAACTCAGAGGTTAGAGAATTACCTGAATGCATCGGCTGTCAGCCCACCTTCACATCACAGGCAGCCACCTCAAGATTATACGGAATCAGGGCAAAGCACGCCTACAGCCAATAACGCAGTAACATCTATGTTAGAACAATTTTTTATAAAAACGCCAAGCGGTCCTGTGCTTAGCAGTACGGTATCATCGCCAATAAGCTCACAAGGGGATGCGACGAGTTTCCAGTCATCGCCACGAACACCTTCTTATTCTTCATCGACGACAGCGAGCAACTCATCTACCAACAAAAGCTTTTTTTCTTCCATATTCCGCAAAGGCCCAACCTCCCCTGGTGCACCGAATATTATTGCCGCACGACCGCCACAGCGTCTTAACGCCAAGCGCAGCGAACTTTTGAGCCCACAGGATATGGCGGAAATCCGAGATTCCACCCGATACGACGCAGGCGAGGTACGGTCTGGGACACCGGCCAAGGATCGAAAGGCCATGAAAGTGGCGTCGTTGCCCCATGTGTGGTGTTTTCGTATCTGGTCGCAGCAGCAACCCCATCACGAACAGGAAACGCCGGTATGGACGGCGTTTGATTACAGCAATCAGAAAAAGCTCTCAAAGGCGTTCAGTGGGGGCAAAGAATGCCATTTCCGAGATAGCCATTTGCAAGGGGACGTCCTGGTGCTGCCCTCTCACAATACTGGCCAGGTGTTTGAAGGAAGCAACTCAGTCATGCTCGAAGTACGGCAAATAAGCGTTCAGCAAGACACCACCTTCGTATATCGTGAAGGGGTGAGAGCATGAACCGCACAGGAAAACAGGTTCTCAAGCAGACATTTAGAAAGCCGTCTGCTTGAAGCAAGTGTATGCAGTATTATAATCTCTACTATTGTACAATGTAAATTTTGACCTTTAAAAACAATATATATATAAATCTTTTTGCAAGAAGCATGCAAAGCAAACACCTATGTATACGTTGTACATGCAGAATGGCAATCTCTATAGTAATATTCTCTTCCATTGTACAGTAGTATATCTGTAACAAAGAGATCGTATGATGATTTTTAATTTTGCAAAGAAAAAGAACTTTTCCATGTTCGCATCCACTCATTTGATTCAAAAGTGTTTATTTTTTATTTTTTTTTGGGTAAAAAAGTGTTGGGATTAATATTCGGCTTTATACAAGGGTGGATAAGCAGGAGGGACGGTTGCTTGTAGGCATGAACGCGGTACCCAGTACCGACAACGAGATGCAAAGAGGGTCAAACGAATAGGTAGCTATAGCTAACTAGTGAAAATGCAGGTGATATGAAGTTTTGGGAAGGGGAATGTTGGATATCAAGAAAGAAAATTTCCTTTGCGAAATTCAAGCGGTTTATGAGCGCTGGCCAAGGATAGAACCCATGACACGTTGGTTAGGACTTGGGCTGATACTCATGGCCATCATGCCAGCCGAGACGTCGTCATCATCGTCTTCGTCATCATCGTCGTCGTCAGAAGAGTCCTCATCATCATCGTCGGCAATCCACTCTCGATAGATATTATCGATGAAATGCTTGCTAGATTTTAATTGGTAGGGATCGAAAGGAAAGAACGACTCAATTCGGACTTGGGTATTGGGGTCATTGCTTGAGCAGAACACGGACTTGTTGCGTTCCAAGATCGGGTAGACATACAAGAAGTTGGCTTGATTGGCAACCTTGGCAAACTGGCGTACCACAGCAGGCGAACACACTTTAAGAGGATTTAAAGTGCTGTTGATGATACGTTGCATGGGGTGTAATCCTACACACCATTTCTGACCGGCAATCTTAGAGCCAAAGGACCCGCCAATACCTCCTGTGAGGATGTCGGCATCCATTCCACTCATGCGGCGGGAGGGGTCAGTGCCGTCCATGCCAAGGTCGTCATTGAGCATATCGTCGAATCCATCGTCCACAAGCTCTCTCCATCGGAAGCAGAAGACGTACATGATGGCTTGGACTACAGCATAGAACACAGGATGTCGGTTAGCATCAGGTCCAGTGGCCAAAATCTCGTTGCCATCCATGTAGTGTTCACACCATGAGCTCAAAATGTAAACGGCGTTGCGCAAGCTGGTGCGTCCAATGTATTTTGCACGGGCAAGGTAGGAAGAAACATAGGCGGCTGCGGCGACACGAGTGACAGTGGGTTTGGCAGTTTGGAAAGTGTGTTCAAAGAGATGACCCAAGAAAGCGTCAGGGAAGGTAAGAGCGTCGGTTGAGCAATAAAAGAAGATCAAGAATTGAGTGTATCGCGACTTGAAGGTTCGAAGGATGGTGCGGTCAAAAAGGTCCAACAAGAAAAAGAACAACTGTTGTCGTTCCTCAGAACTGACATTAGGATTTGTGCTAAGTTCCTTGAGATACCGGAAAACAATATGAAGCATGGCATCCAACTTCTTTACAAGTAGCTTGATGTGGGTAGCTGTTCGAGTTTCCTCCTCGAGGTCGTCTTCAGCTTCGGAGTCACTGTCTTCAGCAACGACGCCATCTTCGTCATCAGAATCGGCTTCTTCATCACTTTCGTCGTCGTCTTCGTAATCAGCATTCAAATTCATGTCAAACGCATCTATTTCGACTTCATCTTCTAAATCTTCAAGCTCGATTTGAATTTCGACCTAATAGCAACGATTTTAAGGTTACTTGACGTTGTCCATGCGTCCTTTTTTACATCTGATCGTCATACACTTACGTCAATCAGAATGATTCTCTCGATAGCCAAGCCAAGCACTTGCTTACGGAGAATGGGAGAGTAGTCGAGGATTTCTAAAAGGTTGTTCACATAGGTAGCTTGTTCGGCGACATTGAATCGCTTGTGTGGGAACGTTTCTGCCAGAACAGTAACCAGTTCGGTGGCAGAGGTAGGGATGAGGGACAGTACGTATCGAATAGCGTTGTGGGCTCGTTGATATGTGATGGAGCGGGTGACCATCACATTTTCAGGCATTCTGGAACGATACGTCAACCGTCGAACAAGATTGAAGAGTACGGGTCGAACGTAGTAGGTATGAGCTGACACAAGGTTGCCGATGAAGCCAATATATTGGTCCACAAAGGCTCCTTCCCGTACAGTCCAATCGACAGACAGTACTGCTTGAACGAGATCGTTGCAGGATCTATCCAGTTGCGTGACGATTTGCGAAAGGAGTTTTATCCACATGAGCAACTTGGATGGAGATGGAGCCCCAGGGAGATTAGGCTTCATAGTGAGCTGGGAGATCAGGTCATTGTATCGTTCTTCGTTACCCTATCGAATAAAAAACCGCTGTTAGTACAGTGCGCTGGAAAAGAGCAAGTCATTGCACGGGGGAGGAGCGAGATATAACATAAAAGGTATTAAAAAAAAATAGAAAAAGGTGCGGGGAAGGAAATTGAAAGAAGAAGGATTAGACCCAAAGGCCAAACTTCAGCTTTGCAACGAGTCGCCTAGACTCGTTTTCCGTCAATTCCAAGTTTCAAACTTGAGCTTGAAGAGGTTCATAATTGGAATTCAATGATGACCATCTAGCAAGACTCAACCCACCGTCTTTTCTTTTATCTTTCTCTCTCTCTTTGCCAATGAATGATGTAGACAGCAGGGAGGCCAAGAAGCCTGCTCCTCCGTTTTGTCTTGCAAAACAGTATGCTTGGAATAGAATATATACTTTTTCTCTTAATATGCGCGGATTTTGGTTGTGCGGGGACCCTTCATAGACAAAAAGGGGGTTGGCTTTCGAACTGCGGCAGCTAAAAAATTTTCTTCCATTCCCAAGTGAAGAAATTGTATCATTGCTTGCCCAAACAGTCTGCCAAAGCGTTCAAATGGGTAGCGAAGGTCTGTAAAAGATTCGCCAGTGAGGGCATCAAACAAGTTTCGGGAAGATTCCCTTTTGCATACTTTTATGCCTTGCCTCTAGCCAGAAACAGAGGAAGGATTCAGATAGAAATACCGCGAATCATTACAATGAGGAGGGTATATTGGGACGTCCATATGAAGGTATGTGTGTATAAACTCATTGCTATCGCTGCTATGTCTTTCGATCTTTTCCACTAGCAATAAGATTGCGCTCTATGAGGCAACGACGAGGTACCAAGGGGGGGGGAGATGGGAAAGGGAAGGCGTATGTCTACAAAGCATGATAAGAACTTACCTCACGCTTATCTTGAAGAGCTCCTTGTAAGAATGACGCCATCATCTTTTGCATGCTCATGAGCTTTTCTCTCTCGATCTTGTTTTCATTTTTTATCTTGGTTGCCACCGTAACGGCGGCCGACTCGAGGTTGTAGCTGGCGGTCATGGGGTTGGAAGGTGATTCGATGACGGGAGTTGAAGGATCGCCTCTGATGAAGGTGAAAGGTTGTGAACCCTCTATCTCTATGGACTCAATGTGGATTTCGTTTGTTCCAGAAGACACCGGCATGGTAGTTGGTATAATGGGCAGTCGAGAAAGCGAAACGAATAAAATAAAAATATGGCTAAAAGCAGGAAAAAAAAAAAAGAAAAAAAAAAAGAGCAGTCATGGTTCCAGCACAGCTTCAGTCAGCATCCTTTCGCACCCAAAATTTTGTCATGGAAAAGCGGTTGGTTTGACAGTTTGTAAAAATGCAGGGCTCGACTCCAAAATGGATCCCCAAGTATTACTATTTATTAATGTCAACTATACAATAAACTTAGTGTCAAGACCGGTGGAGAAATCCATACACAGAATTTTACTATCCTGGCTCGTACTAATGATACGCGTTGCACTGAACGCAGTGGAGAAGACCCATCCCGGATGACCCGTTTGAAAGCTGAGCATGCAATGTCCAGTATGCATATCCCATACTCTGATGGTCTGATCGTAACTGCCACTGACAATCAAATCCTAATGTGGGGTTTTAGTATGAAACGGAATTTCAAAAAAAAGAGAACTAATTACGTGAACGCTTACCTCATTAAAACTTAATGTTCTAACAAGATCTTCATGACCTTCCAAAGTCATCGTGCATTCGCCAGTTTTAGCGTTCCAAACTTTGATCTTCTTATCGTTGGATCCAGAGAGTATCCTCTTGCCGTCGAATTGAACGCAGGCCAAACCTCGAGTGTGACCGACAAACTCTCTCTTGAGTTCCAACTTCTTCAAATCCCACAATTTAACCAGGCCATCACCTGCTGCCGATACAAGTTGATCTCCATGAACTTGAACAGAGTTGACCGGCCCGCGGTGTCCATTCAGCGTGACTACAGGGTCACCTGTGAAGCGATCCCATACTCGAATAGTGGTATCTTTAGAGCAACTGATGATGTATTCGTCATTAAAGCACACATCTAGCACACCGCCAGTGTGGCCATTCAGTTGCATGGAGAGGTCCATGGTGTCCAAGTTCCAGACTCGAACAGAAGTGTCGGATGATCCAGACACCAACATATTTCCATGGTAACGGAGACACAGTACGCTGGCTGTATGGCCTTGAAGCGTATGCATACACTGATGCGTACGACTGTTCCAGATTTTAATCTTTTTATCTCGGCTTCCGCTGATAATTTTTTCGTTGTCAAACTGTAAGCAATAAACACTGTCCTCGTGACCCTCAAGATAGCGAGTTTCGACTTGTCCTTTTCGCCAGCGTTGCTTCAAATCAATTCGTCGTCGATATAAGTCGACATAGTCGATGTAGTCATGTTTAGGTGATGGAATATCCCATGCTGGCTGTTGCGAGACAAGACTATGCCAGACTTGGTTTTGCATTGCCAAATTATGCCATGACTTGGAGACAACGGTAGCCGCTAAGATGCTTTGTAGATCACAGTATTGAAAAATGAGCGTAGCCACTTCTGTAGGCATACTCGTAATGATATCTGTAGGATAACCAAATCAAATTTGTTCAGTTCTAGTAAAGAAGATAAGGTGGACATTCTCTCAAACCATACCGAAACGTGAGCGAGGTGTGCTCTGTGCATGACCAGACTCAAAGCCTTCATCATCTCGACGTATCGCTTTATCCGAGGAACGACGAATCAGTGTCAAAGACAACTTGCGTTTTGAGCCTTGTTTGATGGAGTTGTTAAACAGAGAAAAGGAGGAGCGGCGGACTGTAGGTGCCTCAACCAAGCGAGCGGTGCCAGTGCCATCCCCATTGTTTTTTATTCGGATACGAGTAGGTAGTAAGGTCGTGGCTGGTTCACATCGAGCGTCGTTCTTTTTGAAGGCTGCCCATAAAGCCGAAGGGTGTTGGTAAATGACCATGAGGAATGGAGGAGGAAAGGTCAGGAGAGAGAAAATGGAGGGTCGTTGCCAAACTTTGTTCTCGGAGGCGGAACCAAAAAACGTTCCCCGCGAACATAATTTTTTTCAGCGCCGATTTCTCCTTTAGGCAGTAAAGGTGGCAATGGGGTACTCCGTTTCAAAATCATATTACTTTTTATTAACAAATTACACCTCACACTAAACCAATCGCTTTGAAGCATGAATGGAGGTTTTCACTAGCCACTGACCGAGCCTTATCAGCGCCATCATTCAATACCTGTTGAACATACCCAGCATCCAGTCGACGCATTTCAGCTTGTATAGGCTTAAGTGCTTCTACAATCACTTCCGTGACCCTGTCTTTAAGTTCCTTGTTGCTTTGCACAGATTTGAAATCCTCCACAACTTGTTCTATTGTCCGGCCTTCCAGCTCAGCTTGAATACTCAACAAATTGGCCACCCCAGGTCTATTAACGGGGTCAAACGTGATACCTCGGATGCCATCGGTCTGTGCCCTGGCTATCTTGCTTTGTACTTCATCCGGACTATCAGTCAAATTGATACGAGATTGGTCGGATGGATCGGATTTGGACATTTTAGATCCCGGCTGACGTAAAGACATGATTCGTTTCGTCGCTGGAGCTGCAATGGATGTATTTAGTATTTATTTTTTTTCTTATATAATCCACGACCTTGTTTTCCCAGCCCAAATTTTTTTTAGCGTACTTACGAACAATAGCTTCAGGTAATGGGAAAAGTCTAGTTTTAAATGTCTTGTTAAATAATGTTGCTACATCACGAGTCAGCTCAAGGTGCTGAAGCTGGTCTTCACCAACAGGTACATGGGTAGCTCTAAAAATATTCAGAAGACAGTGGCGTTAATGGCTTATATTTTCAATAAACGCTGTTTGTTATCTTCACATACTTGTACAGTAAGATATCAGCAGCTTGGAGAACTGGATAATCCAATAATCCCATTTTCAATCCGGTGGTAAGGGTCTCATCCGAGAGGGATTGTGAGTGTGTAGAAGAGGTGTTGGTTCCTAGTTTGGACTGTCAAACGGGAAACCAGCCAATGAGAGAGGAAGATAAAGCATAATATCACAAAATTGAGGAAACATAAAAAAAAATAGTCAGTGCCTGTCTTTTTCATCACAAGTATTAAGGAGCGCGACGCCGCCATAAGCTTTTCATTGTTATTTTTTTTTACCTTCCATTGAGTCATGCGACTGAGCCAGCCTACAGGGGTAATGCAATTGAATATCCATTGTAACTCGGCGTGTTCCTTGACTTTACTTTGCTCGAATAAAACACTTCGCTTAGGGTCGATACCACAGGCTAACAGTGACTTGGCCATATCAATTTTGGCCTGTCGAAGTGTTGCTGGGTTTTGGGGCATCGTAATAGCGTGTAAGTCGACAATACTGTAGTATATAGTGGCGTCTGTGGATTTCTGAAGTTGCACCCAGTTGTACAATGCGCCAAGGTAATTACCCAAATGAGGTGTGCCTGTTGGCTGAATGCCGGAAAAGATCACCTTGGACGCTGCATTTTTCAACATGGCGACAGCTTAATGTGACAAAGCTTTTGTTGATACTAAGTAACGAGCTGGCAAACGGCGGGCGGGGTGTGTAGTCTTGTAAAAAATAAAAAAAATTTATTGGATTGCAAAGATTTCAGTGGGTAAAAAAAATATATGTATTATATACAGGTTTGGTTGGTAAGGGTCAGCATCTTGATTGCAAGCATCCATTTAAAGCCGTAGAACGTAGCTAATGCCATAATGGTCTGAGACGATAGGGTCAATAAAAACTAAACATGGGCTGATTTGTATGAGATTGATATTGCACTCACCTGATACTTGAGTGTAGCCTTTTTCTTCGTCTTCATCGTTGTCAAGGTGAGTATCTGCCACCATGAATTTTTCAACGCGCACGCCTTCGATATTCATATTGGACTGTCGTGGACTCCATAGCACATGATCAATACTCTGCACGGCCATGAGTTCGTCAGCGTCAGTGAGGACGGTTTCGGCCGGTACAACCATACCATACTCATCGACTTTGACATCTCCAAACGTGACTGGATGAAATCCATAGCTTTCGTAAACAGCGTCCTTCAGATCGATCTTCCAACTGTCCTCATATTCAACCTTGCCGTTGATTTTCTTCCCTTCACCAGACAGGACTGCTTTCATAAATTCGTATTCTTCGGAACTTTCTTCGCTTGGTTCGGTAGGTGAGGATTTCTCTTTGTGGACAGCTGCATCCACATTCAAGTCGCCATTCAGGACCACAGCCGAACCATCCTTTCCTGACGTCTCAGCTATTAATGAATGTAGCCAGGAAAATTGATTCATGCGCGTCCTCACATCGTCGTCCCATAGGCTGGTGATTTGTTGGTATGAAGCCTGAGCGTGTGTTGTGTACAAATGTACCAAGCTATTTGGCTTGCACTCTATTTGAGCATAGATGGCTCCTTTCCGCGCCATCCTAAGTACGTGGGAGTAAAAAAATGTGTAAGTGAGAGGTATATATTTTCAAAATTGAAAAGAAAATATGTGCGTGTGGGGCCATCACAACCATTGATTGACTGGTAGCTATTTGCATTTAAAAAGAGTATTCAACAGAGAGAACAACTCACCAGTCACTATGACGACCCCGTGGATATTCTATCAATCGAGAGTCTTTGATAGGAAATCGGGAGAGTACCAAAAGACCGCCATCCACTGCAATCTGCCATGGGTACTTTCGGCCGGATTCCACATGGTGATTGTAACCCATTTCACGGGCAGCTCGAATAAGGTGGTCTTTGCGGCGACTACCGAACCCAAAGCTTTCTTGAAAGCTAACGACATCATAGTTGGGAAGAACATGCCGTATAATAAAGTCCGTTCGATCGTCCTTGTAGTCGCTCCAATTGTTCTTTACACCTGGAGGTCTCATAAATATGTTGAGGGTCAAAAATTTGGCTGTGTCATTTGCGATCTTATCAGGGACGGAGGGAGAGGGTAACGATGCAGGTGAAAAGAATATGGAACAAAAAAGTAAAAATGAAAAGATAGTAATACATAGAACGCACAATCCAACAATGGGATATCGCCATCGAGCAATGCGAGGGTGCAATTCAAGCTGAGGTATCCGGAATCGGGAAGAAATCGACCGTTCATCTGCACGGTCATCTGATAACGTTGGAAGGGCTATAGAAGATTGTGTGAAGCGTGTGGGTATCCGTCTAAAGAAGTTGAGAAGACGGCCACTCCAAGTGGTAGCTGGCGGATAGAGCTCATAGGCTGGTGGAGCGGACAACGTGCTAATTATACTTTCATGCGATTGGGAGCGACGAATTAATGGTGTCTCTGGGGTATTTTCAGTCTCCCGCTCATAAAGCTGTTGTTCTTCGTCGTCCTCTGGAAGCTGAATGTCACTCATTAGGACTAAAAGACAGTTGAAAGAAAGAAAGAAAAAGCTGAGGCCAAGCGTTTAATTTCCAGATTAGGCTGAGAGTTCGCAGTCAGACTTGAAAGCAGACGATGATGACGTTGTTGTCGGAAATCACGGGTTAGCATACCAGTAGCCAAAGAAAAATTACCACTGAAGTACTTTCACTGAACGATAGTAAAGCATGTTTCTATGTTAATATGCAATTCGAGAGAGTTTTTGGTTGTAAAATCATTGTAAAAACTATCGCTCCGGCTTGCGATGCTTCATACGTTGGTTGCTCTGCGCTGCCCCGTTTTGGTTGAAAGTCAAAGTCCAGCAAGTACTGACAACTGCAGGTATCTACCATCGTTTCTGGTCACCTACTTCCTTTTATTGAAAACTCTACAGGCAGTAGCATAGGCAGTAGCATAGACGACAGTATAGACAATAGCAATAGGCCATAACATAGGCAATAATGACCACAGCCTGATCACACACCTTATCTCCGGTGGAATTGCTTAACACCGTCGCTCACAACTCTCGCTAACACAAACGTAACACCCAAGTGTTAAATCCCATTTGCTGCGCGCTTAATAATGAAACACCGACTAACAAAATGTCCTGTATAAATTCAAACCTTGCTCCCTTTATTTACAAACCAACAACCCTATTGTTGATTCAAGCTTCTAGCATTTCCAGTAGTCCTTTTCATCAAAAATGTCGAAATTAATAGTAGTATTTGGAGGCACTGGCAAACAGGTAGCTACGACAATGGCAGCCAGCCAGTCAAGCAAATGGCCAAAGATACTAATACCAGGTTGCTATGTAGGGAGGATCTGTTATCAAAGCTTTTCTAAAGGACCCCACCTGGAAGATTCGTACTATCACTCGAAATATCGCTAAACCTCAAAGTATAGCTTTACAAGAAAAGGGCGTCGAAGTCGTTCAAGGCGATATCAACGACATTGATTCTCTTATTGCCGCAGTTCAAGGCGCCAACGTTGTCTTCGGAGTGACCGACTTCTGGGAACCTTTCTTCAACCCCGCTACCCAAGAGAAGCTTGCTCCTGGTCAAACGATCAATGAATACTGCTACAAACTCGAGCTCCAACAAGGAAAAAACATTGTAGACGCCGTAGCTACGATTGCTGATACTACACTCGACTTATTTGTATGGTCTAGTTTGGCACATGTCAAGAAATGGAGCAAAGGAAAGTATACATGGGTGTACCACTTCGACTCCAAGGCTGAGGTCTATGAATGCATCAGAGAATCACATCCAAAGCTGGCAAAGAAGACCTCATCTGTCCAGATCGGCTATTACGCTGATAACTGGCTATGGATACCGATGACGGCTCCCCAAAAGACGGAAGACGGTGTTTACGAATTGAAATTGAGTGCCAAACCTGAAACTTTGGTTCCCTGGGTGGACACTCAGGCTGACACTGGAAAATTCGTACGAGCTCTCGTGCAAATGTCACCAGGAACGGATTTGCTAGGCGCTAGTGAAATGGTGACTTACGGTGATTATCTAAAGACATGGGGTGAAGTGAATGGCGTACACACAAGGTTCACCCATATTTCTGCCGAAGAGCACGAAAAAATGATGCCAGAGATTTTTGCCAAGGAAATCCAAGAGAGTCTTGCCTTCAATGAAGAGTATGGATGGGATGGTGGAGAGCCTGGTGTTTTACGTCCTTCTGATGTAAGTGTTTTCTCAAGCAATTGTGCAAGTTGGGGGAAATATTCATTGATTTATTCGTTTGAAGATGAAGTTTGAAGAACCTTTATCCAATATCAAGGACTGGGTCAAGGCGCAAGATTGGTCGGCAGTCATTCACTAAAGGCGAGAAGTTCAGTCTTTTCAGAGTTATCTTGCGGACAAGGCTGTTCGTTATGGCACAGTCGCTTAATACGAGGTTCATATAACCGTATATTGTTTCTTGTATATGGGATTCGATATTTCAATACATGAAAATCATCGACCGCTTGAGTATATAAACCAAACAACTTTCCATGTACCAATGAAAGTTAATGCAATAAAGTACACCCGTTTTCCAGTCCAATGAAAGTCAATGCAATTAAGTATAGCCGTTCTGCGAGGCTGACATTCAGATGTGAGGCAAGTGATTGTCCCTGTACAGTTCTTTGTCGAAAGTGGCCGAAGAAGTTACATATCATTACGTACCTTTCAATATATGCCCACTTTCTTCTACTTATCCTTATTTCCTCGATATGTATGGAAAAGCTAAAACAGCTGACGGAATCCAAACGTGATATTTTGGCGGCGCAGAAGAATATAGGCACAAAGCCATGCTTAGTAAGACACCGAAGAAGTTATCGTTATAAAACCGTCATTGTGATATTTTGTCCTAGATCTCAGAATGGACTCAACTCACCCATTACTTTTCAAATTAAAATTAAAATTAAAATTGTATTAAAAACCATGTCAAAGTTCATAGTAGTGTTTGGAGGTACTGGCAGACAGGTAAAGGCTAATTCAAAGGTCAAGAGCCATCCGCCAAAAATTCAAACTGCGCACTGATTAACATCCTGAACGGTCTTCACGCAGGTTCTTTCAACAACGCTTTCTAAAAGACCCAACCTGGAAAATTTGACTATCACTCAAAATATCGTTAAATAATCAAAGTATAGCTTTACATGACAAGGGCGTCAAGTCTTTCAAGGCAATCTCAATGATGAACCTCAGCTTTTAGATCAAAGTGATACTTCCAGTGTACTTTTCTTTTGCTCCAATTTTTGACGTGCGCCAAACCAGACCATACAAATAAGTCGAGCGTTGTATCAGCAATAGTCGCATGAACTTGTACACACATCTTATCCCGAAGATCAATGTTGAAACCCAACAAGACAGCGTTTTTTGAGGGTACAGAACTAAAGCCCAGAGAACAGAAAAAGAAAGGAGACACTGATTTTATTTTTATTTTTTGAATCTACAGTAACTGATGAATGTAAGTAAACCGAATCAGAGATTGAACAGCGTTATAGGAGAATTGTTTTTTGCATGATGAAGAAGGTTCGGTCAGTCTCTTGTTGTAATAGAGAAGGGTCATACGCACGGACATAGAAGTCAAAATACTCACTTTTATAATTTTATATTTTTTCTTTCTTTCTGGCGATATGAAAAGAAAAAGTGGTTAGTAGGTGGCCATTTGTTATAACAATCACGCCAAGTTTTACCTACTTTACATCGCTGTCTTGTTAGGGCCATCAACAAGCTACTAAGAGCTTCGCGGGAGCGACCCTAATTTTAAAAGAGTAGATATACAATGGTGAGTCAAATTTGCATAGTCAAATGGCGTGAAATTTTGCTATTACTTACAGCGCCCCCGCTTAGCCGGTAGGATCATTGATCCCACCGGCTTCAACCTCCACACCGTCGCTATAGAAATCCTGCAATTGGTTGAGGGGAAAATTGGTTGAGGGGAAGGTTAACTGGAACTCAAACAGTGTATGCGTTGTTAGAATGGTAGGTAGATAACTTACGGCCAAGAAGCGATCAAACTCTTCTTCGCCAATTTGCTCTAGCGACGGCTGGAGGTTCTCCTCCCCCCTCTCAGCGAATGCTGCAGTCAACTGAGAGCAGACATTGTCCAAGTCCTGAAACCAGCCAGAACCCTGGATCATCCGGTTCATCTAATGATAGAAGAGCACGTTAACAAAAATATATTCTCCCGTCACTTTGCTTACACTATAAAAAGCTACTTACGTCTTCAACATCTTCCGGAGGCGCAACAGGACCGTTCACTGGGCTGAGCTGATTCTCATTACCCAGTGGGGTCCCATCGCGCGATGCCTTGGGAGGAGTATCGTCCTGCGATGGTGGACTCACGGGACGTCGGTATTGATATACAGCAGCCATAGAGGCTGCTCGGGTCACCGAGATCGAAAGGAGCGGGAGGGGCTGCCAATGCGGCAGAGGGCCGAACAAAAGGAACAGAAGGGGTATCGGCTTCCGCCAAAGGCAAGAAACGAGAAGAACGAGGTGGAGAATACGGAAAGATTTCCATCTCCTCAGAAAAGACACACCAGTCCATAAGGGTTCCTTGCAAACGCTGAACACGAGATAGAATGAGTGGGAGAAGGCGAACAGACCTCCATTTCCCCCAGCAGGTACCTGTTGTCACCCGGGGCTAGTGGGTATCTCACCACCTCAAGCTCAAAAGGCTTATCGATGTCCATGAGATCATCGAGTGGTGGGATGTCGGCCGCCGTTGGTTTGGGACGCCAACGAAATGGCCGGCGAGGAGGAGGAGGGTGGAAAACAATGTAAGGTATGTTGTGTTGTGAAAGATATCGCTTTAAGGCGATGATATGCGCCCGTTTGGTTTTCAGCGTAAATGCTGAAAAAAGACTGAGCTCAAAAGACAAAAGATCCAAAATCAAAGAGATTTTCAAAGCTTTAAATACATCGAACATCGGCTTTGGAAAAATTATGCATACATGACATCGTTATTGTTCAGCATGATAGGCATATTTAGCATTTTACAGGTTTTTAACCGGTATTGATTATGACTTCATCTAATGAACAACTTGCTGATGAATTCCCTCCATCATTTCGCAGCCAAAAGACATGATATCATCTGAAGTGTGAGGTACTAACGATTGAACAATAAGTAGTTCGTATCATGTAGAACTATTATAAGTTTCATAGAAGTGGCCGAGTTCGCTTGCACATCTGTTGTGGAGAAGAATGTTAGAACCGCTTTTTATTGTCAATTTGTGAGAGCATGTGCAATGGTTTGATTTCTCGAGGATGGCAATACATGGAGACCATCCATGGCAACTTACCCACAGCTTAGCGTATTTATTGATCATTGATTGAAGCGAGTTCAGACATTACTGCGTCTTTTTAAGTAACATTCTGAAGTACGGGTAATAAATCCAACTCATTTGCTCACTTCACCAGTACGTTATGCATTTGTTAGCATCGTAAAGTGGTTGGTGGCGTCAATGCTTATGACTGGTATGCCTATACCTCATTGACCCTAAAACTTCGTAATGAAACGCCGCCCCGAATGTAGCATTCTTAATTGGACGCTCTGTATAACCGGTTGAACGTCTTTGCATAAACGATCAATTGCATGAAAGCGAAGGAAATGGATTCTTTTTTTTTACAATTTTGGCTAAACGGTTGCCAAGCTAGTTCAGCAGTTCTATACTCTCATTGCGAATGTGTTCCCAATCGAACTTGCCGAAAGTATCCAGAGTTGAGATAGCCATAACTTCTCGGACTTCTACATGACCGTACGAGGTATGCTAGTTCGGAGCGCCTATAAAAGCAATGTGCTACTGACCACTGAATTCATGCCTTGATGAATGGCGTGCCAACAAGATTAGTCATGTATCTGCTGAAGAATTTCACAAGACTCTTCCAGAATCTATTGCTAAGGAAATCCATGAGAATCTTGCATTCAATGAAGAGTTTGGATAGGATGTTGGTGAGCCAATGTCAGGGATCAGATCAAGGGCGCAAGATTGGTCAGCCGTTATTCGCTGAAGACGTGTAATGGATTGTGGTCCGACTCATTCCAATACGATGTGTTTTAGAGGACTTCGTATATAATACATGCCAATCGTTTGTCAAAAAGTTGTTGTGTTACCCCCATATTTTGTAAATGTGCACGGTTTCCAGTATAGGCGTTTGACTACTTCTCCGTCATATGTGCTTGCTAATATGAAATGGTTGGTGTCCTTATGAAAGGCACAGTTGATTATACCAATGTCTTAGAGTGAAGTCTCATTTCGACCGACATATATCATCATTTTTGTCATGCAACAACTTTGCACGTACTTTTCATCTATGTAAATCCTGTTTTGTTCGTTGATTTGCGACTCTTTTTCTTCCAAATCTCGATCAGTATCCTTAGGTTCTGCTCCTGAATCACTTTTATGCTTTGCATCCTGCGTTAGTACCTCTGTATCAACCTTCACTTAAAATCTGCAAGCACAATGAGAGCATGTATTCTCCTATGCATACAAGTTGGTTTATATTTATTGTTTTTGTGCTTGTATATAAGGTCGTGCAACAATTACACTAGCATTTTCTCAAAAAACAGATACACTACACGTCCATTTATTTAACGCTGACCTTCTTCCACTGGGTTTGTGCACCCATGATAGAGGTTACGGTACTGTAGAGAGACAAGGAGTGAGTAACACGGCCGGCCCTGTCAATTCTATGAAATGAAACTTACCCAACAATGCCGACGAGACCCTCATCAGCGGCGATCCATCCCAAGGTAGAGCTGGGGATGATGAAGTCAAGGGCATCCTGAATAAGCTGGTAGGTAGCATCTTGCTTCTCCCTATGAGACGTAAGAGGTAAATGGTGCTATTAGTCACGACGTTTTCCTCCACATACTTCAGTTCATATCTAAACCACTCACTTGACCAAAGTCTTTTCTTGCATTCTGTAGTCAGCAGCACGCTGAGCATCCTTTTCAGAAGTGGAAGCATTGACGAGCTTGCTGTTACGCTTGATCATCTCGATTCTTCCTTGGATCTGCTTCATCTTATACAAACCATTGGACAGAGAGAAGATAAGGGCAGCGGCCCAGAACTTGAAGCCGAGATCGGAGATCTTCTTGTGATTTTGCAAAGTGATGAATCCAACTTGGTGGAGGTAGACGAACATCTCAACCAAGTAGTAGCCAAAGTAACCGAGTTGTCTCAAAGCTCCACTGATACGCAAAACACTGTCGTTGACATTGAGGGCTGCAACAGCTCCCTTACCGAACTCGATGGGCTTGAACAGACGGAAAAGCTTACGACCTGAAGCGAGGTTTGTCTTAAGACCGTTCCAGCGGGCTATGGTTTCCTTGCTAGCTCCTTGACGGAAAAGGTGCCAGGCATAAAATCTGGCATGTGGTTAACATGTTAGCGGGAAAAGGTTCTCGAGCAAAGAGAAGGTGGCTCAAAAATAATACCAAAGTATGAAACTGTACCTGGAAAAGTACTGGATAGTACGATAGAGCTTTTCACGACCGTTGGTTGTGTTAAGGTATTTGAGAATTTGATCGACAGGCACGGCAGATGACATTTAGAGCGGTGGGAGTGAAAAGTGGATTTGTAGGGAAACGTCTTTGTCAGGCGGAATGGGACTCTATTGATAATTCACAGTCACATATCCCGGCCAACCTCCATGTGAAACTCTGGTCATTTTCACAGTGTTGGTTGTGCAAAACGATCAGTTTTATATGAAGCGTTTGAAAAAAACCAATGTAATTTTTAATACTTTTTTCAAATGCATTCATCTAGTTATTGAACCAATTTTGTTTTCATCTTTTGTTATCAACTGCAAGTCATGGAAAAAATACTTGCACATCGTCTCCCCCATGAAAACGTGTGTGGCAAGTCAACGTGTGGGGTAAACTGGGGAGAGCGTGCAACATCATTAAATGTTTGTGCTTCTAGTGATGAAGTTTCATCCTACTGCTGCTCGTCGAGCCAGTCGAGAATTTGAGGTGTATAATAAGTCAGAATAATGCCAGCTCCAGCTCGCAGGAAACCTTCCATACTCTCCAAAACAATCTGCTTGAGGTTGAATGTGCCTGCTTGGGATGCATGCCAGAGCATAGCATATTCGCCAGAGACTTGGTATACAGCAATGGGGTAGTCGGGTGCAAGGTTGGCGGCTTCACGCACAATATCGAGATAAGGCATACCGGGTTTGACCATAATGACATCCGCACCTTCTGCCATGTCACGAATGATGGCGCGACGAGCAAGACCTCGAGCACCAGCAGGAAGTTGGTAGCAACGACGGTCACCAAAGCTAGGAGCGGAATTGACAGCATCTCGGAAGGGGCCATAGAAAGCGCCAGAAAACTTGGCCGAGTAGCTCATAAGCATAACCTTGTGTGCCAAACCATTTTCAATGAGCGTTTCCTTGATGGCTTTAATACGACCGTCCATCATATCGGAGGGTGCGACACAGTGTGCACCAGCTTGGGCGTAGTTAAGGGCAACAGTAGCCAAACGCTTGACAGAGAGTTGGTTCTCGAGAGAACCATCTTCGCGTAATATACCGCAGTGACCATGAGAAGTGTATTCACAAAGACAAACGTCGCATGCAACAAAGAGGTTGGGGAATTTGCTTCGAAGCAGTTTAACAGACTGAATGACGGGTCCGTTCGGGTCGTCGGCATTTGAGCCGGTTTCGTCCTTGGATCCCTCAGCAAGAGGCACACCGAACAAAATGACAGAGCGAAGACCCTTCTTGTAAAGAGGCGCAATAAAGCCTTCAAGTTTGCCCAACCCGATACGATATTGACCTGGCATGGAGGGCAGTTCTTCGAATTGATCTTCGGAATCGGTGATGAAAATGGGGTACATGAGGGCCGCCTTGGTGAGCGTTTTCTCAGCTTGCCATGTACGGGTCAGAGGGTGGTGGTATCCGCCCTGGAGAATAGAAGAAATGTCAGACATTGCAAGATTGTAATCGAATTACGTGAGATGGAAGGAGAAGGCAGTCCAACAATTTACTGCAAAATAAAATAAAAAAAGCCTCGGATAGCCCGAAAGTTGGTTAATTTTGTCGCACAGTATGCAAAAACGAAAAGCTTCCAAAAATCAAGGATCGAGCTCCAAACGAGTTCGATTCAACGAAGAAAATCCCACAGCAGCACCAGTAACTGATGAATTCGAATTTGATCACGAAGCTGAACTAGAAACCGCCAAGCGACGGCGAGGAGCGGTGAATCTGGACGGCTATGGTAGTAGTGAGGATGAATCGGACGATTCCGAGCCGACGGACAAAAAGGACGATGACGATTTAGACGACATGTTTGCCGATGCCAAACCTGAAAGCTCCAAAGCAGCAGGCGACAAAAAGAAAAAGACCAGGTTTCTCAGTATGAATGAGATTGAAGGTCAAGAGTTGAGCTCGCGCGGACACGATTCGGATTCAGAAGGTGAACCAAAAATCATGGCTTTCAACATGAAGGAAGATTTAGAAGAGGGAGAGTTTGATGAAGAAGGCAACTATATACGAAACAAGGTTGATCCCAACGCGTTCCATGATAAATGGCTACAAGGTCTAAGTAAAAAAGACATCGCCAAAGCCAAGGCGGCCCAAGAAAAACAAGAACAAACAGAGCAGTTGAAGGAAGCCGACGTACTTAGCAGTGTTCCACAAGACAAGACAGGCGTTTTTAGAGCCCTCATCGATTTGTTACAACCCGGCGAAAATGTTCGGGACGCTTTGGTACGGCTCGGAGGCAGTGCCAAAAAGATTCCAGCTTGGAAGGCAAAGAAGATGCAACAAAAAAATGGTGCTGCTGGTGAACCGACGGCTGAAGATATCGAAAAACTAGCCATCATTGATCGAATTACTGCCTTGGCTGATCAAATGATGGCTCTTGGTGATTTTGGTATCTATGACGAGACATACGAAGCTATTCTACGACATTTACGGCGAAGCGGAACCGTACCACTGGAATGGATGCCTGGGCAAACCAAAGCGGTTACCTGGGAGTATCGCTGGGCTGGATCCGGCGATGCTGGTGAGGTATACGGACCCTTTTCAAGTACACAAATGCAAGAATGGCAAGCGCAAGGGTTTTTCACAAACGGCATTGAGGCTAAAAAGGTCGGTTCAGAAGACGCATTTACTGCCGTATCCGAGAACTTTAGCTATGCTTCATAGAAGGAAATGATAGTTGCGAAGTTAAAACAAAGAATTCAATGTTATCATTTGGTTTTTACTTTTTGCAAACGCTCTGTAATCCAATGAAGAGAACATCGTAGAGCCAGCAAAATAAATTATAAAATGGAAAGTACTAGTGTACAAGTACCAAAAATTGGGATGTATGTCAAATTAGAAAGGCTGTGGCAAATTAACGGCAAATGCCTCATAGAATATAAAATAAAGCCAATACAATATGCAAAAAAGAAAGAGGTATGAGAAGGTTTTAACATAAGAAATTAAAGTCGAACATACGACTGTTGAACAATTATTAGGGATTTTGACCAAAAGTTGGTGGTGAAATGGGGATGGAAATGATTTCTTTTTTGGATTTCTACGAGTGTAACCAGTGCACTACATTGCGTCTTCCGTAAAGACTTTCTTGGCAACAATGTATTCCTGTTCGGACTTCACAAGACGCTTCAGGCAGGCCAGAGTCGAAGGCAGGGTCATGAACATCCACGCGGCGATAGGCAGAGAGATGTAATCAAGCGCATTACGCCAAGTTCGATATTCTGCAGGAGCTTTGCGGAAGAGCTCACGGTCAACGGTTCGATGAAGATATTCGTAAATGCCGAGAGTTGCAAAGAGTGGGAATGGCAACAAAACGGTGATGATTTTGACAATGTTCCAAAGCGTGGAATAGAACTCAGATACCAAAATGGGATTACTATCAGGTTCTACCACCGCCAAGAAAGAGAAGGGCGGGAAAAGGATAAGTTGCATGACGGGGACAGCAGCAAACATGAGCCATCCAGACGTGGCTGGAATCATATGAGCTTCCAAAACATGGACGCACACAATGAGTTTGTCGAGCCAGTAGTAAGGAGAAATGTACATGGACGACTTGGCAACGTCAGCGGTGGGCAAAAGAGACATGAGCGATGAAGGTCGCGCAGAGGAGCCGAATGAACTGCGCAATGTATAGGCTACATCGGCGACACCGTTGTAGTGGCGCGTGGCTTGAATATATCGGGCGTACATGTTGTTAAAATAACCGTCGGCTTGGACATTGGTCAAATTGATGGGCACAAATATCGGAGCGCTGCGAGCGGCACCATCTGTCTTGAAAAAGCATTTGAGCCACATATGCAAGTCTTCTCCTACCGAATCAGCGTCTGTGTCCCAGTACCCAACTCGTTCTGCCAAGACCATGCTCAAACTGTAAGTTGAACAAGGGAATGCTAGACCTCTACTGTTGCTCAAATTCGACATCACCATAGCTGACCAAGTGATATCAGTGACTCGGACAGCGGCGGGTACATCGAAGCTATTACGAGAAAAGAAAATAGGCGGGGTCAAAAGCAACATGTATGGGTCTTCGGAGGCAGTTAGGGCCCTGTCCACCTAAGAAAAAAAATAAAGACCATTTAATAATTGAGGCTAAACGTATTAGCGTTCCCCACATCCCCGACAACTTACCTCCTTGACATAGAGCTCTGGAATGGCTGAGTCAGAGTCTGATACGGTCAAGATAATTTGACGACGCTCAACCCCTCTTCGAAGCAATTCAGTGCATCCAGTGCGAGCGGCGTAGGCTACATTGGCACCTTTTCCTCTACTCTCTCCAGGTAAATTAGGTGGATGAACAGTGACGATAAAATGAAGGAAGCTATTCTTGAAGTAGTTCATCAAATTATCTCCCTTCTGTTCATGCTCAGCCTCGGAACCTTCCATGGCCAATAGAATAACATAGCATCGCCGAGCGTTTCTAATTAACCAACGAGGTTCAATAAAATGTCTCAGATAATTTTTTTATCCCAAAATTTTTTGCTTACCTATGATTTGCCAAGCGTTTGATTGTATCTCGTAACAAAGCTTCAGGTTCACAGTAATTAGGAATAATAAAAGTATGTATATAGTGCGAGTCTTCGTAGATTTTCAGGCTGGCCTCAACGTCGTCAAGGTTGTTTTCATCGGCGATGATGCGTTCACGAGCAGTCAGAGGTGAAGCCGATCCTGAGGATGTCGAGAAAGTGTCGGGACTGTTGACTTTTTGATGAAGGTTCCAAGTTCTGATATTATGAATGATCTTCTTTGTAGTAATGAAGAACTTGAATACATGATTAATTTGAGTATATAAGAAGAATGTAAAGTAGACAAACAAAAAGATGAGGTAGAAGCGAGGGATGAGAATTGGGCCGAGAGGCAGTAGCAACAACGCTGTGATGGCTACACCAGGGGCTACCAATTCACATAAAGATGGTAGAAGAACCTTGCTCATGTAAGAAGACTGGATGAAGAGAAGAGAGAGGAAGAGAGAGAGGTGAAGTCAGGCTGAAATGTCTTGGCTCCTTATTTTTTTTTTTCTGCTTGATCTGTTCTGCGGACCCAATAGTGCATTTTTGAAAGAAGCAACTCCGCACGTAATGTCTCATTGACATCATGACATCAAAAAGTCACCGTACACCTTATTTGTGTACACTTTCCTCCGATACAACCACACCGTGTAAAATCCTTGAATTAGCACTACTTTACTATCAATCTGAATAAATTTTGTGTGTTTAGCACTTGGAAGGAGTCGGTTGCCTAGGGATGACAGGCCACAGATAAAGGTGAGCCCGTCAGTGTGTTTTTTTTGTTTACCTGAAGGTTGTTTTGTTTGCAAGCCGAGTGTTTTTGCTGAAGCGGATGAATAAACTGTTTCCCGAGACCGTACAAATAAGAAGTATGTATTTTAGCTGCGACATTAAACTCACCAATTATTTACGATAGCTGATTCTAAATTATATACTCTAAACCCACACACATAGGGTCAACGTCCCTTGAATCTGAAACAAATCATCCACTTTGATAGAAAAAAATCTAAGGGTCAGCCACATAGTCATTATATGGCGTTCTTTTAGGGGGAAAATGGTCTTTCCATCGGATGAGCATATAGCTAAGAAGTACGGGTAACGTCTAATTTGGATTAGAAGGCCTTGGCCAAACAAATGTGGGCTTGATCGAAAAATATGGGAAATATGTTTGATGATATTTTACCATTTGCAGCCGATGCCACACTTTGCTATACACAACGCGGCTTACTCTTCATGGTTATTTTGTTTTCAGCAATTTGCCGATGACGGCCAGTGAAGTCACTCGTACCACTTGGCTGGTGCCTATGGGTGATACCATTTTTTGATCACGAGACCACACAAATGGGAATCGCTGAAGTAACCTTCGTGAGGAATAAATTGGATGGCTAAGCGTTGTTGACGGTAAGAGTATGTAGAAATGAAGGGCAAAAGTGCACAATCAGTAGTTGATGATGAGAAAGTAGAAGAACAAGGAGAAGAGCAAGCAAAAAGTACTATAAACAAAGCTCGGTCCATCAGCTATACACAGCTTTTATTTCAACACTTGTAATCTTTTCTTGAAAAGTGTGAATAAGGCATTCTGGCCGTTATATAAACATGGTGGCAGTAACGATATTGTAATTTGTTTTCTTCTTTTACGAGTGTTATAATAGGTAATGTAGCAATCAACAGTTTTTCATAAAATCCATATCTATTCTGCCCTTGAGGTGCAACAGTCAATATTGTACACAGGTGGGATGTCAGTAGCTGAAATTTGGGACAAATACGCGCGCAGTGTAAATTTAACAGGTTTCCAGTCACATCAGGTTGAATTCTCCATCCACACAATTCATCACATCTAGATTACCCAAATGTGCAAACACATTTTGAACGCGCAGGTACGTCAGCATGCCATGCATACCTCTGGCATTACCTAGATGCTCCCATCTGATTCCCGGCTCGCATTGATTTTCCAGGTCGCCATCAGAGCACCATGTTGTAGAAAGTGGTTTGATTGCGCGGAATGCCACGCAGAGGTATCCGACCATTCACTTGCCAAAGCCAGCGAGATGGCATTTGCTTGTAAAAAGTGTAAAAAGACATTTAGAAAAGACCTCAGGTATGTGCCAAAATAATGCTTAATGGATATGATGTGAGGCTAAAAAGTGACTGTACTACTAGCGATTTCGAGGACGAGGATGAATTTTGTCCTCACTGCGACAACCACTTTGTTTTGGAGGCTGTTGAACCTGAAGCAAGTCTTGGCGTTGAAGGCGAGGACATTCGCATTGACTCACGGTAAGTTTTCTATGAATTGATTCACCCAAATCAATTTGTAACCTGACTCATGCTTGCCTCCCACAGTATGATCAAGGACGACCGACAGAAACTTAAGAAGGGCGTTACTAGTATCTACGATGTCGAAGTATCGGATAAACTTGGATAAATAGAAGGAGATGACTCGCCGATCTGTTGAGTCTTAATACCTCTTGTAGTTGATTAAAATAAAAAAAAGTATTCCTAGTAAATTAAATTGGACGGGCATTGTTTTCCAAGAAGGTTGGAAGTCACCATATATGGACGTGAGGGGATGGTGTTGTGCAGTGTGGTTGGCAAACGATTGGTTCAAACGACACAGTTTCAAAACGTGAACTAAAAAATTTATCCCCAAAAATTTTCATTGAATGATGCGGGATTTAACAAACATTAGAGAATCAAGTCATTGTAAAAGGAATTGAGCCAGTAAGATTTCGACTTGAGTTTGGATCGGACCGAGTATTTTAGACGATGGAATAGAATCAACGTGGGAATCTTACTGGGTAAAGGAGTGGAGTTGGGTCGGCATGGAAACGTGACATAGAAGCCCAGTCCCTAAAGATTTTTTTTTTTTTTTTTTGGGTTTTGCCATAATCAAATCCAGCAATCTATTAACGACCTACAGTTTGTCTTTCTTTTTCTCTTCTTTCTCCACTTGCATGTGCCCATACGGCGACTCCATGGCTCCCTTGACGTCAGTTCATCATTTTGCTCAAGACACTATGGCTCACAAAGAAACTCCTACACCCATTCACTCTCAACCCAGGTCTTCGGAGGAAGAATCACCCTCAGAATGCACTGAAGATGATATTTCAGACGAGGATGACGATATGACCCCTGTAAAAAACGAAAGTTCAGAGCATCCCAACGGTTTGTTTCTCAACTTTTCATCCAACCTGACCGAACAATCTTTTGGCAAGAAGAAGACAAAAAGTAAACGACAAAACGCATATAAAGTAAATGGCATCAATATCTTGAACAGGTAATCGATTATATCTCAACAATTATAGCAAAAAACCAAACATGGGTACTAACATTTATCTTTCCCTTAACCTGTTTTTTATCATATCTAGAAATAATCTTGATAGTAAGACTGCCATAGAACGAATCCGGCGACGCCGAGAGAATCATAATTATGTCGAACGTCGCAGACGGGATGTTATAAACAATACCATCATGGATATTGCCTCAGTGGTTCCTAATGCTATGACCAGTGGGCAAAAGCCAAACAAAGGGAACATCTTACGACTTGCGCTGGATTACATTAAGGTATGTTGTGGATCTATGACTAACATGGGCTTAAACCTTCCCCGATCTAATCATATTCTTAATTTGGGACAATAGCAACTTCAGACCGAGAATCGGCAACTTCGACAACTGACTTCTTCGGATGATCGTAACAGTATGATTCCTTTGACACCACCAGCGAATCAAGCACCAACTCCTACCACTGTCTCCACACCCCACCGATCACCCGTGCATTCGGACATTGATCAGCCATCGCCTTTCCGACTGAAGCATCATGATATGAATGTTTTTGCAGCATCCGCTCCAAACTCGCCTAACTTCTCACGAACCTATTCCCCACAAACTGTGTCGCTTCCCTCATCGCCTATACATGGGTTGCCATTGCATGATGATAATACTCTCCCGTCTCTTAGTCTTCCACCCGCCAGACCGTTTCCCAGTCGCTCTTTGCCACCTTACTCGCCTGGCCCTCAAACCCCAGTGTCTCCTCATGCCAATTTTCTAGTGCAGCAGCAACCTCCTGTATTGCATTATAATTTTGTTAATCAGCCGCCACCAGCCACCGCTCCTCTCCCCGCACCGTCCGGTTTGCGGCCTATATTGCCCATGCGACCAGGTCCTCCACAACGTCCATTGAATTATGCGCAGAATCGCATGACAGGCTTGGAGAGACAGTATGGATCCGTATGCCGCTATTAGGGTTTCCCGAATCGAAAAGCCTCGTTAATGTACATACACCCAGGCTGGCGGGCAAGAAAAAAAAAAGCTCTTCAGGCAAGCTGACACACACACATCTTGCTGGAGGCTTTTTCATACACATACGTTATTCATAGCTTCTGCTGTCAAATCAAATTATTTCATTTCATATCTTTTCCAGTCAAAGCATCACTTACACTATTCTGTTGTTGTCTCGTGTTCCTCGGCACAGAGCAACGAAACCCTCACGCATACATTCCCACTCATTTTTGTAAACCCTGATCTATTTTAGTTTTGCCTTCTTCTAACCACATAAATATGATTGCACCCTCTGTGGATTGACTACCACTTTATATACATTTATGAAGAGAAATCTACTACAAAAAGTCGAAACAATCAAGCTTTTGGTGTCGCTCCGGCAGTTGTACAAATCTTAGAACAGCCAACGGATCACATGCACATTGAATCACCTCCGGCGGTCGGTCTTGGTCATGGCCAAGCTGAGATGGCCGCTGCGCGTTGAGCGCTTATGTTCTATGGCCATGTTCGGGGTACTTCTGCTACTACGAATACCGTCAATGTAGCGCGGGACTTGAGTAGGCGAAAGATTATGGTTGGGACGGGCTCGTCTGTCTCGATCATCATCGAGCGACTGCATTAGAATATTCGCTATGAGATCAGATTCGGGGTCTGGTTTGAGATGTTGTCTATCTTCCTCCAGTACCCTGCGCAACCTCATGCGATAGATGATGGCGTCAATGGTCAACTCTATCTGCAAATGGTTTCTGATTATAGACATTTCTACATACAAAAAGGGGGATATTTAGTATGGCGTTAGTTCGGTTTCGCTGTATTTGACACTACTCACTAGGCCATGTTGCCTTTTCTCCGCGAATCATAGCTTCCATGACCGACTGCGGAGTGGGATTGGACAGTACTTTCAAGAACTCAGAGTATCCAATCTCAGGCACTATGGTGATATCCCCGCTGTACCGCTGAGACATGATAGCTTGCAGTTTGTAGAATAAGGAAGGCATTACTCCCAATTCCGTCAGCTGGTAGAATAGATGGAAGAGCCGGCGGCGTTTAACATTTGTGTGCATGCTTCCTATTTTTGATGGACCATCTTTGCCCTACCTGCGTACAACGGTGCTGAAGCTCCCCTCGTGCCATAGACATGCAGAAGCTGGCAAACTGTTTACCCTTGGTCGTGGTGAGTGACGTTTGTAAGAAAGGAATGACATGAGGGTTGACTGCATTGGGTGGTTAGTTCGTGCCTATTGGAGCGGAAAGGAAAACCGTGGGTGTTACCGACTGACCTTGGCAGACAATAAAGTGATTGACATTGAATAACTCCGACAGCTTGTTCATTGGCAAATCACTAGAAAGGCAACATTGGGTTTACAATGCGTTCAGCGTGCGCCTAGAAGCTAACCCCGTCACTTACTTTTCCACAGAACCATCAATGTAAAGTTGACCTGGATAAAAAAGTAAAGTGAGTTTTCTGGCATGACCCCAGGGCATTGTATAGTCAAACTCACCGGTTGGGTTCCAAGGGATTATTTTTCCGCTAGCGTCTTTAGCATACAGTTGAGTCGAGCCATATACTAGTGGAACTGCACACGAAGCAGCGCTGGAAAAAGCAAAAGCGGGTTTAAACAGGTTATGAACTAGCGCAAAGTAGTTGCCATCTAATGTAAAAGTGCCTACTTACACTGCTGACCATATCAGCTTTAAACCGTAAGAAAATAAAAAACGGTTAGTGCCATGAATTTGTTTTTTTCTTTCGTTCATGCAAAAGTTAGACCTTAAAGTCAATATGTACATACCACGTTGGGTGCAGTGAGGTAGTTCAGTAACCGCGGCATATCATACAGGGTGGATGAGCTCACAGTAATATTCAAAATCCATCTCGTTCGGTTAAATGCTTCCTACAAAGGTGTTATTAAGGTTGGTAAAACTACACGATGGATACGGCCGGCTACCCACCTGAAAAGTCAGGTCACCTAAATTAGCTTGCATGGCGTCTGTTAAAATATCAACATCGTACAGCGTGCCGTATCGCAGCATGCGCTCCAGTCGCATTAATGGGGTATCGGGTTGGCCATCCCTCTCGAATACGTCCTAACACCGGTTATGTTAAGATAAAAGCAATCCTTCGAATTTCGCAATAAAACCTCCAGACATACCAATTTAACGCTGAGGGGATCAAAAAGCTGGGGTATTTCTTCTTCGGTTCGTGTGCACAGCAGCGCCGCCATGATGCTCCCGCTAGACGCTCCTGATATGATACGTGGCAGTAGCTTTGCTTCATAGAGGCACTTTATGACGCCAATGTGGTTTAAGCCTAGAACAAGTTGGATTTGTCAGTAACGCCACTCTCATTAAGAGCAACTAGACTGCTCATTACCTAAAGTTCCACCACCACTCAATAACAAAGACGTTCGACCGAAGCTCTGTCGGATGTTCAAGAAAAAATCATATTTTGCTTTGAGATCAAACACCTTGCCGTCTTCTATAATGGTAGCAGGCTCATCGCAAATCCAATTCAGCTGCGTCACAACTTCGTCAATGTACTCAGATATCAAATCCTTTGTGCCTATATTAGTGTAGCTGTAGAGCTTGTATCCAAGAATGTCAACAAATGTGAACTTGGAATCCTTATCTGGGTGGCGCACGACGTACCTTGGAGCAACCCATGTCACCTAAATTTCGAGCCAAGCTTGTTCGTAGCGCAAATATCATGGAGAGTTGATCATTGGATGCCCTGACATTTCGAAGTTGCTCCAATCGGGTTTGCAAAAGCTCCCAATCATAAACGTCAGATTTTGGATCCTTTTTCCAATCCTCCAAGCCTGTAATTACACAGTGAGATCGTTAAAGGATGGCACTACGTGAAGTGTCAAGGTGGAAACAGAAGATACCTTCAAGCTGGTCAAGTATGGTGGCGGCCTCTGCCCATTGATCATAGTTAGTAGCAACCGTAAGCAGATGCTTGTAGTACACGGTAGGGTCGGATGGCTTGATCAAACTTCGATATAATTTCTACAAAAGTCCGAAGCGGTCAACTTAACGTAAGGTGTCCATCATGCTATATGGAATAAAAAGTGGTACCTCTGACCAATAGCTTGCAACGTCTTTGGAAATGGATCGGGCCGACTGAATTAGCGGAGACATGGAGTTTGGCCAAGCGACCATGGCCATTGAATTCTTATCGACGATTGCGGAGTCATTTAAATGTCGTTTGATAGTCTCTTTCTCAGTCAGAGTCGACAGTATAAGGGACATTTGAACACTGACGAGACGGGTTTTACAAAGTAACAAAGGCAATAAGGGCTGGCAATTTATTTCTGTCATTTGAAGAAGATAGATTTTCACGTGTCTGTTTCTTGCTCTATAATCTGAGCGTGACTCTACAAAAAGTTGATGCCAAAGCCAGCTTGGAAGCCAGCCTGTTCAAGGTCGCCTCCAGAGAACTGTACAGGGAAACAAAAGTTGGCTTCGACCCTTGCGGCAGGGTGATGGAAGATGAGACCAACACCATATGAAATACGAGGATTGAGGAGTAGGGCATCTTTCGTCTTGCTGTATGACGTGCCTGTCGACCACTTGATCAAGTTGCCTGCATTCACGAAGGCATGTGCCTTGATCGGTTTGTCCATCATTCCCGGTACGGCTGCCACAGCACTCAAGCCAGCTGCCCAGTAAGCCTCTCCACCAGCAGCATCGTCTACAACACGGTTAGCCATCGGAACCTAAATATTGTCGTCCACGACACCGATCTTATACGTACCACCATCACGAGGCCCGATACCTCCAAGTTTGAATCCTCTGATCGATGTCGGTCCTCCTAATATGAATCGATCGGAAATGTGAGGCTCCTTCTTATCTAGACTAGCGATCAAACCAGCTCGGAATCCTCCACTAAGCACAAGAGGAGCCACTGTCTTTCCACTTTCGGCCACCACAGGCTGCAACAAGCGCTGATGAATTTGTACAGCAACCTCTTTCTTAAAGTAGCTGGTATCACTCTTTGTTGCTATGCCAGCAAGCTCATGATGGAATGAAATATAGTGACCGCGCGTAGGCAAGGTTGCATTATCGCGACGATCCCGAACAAAGGAACCCGTGATTGCAGTTTTGAGGGACTGGCCAGCCTGGTCCTTGACACTGGTGAGAGCGAACGAGACAATAAAACAATGGCGTTAGCGGCATGGCGCGCAGAAATTACCACCATTCGTATTGCTTACATTGAGGACGCAGTGCTTTGTGCTATAGTATCCCTCCAAGTAGCGTCGTATCCAAGTTCATGGAATCCAAACTTGGATATAGCCTGATGGAGATAGAATATTGCGTTGGATTCAGTCATGATTTGACGTCGTCCCCTAGTTGACAGCCACCTACCTTGAAGGCCACACCAGCGTTTCTATTAAACTCTTCATAAGAAGCAATGCTAGTGTTATCTCTAAAACGCCCGCTGACATGAGCAACAAGCTTTGCATCCGGTGACGCATTGACTGGGGTGGACAAGTATGTCTATCGGAGGTTTGTCAGCGTCTGTCTGCATACAATCAATGACAGCTAAGTTGATGCGTACCTTGAAAGCAGCCTTATTTCTGTTACCAAATTCTACACTGGTTCCCAAAGTCTCTGCTCCTCCGAACAAGTTTCTCAACACAAAGTTGCCATTCTGATAAAAAACAAACCCAAAACGGAACGGCTATCAGTATCGCTGCCTTGTCATTGGAATGCTGATTTGGTACATCGTCCATATGCACTTACCACGTTAGCTTCGTTGTCAGCTATTTCGGCATTGGTTTTAACCACAGTTCGACCCTTTTCCTCCAATTTGAGAACGACATCAATGGCGTCGGTGGTTTCCTTTGCAGTATCTAACACAACTTCGATATTACTGAAAATATCGTGTCTCCGCAGCTTGTTGGCAGCATCTTGAACGCTTTCCACCACTTGTTGCACTGTAGTTGCTCCAAATATGCCTGATGTAATGCTATTTAAGAACGACGCGCGTGTGTTACCACTGCCTACCACGCGCAAAGAGTTGACATGCAACGGCGTCTCTGATTTGAGAAAACTCTGTAGTCATAGGGTCAGCCATCATGGTGGAATGGAAGACGCACTGAAGGAGAATGTTGATGCAAAATGCTCTTACAATATTTTGAAAGCTGTTGCTTGGATCGGCTGCTGACATGTTTTGTGAAATACTCAAGCCCTTGACAATAAATTCACAAGGGTTACCAAAATAAAAATCCCGGCGCTGGTTAAATTCATCATTTTTATGCAATGCCGAGATCAGTCTCAAATGTTCGTTCAACCAGACTTTAGAGACTTCTGCTGAAATGCAACTTTTTTCAAGATACTGAGAATGAGGCCGCAATTATCAATACTATTTTTATTAGAAATGCTTGCTTTTGGGTCTGTATTATCAAGTATTTTAAGTATTACATCTAGAAATCCTGTCATTTCTCTATCATTTCTAAAAATTTTAGTATTCGTAAATGTTCTTGTTATTTTTATTATTTATGAGGTCCAGAAGACTTGAAAAAAATCAACAATACGGTTCTAGTGCTCAGGCTTCCAAATATGAGAATTGACATTAACGTTGGAACTTTCCTATTTAACGATAGTTTCCAAGCCGTGTGTATCGTTATGATGAGATCGTTAAGACTATCTCACTGCCTGCTGATCTTGCAGACAAGGGAAAATACGTACCTGATCTATTTCGATAGGCGAATTGAAAGATTACCCTACCGTGCACATACTAGATGTGAGATTTCTCTGACAAGACCAGTACTCCACATATAAACTACCACCATAAGTACGCAAAAAACATGAAGTTCATTATTGTTTACAAAACAAGATCCGATCGACGGCCAGCTTTTGCGATCATCGTTCGATGCATACCATACTTCGATCCGGTAAGTGTACGGAAAGAAAAGAGTCATACTGGTCCGGAGAAAGGAGACGGGGGACGGAGACAGGCTTACCGAGACAAGTGAATGAATCAGTGCACACGCGTCGTCTATGGCTTAGCATTTGCAGGCCAAGGAATTTCTGGGTATGACCCAAGAGCCGCTTGGCATGCAGGCCCTGCGCGACAAGAATCCAAGGTTTTACTTTTCCATATGGGGAGTTTTTTGACCGCAACACAATATCTTAAAAAATAAAGCGTCACGCATGTTCACGCGCAGTTTCAGTAAATTAATAAAAACCCCCAAGTTTTCTACTTCCATTGTTCATTAAACACAATGTCATATCAAAACACTTCAAAAACTGGACAGAATAGGTTTGGAGTATTCCAATCTATCGATCCAATCTTACCTCTCGCTGCTATCTTCGGGTCTAGAGCATTATTAGGCGCTACATTGTTAGCTTCTGCTCTCCTTCCTAGGCCACTTGCTGCAGGCGCTGGCGTTATTGCGTTGATTTCTGCATACAGGAATGCAATCAGCTTCACTTTCAAATCCTACTTGTTTCCAGAAAATCCCAAAAAACTCACATTGGGAGAAAAGCGTTCAGTCAACCTCGATACCAATTCTACCGAACCTATCCCTTTCCGAGTGGCACCGGTCATCAAGGGAGATTTCTGTGTCTTTTTGATTGGTTTTAGAGTCAATGGATTTGCACGCGGCGGCGATAGCGGTTGGCTCGGACAAGCCATGTCAGACATGTTAGCGGAACTCCAAGATCAACCAGAACTTGGCTGTATGAACTGCGATTCATATGTCTCACCCAACCCCCTTGGAGGATCTACATTTTTGCTTGTTCAATACTGGAGATCGTATGAGCAGCTGGTAAACTACGCTCGCGGACAAGATCTGAAGCACTATCCTGCTTGGATGCGCGTAATGAAGGAGTCTAAATCAAATGGAGCTCTTGGTGGTATTTGGCACGAGACATTCAAGGTCAGAGATGGTGAATACGAAGGTATCTATGTCAACACTCCACCTTTCGGGTTAGGAAAAGTTGGTCTCGTACCTGCTATTGGAAAGATGACCACCTCTAAGGGACGTACAGGTGATTCGGATGGAAAGGATTATTTAGAAGGAACTGATGAGGCCTATACGAACCTTAACAAAATCAATGTTGAGGTTCAAAAATGTCCTATTTCCGGTGCGGAAGGAGCTCAATGCCCTGTTCCCCATGCATGATTGACTGTATAGAATATAAATGCTGTAACATCAAATAATTTGTAAAGTGTAATAAATGGTTTATAAAAACGTAATTTGCTGTATGTATTTGCTATTTATAATATGTAAGAAGTTACAGTACAAAATGATGTGAAGGGTGAATCAGTGAGGGAGGGGGATTCAGGACATATTTATAATTGTGAGGCAACAATGCCTTTTTTTCTTCGGCGTAGAGGCTTTATACGCGATATCCACGTCTACGAAGCAACGCCCGTTTACCAGCCTTGTAAAGCTCCGCAAAGGCAATATACGCTACGCAAGATGCAGCGACCATGCCCCATTCCCAGTCAATGGGGGAATGCTTGAACACGGAGGTATTCAAAACGGGTACGTACAAGGTGATGAGCAATAGGACGAAACCAATACCGAAACTGTAGAACAGGTACTTGTTATGGTTTCTTCTCAGATATCTCCAGTTCCAGGTAGAGTGAATAAGGTCTCGGCACGTGAAGGCATGGAGGAGAATAAGGATGGTCAAAGCGGCGAACAAGGCACCACGAGCACGGAAGACCTGTTCACAGCCAGGGTTCAATCCTTCGTTACAGTATTGGCCAAGGTTACCATCGCCATAGCCGTAAATAACGACGATGAAGTTCAAAAGACAGATGATACCGATCATAAAACCGTAAAAGAGGATATCAATGACATTTGACCAGGCGAACAGTCCCTCACTACGGCGACGAGGAGGCACTTTCATAGCATCTTCCGAGATAGGTTCCAAGCCGAGACTCATAGCAGGAGGTGAACTGGTCAGGATATTGTTGAAAAGAATTTGAACGGGTGAGAGAGGGAAGACCGAGGTACCATCCACATCAACGAAGGCAAGACCAATGAGAAGAGGAACCACTTCAGCGACGTTGCCGGAAATCATGTGGACAACGAAGCGAGCAATATTGGAGAAGACACGGCGACCCTCTTGAATGGCAAGGACAATGGTAGAGAAGTTATCGTCGGTTAAGATAATGTCGGCGGCTTGTTTGGCTACATCGGAACCAGTCTGTCCCATGGCAATACCAATATCGGATTCTTTCAAACTTGGACTGTCGTTCACGCCATCTCCAGTCATACCAGCAATTTTTCCACGGCGATGAAGAGCTTCTATCATCTTGACTTTAGTATCTGGTGAACAGCGAGCAATGACCAAAGGAAGACTTGGCAGGGCATCAATGGTTTCTTCACTGAGCTTATCGAACTCCATGGCAGTCATGACCAATTTATCTTCTCCGACAACAACATGATCGACTCCTCCTTCCTTGGACACTCCGCGGCCGTAATTTTCGGGTAGAATACCCACTTCTCTGGCGATGGCGGTGGCAGTAGCGTGATGGTCACCTGTCAACATATGAACAGTGATACCGGCTTCATGGCAGCTTTGGACGGAAGGCTTTGATTCAACGCGAGGCTAAACAGGCGAAAGGTACAAGCGTTAGTGAGATCGACTGTTGATTGTATAGCGCCTAACATGCAAAAAAAAAAAAAAAAGGTAGAATAAACTTACTGGATCGTAAATGCCGCATAAACCAATGAGCGTAAAGTCAACATCAACATCTTCACGGGTCAAGTCGTCGGGTCCAATATCGCCCTTTTCGAATTTCATGGATTTGGTTGCCAAGGCAAGGACACGTAGACCATCACGGGCGAGGTTTTCCACTTGTGGGAATACAATGTCTTCCATTTCTTGTTGTGACATGGGCCTTACACCACCTTCTTGGTCCGAGAATTGAATACTGCTGCAGCAAGCTAAAACCCGTTCGGTGGCACCTTTGAGGAAAGCAACGGCCTGACCTGTGGGGTTCTTGTAAATGACACTCATGCGTTTCACACCGGAATCAAATGGATATTCGGCCAACAATGTCCATGGTGTCCCATTTTCATCGCTGGTAAGTCTCTTGTTACCCATTTTAACTTTATGGGCAAATACTTGCAAAGCGGATTCAGTTGGATCACCTTGGGTAATCCACTCTCCATTTTCCTTATCTCTACGAATGGTAGCAGTGTTGCAGAGAGAGGTATTCTGAATGAGCTGCGTCATGGCTGGGGACATGGTTTCTTGAGTCACAGGGGTGGTGGAGTCCTGTGCAGTAATATCGCCTTCTGGTATAACACCAAGTCCAGATACATTGAAGTGACCATCAGCAGGGAGCCAGAATCGAGTCAAGACCATTTTGGATTGTGTCAAGGTTCCAGTTTTATCGGAGCATACATTGGTGACCGCACCAAGACTTTCAAGGGCGGCCAGTCGTCGGACCAAGCACTTCTTGTCGGCCATAGATCGCACGCCAAACGCTTGGGTAAGGGTTACGACGGCGACAAGACCTTCAGGAATAACAGCAATGGCCAACGAGATTGCATATAGGATGACTTCATCGTTGATATGGAATTTGGAGGCACCAAAGGTGATGATGATGGATATAATCGCCACAGCAAGCATAACAAGCGCCATGCGATCCAATGCCTTTTGCAAAGGGGTCTTGCTATTTTCACCGGAATCCATCAACCGCTTGGCAATTCTTCCGATTTCTGTGTTCATACCTGTGGCTGTGACGATGGCATGGCCACGGCCTTTGACAAGGATAGTGCTGGAGAAACCCATATTGACACGATCGCCGAGGGGAATTTCGGCGTTTGGAATCGTAGCTGGCCTGAAAATAGAAAAAATAAAAATGAGGATTTGCATTTCAGTGAGACAACTATGCCGGTATCATGCCACTTACTCTTTGTTAACGGGTAGAGATTCTCCGGTAAGCAAGGCTTCATCGACTTCAAAGTTGAAGCACCTGATTTTTGAAAATAAAATAAAAAGATTAGCTGATTAGATGGATAGTTCTAACATATCGCTTTTCCGATCGTATGTTTGGCATTTTTTTTTTTTACTCACTCGATAATTCTGCAATCGGCACCAATAACGTCACCGTGTTTCAACGACATAATATCACCAGGCACTAGATCACGAGTAGCAATCGTAACTAGATGTCCATGGCGTACAACTTTACTTGTGGGAGAGGCAAGGCGACGGAGAGACTCCATTGTTTTTTCAGCCTTGTATTCTTGAAAGAAGCCAATGGCGGCATTCAACACGATGATAGCGGCGATGACACCACCTTCTACCCAATCCTTAAATACAAAGGAAACGACCTATAGAAGAAATAGAATAGACATTAGTTGCATTAAAATTGAAGTTACTATTTCCCCAACGCGCAGAAAGGAAGTAAAGAAAAAAGAGTCCCAATTGCTTACCATAGCAATGATCAAAATCAAAATCAGAATATTGAATATTTGCCGCATTAGCACTTTCCAAGCACTAACGCCGCCTTCGCCTGAGAGTTCGTTGCGTCCATACTTTGTCAGTCGTTCACTGGCTTCCGCTTCAGTAAGTCCTTCCTCCATGTCTGTCTTCAAGATTTCAGCAACAGCAGCCAAATCCATGGCGTGATAGTCGGGTCCAGCAGGTGCAACGCCTGCGTTTGGTTTGCCAATTTTCTTAAAGTTCATTCTTTTCATGACTTTGGATCGAACGGACATGGCATCGCTGCTAGTACCGGTGGAATTGGAGGTCGCTGACCGCTTGAGCGGTTTGACCAGCTTACTTATGCGATGCTTTTCATTTTCGTCGATGGTAATATTGTTTTGGCCAGGTTGATTGGGGCCGTTTTCAGTATTCATACGAATGATAACAATTGTACCAAAAACTTATTTAGAAATAACTCTGACTTTATATATGCGCACGTATCGAAAACTGAAACTAACTTGTGCGTCGGACTCTATTGTTATCGTCTACTTTGAAGTATGGAAGTTCGGGATGTCTCAGATATACATTTCCAACAAACAATTCGCAATTCAAACTTTCATGGAAACCCAAGAACCACATGGGATAACATCACCATAATTGAATAATGAGAGGTCCTCGCTGATGATCCCTTACGTTTGAGACACGAATTCATAATGTTTATGTTTCTACAATAGCGCAGCCTAGCAATGAGCCATGCAGTAGGGTAGATGGCCATGCAAGGTTCACCATATTCGGCAGTTTCACTGTGGTTTCTGGAACAAGGTCCCACCACTTTGGACAGCGCTTCACACCTTTGTAGGGTCACCTGACTTCCCACATCCAATCATACGTCAGTAAATTTCACGTGTTGACCAAACTGCGATTTGTAAGAAAGGGCCGTACTGCGGTCATCGTATGAGGAAGGAACTACCAAGTTGTTGAGAGATAAGCATTCAAGAGAATGGGAATGACTTAGAAGCATCCAAGTCTATTTACTAAGGCAAGACATGCTTGTATATCATGCTAATCACGTGCCCTTCCGAATGAAAAAATGACTGACCTTCAGTTCGTCAAAGATGAGGCCTGAGCGCTAGGAACAAATCGACATAGTATAGTGATGAACTTGGTGCTCTCAGATAATGTTGGTCTTACTTAACGAAAATTACCTCATCGACCCTTGATCTTCGTTTAAAGTCCGTTTTCCTCACTTTCCGACCTGGGGTGACTATTGCAAAGAATTCATTCAACTTTCTCCTGGCCATTGACTAAGCACACGAGCAGATATTAAAAAGTTTAATGGAACTCAGGATACTTGGGTTTTTTTAATTAAAGATATCCCCCAGCAACGATCAAAGGAGACAGGCTACATTCTCAGCCCTTTTCAAGCATAACGACACAGTTCATTGGTTCAGATGCACTTATTTATTTCATAAAAAATATATCCTCGATATCTGGCGCCCGCGAATGGCGTAGTCGTGCATCTTCTCGTCTTCATTCACCATGGATGAAACAAGGCAACCGTTACTTTCAGATCGACAAGAGGATGAAGAGGAACGCGAGATCTCTTCACCCAACGGAAGAGATGTGTCCTATCATCGACCCGTCTTCGTCCAGCCGGGAAAATTCACCTCACTTGAGAAACTCCTGTTTTTTGTTAGCTCCGTTTTGCTGATTCTACTTTCTGTGTTTGCCGGTTTATATGCTAGAAGTGCTATGGAGGGCAAACCTCCAGTGCCTGGTCCTCCCAAGTCAGATCCCCCGACAGAAACTCCTCCGGCAGACGAAGTAAAGCATATTTCTCACGAGGTGTTTTTACACGGCCTGGCGAAAAACCACTTTTAACCCCCCAATGTTTGATTGAAAAAATTAGATTTGTACAAAGCCAGAGTGTGTGATAACCGCTTCTCAGATTTTACAAGTAAGCATGTCCGCCTTTGACTTTAGCGTGTCTACCGTTGCCAACACGTTTATTTGCAGGATATGGACCAAACGGCTGACCCTTGCGATGATTTCTATCAATATACATGTATGAATAACATTGACGTGTTCTTCTTTGTATACTCATTGTTACCATGTGTAGAACTAACAGTGACTACGAATCTGTAGGTGGAAACTGGATTGAAACCCATCCCATCCCCGAGAGCAAGTCTCGCATTGGAACATTTGACAACTTGTTTGAGAATAATATGAAGGCTATTCAAAAGATTCTTTCAAAGGACTTCAGCTCTGTGGTAGCCGATGTAGACGGCGAACTGCCTCCACCAGACAAAGTCATTGATGAACAGAACTTCAAAAAGATCAAAGACTTTTATGAGTCTTGTTTGGATGAAGACTCCATTGACAGCGTAGGCGCTGAGCCTTTGTATCCCATGTTTGAAGAAATTCAAAAATTGTTACCACTGTCGGATTTGCAAAACCAAGATGCCAAAAAAATCAGCCAAGTCCTTTCCTATCTCATGCAAAGAGGAGTTAATCCATTGTTCCAACTGGCTGTCACACCTGATGACAAAGACCCCGACTCGTATGCTATCCAAATGTGGCAGTCTGGTCTTGGAATGAACTCCAAGGAATATTACGAAGACGAGTTCTATGTCAAGTCTTACCAAGACATTGTGACGGAGATTCTTCAAGTTTTGTTTGCAAAGGATAATGGCAAATTCGGCTGGAAATACAACAACCCTGGTGCCACTGCCAAGCGTATTGTAGACTTCGAAAAGGCCTTGGCCAAGATTAGCGATACCTCCGACCAACTGCAGGATCCCGAAAGCATCTACAACCCATTCACTATCACGCAGTTACACGAGCGTTCTGCAAGTATCGACTGGGACCTTCTCATTACTGAGCTCCTTCCCTCATCTGTGTCTCGTCCTAAGCAAATTATTGTCTCTTCGCCCAATTACTTGGGCAACCTGTCTACTCCCCTTCTGCAATCTACCAATCCTCGGTCCCTGCAATTCTACTTTATCTGGCATACACTTTTGAATTACATTGACGACTTGGGTGAAGAGTTCACGAAGCCCAAGCGCAAGCTGGACGCTCTTTTGTCGGGCGTAAGCGCTCGTGTTAGTAAGCCACGATGGGAATACTGCATAAGACAATTGGACAATTCTCTCGGTTTCTTGGTCGGTAGATATTATGTACTGGACCAATTCAAGGGCAATGCTCGTGAAAGAGCCGACAGCTTTGTCGAAAGCATCAACGATGCCTTTGTCGACCGTCTTCCCGACTTAGACTGGATTGATGACACCACCAAACAGCGAGCCGTTGAGAAGGTTAGTACAATGCCATGCCGTTCGGAAAATGAACGCTTAAATTTAACCGAAACGTTTTTTTGACTTTTTTAGGTTCGCGCTTTGACACGCAAAATTGGTTATCCCACTGGCACGCCTGATACTTTGTCCCCTGTTTCACTTTCCGAATTCTATAATGGTCTGCACGTAAACAAAGGCGACCATTTTGGAAACATCCTGAGTGCTTCCGCCTTTGACGTGCGTAGTATGTGGAAGAGAATTGGTAAGCCGGTCGACAGGAGCATGTGGGAGATGACTCCGCAAACTGTGAACGCTTATTACAATCCACCTGGCAACGAGGTAAGATGCGGGATAGACTCGGCACCTTCTACCGGTTTTGACTAATACCAGCATCTGGCAGATCGTATTTCCAGCTGGTATCTTGCAGCGGCCTTACTTCAACTTGGATGACCCCGATTATCTCAACTATGGAGGCATTGGTGTTGTGGTTGGCCATGAGCTTACAGTAAGTCAACGTAAAGCATTTGGACAACAAACAGAGGGGCGGATTTGAGGAGAGAGGGATGGGGAAAGGGGCAAGGCATAGGTGCCTCCTCCTGGACCATTTTTGCTAACGACTGCGTACCTATCCTCTGCACCTCCCGCCGTCCATCTGCGCGTACAAAGATTATTTTTTGGTTTTACTGACCGCGTGACTTCATTTTTTTCCATTAGCATGGTTTCGACGATAATGGACGACAGTACGACCCCGAAGGCAAACTCCGCCAATGGTGGACTGACGAAACGGTGGAGGCGTTCAAGGTTAAGGCTCAGTGTTTCATAGATCAATACTCCAACTTTACCGTCAAAGGTCCCAAGGGCGAGGAAGTTCACGTCAACGGAAAACTAACCCTAGGAGAGAATCTAGCAGATAATGGAGGTCTGCGTGAAGCGTTTTCTGCCTGGAAAAGGCGATTCGATCAGGATGTGGACTTACCGGACTCTGAAAAGAAGTGGAACAACGTAATTCTACCTGGACTAGAGCATTTGAGTCGAGAGAAATTGTTTTACGTCAATTTTGGCCGAGTTTGGTGTGGCAAGTCCACTCCTGCTAAGGCGGTACTTGGGGTGAGTTAGCGGATCAAAGTTTTAATTGCTTTTTTTTATTGGTAATGTTGGTCTTAACTTTGTAACTTTTTCCCCCCAGGTACGCACTGATCCGCACTCTCCCCCATCATGGAGAGCCATGGGAGCGGTTCAGAACTCTGAGCACTTTGCTGAAACGTTCCAGTGTAAGAAGGGAAGCAAAATGAACCCGGTCAGCAAGTGTGATCTGTGGTAAAAAGCTTGAGAAAATGAGATAATAATAAATGTGTAAAGCCCGTTGTCCTACCCCGATACCTTGTAAACTCGAACGGGGCGGTTTGATTGGGTATCTCAAATTTAGTGAATGGAAATTTTTAGTTTCAGCGCGTACCAGGGCTTGGCTTTCTATCCCTTCTCTTCTTTCTCTTTATTCTACTCTATGCCTCCCAACAACAGGGCCATAGAGCCTACCCTATACACATACATCACTCGCAAAGAGTTGAATGAACGGGTGAAGCAAGGAGAACATTTGATCATTTTCAATGACAAAGTTTATAAACTCGATCGCTGGATCAAGTACCACCCTGGCGGCGAGCTGGCTATTCGGCATGTAGTAGGCAAGGACGCTACAGACGAGATCACTGCCATGCACCCAGCGTATATTTACGAGAAAACCATCCGGTCATTTTATGTTGGCGAATATGTGGAGAATCTTTTGCAGCTGCCAAGCAAAATCGCATCTGTCCTTCCCCCTCCTTCTGAGCCAGTCCTGTCTGATGAACACCGGTCCAACGATCTGATCACACGACTTTACCTTGAGCACAAAAAAGCTCAGGACGATGTCTTCCTTGCACCTCAAGCTGACATACAAACTGTACGCTCTCGGTACAGACGTCTGGAAAAAGAACTTGTAGCAAGAGGCCTTTTCCGTTGCAACTACTGGAGATACGGAAAGGAAGTCTGTCGCTATATCACCTTCTTCTATCTCGCCCTGTACCTCACATTGAAGGGCACTGAGACCTGGCACTACCTTTTAAGCTCTGTGTTCATGGCCGCATTCTGGCATCAAATAACATTCACAGCCCACGATGCTGGCCACAATGGCATTACCAGCAACAGCAAGATCGATCACCTTATTGGGATTTTTATAGCCGATTTCTGCGGAGGTCTTTCTATTGCTTGGTGGAAAAGTAGCCACAACGTTCATCATATTGTCACCAATGACCCCGTCCATGACCCTGATATTCAGCAGATGCCTTTCTTCGCTATGACTACCCGAACCTTCAATGCCTACTCTTCCTATTACAAGCGAATTATGGCATTCGATGCTGCTGCCAATTTCTTAATACAGCACCAACATAAGCTTTATTACATTATTCTGGCATTTGGTAGATTCAACCTTCACGCTTTGTCTTTCAGCCACCTTTTGACCGCCCCTGTGGTCCGTCGTCGTTGGTTGGAGCTGTTTGGTATTGTCTTCTTCTTCTCCTGGTTCTCGTACTTCCTCTCCTATGTACCATCTGCCACGCTTCGAGTCGCTTATGTTCTCATCTCTTACATGCTGACTACCCCTCTGCACGTTCAAATTACTCTGTCTCATTATGGTATGTCAACCGACGATCTTGGCCCTGAGGAACCTTTCCCTAGCAAGATGCTTAGAACTACTATGGACGTTGACTGCCCAGAGTGGTTGGATTGGTTCCATGGTGGATTGCAATATCAAGCTGTTCATCATTTGTTTCCCCGCATGCCCCGACACAATCTTCGGCAAGTGGTGCCGCTTGTCAAACAGTTCTGTAAGGACCTTGATTTGACTTATCACGTGTACACCTTCAGCAAAGGCAACGGTGTCGTCCTTGGTGCCTTGAAATCTGTAGGCGATCAGGTACGATTGATGAACGAAGTTGCCCATCACAACGTTGAAGAGATGGTCGCTCCTGCCTCATAAAAAAAATGCTATTTTTATTCCCCCAGCACCCACCGAATTGCGCTGATTTAACAATTTAGCTTTTTTTTGTGTTTTCTTTTCCACAAACTTTTTTTTCTGTTGTATAACAATTTTTTTTTCACTTTATCTCTTTCAATCGATATGATGTTACATGACTGCTCATCCAATAAATTATTTAACCGTGATAGAAAAACTGTTGTCTGCAGATGTTTGATCAGGGATAACAGCCTAGAGAACTTGTAAAATCTTTTTTTTTTTAAAAAAAAAAAAACCAAATGAGCCCATGACGTAACTGGAGCCCTTGACTTGCTTGGCAAACCTTTTTTTTTTAAAAATACTAAAACTTGTGTAGTTTTTAATGATGGTAATTCAAAAGAAACAGAAAATGTCTAACGTATAACGATTTGGGATTGAAACAAAGTAAGAAGAGGGTAATTGCTATGAGTAGAAGGAATATGGTACACAAAGAGAACCCAGAGGTGGAAGAATGATGGAACATGGAAATAGAGCAACCAGTTGCCTTATGCAAAAATTACAGTGGTTCTTTTTTTTTTTGTTTAGAACTTGACGTGAGTGCCGGAAGGACCGGAGGGTCGGTTGAAGCCTCCACGACCACCACGAGCACCTCCACGACCACCACGGTCTCCGAAACCACCACGGCCTCCACGGCCACCGCGATCACCGAAACCTCCACGGCCACCTCCACGACCACCGCCGAAGCCTCCACGACCACCACCGCGACCACCACCGAAACCACCACCGTTGCCGCCAGCATTTTGGGGTCGAGCACCACCAAAGTCAAGACGAACAGCACGACCGAGAATTTCAGCACCGTTCATGGCATTGATAGCAGCTTCAGCACCTTCTTCGCTGTCAAATTGGACATAACCGTATCCCTTAAGGTTACCGGTTTCGCGGTCAGTGGGCAATCGGACGCCAATGACGTTACCGTATTCTTCAAAGGATTGACGAAGAGTGGTATCGTCCATATCGAAGCTGAGGTTACCGCAGAAAACGGTATCAGATTTGGCGCTGAGGGGCTTGGAGCGTTGAGCTCCATTGTCATGGGGTTGGCTACCACGGGTGGGAGCATCATCAATACGAAGTTGACGACCCATGAATTCAGTCTCATGGTATTCCTTGGCCTTTTCCTTGGTCTCGGCATCAGCAAAGTCAACATAACCGTATCTTTTTAAAAAAAAAAAAAAATTTTTTTTTGTGTAAGTCAAATTGCTAGGTAGGCAGTCATACCAATGTCAAAAAAATTTCGGGACTTACCCCTTGGATCGACCAGTCATCTTGTCGCTAACAATACGGGCATCAATGACGGTACCGCACTCAGCAAAGAGTTGCTTAACATCATCGTTGGTAGCATTGTAATCCAATCCACCAATCCAGATGGTGTGGATTTCGTCGGATTCAACCTTGGCAACCTTAGCAGGGTTCTCAGCCTCGGTATCAGCCTTGCGCTTACCGTTGGTGGTAGCTTCAGCCATATCTTCATCCTCCTCGGATTCAGAGTCGCTGCTGGAGGAATCAGAGTCGCTCTTCTTGGCTTCCTCCTTTTCGTCTTCGCTTTCGCTGCTGCTGTCATCAGACTCTTCCTTCTTGGCAACTTCCTCCTCGGACTCGCTATCAGATGAGCTGGAGTCAGCCTTGGCCTTCTCCTCCTCGGACTCGGAGGAGCTAGAGTCAGAAGACTCTTCCTTCTTGGCGGCCTTCTTGGTGACCTTCTTGGTGACCTTCTTGGTAACCTTCTTGGTCTCTTCCTCAGACTCGGAGTCGCTGCTGCTGGAGTCAGACTCGCTGGAAGAAGAAGAGGAGGACTCCTCAATCTTCTGCTTAACGGGCTCGGACTTCTTGGAAGCCTTTGAGGACTTTGATACCTTTGTGGTGGCCTTGGTAGCCTTTGCTGAAGCAGTCTTGGCCATAGTAAATGTTAATGGGAAGTGTGTGAGGGGAAGAAAACTTTTTTTTTTTTTGCTTTAGCTTTTTTTTTAGACCGTCACGCCCAATGTACACGTGATGAGACACTTTCTTTTTTTCTCTTTCCTCAATGCATTGGCGTAGCCTATCCACTTGAGATAAGCGCAGAAAAACGAGCACATACGATGTAGATCACCATTCATCATGACTGTTCAATTTTCATTCATTGTTAATGAAGATATGCTGATCTCTCATGATAAAAGGGCTCTGGATCGAAACTTCAGCTTAGTTGCGATGAAACACCGCTGGAACGGTGGAAAAAAGACTGCTTCCTATTAATGAAAATTTTTTGAGCCAGTTTCAAACCCATATGGCGAACCTATTGTCTTCGTTTGAACGGTCTCAAGAGCAGAATCATATTTCAACTGACTGATACAATAAATGTATGCAGTACCTGATGGTTGTTCCCATCTCGCTCAATGGATCATTAATGAATCGCGGTATTTTTATTTTATTTTTTATGAGTGGTTTGCATAAGTACATGATACAGTGTAAATGGCGGGGAATGGATTCTCTACGATGGGTTTTCTATGGCGTCCGTTTAGACACAGCTGGTGTCGACGGACATTATGAGGACAATAAAAAAAAAGTAGTGATTACATATAATAGATAGTATACAAGGCCGTTCGTTTATGACCTTCGTTGGAAACTCTTATCGGATAGTAGCAATTTCAGTCCTGTAGCGGTCTCCTTGTCTGAGCTGATAGCGTTGGTTCGAATAATACGATTTCGCAACATATCCTTGTTTTCCACCGTGGTGTAGGTGAGTTTAGGTGAAGTGATCGACGTTATTTCGCTTTCTTTTTTTCCAACACCTTCATCTTCCGTTGCCCACGATGAAGCAATACTAGCTCGACGAGACGACGACGCATTAGTTTCCGAACTGGGGTATTCTTCCGACGATGCTACACTTGGTGCTATATCTGCCATGGAGTGGATAGTGTCTCTTGCTTGCTCCAATAAGTTTGCATATTCTCGGACTTGGTTGTTGAGATCGGCCACTCTTCCATCATAGGTATACTGGTTGCTCTCCATCGAAGAGACGCGGGTTTGCATTTCCTCATTGTCGTCAAGAATCTATGATGATGCAAGTTAGCAAAAATGGGCCAAGAAGTTTTAGTATGAAATTAGTTTCATTACCTTGGAAAGATCGCCTTGAAATTGCCGCACTCGCTGCATGGTATCCGTATCCACCTTCTTTTGTGACAACACTGCTCTCTCCAGCAGAATTTGTAGATTGACATTCACTTCTTGTGTCGACACAAGGGTTTGTTCCATATTACCTATGAATCAAAAGAGAGTAGTTTAGAGACAGCATTCTCCTTCAAATGTCGTCGTCGTCGCCGCCTCGTGAAGCAATCTTGCTAAACAAAACGTTCCAGTACCTATGTTCTGAATATACGTACTAACTCTAGTTTTTGTACTCGTCTAAAGAAGGGTCAGTATGCAACAGCAGCAAAAATCAGTAACCATCCTTTGTACTTACAATATCTGTGGCCATGGATTGTAATTTCTTGGTCAATTTATCCATATCCTCGCGCACTTTGCCTATATCATATCTCGTCCGCTCGATATCACGGAGAATGATGTTTTGCTGGTCTTGACCTGATTCTATATCCATTCGCCGTGCTCGTGCTCGAGATGTTCGTAATGAAGATGATGGTCGCATCTTGGGTGGGTTTGTGGTTGTGTTCGGTGTTGGACGTGGCGCTGAGTAGCTACTTTGAAACTCGGTATTATCGATGCTGAGAGGTTGTCGAGATTCCACTTCGCGATTTATAGAGCTATGAGAATAACTCCTGTCGCTTGAGCTCCACCCTAACCACCATGGATGAAACAAATTCCTGATTTAGAATTGGAAAAAAAACCAGGAGAAGCGGATGAAATGGGTCTCTTTTTACCTGCTATGGAATGTCGCTCTGCTGAAACCTAGTGTGGGGTCCGATATTAGTTTTTTCACTTTTTCCTTTGTTTGCTGTCTTTATGTCCCTTACATCACAGTTATCGCTGGTCATTGGCAAACGCCATGCACCAGAAGAAAAAAACAAATATGGAAAAGGGAAAGGGCGGGTATGACGCACGGTCAAATCCGCCTTGGCCAAATTGCTCCGGTCCTGCCCAATGACTAACAGTATAAGCAGCTTCCGTCAATTCTGAACGATGTTGTAGGTATTTACAGGTAGCAAGTCCATAGATGATCCAAAGGGGAGTATTCAACAGTTTTTGCTTGTGCTTCAGGACATTTAATTATCCGCAAACCATGCAGATATTCAGAGTAATTTATGAATATTGCCCCTGATGCAACCGTCAATGGTTACTTAACGTAGCTGCACATTTGCATATATCTAAGCTATAACATTATCAGCGTCCGTGCTCCTCATAATACCACTATGCTAAAACATCACATGGTGATCAGGTTCTCCGTGAACCTCAACGAAGCAAGATGGTTTAAATGGTTATATTTGATTATGGGCTTGACTTAAACACCAAAATAAACTTTTTTACGCTACAATACTAAAGTTTCCAGCTGAAGGAAGGTTCTCAAAAAACGGAAAGAATTGCTAAACAAACCGCCAGCCATATGAGTGAGTGGTAGGATGGCTTTCAGAGCAGTAAGCGAAGCCGGGACTACTTTTTGATGACAAAAAAAAAATTCGTAACCGCCCCCGTGACTGACTCCGCTTGGAATAGCACAAGGGCTCGCTCGAGGTGACTGGCACATACACATTCAACACAAACACAAAATGCAACCTACCATCGCTAGAGCGGCTCGCTTGATTCAATTCGTTGGCCCTCGAAAGAACCTCTGGAAGGGCAAGTATTATGAACTTACTCACAAAAACCCTTACTTGGTCTAATGCTTTAACTATAGACAGTGCACCTCATGCTGGAAAGCATCCTTTAGAACCAGCCAATCTTGAGAAGCACGTCGCTCAAGCCAACCCAAAGGCCGAAATACAACAGCAAAAGGCTGCTACTACCTCAACTGCCAGTAAGGCACCATCAACTGGCTCTTCTGCCGCTGTTGAGTTCAGCCAAATACCCGCAAGATACAGACGCCCTGTCATCTCGGATATAGAGATGGAGGTTATCCAGGTAAGCAGACGGATTGTGTGAACAGGCAAAAAGCAGCAGAATGAAAATACTTATGCCCACATTTAACACTGTAGTCCGGAGGAGCATTCTAATATTGTCACTTGTTAAATACCTCACTATCAATCATTCATTCTTCCTTTCCTCTAAAACGGTGTGACATTGGGCTTGTGAGCTGTCTATCAATAATATAGAGCTTAATGTTTGTTAATTAAGACCTTTGTGCGTGGTAATGTGGTGGTGTGTTGAGACCCTGATTACTCTTTATTTCAAAAATTTTGCGAAAATTTAAAATTAAATTTGTGGCAAAAGTAATTTGATTGTGGTTAAAGGGATGGCGAATTTACGTTTAATAGTTAGTAAAGCTGCTCTATAGTCCCAGTGCCATTATTGTCCATTTAAAAGCTTGCCGAAAGTATCTAACTCGGAGGTGTAAGACGACCGTACTAAATATGGCAGCTTTGATAGCCTACAAGAGCAAGATGTGTTACTGGTCAATGAATTTCGCGTTGCAACTTTTCTACCCTGACTTACTTGTACGGCCGTCTTCTTTGTACAACCCCAGATACTTTGAGGCCCAGGAGGAACTTGGGACTTGGGTGAACTTGAGGAACTTGGAAGGAATTTGAGGAATTTGGGACTTGGGAGGAACTTCAGAGATTTAGGAAATCGATAGCAGAGATTTGTAATGGATGCTATTGAGGAGGTGCAGCTTGATGCCCAGCTTCTATACTTGTTACTCTCACCAAATCTCGGGCGTCAGAATACATGATTTCCCATTGCATTTCCTGAACGAGTCCATAGCCGTTACGCCGCCCGCTTCTAATCTATCAAGGTGGTCGTTAATCTGTTGGAGAGATTATATGCTTAAATTTGTTTAGTTTGGTTCAGCGTTCACGTTTCTCACACTGCTCGAATAATCTTGCTTATCGCTAAGTATATAAGCCTTGCTCTGTCAGAAAATGAGTTTATTGAGTGCGTGAAAGTCCTCGTTCTTCTATTCTCATCAATGTCTACTTATATGAGTTCGAAAGTCACGGGACTTTCGAGCCCTTTTACAAATTTCGATTGTAAATTTGACATTGATCGGTTCACAGTGGTTTACGATAAAGGGGGGGTTTTTTTTTTTTTTTTTTTTCTCAAGGCCTTCCTCAAAAGGGCTGAGATGGTAGACTGTCATTCTAGACATAGTTTGTGGTCAACGAATATCCATTCGTAAAATGAATATTCGCATCAAACAACTCTTGGATATGCAATATTATTTCCTTGATCAGATGCTGACTTTACTTCTAGTATTTTTAAAATCTTATAACTTACTGTCGTTGATATGTGTCGCCGTAAAAGATCTCCCCTTTGACATGATCGGTACTTTAATTTGTGTAGCCCTTTGTTGGTGAAATTGGGATCTGTACGCCTGTAGTTACACCAAGGCTACTGTCCCTAACACCCAATTGGTGTTGAAGCAGAGCACTTACTTTCATGTGCTCTCTTCTTTATGACACGGTGATTATTTCGCTCAACAGAACCCCAAAATTGCCTCAAGGGTACTGCGAGTAATACCTACTTTATGTCGAGACAAGACTCTTACTTCTGTGCTTTCTCACTAATGACATGGAGATATTCGCCAACAGATGCTAAAGGTTGCTATATCCCATAACCGAACTTTGGGATATCACTAAAGAGCCAATGTTCGAACTTGACTGTTTTTCTTTGTGTTTTTTGGACATGATGATCACCACGCTAACATAGCCTCAACGGAAAAACATGATTAGTAACACCCGATTTCTGTTGAGAAAAGGCTGTTAAATTCATGTGCTCTCTCCTTTATGGCATGGTGTATTCGCCAGCAGATGCCCAATATCCAAATTTGTTTATGCTCCGTTAATGAGGCTAGGTATCACCTACTTACCGTGTGTCATTCATCGCATGGTCAGAGTTATTGACAGTGTAAACCACGTTGATCGGATTACTACGGCTAGAATATACAGTTGTGTTACATGTATAAATCAATACCTTACGGATCCAACGTGGTACTCAACAAATTAGCAGACAATCATACTTTTTTATTTCATGAATGGAAGAATGAGAACCAAGGGAATTGCTATCTAGAATTGAATGATACGTCGAATTGTGCTCGAGAGTTTTACATATAGAGTTATTTGCGAATTTCCGTTTTGAGGTTAAAGGGAAGTCCCATACTTTTGTTGTCACTTTGGATGAATGCATTGATTGGAATATTCAGCAACAGGATATATCATCAGTAGAATTTGTATGATCGACATTAGAGAATGCAGCTTGGAAATATGATCGCTATTTTTTATAGCAGGTATGTTTTCCAGTTTTTTGAGAGTCACCCTACATTTTTCAAAAAATGCGTCTATGCAACGCGGATATTGATATAGATACTTCTGGAAACGCAGTACAGAGTGCTCTTCTAATGTACAACAATATAGCTGTCGGGTGCTCATCGGCATAACATATCAGAAATTGCGAATGGTCGTCTGTCAACTTAGACTTACGGCCAGCTCCTGGCTTTCTACCACTTATCGGTAATCGTCGTTCGTCATCGTCATTGTATGTTTTGATGTAGTGTTGCGCTGTCCTGACGTTAATTCCAGTCAAGAGCGCAGCCTGCTTGGCAGTCCTAACCCTGCTTAATCACGTAATCAAATAATTGTTCAATCTGATGTTCAGTGTATCGTCTATATGGCCCTCTTACCTTTCGTGATTGGTGCGTTTCCGTTGAGCTTTCGATGATTGTCATGGGTGAAGTCGTTTCTGTGGATAGCGTGTGGTCCGGTCCCACCATATCAATATCCATCAGAGGTCTCAAAGGTACCAGAATGTCATCGTCGTTTCCTCCTTCCTCCCCGATATCCATCGGTTGACTTGGTTTTTCCATCATAGTCTCCTCATTTTGCATGGTGGACTCTGTAGAGGTAGAGTTATCAGTTTCACACAATATCATGTTTTCGCCTTCAACAAATGCGATATTACTGTTTTCCATGTTATATGCTCAATATGTAAGGGCTCATAGTCCGTATATTCAATTTTCTATGAAAACCTGAAATTGCATTTATGACTATCCAGGCAAAATATAGCTAAAGTTTGCGTTTATTTTTTTGGACGGTTGGGACTGCTCCAGGGCTCATCCGACGTCTTAAGAGCAAAATTTCCAACCTCGAGGGTCTTGCAGAGCATGACTTCCATTGCAACACGGCACTTCCGACATCACATCGGACGATGCGTCACTCGTTCTGTCGTGCATAAGCGGCCACAACTTCGACAATATGCAGGCATTCCTCCTTCGAAGTCCCGTAAAGGGTCGCCTCAAGGCATAGGGGGTGTGTTTGAGCCTTTCCTCAAGCCTGTGAATGGGTCAGTGGTTCAAATCAATGGCATTGCTTGTTCACGTCAAAGCAGGAAAACTAATCGTCAGTATTCAGATCCAACGCTGAGTCTGTGAACGAGCCTTCGCCAGAACAAATAAAAACGTTGCGAGTTGAAGGTACCTACCGTTCGGTTTATGTGCTTGTCCTTTCGTCCCTTTAAATGGCCGCTCACACTGCACCACTTAGATATTCTTCCTAAAGATGAACAACTCAAAATGATAATCACTGGCGGTGGCATTACCATGCCTATAGAAAAGCAAAAGGCCGTCGTTCAGACTATATTGGATGCCATACAGCAAGATCAATTGCCTTCAATCACATTTTCGTCCATACTAGACCGTACGTTGAACCCATCGATTTCGTTGGATCCCGTCTAAATGCTCACATATTTTTAGTTAGCGGATCAAATGCCTCCCAGCTGACGGCGTTAGGAAATGTCGTCCTCCGAACTAGCAATAGTAAGTTGATAAAAAAAAGGACATATACATCTCAGGCTGCAAAACTGAATTGTGCTTTACAGAGGCTGCTCCAGTTGCATTATGCTTATACGAATGTGCCATGGCTGCTGGTGATGATTCTGGTGCTTTCAGCTACGCCAATATGCTCTATCGAGGTCAGCAAATAAGGACATAACCATCCTCTATTATATCGAATGACCGATACTAACTCATCATGGGATTGCATTATTTTCGTTCAGGTCACGGTGGAACAGTGAAGGACGTTGAGCGTGGAATACAAATTTTAACTGACTTGGCTCGAAAAGGACATCCTTATGCACAGATGAATCTGGCTGCCATTGTGATGCGTACCAAGAAGGACGGAGGAAAGACGGCAGTGCAGTTGTACGAATTGGCAGGGCGAGGTGGTTTGGATGTGGCGTGGACCGAGCTTGGTCGCATGTACCGTGCTGGACTTGGAGTAGAGCAAGATCATAGCAAAGCAGTGGAATACTTCCGCAAAGGTGCTCAGACAGGAAATACACAATGTAACTTCATGCTTGGTGTATATGCGTCCACGCCTCAAGCTGACGGCGCAGCAGATCAAGCAGCTGCTTTCAAATACTTCCAAAAGGCCGCCATCAAAGGTAACGCTCTTTGCTTACCACACCTTTTCCAAAACCTCTCCTAACCCTTCCTTTCAATAAGGTATGCCAGAGGCTCAGTATAATGTCGGTCTGCGTTACTTTACGGGCAATGGGGTTGAGCAAAATTTTGTCAATGCCGCCGAGTTCTACCAAATGGCAGCGGCACAGGGGTTCCCACTTGCTCAGTCAAATTTGGCGCGTATGTATTATGAAGGTCGAGGTGTGAAGCCTAATGTTGAAAAGGCAGAACAACTTTGGCAAACACTGGCAGACCGTGGCGGCCCTATTGGTAAGGATGCCGAAAAGTGTTTGCAGGATCTTGCCAATAGCCAAGGCAATAGAAAATCGGATAGCGGTAAATGTGCTATCATGTAGAAACCCCTGTATACCATATAAACACTGCTTTTTTCAAACCATAATCGCCTCACGTCTCAATGGAAGAATGGATTTTTGTCGTACAGTTTTTATTGTTGCTGTCTCTCTATTTTTAGTCAGTCAAAGCAACGCATTCAACTTCGACCTGAACGTCCTTGGGCAAACGGGCAACTTCGACGGCTGATCTGGCAGGCTTGGTCTCGGGGAAATACTGTAATAGACGCGGGATGAAAAACTGAAGAGAGTCGGGTTTGCATGGAATGAACAATTTAACTTACAGTGCCGTAAACCTCGTTCATGGCGACAAAGTCATTCATGTTCTTGATGAAGACGGTGGTCTTGACAACGCGGTTCAAAGAAGAACCAGAAGCCTTGAGAACTTCACCGAGGTTCTTCATGACCTGATGGGTCTGCTCCTGAATACCACCCTCGACGATTTCACCTACAAGTAAATCAGGATCAGTTTCTCCCCTGTCAACGGTCTACACCCCCATTTCTCCAGCCAATCCTTCATCTACTTACCAGTCTCGGGGATGACGGGAATCTGACCAGAGGTGTAAACAAGGTTGTTGACCTTGATAGCCTGGGCTGTACAAAGAAAGAGTCAGGAGGTAATTCATTTGCCTACAACACAGCATCACTCGAAAAAACACGACACGACGTGACATGTCACGTTTCTGTCAGTACTTACAGTATGGGCCAATGGCACTAGGAGCCTTGGAGGTTTCTGTTACGTCAAGTTAGCGGCTGTTCTGGAAGGGAGACGCGTTTTCATTATGTCGAGGCGGGAGTACTCACGGACAGGAGTAAGGGAAGACATGGTACGTTTGGATAGCAGAGAAGGCAGAAAGCGTAGAGACATCAGATCAAAAAATTATTATTTTTCAAAAATCGCCATGATAATCTATTGACCCAGCTTTTAAAAAACCCCTTTGGCTGTCAAAATAAAATTGATTCCCACAATGTCTGTCCGATGCCTGCACAAGCTGTGGTCGGCTTATTCCTTTGCTCTTTGTGACCCCCCCACGCTCTGCTTCAGTACGATGTTCAGTTCCCGCACACCCTGGCAAAAACGTCATCGTCACTGTTTCGAAGATCGTCGTTGTAGTCAAGATAAGGTTCATTGTGCTAGACTTCTGCATAATTTTGTTTGAACAAGAAAACCTAGGACTTCCTGTACGCTTCTTGATGTCTCATCTCCTGCATGCGTTTCTGGAATCATTGTTTCTGACGCAAATGGAGCGGCCCCTCAAGCGCACACCGCTGTGTACGAGTGCACGGTGATTTGTTACTGTGCAACAATTGGTGACATTGCTAAGAATGTAAATTCCGCTCAGAACGGTAGTTCATTTGGACTCGAGCTGAGAGGGCATGATGTTGACCGATTGGCACTTTCTGTGAGCTGCGACCGGGGTAGAGGAGCTTAACATTGTATCAGATTTTTTGGACTTCCGTATGGGAGCGCGGACATGAGGTGTCGCGCTAATACGGAAACAAACCCTGGAAAAAATTTAAACTCTTTCATTCCAAGCAGTGGCAGCAGCAGCTGGAAAAAAAATGGCTGACCACAGCTGTGGAACATGGACAGGTCAAATGCCTTTAGACATACCTATAAAAGCAAGACTCTTTCCATGTATGTTTTCAAGCTTTCCTCTGTCGCCGAACTTCCGGATGACCAAGCACGAACGGAGGATGCACCACTTTTTTTCTTCCACCGCAGCTTCCGTAGGTCGGTGGATGAACCCTGCTTGACGTGATGGTGGTACGCTTGCACAAGTGGGATGCACGGGCAGCATTGCCGCAAGCAAAATGATACGCTGACGATTTAGCTATGAAAGACGGCGATCCCAGCAAAGGATGCGCGTCATACATTTTAATTGATGGTCGACGCTAAAAGGTAAAGTTTCCGGGGATCGCTGAGAAATACTCAAGCTAAAAGGTAGGACGGACCGGAGACCAGGCGGCTAAATCCAATAACGCAAGCCGACGGAGTCAATAGAATAGAAAAAGTGAGCAGCGACGTTAAGCTTTACGTATTGGCTGGAATGACAAAAAAATGATCCAGATCTTCATCCTCGTTTAAGCCAACAAACAGCAAAACAATCGTCCAGGATTGGCAAGAACGCAGGCGGCGAGGGAAGCAGCACATTGGGCATTGGAGATCCACAGCCAATGAAGGATCGACCCTGCGTGCGGGGTTTAAGCTCTAGCATTATTTAGCCGGGTCGGGGGGAGAGGAAGAAGACAAAGGAGACGCAAAGAAACACTGAGGGAAGGAAAAGCATCATAATATTGGTTTTATGGAAGTGAGATGGTGGAAAGAAGGAGAAGACTAGATGATAGATAATAACATAGTTAACACTGGTTGGTTTGGTTTGGCTTGTTGCCCTTATCCCTTGTGTTAGAAAAATGGGGCCCCCCAACCTACTCTGATACAGAAGAGAGAGTCCATCCAAGCCAAAATGGTATTTCCCGGTCGTTCATTATTATTTTTCCACCTTTTCTTCTTCTTCTTACTCTTGTAATTCCTAATTCTGAAAAAGAACATGTCCGTCACTATCAATAACCCGTCTGAAGAGATTGCTCTTATGCGAAAGCTCCATGGTAACCTTGTTCTTGAGGAATCTGGCTTTCTCAAGAAAGTCACGCAAAAGGACTCTACTTTGAACAAGAAGGCTGCTGATACCTACTACAGCAACTGGAAGGATAAGAAACAGCTCGCTAACAATGAAGAGCATGTTGAAAACAGACGCGAGCACGCTCAAGTCATGACCAACGCTTTCTACGATTTAGTCACTGATTTCTATGAATACGGTAAGTGGACGCTCCCCTTCTTACGAAAGCTATGACGTGCTTTTACTAACCCAGCTATTTGACGCGCGTAGGTTGGGGCCAGTCTTTCCACTTTGCCAGACTCTACAAGGGTAAGATGTCACTTTTTTTCAGGGCGGGAGCGACAGAACATGTCACGCTGGATAGAAAGAGAGAATAATAGCGTGGGCCTATTACACAGTTCCGATGGGCAGGACACCTGGTGGGGGGGGGGGTCATATCTTTTCCTGCCTATGAATCGTCGCACGAATTGAGTGTGTCGCATCATCACATTGTCTTTGCCACTTATTCTGATTTTCTTATTTTTATTTTTTTTCTTTCTCACCTTTCCCAGGCGATAGCTTTGAAGAAAACATCAAGCGTCACGAAGCATATCTTGCTCTCAAGCTTGGATTGAAGAGCGGTGATAAAGTTTTGGTAAGATTGAAATGCCTATTTATGTGAATTTTTACCGAAATCAGTACGCAAGAGGACATTCCATTGACCTGTTATTTTTTTTTTTATCTTTTACTCAAAAACAGGATGTTGGCTGCGGTGTCGGTAAGTTTTAGTTTGAGTTTGTGAAACCATACAGTTTGTGGTTCCTCGTCATTAATCATCCGCCAAATCACCCAGGTGGTCCACTCCGTGAGGTTGTCAAAGCTTCACAGTATGCTCATGTCACTGGTATCAACAACAACTCATATCAAATTGAACGTTGCCAAGCTTACTCTATCAAGTATGGTTTGACCCCACATACCGATTTCGTCAAGGGTGACTTCACCAACATGCCCTTGGAAAACCAAACCTTCGACGGTGTCTTCTCTGTTGAAGCAACAGTTCATGCCCCCAAGCTTGAAATGGTGTACGGTGAAATCTACCGTGTGTTGAAGCCTGGTGGTAGATTCGCTTGTTATGAATGGTGCACAACACCTTCGTATGATGAAAAGGACCTTTCACAAAAGAAGGTCATCCATGCCATTGAAGAGGGTAACTCTATCTCAAAGTTGTATACTACGCAACAGTGCTTGGCTGCTCTCAAGTCGGTTGGCTTTAAGGTTTTGGAAGAAGGTGATGCAGCTATCCTTGACGATGCAACTGAGCCTTGGTACAACACCCTCAAGGCTCCCGAAGGCTTGCGAGGCATGCTGAGAAGCCCATGGGGCAGATTTTACACTCACTCCTTGCTCACCTTCTTCAGTAAGTTTGGTGTTGTTCCCCCTGGTGTTTTGGAAACTTCTCAGCTTCTCAATGACGCTGCCGATTACTTGGTTAAGGGTGGTGAAATGAATATCTTCACCCCTATGTACTTCTTTGTCGTCGAAAAGCCTTTGGATGGGTAAATAGTGTCTAATATCCTCTCACATCTTGTATTTTCTCCTCCTCTTCCCCCTCTTTCGCCACCTTTTTATTCATAGTCATGAGAATTTATTTTTGCCTATTTAAAAAACGGTTTACCACTTTTTTCTTTCTTCGATGCAAGTGAAATCATTGTATTTCATACTGCTTCATAATTTGGCTCCCAAAAAGAATAAAATATCAAAAACAACCTTCGGGACAAACTCAAACAATGGGATCGGGGTTAGGTGAGGTATGTGCGTTGCTGGCATCGCCGTGTATTGTTTGTGGGTAATTATGGATAAATATGTTTATACAATGAAGGCTTTTTATATATTCATAAACCTGTGGTATGCCCCATTCTTCTAGGTTGACCACTATGCTGCCTCTATAGCACGGTGGCGGCCTATCGCTCAGTGGGGGCTATTGGTCATTTTACGTAGACTAACAGGTATCTTGATCATCTTTCCATGCAGGCGATAAAAGCAGTACTGTCGCTGAGGCAGGACAATGATTCTTTTCCTACCTCGTTCAATGTGCGAGTCGAAGACTTCATAAGCGGCCTGATCATCCATACCGCCATCTTGCAGCAATAATTGAACATTGTCATCAAACGCCATCCATTGTTCACCGTGTTCGTCAGACACCGTTTGGAAACACCATTTCCATTCTAGTTGGCCCACCGCTGGATTCTGTCGAGCAGACATGCGAGGTGATTGCATGTGGGATACCGATGGGTCATGGTTGTTGACATCTGATCCGGGATCGAGTTTCGGATCCATAGGCAGGTGTTGTGGAAGCATCGCAGGATGTAGCATTGGACTAGATATGGTGGTGGTTTCTAACATCATGGCATGCATTGGAAGCATGTGGGGTATCCCTATAGGTGGAGCATGGTGGTGTGGTGGGTGATGTAAAGGAGGGGGAGGGCCATGATGAAGACCATAGAGTTCTGGGTATTCCTGTGGTACAAGGTCTGGTGGCTGGAACATTAGTCCCGGAGGATGATGTGGGTGGGGACCATAGTATCCCATCATTGCAGAAGCTTCATCCAAGTAGTGTGAGTCAGCTTGACCTACATCACCCATCCACGGCATGCCATAGGGTATCGTGTGAGGACCACCATACGGATCGAACATAGGCATACCCTTATCCATACCACCAAAAGGATGATTATGCCCCCATGCCGACGGACTATGTCTTGTCACCTTCCAGTCCGAACTATCTCCCTTACGCCGTCGACTGGTGCTTCGTCGTCGTAATGGTTTCCGTTCAACTCGGTCTTCATCGCTCTGTGCAGATGGCTCATAGTATGAATGGCGTCCTCCATGTTTCCTACGAGAACTGCTCGTCGATAAACTTCGCCTGAGTTGTGGTTTGATATCATCGGACTCATCGCCATCCTTCAAAGCCAGGTTGATTTTGGCCGACCTGTCGATGATTTCTTTCATCTTGGAGTGATACTCTTCGTCATATTCTTGGTTACTGAGGATGTCCATGCTAGTAGTGGAAAGAGAAATCCCTCGGTCGTAATATGTTCAGAACCATAGAAAAAAGAAGAAATCATTAACCGGCAGACCACCCGGCAAAAATGGCTCCATTGTTTACGTGTGACCACATCCAGTGTTTGTCTTTTCCGCGCTACTTGAAAACTGGTAAGGAGGGTTGCTAAACGTCACAGAAGCAAATAGAAAGAAAGGGTTATCGACCGCCAACGGCTATGTGAGGTCTTTTATCAACGAAAAGCATGCCGTTCCTGTACCTACGACATGGTCTAACTCGTTGTTGCACTATTGTAAGAAACCCCACCACTGATAAACATAACCTTCTGGTCACACGGCATCGCACCCTCCCAAAAATCCATTCAACAGGTCAGCTGTGTTGCAATAAACCCGATTTTTTTAATAGGTCGTTAGAGTCAGTGAACCGACACTGCTGAATGTATAAATAACAATCGGTCCATTACGCTATGTGACAGAGATGTGATGGTGTTGTTAGGGAGGTACTGATAAAATGTCGCCATGCAATCATTCGTCGTTTTCGTGTGGCCATGCCACTAAAATAATCGGGTGGTAATATCTTTCGGGAACACTGCGTCTCTCGGAAGTTGATTGATACATCATGGACCGGAATTTAAGTGACCTGATTCTTTTGCTGAATACTTTGTGAGAATGATACGCAGTTACACATCCAGCAGTGTGTATTTCGGCGTGCTCGAGCCACTTGCACTGGAAACCACAGATGCCCGCTCTACACAGATAGAGCTGAATGTTGCCATAGAAGTATCTATCGTCTAATCACAAGCTATAGCTGCATGTTAGCGGTTGCTACTACCTTTGGATTGGCTGTGTAGCCTATGAGTCGCCTTCGCACCTCGTCACGGTAATTGGGATTGGCAGGCCGTATGTTTCTTTCAAGCATCAAGTCAACCTGCACGGACCAACCACGAATGCTCAGCGGGAGACCATAGTCGTCATCGTATCATTAACTGGACACACGGCAGAGATTAATTATTTCAGTCTTGCTTTGTGCAATGTTTACCTCCACAAATGCCAAAAGTACCGCTGTGGGAACCACCACCAAATTGGCATAGCCCTGACCCACTATCATCCGGCCTCAGCAGACTTTTGTTACTCGAATGATATCCTCACCCATACCTCAACTGTTACTTCTTGAAACTATACTGCGTTTTACGTCACTTGCGTATAAGTTGCTAGGAGAGCTTATGAACATAAGATTGATCTAATAGTACCCCGACCTTTCATCAGTTGCACGTGGCTATGTTCAACTTACAGCTTAGCGATTTTTGCGAACAGAACTTTGCGAGACCACATGCAAAGCTTAAAACACGTACTACCGGAAAGTGCCCGTATGCACCGTTCATCTCTTCATCATTCTAGACAGTAAATCGAACCAAGAATCGCCATCCTCCTACACTATGTAGAGCATTATTCAACACTCAAAAGAAGGAAGCATGTTGCCTACCTTGACTGATTTCATGAGCAGGCCAACAATGCAAAACACGCCGTCTTACTGATGCGAACCACAGTGACGTGAAAATTTTCCCCCAAATTTTGCAGGACCGCCTTGGAATAGGATACCGCCAAGTGCTACAACCTTGATATTTACAAGCTATCTTTTCTCCTTTTCACTTTTTATTCAACCATGGCTGGTCTTTATGCCTTGTACGCGCAATTTCTCACCATGCCCCTTCCAAAGGGGCCGTTCACTGACCAAGTGGTGATTATCACGGGTTCAAATTGTGGTATAGGGCTGGAAGCTGCCCGTCATTACGTTCAACTGAACGCCAAAAAAGTCATCCTTGCCGTTAGAAACTTAGCAGCCGGAAATGACGCCAAAAAATCTATTGAAGAAACAACAAAACGCTTAGACGTTGTTGAAGTATGGGATCTCGATATGTCAACCTCTGCTTCTGTTCAAGCGTTCGTCCAGAGAGTCAAGACAGAGCTGCCTCGACTTGATGTTGCGGCATTAAACGCAGGGGTGGCCACCATCGAATGGACTGTCTCCCCGGACGGCTTTGAGCAGACGCTTCAAGTCAACGTCATCTCCACTGCTCTTCTCGCTGTACTTCTCCTACCCAAGCTTTATGCTACTGCTGATGAATATGGCGTAACGCCCCGACTCTCCATCACGTCTTCGGGGATTCATGAGGTTTTGCCGCTGCCTGAAGTGCCGCAAGACGAAAATGTGATCCAGTGGCTCAACACTGAGAAGCACTTTGATACCAAACTTGGCTATTATCAGGTCTCCAAGCTGCTCGAGGTGTTTTACTTTCAGGAGCTCGCCAAGCATATCAAGGAAAGAGAAGCTGGCAAACCCAAAGTCATCCTGAACATGATCGATCCTGGTCTCTGTCATTCTAACCTGCTTAGACATCGTGATTCGCTGATGTTCAGAGTGATTAAGTTTCTCCTTGCAAGATCATCTGAGGTTGGCTCGAGAACGATCGTCAATGCCAGTGAAAATGATAATTTTGAGACGCACGGGAAATACCTCAGCAACTGTGTCGTGTTTCCGTAAGTATGTCATACTGTTGAATTCCGTTGGTAGTCGTAAGAACTGACATTTTTCGCTTTTACCTAATAGTACTGCAGAGCATGTGAGAAGCGACAAAGGCAAGGAGGCACAAGTGAAGATTTGGAACGAGATGCATGATATTCTGTACAAGATCAATCCCGAGACAGCTGCCATTGTCGATGGACAGTAGTGCCTTTAGTCATCCTCGCTCGATGAAATTTTTCTATGCCCGTATTCTACCATTAGTGATATACCATCCACCTTTGTACACAGACAAGTCCGCACTTGTCAACTGGAGCTGCTTCAACGGTTTCAGTGAATAAATTTAGTATACTTTTAGTGCTCAGAACGGACTGTAGACATTCCCGGTATAGATTCACTGTCGTGCGGTTCCGCCGGTTGTTCATGCTCCGCATTGACGTCAAGGAAGTCCGTTGGTGACTTTCTAAATTTGAATACCCTCCACCTACGTTCCAGCGTGTGGCACGTTGTACGTAGCAGGCATGTATGATGCTATTGGAATGTATACAACTTGAATCTAGAAGCGATATAAAATGCAACTTGGCTACCATGCCGACAATGAACAGGCTTTAAAAACAAGGAATTGCGTACCAAATTCAAGCTTCCACCCAAGCGCTGCGTGGCAGGACGACAGGCAGAAAATGGCAATTTACGCTTGATTGCGTGCATAGATATTGGAAGTCCGTTTGTGTGCCAAGCGTGTGAAAAATGCGACAGGGTCGAAAAATTTCTTCCTCATTTTTATCTTGCTTTAATACAGTCTTTTTTTGCAATGGCTAACGATTCATGCCCTCCCAAATGCTTCAACGGTACTCACAACCACGTCAAGAGGTAAGTGTGCATTTGATATTCACTGAGAACCTTTCAACCTTTTCCTAATGAACCTCCATTGCAAGTGTCCCTGAACCTAAAATTCTGGACACTATCTTGGATCATATCGGTAACACTCCTATGGTGCGTGTTAAGAAAATTGCAAAGGAAGAGGGCCTCAAGTGTGAACTCTGTAAGTGTAACTTTGTAGAGTGTGAGCATTGAGCATTACCGAAGCTAACAAGGTGATTTTTTTCGCTCGTCCATAGTGGCCAAGTGCGAGTTTTTCAACGCCGGTGGATCTGTCAAGGACCGTATTGCCAAGCGTATGATTGAAGAGGCTGAAGCTGCTGGCATTATCACTCCCGGAGTCAGTACCATCATTGAACCTACCTCTGGTAACACTGGTAAGTGCTTTTACTGTAAGACTTTGACCAAGATTGTACCCAGGTCTGACGCGGCATATTGCAAATCTTTGTTAGGTATCGGTTTGGCTTTGGCTGCAGCGGTTAAAGGATACAGGACCATTATTACACTTCCCGAAAAAATGTCACAAGAGAAGGTGGATGTTCTCAAAGCGTTGGGAGCAGAAATCATCCGTACCCCTACCGAAGCTGCTTGGGACGCTCCTGAGTCACATATCGGTGTTGCAAAGAAATTGCGTGATAGCATTCCTAACGCTGTGATTTTGGATCAATATGGAAACCCTTATAACCCAATTGCTCACTACGATACTACTGCTGAAGAAATCTTGGCCTCTTGTGACGGACAAGTTGATATGTTGGTTGCTGGTGCTGGTACAGGAGGTACCATCTCTGGTATTGCTCGCAAACTTAAGGAGAAGTGCCCTAACGTCAAGGTAAGATACACAAAACAACACCTTTGCTTGCATTCCAGTTTTGCTAAATGGCCAATTGTTCAACAAGATTGTTGGTGTTGACCCTCACGGTTCCATCCTTGCTGTGCCAGAAAGCTTGAACACTACTACAGATTCATATCAAGTTGAAGGTATCGGCTATGATTTCATTCCTGAAGCCTTGGACCGATCCCTTGTTGATATTTGGGTCAAGTCCTCCGATAAAGAATCATTCCTTATGTCTCGAAGACTCATTCGTGAAGAAGGTATTCTTTGCGGTGGTTCCTCCGGTACAGCTATGTGGGCAGCTGTTCAAGCGGCCAAAGAATTGAAGGAAGGTCAAAAGTGTGTTGTCATTCTCCCTGATTCCGTCCGAAACTATATGACCAAGTTCTTGAATGATGACTGGATGCGCTCCCGTGGATTTACTGACGATGCGTTTGAGGCCAAGAGTTTTGAAAAGAAGGCTGAGAAAGATTACCATGGAGCCAAGGTTGCTGACCTCAAGCTCAAGGATGCTGTCACTACCGACATTCATACTACGTGCAAAGATGTTATTGATATCATGAGCACTAATGACTTTGACCAAATCCCCGTCGTTTCTGGCCCTCAACGTCGTCTTCGCGGTTTATTGACCCGTGGTAACATTCTTGCTCGTATTGCCTCTGGTCGAGCCACCCCAGCCTCACCTGTTGAGGATGTTATGTTTCACTTTGACAACCACAGCAGTGACTTCAAGGAAATCACAGACGAGACCCCTCTAGACACCCTTACTCGTTTCTTTGAAAACCACTCCAGTGCTGTTGTCACTCAAAACGTGAATGGAAAAGCCGAGGTCAAACATATTGTCACCAAGGTAGATTTGCTTTCCTACCTTGCGCAAGGCATCAAGTTGTAATGGAAACCACAAGCAAGTTTATTGAGCAAACTACTAGTACCCTTTCTTCGTATTTCTTTTTTTGTTTTTTTTTGTTTTTGTGTACACGCTGGATTTTGTAGAGCAAGGGCCGATGGTTACCTTACCGAATAGAAAGTCACCGTCCGCACCTTTTTGATTTGTCACATAAAAAAAGATCACTTTCCTGATTCATCCAGCAAAACCTCTGCGAGAACTAAACTTTTAATTCTTACTGCGTCGCATGGATGTTTACGCATTGACAAGGAAACAGCGTCCTAGTCAGCTCACTATGGGTCCCTCACAGGCAAACTCTATCCCAAACAACGCCCATCCCTTGTCACAACCATTACAGCGGGAATCCCATCACCAGTCGACACCGTCTGCTAATCAGTTGGACATTGAAGCACAGCTAATGGCGACTAGAGCTTTACGGCGATCCAGCATTTTGTCAACGCTAGCCATTGGCCCGCCTTCACGAGATCATTGGAAGGTAAAGCAATAATGTAACTAAAAGCGACTTCGTGTGGCATGGCACTAAACTTATTTTACTTGTCAGCCGGACTCTGAAGCAAGCCAGTGTGCATACCCTGGTTGCAAGAATCAATTCGGGTTATTTGAACGACGACATCATTGTAGAAAATGTGGCGATATTTTCTGCGCTATGCACTGTTCTAATTATTTTCGGTTGGATCAGTCGATTAATTTCAACCCTCATGGTGACCTAGTGCGAGGTTGTGACATTTGCGCAAAGCAACATCAAAGGTGGTGGTCCATTATCCGACGAGCCAGTTTAGCTGCCAAGCCAGAGGAGAGTATCAACCCTCCTGCTGAACTTGCGCCTGCCGTCTCGGACCATGAGCGATCCTCATCAAGGCGAGCCAATATTATGACCAACTTGCCTCCCCAGGATATGGAGGGTATATCCGAACTAGGCAGAGACGGTACGTATGACACCATGGTCATAGGCACTAAATCTTATATGGCACTAAATTATATTACGGTTACTAGACATTGTGAAGCCGACACAGGATTCGCCGGCGGCTGACAGGTCCATTGACATCAGACAACGCATAACCGGTAAGCTTTTATCATCATCTTGTGACCAAAAGTGCGTGGATACAATCATTCATACAAATGCAACGTCTTGCAGACCCGACCTTTAATCCTATTGCATCTGTACCAGCCGACTGGCAATGGTCTACATTCTGATTTATCGTCTTCTTTTACACGCACTTTTTACATTCTATATATCCTCCATTGTTCTTCTGCTATTACTATTGGCCTATTGTTTTGCTGGCCCTTCTTCTTTCTTTTGGTTCTGACCTATGCATTGGATGTATCTCGTAATTTATCTATCATGTCGTTATCTCAAATTGTAACATAGGGGTGGGAAGAGTTACATCGCAACATGCCCGTATTTCTCACAAGCGTGCACCTTAGGCTTGGTTGGTGTTTGTGTTTGAAGGAAATGAAGTAATTGGGATTCCACAATGTGATAGGGTAGATTTCAGCCAGGCCAGTCTCCAGTGAAATTAACGGGATTGGCGGTACATGAATAGTATATTGTCTCATTACCTTTGAGGCACCTTGTCCGGTTCTTTAAGTGAATACACTAACAAACAAAAGGTTAAAATAAACATATAACGTGTACCAATACAGTAGATGGGAAACAAGTATTTAGGGTTTATGAGACCATTAGTAGAAGAAACAGTTTCTAGCTTGCTAAAGCTGGGCTGAACTGAACTGGCGGGAAAACAAAAAGGTATTAGGGGCGCGGGGGACAATCCAATTCAATTAGCAGATACACACGCACTCTTAACGAGTCAGACATCTTGAGCTTCTTCTTCTCACTTCCTCATCTCCTTTTTTTTTCTTTTGAAAACAGAAGAATGAATCAACGCCATGGTCGCTCAGGCTCCATCTCATTAGCTCGTTCGTCCAAAGGTCTATTCATCGATATGAGAAAAGCAGCTATCACCACTAAGGTGACCGAACTGGTGCTTCACAGCAAGACAACAGAAGACGACACTATCATGACCACCTTACCTACATCGCCTACCACCTCATCTGAACCTATAAACCAACGCTCCATCTCAGGAAGAATGTTCAAGTCAAGTCTGAAGCGACATGCCTCTGTAAACGACTCGGCGGCGTTTCTTGACCAAGGCGATCACAGTACATTCGGGGTCACTCAAACCAGACCCAGTGGTCCCCGACGAAGGCATGCTTCAGTTTCCGACATCTTTAACCAAATCACTTCCTCCTTTGGTGGTGCGAAACACTCTAGCGAACCCCAATTCCCTGCACGGAGGTATTCCGCTCAAATGACTGACTACGAGATAGGTGACCTAATTGGTAAATGATCCTTATATTATTGTTGACGATCTACAACGCCGTCCCAATATATAAACTAACCTGTGCCTCTCCCTTCTTCTTCTAATAATATCCCACATGCCATGCCAACTCAGGCTATGGAGCAACGGCGTCTGTGCATCTTGCTCACTATGTGCCCAGGAACGAGAAAGTCGCCATCAAAATGGTGGATATGGATCTATTTGCTCCTCGACAAATCGACGAACTGCGGAAGGAATTGCAAGTCATGAACCTCTGCCGTCATCTCAATCTACTCCCAGTTCTGCAAAGCTTTATATGCGAGTCCAAATTGTGTATCGTCACGCCAGTCATGTCTGCAGGTCAGTGGCTAAATGCATTGGTTACACTGGACCGCAATAGCTTTACTAAAATTCAATGTTTATATTGTAGGCTCGTGCCACGATATACTGACCGTCAATTCCAATGGATTGGACGAGCGAATCATTCGATGGTGAGTCGGCTTTTCAGAAAACTTTTTTTTTGTTTACACCACATTTGTCTAATGCATTTTGTTTTGTCATATTAGCATTCTAAAACAAGTTTTGGATGGCGTTTGTTACTTGCACCAAAACAATCTCATTCATCGCGATGTAAAGGCGGCTAATCTGCTGGTAGACAGATTAACAGGAAATGTCAAACTAGCGGATTTTGGTGTGTCAGCTGTTTTGACCTTGGCGGAAGCTCAACCTCAATCCATCCTTAAGAATGGTCGACTGTCCAGTGGAAGACGAAAAGCTGCTCGCAACTCCTTTGTTGGAACACCATGTTGGATGTCACCAGAGATATTAGAAAGTCAAGGATATGACTGCAAAGTAGATCTCTGGAGTCTAGGTATAACGGCTTTGGAACTAGCCTATGGAAGGCCCCCCAATGCACACAGTGACCCCACCAATGTATGTTTTCATGTCCGCTTATTTCTACAAAATGCTTATATCTTTTTACTAACCTTCCCATGATCTCCATTTAGATTTTTAGAAGTATAGTCACTTCCCCAGCTCCCACTTTGGAAGAAGAACTTTGTTATTTCGAGTACTCCGACGAGTTTAAAGACTTTATCGACTGTTGTCTGGTAAAGGATCCGCACCAACGCATATCCGCAGAACAAGCCCTCGCACATCCATTTTTCCGTAAAACAGCTTCGCCATCTATTATTGTAGACCATTTATATAACACTGATTACCAAAGTCGCCGCCGAAGATATCGTCCACAGCAAGTGAGCATCTCGTCCTACGATAACGATATATACGATACCTGGGACTTTCCTCCTGCCATCGATACGTCTGTTCCCAAACTCTTCATTACAGAGCCCGAAGGTGATAACCCCAATTTCGTCGATTCTCCGAGCGAGTCTCCTGTCACGCCTGCCGATGAAGTGCAGCGACCCATTTGCGGCACCAGTAATAATGCACATGTAAAATTTCGCTCCGATCACTTTATTATTCCGTGCCAGCCAGTGTTTCATGGTAGACGGACATGAACAAAGGTTTCCTCAGAGTTTGCACTTGGCATATGTAGGCAGGTCCTATAGCCATTAGACGACGGCTTCGTCTGTATAACCGATATATAAATTTTGTGTTCTGTTTCTTTTTTTTTTATGTTTCGTATAAATCATGTATTGAGAAATGGTTCGCGTCGATTGGTTCAAGATGACAAACAGTTTGGGTTCATTTCAGTTCACAAACATGGTATTTGACAACGTCAGTGCACTGAAGACCACGTTGGGTTACACAGTACCGATGTCCTGTTCGAAGTTTGGCGGCCGCTCAATTATCATTACGTGGATTGGAGGGAGGGTTTCCACAATATTTTTATGTGGAGGTGTTAACATGATTTGGTCAAAACTGATTTGACATGTTGCCATGAAGCAAGGTACGTGAAACCAATTGCTGATCAAACATAAAATCTGAGAAAAGGAATTACATTGGCGCACCACTGAATACAAAAGGAAAATAGTTTACATTGGACGCACGCCATTGTGGCTTTGAAAGAAATAAAACAGTAGAGTTCCACATTTCAACTCAAGTGAACAGTATCAATGTGTATCGCAAAAGAACATAAATGTTGTTCATTTTGCCAGGTAGTTACTTTCCAGATGCCATAGACAGAGGCTGGTAACCCCCCATAGCCTACAATATGAAACCTTTGACACATTATCCTTCCAAAATCACTGAGGAACAAACAAAAGCTTTGTCTTAACCTCTGCTTTTAATTGGAATAAGGCGCTACTGCATAAACAATTCTGGATATTCTCAGTTGCAAAATATACCATTTTGGAATACCATCTAGGCTTCTAGTCGAGTTGTATTCCCAGATTAACCGCTGCTATCTGTAAATTGTTCATTCCAGTAGTCTTTGACGGTAAGTACAGAGCATGTCTCAGCCGGCAAAAATGATGCCTTTGGATAGACGATTTGAGCGATGTCTCACCACCGGACTGGGCTGACGTTGTGAACTGACGCACCAAAGGAAAACCGACAAAGCATATTGGTTGGTAATAGCTTTATTTTCTTACTCACTTCCTAACGAAGTATCAATTCACTATGGTCCCGCATTTCTGATTCTCTGGTTGTAACAAACCATCCAGGCGCAATTCGACGACAAGAAGCTAACTTCTTGGTATATAAAGGCTTTACTAATACGTTAAAAAGCACCACTTTGGCAAGATCCAAGATGTCAAATCACAACTGGAGCTTTGTCACAGATCAACCATTCCAAAATGGAGAGGGCTTGGAAGAAGTTCGCATATGCCGTGTTTACTAGCCAAACTCGTTCTGGCCGTGCATTACAAGTCGTGTAGATCACCCATAGAGAAGTGTACCCAAAGTGATCCATGTATCTACTGCCGAGAGATAGGATGGAGCTTGGCTCATGTTTTCGTGGATCCCATAGCTCACGATGACCGCTGTCGCTTTGCTAATGGTTCTTTCATTGGTTCATTGGATTCTTCTGAAAGCTCTTCTGCTGATTCTTTCAGCACTTCATCTGACGTTAGTTTTTGTGCATCGAAAAAGAAGTCCTCGAGAAAGATACTACACATGTTGTGTAAAGGGACGTTGACATTTTCCGAGCTGCGCACACCCTCCAATGCGATTTTCAACTCAGAAGAAACAATAGCTTTTGAAAATCGTCAGAAGAGTCCTCAATAAGGTTCGTTATTACGACAAATTAGACTTACAGTTTATATTGTCTGGCGTACAGATATGCCACAGAAGACAGACGGTTGACAACAGAAATTCAGAGGTATACTTGGTGTTGGCCAGAATAATCTGTTTGCACAAGCCGATAACCACTTCGTCGTTGGCGAGGCGCTGTTGCACGCGGCGATCTTTGAGCATCGTTGAATTAGCTCCATACAATTCAGAACTTTCACAGCATAGATTATTATGAGCTTACCTAGTGCATTGTTGCACAGGCCGAACACACCAATTCGCTGAAGCTCATCGTCACCTCCAGGATTTGATAGAGCGTCTGGTACAAAGTGCATTAGATATCGCCCATGTGAGTCTCGCCTTATCCCGTTCTTACCTATAAATAATTCTACAACTCCCTCTTGATAGAGCCATCCATAGTTTATTGGATCATATGCAAAGTTGCCTAACGTAGCTAATATTTTCCGCTTAGTGTCTGAAAATCGGTTTACATTAGATCTTGTTGTCATGTTAACAGAGAATGCACATATTACAAGCCTTAGCTACCTGGTGTATCAGCTTTCTTGTATTCCTCTACGAGTTGTTGCAAGTACTCTTGTCGGGACTGGCCATCGCGACCTCGGCGGCGTTGAATGTGAGTGAAGGTCTGAAACATAAGGTTAGAGTGTGAAATTCAAAAAGTGGCTTGGTTTCGTTCACTGTTAATCTTTCAATACCATATACCCAAATTCACTTTCATGCATCGCCTGTACAGGGTGCAAACACGGCAATGCATGTCAAATTCTTTGCCTACGCTTTCACAGGCGTCACTTTGTCAAGGGAATAAACTAGCATCAGCGTTTTCCTACACAACCCGGAATTCACCATGCCTGGAAATGACATCTTCCATTGTTCGACCGACCTCAGGAACGTCTAGAATGCCGTGGGCAGTGTCAGTAGATTCTCATAGATATGGACGCAAATGTCTTTTGTCGACGTCGACGAGATTCTCGGTGCAGAACACTCGCAAGCCATCGAACAAGTATCAGCAAAGACAAGAAGCAACTGACGATATAAAGCGAAGAACACTGGCCAACCTGTTTCGAGCCATAACAAAAGAAGACAGCGCGGAACGGAAAGAAAAGTTCAAAAAGGCAGCACGCCTTTGCTATGAGCTCAGAGATAAAAGTCTAACTCTTCAACTGCTGGATCAGATGGAAGTGGTTAATTGCCCACCAGACGACGACACCTTGAGGTTCATGCTAATGGTTAGTATCTGGCTTATCATCATTGTCCAGAATGAATCATTTGTTGACTCCAAAAAATGATCATAGGTTGCTGCACCAAATGGAGATGTACTGTTTCAATCGCAAGTGTTGTCACGAGTTGGTGGTATGGCTAGATTGAACTCGGGCGAACTTTACGATGCCTTGATACAGGCCATGTGCTATAACTTGGAGTTGGAACGCATCTTAGATAATTTGGACGAGATGGAGAAGAAGGGTGTAACACCAATCCGCACTAGCTATATCTCGGTATTAGAACTTGCTCTCAAGTTTGAAGATGCCTCTACTTCCATGTTTATCCTCAACGAATTAGAAAAGCATAACATGATCACCGAGGAATATCAAAATATATACCTTAAAGTGTTAAGGTGCGCAGCATTAGCCGAGGAAGTAAGTGATGTTGATGAAATGCGATTCTATGAGCCGTATGTTTACTTACGTGTACCGACTTTTAGTTGAAAATCGCCATTCATTGCTGGGACAAAGGTGTGAAGGAATTTCAGCTAACGCCAGACCACGGAACGATGACATACCTTATGCTTTTATCCGCCAAATTGGGTAGCCCAAGGCTAGGAAGCCAAGTGCTCGAGGAAATGGGGAACAACGGCTTGGCGTACTCTGAGCATCATCTTGCCGCCTTACTCCAGGCTTTTTCAATGTCTGGTGACCTCAAAGGCGCATTTAGCATGCTGCAAATTATGGACTCGGCCGGAATATCCACTCGAAAAGAAACAGCATTGCCTATTCTTCATCAACTTGGAACCAACGTCGCATCCATCGAAAAGGCTATATATTTACTAAAGGAGCTACACACTGAAGGCAAAGGCGTGCATGTCGCAGGATTCAATAGTGTGCTATATGCTGCAGCCAAAGCAAAGCGACTTGATTTGGTGAAAGAAACGTTTTCCCTCGTTAGTCTGTTTGGCATCAAGGCTGACATTGACACCTATAACTGCTTATTGGATGCCAGTATCTTTTCAACGGATTGGGAGTATGGAAACCATGTATGGGATCTCATAAAGCACGCAAAGGTCAAGCCAAACAGCACAAGCTATAGCAAAATGGTTGTCCTTTGCTGCACCCAAGATGACTACGAAGACTGCTTCCGATATCTGGAGGAAATGAAATATTTCAAGTACGTGCCACTAAGGGGCTGCTACCAGATTCTGATAAAGAAATTAGCCAGTGCGAGGGATGATCGAGTGCATATCGCTATCGAAGACATGCGGGCGTCGGGATATGAAGTTCCCCCAGCCATCAGCGCCTTGGTTGCCCCGACATCCACTGATGATGTCCAACAGGGTAGCGGTATAGCGCTAGTGAATAAAGGCTCTACCGCTTCTCAGTAGCGTGGGCACTCGATGGGACATCTTTTTATGTAAACGAATATTAGACAGCAACTGTAATTACGACGATAATGGATGTGGACTCACATACACGCGCACTCATGTACTATAGACAAATTCATCAAAGAAACTAACATCCTAATAAAAAAAAACAATAGCACCCTTTACAATACAATATAAAAAAAGAATATCTCAGTGGGCAGGCGTTAAATGGATTCTCCATATCTCATGGTCCAGCAAAGCAGTTCTGCACGTGAGCTAGTGATGGACTCTACAGCTACCATTAAATCCTCTGAATCAGCTATTATCGAGTAGTTTCCGTCTGCATCGAGGTATTTGAGAGAGTGAATACTGTCATCGTTGAATTTACGTTGTAACCTTCCCAGCAGGGCTGGCCAGTGTTCAGCTTGCGGTGAGTGCAGCAGTAATCGAACATCTTTTGACCCATTCTTGGCTAGATAGGTTGTTAGCATTCGCACGCTCTGACTTGGTTGCTTTGGGTATAATGATGGAGATGTGGGATATAATGTGGATTGAGTTGTAAAAGTGGAAAGGGTATCGGAGCGTTTGGGTGGTTCATGCTGTTTATTCGATCCAGGAAGCGGTTAAAAAATGAGGAGTACATTCATTTCATAGGTCATTCTTTTTACCAGATATCCCATGTTGTAATCGCTATTCTTTGGTTCAAAAGTCATGGTAAATGAAAAAAAAAATGGATAGAAGAGAAAAGAGGCCGAGGGGGAAACCTATCATCCGTCAGAGCTTATAAAAAAGCACGATTTCTATTTTCTGATTTCACTCGCAGCAAAAATCCCTCTGAGCCATTTTGCGCAACCCAGTCACTAAGCCTTCTGGAAATGCGCAGCCCGACTCTCTTGTGTAATGACCTTTTATTTGTATTAAAGACTGGCTTGCCGTTGCATCGTCCAAAACGTATGAGCAGCGACATCTACCTCCAAGTACAAGGCAACTTCGAGATCCTCATCATCTCCTACCACTATCTCTATTCCATCCCTGCTGAGATATTTCAGTCTGTTTATAGTTGGGTCGTTGAGTTTGTGCTGAATTCGTGTGATTAGGCTAGAAAATTTATCTTCGTCTGGAGAAAACATCATTATTCTTGTATCGTTGTTTCCATCTTTATCTTGATGAGAGATGTGTAAGCGCTGCTTTCCTCTTTCTGGGCTTTGTGTCATATAGCTGACTGATGATGGTGACGACGAGTATGTAAAGGCGCCTGGTGAGTGCGGGCGTTCCGAGCTGCTATCCGGTGAGCGGAGAAGATCATCTGTATTTACTGAAAGGCTGTGCTGTCTGTATAGATCTGGGGAAGTGGTTGTAGTTATTATTACAGGAGCATCAATTGAATTTTGATCATCAGGCGTATTCTACAGAGAGAGGGGGGAGTGAGTTGTGAAACAGGGCATCAATGGTCATTAAATCAACTTACGGGAATCCAGTGATCATTTGATATTAACCATGGCGAATGAGACTGTACAGAATACATTTAAAAGTAGGTATATGTATTGGAAAGTTTGGAAGACAAGAAAAAGAGTGAAAAGTTAGGGTAAGCCAAAGTGGAGAAAATTTCAACAATCCCTGTTTCCCCGCTTCCCGTCATACAAATTGGCGGCCATGTGTTTAAGGTGCAACTAGTGGTACCGAACCATAAATTCTCGCCGCCTAATTTTATTCCAGATTTAAGGATTCAATATGATAACGGCAACCGTTGATTCGTGGACCCTAAAGTTATCTCCATCGTCTTGCGCTATACTTTCGGCCATACTATCACAGGTCATGGATTACTAAGAATGGCCAATAGGCGGGTTCAGCTGCAGAGATGCGTGTTTTGGAACCATGTGAACCCAAAAGAAAAGTGTCAGCACTTCCCAAATCAAAACTGACCCGTACAGCAATGAATATTTTTCTTTACCTTGGTACTAGCAATATAACATGGTTATTTTGAACAACGTTTATATGACTTTCATACCAGCTGTTGCCAATATATGAAATTATATTTCTTCTGGAGTGCCTAAACATTTCGATTTATGTCTCAATGAGTAGTTCCAAAGAAGTTAGATTAGGGAAGATCACGTTGACTCTTCAATTACGGAAGCAATTTCTTGATGGATCTGAAACCATAGTAGAAATAATTCGATTGACTATGTTCAGTATTATGAAGCAAATTTGAAGGTAACTAAAACAAAAGGAAGTACAAAGTGAAAACTGCCTATGTTTTGACTTGGTATTCGGTATTCCGAGAGTACTCGCCAAGAACTTCCTAATCATGTCATGGTCCAATCCATTTTTTTTTAGTATGTTATATATTTTAGCCAGGGACAATGATGATGATCTCCATCTTGAAGAAGACACCTTTGAAGCGCTGGATAATTCATTGATGCAAGAAAACTAACCAGTCACTTAAATGTGATATTCTGAACACATTTGTTTCCTCTCATTTCAACTATCGCCTGAATAGTACATCAAACTACAGTGAACTAATACTGATTTCTGAATCAAAAAAATATAGGATGGAAACAATTCCTTTGTTACAACAACTTCTTTCACCTATCTTACATTTGCTATTGAGCTCTTCTGAATTTTCACATAGTATGCTTTGCAAGGCCGATAAAGCAACCCACTGATAGCTTAATCGCCTTTGCCGACGCTACCTTTTATGGGAAATACATGTAATTGTGTCATAAAAATAAAAGACATACCCCTTTCTGTACCTTTAACACCAAATGTATTAAATAGGCTATCCATGCGAAGAGCCATATGCTGGGGAGTTTGTAGATGTTGCTGGGTGTTTTGAAGCCTGCGTCACTTAGGCATTCACCGGAGAAAATCAACATTAATGCTCGCCACTAAGGTGAAATTCGTCATTCATCCCCAAAATTCAGCCTACCTAGTCTTGCCTCTCAATTGTACTAGCGCTGAGAAGGACAAGTCGGTATGTTGAGATAATGCCGCATTAGATTTGTCGAGTTAAGACGTTTAATAGCAGGCGATGACGATTATGAAATAATGAGAGAAAATGATATAAAGAAGTAAAATGGCAGAGCAATGTACTCGACTAAGAAATGGGTGGAATTGAGTTGGGGAAGGGTGGAATGTAGAACGACATTCATGTCGTTCTCAATATTGAAATATTGATTCGGGGGTACAAAGAAATGTTTAAAAGTCCGCTGGGTCAAAAACTTTTAACTAGACTATGGCTTTGAAAGTGCATGTTGTATCATGTAAGCTCATTAATGCTCGATTCTGTCTTCTATACTATAGAAACTTGTCGTCTAATTTTTGATTTCTGAACTGAAGTGCTGTATTTTTCGCTGCGATTTCACCTGAGCAAGAGCAAAACGTTATAGCTATTACTTCCACTCTGGAGAGTCATGAGATAGAAACATTGAAAGGCTGTACGAACACCAGCCTAGCTATACTAGTATGTGAGATATTCATAAATCCTTGAAATTTTTGGATTTTTCTGTCGAAATAGACTTCTGCAAAAGATTCGTTGAAGTCCATCGGCCGTCCGAATATGAGCCTGGAGATCTCCTTCCCAACCAACTCTACTCAGGCTTCAGACACGATTAAAACACTGTAATACATATTTCACCAGCATAAGATAGCCGACGCTATCCACCACACGTCTTTAAAATTGTGTTCTTTCGAAAGGCAAGGTGGAACTTACTACAATCTTCAGTAATAGTGACGGATCCCGGTTACATCCTTTGTTAAGTGTAGTGTGCGACTCGCTCTTTGGATACCTCGTATACGAAATTTGACGTTCTGGTGTGATAAAACAGATATGCTGTAAATTGCATAATAATGCTCTCAACTTCGTCCCTTAAGTTGACCAAATCAATGAAATCACCCTAGGACCTAAAAATACTGAGCTTTTTAAGAGGTAGGCTCAAGAAAGGCTTTGTGAACCCAATATCTTGGCTTAATTGGTACCTGTCAAACCGAACTAATTAAATGTAGCCAGACACAGCACCTTGATACTACATTCACATTTCGATGATGTTATTGGGAGAATATTTATATTCTTCTCCTGATTGTAATGAACTCGCATGGTAAGGTACAGAGAGAGAGGTGCGCGCAGAAAATAACTAAAAGCGCAACATGTTTTCATTAGGCAATATAATTTACATCACAAATGGCAGTTTTACGCTAGGTTTACAGAGAAATAAGGCTTGCGCCTTCCCAAATATGTCATCTCTCCCGCCATTCATGATCTCAAAGAAACCTATTTACAGACCACTTTTTGCGAATCTAATCATCCAAGAAATATGCAGACGTATACTGAGATTGTGTAGCCATATTAAGGCGACCATATATCATAGTTTTTCAGTGGACGCTATGACTGAGAAATCGATTGCACAATCGCCCTGGTTACCATTTACTACTTCCTACAAAGGTCAAAGTTGCCTCTGTCCTACCACAGCATGCGAGAAAGATAACAGTGGGTAGACCCTGTATGTTTTTCCCGTCAAGAATCCTCAACTTGAAGTCAAACCAACTTTGTCAACCCTAGCCTACTAGATACAGCCTTCGGTGAGGAATGCGTCATATCTACGGTATCATTTTCTCGTACCAAATTATAAAGGACTATTTTATTAAGAATGGCACAATGTCATATACTCGAACAGCAAAAGGCAATAAGGTTGGCTTGTCATACTTGGGAACGGGAGCTTTAAAACTGTCAGGCGAAAGAGGTGCATTTTCAAACTCCGAATGAATGCCTTTTGATCTCGTCAACTATACTTCTCGTGACATGGCATTATGCGTCACTGTTGAAGGGTATTCTGGCAAGGTCGATGTCATAGTAGCATACGTCAGTTGGAAATAGTTTTCCCGGGACAATATAGACCTTAAGAGCTTTGTATCTTTTGCTTCATGGTATGGGGTACAATCAAAGTGCTATGGTGGGCTGCGCAAAGTTCACCGGATTCTGACAAACCAAAAACCGCGTCCGTATCGCATAAATAGACCGAATAAGTCCAAAACTCTCTCGTATCCCACAATTTTTGGTGTTCTGAAAATAGTCATTGTATATATCTCACTGGGTTATAGTAATTAGCTTCCAGGTCGAAAAGGACTTTCCAATACTTCCCGGGAGTATTCGGAAAGTTCCGGACTGTGGGTGTTGCCAGCACTACTAGTCCCTCCTGACTTTGGGTAGTCTTTCATAGAAGCGAGCCCTGGCAAGGTTCAGCTGAGAAAGACTGCGAGTTCCGAATTGGCGGCCGACAAGGACGAACTCGGGCGTGGGGGGTAATGGTAGCCGGAGAGCCATCTGATGAGACCTGTGGCAAGGTCGAAACCCCATAACTTTTTTCCCTCTCCAATGCAAAATAAAATATTGTCAGACTTTAATGCTTTATTATCCCAGGTGAATTATTCGTCAAATACTTGTGTAAATACATCGTTCTCTGTAGACTAACTGATATGAGACCGACAAGTCATGAAGCTGTACGCAAGCGTCGTCTCATTCCAATAATCGATTCGAGCTTGTGTGCCTATTATAGTACCATGGCACTTACTCATTCAGCAAAAGTTCTGGAAAGAGGTCTTATTCAAAAGGTGAGGATATTCTCCAGTAACATTTCATCGATATGTTGAACTGATTTCATACTTTTCGTTGTCGCTTGCAATATTAAAAAAAATTTTCTTCCAGAGTTAGTTTTACCACTCGTAGAGCTTCACATGCTATGTTTTCTAATATCTTACATCTTGAGCTTGATGCCTAATAGCAAAGAAACGATACTTTGAAACAAGTGAGTCGTATAGTCTAGCACGTATGTACTGGTGTACAGATAGCATATGAAACAATAGAATTGGGAACGACTCTTGATTCTTCAAAAGCGTATGCGTCCTGCAGCTGAACTTTGCATGGTCTATTCCATTTTATTTTTTTGAGCTATGATGCTCTGGATTCGAATGCTGCCTTGCAATAAAATAACGGCACCATGTTGGAACATGATTCTGTTGAAAGAAAGTACATCATGATGGTAAATAACAACTTCAGCCAATAGTGAAAATGAAATTGTCTAAGACATCCTTTGCATTTTGACTAGTATGTCAATGAAGATGCTATGCAAAGGCTATCAGTTTAATTAACAAGCATCTTAATGACACTCAATGTTATCTATGATACAATATTAGATAGGAAGGAAAGAAAATAATACATGGTTAAACATTTATAATGATCTCGTCTCAACTGAAGACTGATCAGTCATGTCACTACGCTGACTCTTTGAATGTGAAAGCAGTTTCTTGCTGGATCTGAAACTATAGCCCGAACTAGCTCGACTTTTCAATGATCCTTGATCTTCCAGATCGTACATATCCTGCTGTTGACCCTTGCCGAGCTTATTGCGAGTGAATTTTGCTTTCAGCCATGATGCTGAGGATCCCAATGCAGCCTTGAAATAGTTTACTGGTAGCATAAGGTAACCAATGACGGAGCTTCCGATTGATCTACTTGGCGTTGAATCACCGCAATTGTCTTGACCGTTATCAGGTTTTCTCTTGAAGATTGTACTCATCTTTACTCCAGTTTCACAGGCAAAAGCTTTAATCGATTTTGCCAACTTGACAACCATGGGGCTGATAATGATTACAGGCATGCTGAGGACAAAAACTGCTCCAATGGCCACCGGTATGCACATGATAGTAGAAAAGACCATCATAACGACTACGCCAGCATGGACGCCAACTTGTGCCATCAAGTATGAATGGTCGTGCAAGGCGTAGAAGCATGAAAGGGTTTGGCCAACAAAATAGTTTGCATTATCATCGACGTTATTCACGAAAGCAGTAGAGTTGAAATTGTTGCCCGGCAAAGTATAGTTGGCATACATATACAGGGTATTGTCGCTGTCGTAATGCATACTTGTGATGGTACAATTGGTGGGGGCGTAGTGAAGAGAGGAGTCGAGATCCTTGGCCGCTGCGTACATGAAGTAAACAGTCCCTCCACACCAGGCTAGTATGAACAGCGTAAAAAATGTACCTACAAGCAAAATATTAAGCCCAGATCAAACGCTGAAGGTAATGAAGAATGTGACAACTTACTTCCTAGACACCCTAACATGAGACTAAAAGGTTGATAGCAGAATATTTGAAGAGAAAGTAAGAGCAATCGTATTTATAGGACCAGGTTTAGAGTTCCTGGTTGTCAGGGCATGCGCAGCTTAAGTCTTTAGCCGATACCCACCCAACCAGCCACAGCTCGAATAGCTGCCTCGTGACTTTTTAGGAAAGATGCTGTATATCTAATATTTCAACTCCAAAGAATAGCATTTTTGTTGAGCCCATATGGGTCATCTAAGTATGCCTGCTATAGATATAAGACAAGGTTTTTGACAGCGTCAACAAAGTGAATTGCTAAGCAAGGCCATCCATGATGACTGGGGGAGCTGTGTGCACCACAAGTTGTTGTGGCGTAAGGTCCGCAGCTGGAGCTGAGCCTCGCTAACTATGGTTGATGGGCAAAGGAAGTCATCAGATTTGTCAAGCAACGTCATCCATCGTGCTTTGAGCTCTGTCCTACCTTGTTTGGTTTCCATGGTCACTTATTTCGGGATTAATTTGAATGATAAACAATTCCAAAAACTTTCTTTGCTGCTTAACAGCATATCCAGCTCATCATTGAAATTATGTTTATGAAGTAAGACGGAATGGTATTGGCCATCAAATCTGAAAAGACGATTAATTGTATATCAAAGCTCCTGTACTGCTCAACTATGAACCCCCAATACGTCAGCGAAGCTCTCTAAAGTAACAAACTGTTAACCTTTCATAGTTATTCCGTAGTCAATAGTGAAGTAAGTGATCCGAGTTGTTTGGGATTCATTGGGGTTGTTGTTATACCGGAATGATATTTAAAAAATGACATATACTCGACAGCTGTAAGCAAAGTAGGCAACATAGAAAGGGACAGATGATCAGAATTACAAGCGGCCTTGACATGCACTGTATCAGTGGCAATACGTAGTGGCTTTTTCCATATGGAAGAAATTACAACGTTCAGAAATGTACATTGGGTATGATGATATTTTATTTCTGACTTGAACCCTTACCATAGCAAGCACTGTCAGCGGATGGCAGAAAGCAGCCCAATAGTAACTCTCCATTTTACAACATGCTTGTCCCCTTTGCCACGCTGTACTCCTTACTGCAAAGGACTAATTTAGGATTTTCAAATGAAAGTACTGTGTAGTAGATTATAAAGCTGGAGGGATGGAATTGATCGACGGCAGTCGTTACTCCCTCTGAAGAGACAAAAAGAGCAGGTGCGATAGTCATACCATTAACGAAAACGGAACCGAGCATTTTCAGCGAATATAATGCATCGTGGTTCTATGCTTATTAGCTGCCGCTTAGTCGGTCAAGCGGAAGCAGAAAAGAAAATGCTCAAAAAAGGGCAAAAAAAGAATTGAATAGCGGTCGTTCAAACGCTCACTTCACCTGCTAAGCTCTGTGGCGCTCTGGTTCCTTGAATTTTTTTTTTCGTCTCTCTTTTTGCCACCCAAGTACATCTCTTCTTTTTCGCTCATAGGGAATGCAACTTCCTCCATGAATCCTCAACCATTGCGTTCACGAACTCTGTCACACCGTCGCTCCTCTGAGAGACGACCTGCTAATCAACCAGGAGACTTGGTTGTCCAGATTGACAATGCTGACCAACAGCGATTTCCAAACAGCCTAGAACTTCCTAATAGCCCTGTGATGGCGGAAAGTCCAAGAAGTCTTCGTAGCTCCATGTCTTTGGAACCAAGAAATGTACAAGAGGATGTTTGCTATCCTTCCAACCACCACAGGCCCACCAACGGGTTTGATTTAAACGCAGTAAATGATCTAGAAAAACCAAAATTAGACAAATCGCCCAATTTTTCAGAGAAACCAACCGACGGTACAGAAACGCTCATACATCCTGCCCTCAAGAAAATGGAATCCCATCATTCCAATCAAAGAAAATTCAGTTTATATGGCGATAATAATACAAAGGTTGGTTGATCTGCCGGCCTTGAATTATTTGACATATTGTTGTTTTCCATTGGTTTTGTCTCAGGTACTCATAAAATTCCTTTCCATATAGGCTACATCCATGATCACAAGCGACGTAGAGCGATATCTTCTATTCTCACCTAATACTGGAAGTTTCACAGCTACGAACCTATACAAGCTCCTTATGTGCGAAACGGGATGGGACTCGGAAACGGTAAAGGCTTCGGAGATCATGGAGAGCAGCCATGGATGGTGGTTGGATATTTATGCTCCTACTGACGACGAGATGAGAGTCATTGGAAAGGTAACGTTGTTGTCATGATGAGTAGAAATAGGATGAAGATAGAGGCTAATAGGACGTATTAGATGTTCCATATACATCCTTTGACCGTTGAGGACATTCAAACGCAAGAATCGCGCGAAAAATGCGAGATTTTTCAGAACTACATGTAAGTATTATCCAGCTGTATTAGGTTTTTTTTTTTTTAATATTTCAATGCCAGTTAGACTCAGAGATACTAATTACTTTCTGTTTCTTACCTTTTGTTTCAGGTTCGTGAGTGTTAGAAGCTTCATTCAAGACAGCTACAGTGGAGACTTTTTGAAGCCGTTCAACTATTATACCTTGGTATTCAAAGAATGTGCAATCACGGTAAGGCGGTGTTTCTTATCATGAAGTTTTGTTGAATCCATTCCATGCATTCTCAAACTGAATGTTGGTGTCATCAGATCCACTTCCAGACAGGACCAGAAACAGACAACGTCAGAAATCGCATGAACCAACTGAAGGACTTCATTGTTGTCACGCCCGAGTGGGTCAATTATGCGCTGATCGATGATATTACCGACGCTTTTGCACCACTCATTCAACAAATTGAAATGGAGGTTGATTCAATCGACGATCTTGTCTTGCTCCTTCGACAATCGGAACAGTCTGATATGCTAAGACGCATTGGAAGCTGCCGAAAGCAAGTCATGCAGTTGACCAGATTATTGGCTTCCAAGTCTGATGTTGTAAAGGCTTTGATTAAGCGGTCCAAGGATAAATCGTTGATCGAATTTGATTCCACCGAAGAAACCAAGACCCATCACGATGTCTTTTTGTTCTTGGGAGATATTCAAGGTATTTTGTCATTCATGAAATGATTAATTATGCTTGTAAACCACCGCCTCTAAACAGCTTTACTTTATGGTAGATCACATCATCACCATGTTGCAGAACTTGGGCCAGTACGATTCTGTCCTTGCTCGATCACACTCCAACTACCTTGCGCAGATCAACATTGAGTTGTCACAACTGTCCAACGGAACCAACAAAGTTGTTAACCGACTCACCTTCTTTGCCACTATGGCTATCCCTCTAAACTTGATTGCTGGTTTGTTTGGAATGAACGTCATGGTACAGTACCGATGATCGCTATATCAAATTGTTGGTGTATACTATGCTAATCTGTCATTCTAGATACCTGGTGTGAATAACCATGACTACACTTTCTTCACCTATATCGTTGGTGCTATGGTCTTATTTGTCATCGTCAGCATGTATATGGCTAAACGATGGGACCTGCTATAAGCTTATAGCCATGATACCTCCTCACTTTGGGTAACGATACACATCGTACGTATCCCATATGAAACCCTTCTCATTTCAATTCATTTTATTTCAGCATTTGTGTTTGTCGTTCCTCCTTTCTTTTTTTTTGGACAAGACAGACCAAACAATAAACCATATAATTGCATGTAACTGGAGTATCGTGTGATCAAAACGTGGAGTTCAGGAACTGTAACAATTGTGAGCGATTGGAGTCTCGGTTTTTGTCGTCCGATGTTTTGTGTACCTTCAGCTTAATCTTTTTTTTTTTTTTATCATTGCATTAGCGCCTACTTTTTCATCGTGTTGAATGCACCAACAAGTATTACCTTTTTGCCAGTGATGGGATTTCTTCTGTCCTCCTCCTCACTATGCGACCGGCGTCTCCGTGAACTATGTTTTTTCTAAGGTCACAAATATTGATTGGTCAGTTGAGTCAACATACCGCTTTGTAGCTCGCCACTGCCACATCTTACATCTTTTTTGGTCTTCTTGGTCTTCTTATCTCGTCGCGATTTGCGGTTATCTAGACCAAATAATGAGCGACAACATTTACGTAGCCGAAATTTCATCTCCTCCACGTACCTTCTGAATCACTTGACGAGTCGCTCGAGGATGATTCTGAGGAGCTTTGATGAGGGGACCGGCTTCGTTTTGATGACCGCCTTGACCTTTCTCGAGACGATCGTCTTTCTCTGCTACGATGCCGGGATCGATGTCGACTGCGTTCTACGTATTATCCCGCAATTTATGTATGGCAACAGATTCAATCCAGAGGTATCAAGTCAAAGGCATGACCGTTTATCAAAAGCAGAATGTGAGCATACACAACAACGAGGCACTCGCACTCTATTCATAGTTTATAACAATACCTTCTGGACTTTTCGACCGATGCCGACGAGAAGACGACTGGGAAGAGCGTGATTTCGATTTTCGTGGGCTGCGTGAGCGACTTCGTGAGCGACTGCGTGAGTGATTGTGGGATCGGCTGCCTCTGGAACTGCCTTGTCTGGATCGGCCACGATCGTGATCTGTTCTCTGGAGTTGGAATTACCGTTGACGAGTAGCAGTGTGCCCATAATGTCAGACATTACCTTTAAGCATGGTATTTAAAGTATTCGATAGCTTTCGTCAAAGTAAGATCTTATGGTTATTTGCCCACAAATTCTATTGTCTGAATCAAAGGGAAGAGGACTTTCAACAGTTCTTGTAGCAGTTCTTGTATTTTTTGAGGTGCTTGGTCACAAAAATTCAAAACCTTGACTGACCAATAAAACTGACTCAAAATTTATAAAATGGCTATGTAAGCGAAGATAGACACAATATACAAACCATGGCCACGATGATAACTTCTTTGTATGATAGTGAACGCAATGAATGGGAAATATCGTACGTCCATCAGACAAATTTACCTTGGACAAGGCTATCTATCCATTCGGTGGAAACAAGGGGATGTTGCTTTCTTTTTGTTCTTTGAATGGTAGTACGCATGTATTTGGTGAGTACGATTGAGTTAATGGAATAATTGTTGTATATAGCACTTTGTCGACTTTAGCTGGGTATGACCAGCATTGTGTAGTTTATCGCTGCTTACGACTACTGGACTGTTCATTTTGGCCCCTCAAGGTGAATTTCATAGTTGTCGGATTACAATAACAAGTATTGAGGGTGCACGGCCACTACTACCTCAGGCAACTGACGCACAACTCAGTATTAATCCAAACCACATTTTGAAACAGCACTCAATGTAGCAACTAGAAGGGAGAAACCTCCCGTTAGTCTCTCATTATACTCGTTAAGTTCATGTCTTAGCCTCTACTCATTCAATCAGATTTTTCATCTTTATTTTGCTTCCATTGCTTCCAATGCCTTCTTATGCTCTTCTGCCTCGCCGCTGTATCCTAGTCTTTCCGCAAGAATTACTAGCTCTTCTCTATTTGGCTTTGTATTGCCTTCAGAGAGGAGTTGCTTTTGTATAGTGAAGGCGTCCTCTAATCTATCCATATGTCGAAGAGTGTAGGCGGCCGACCATCTAGCAATGCGGTAGCTTTCCTTGGTTCTCGGTGTTTCTTTGTGTTCAACAGCCATTCTTCTGAGCTCGGTAGCCTCGTTAAAACGATCAAGTGCCGTCTGATAGTCTCCTTGGTCAAAACTATCCCAGGCTGTATTGTTCAAAATGATGGCCGCCCATAGCTTAGTGGGAGGATGTGTCGATTTTCGAGCCGTGTCAAGCGCTTCCTCAGACCACGCTCTTCCTTCAGTTGGCCCAGTAGTAGGGTCTAAGATAGCAAGCATATGCGCAGCATCTGCTGTATAGAAATCTTCAACACCAACTGCGGCTTCATATGCTTTCTTGAAATAAGGTGCAGCATCGTCTGGTTTTCCAGAAGATCGTAAAACTCTTCCGTATTCCAGGAGATATCTGATGTGCGGAATAACATGGTTGCTTTTCTGACGAGATCTCTCCAATGTTTCTATTGCGAGGTCAAACTTCCCCTGAAGTCCCTGGGATCGAGCTAATTGTGTTAATGCTTGTGCAGCTATGTCATCTTTTAGCTTATGTTGAAGAATGTCGTCAAATATCCTTTCAATTTCACTATTGTCACTCAGCTCCCACACAGAGTCGAATGCTGGAACTTCGCTAGTTGTCGCCAGATAATGCGCTGACTGTTCCGCCATAGAAATGAAAGCACCATCGAGGCACCTCTCACGGCGGGTCTTTTAATATTTTCTTGAAGGTTACACAAGTGGCTGCTGAACAATAGATTATGTTTGGCTATGTCTTGGATGTATAGCGTCTAAAAATTGTTCAAACTGATCAGGCAAGTTGTCGACGATCACGAAGCTATTATGGATAGGTAGATTCCAGAATCCAGTTCTCCATGAACACCTCAATCTCCATCTCCGCTGAATATTTCTCATTATACAAACATGGAGTATGTTCTAGGTTGCTATGGTAACTAAGCGAGTTTCTAGTTTGCAAGCACGACCAGACATGTTAGGATCAAATTTTGGATAACTGAATGAATGTATGTTCATTTTTCACGCACCTCGAGCAGCCCTATTATACTCGGTTTGTGAGGTTGTTTTTCAGCATTGGTAACGATTGGTAAATATGAAATATGTAATATGTCAAGTTGCTAGGCAACCAGGCATGATAAGGCGCAACGTGGTGTGGTGTAAGACTGATTGCGGTTGCGGACTTAAGCTCGAAGGAAAAGTTACACTGAAATGTTATGAATGTTTCAATGGCCTGAATCGGCTTATTATTATTTTGGCACCATGTCTTGTTCAGCAGTGCTTTCACCGGTTAGTCATCTATCCGGCAAATGCAGGTTCTCACATCTTTCTAGTGTTTCTATACGTTTGCTGATATTACGTTTGAGTTTTATGCTTTAAAAGATATGCTTTCCAGCAATCAATACTGCACTTGCCGGATGTGGTAGCAAAGAAATGGTGAATGGTCTTTGTTCATGGCAATTTTTGACATATCAGGTATTCACAGTAGATCAATCTATGTAATTTCGGGGTTTTCCGTGAACTCAAGTTGCGTCAGGTAACACTAGGAAAAAAAAAAAAGCTTGTGCGATCCAAACCGCCCAAGCAAAGGCAAGTAACACCCACCGTATGCACTATATGCGGTGGCACTAGATGAAGGGCTTGAAGTTGGTGGAGAGCACCATAAACACTCTGGAAGAGCAGGTTCATGCATTACTTTCTTCTACTCACTGGACACAAGCAATGGTGGACTTACCAGGTAAAGCACAAATGCTGCGCCGGAAAAGTCAATTTTCAAAGCCCTTTGGAACACGACATCAATGTGTAGATCCAGAAAGCTCAGTGCAAAAGGGAGAGTCAAACTCTTTGAAAAATAGACGGTGCGCTCCCTATGTACGTGCCCCAAAGTAGGGATGGAAGAGCTATGATTCAAGGGCATGGTTGGTTCATGGTGAGATTTAGTTAGGACACGTGCAGCTTCCTAGTTCATTCATACCCTCGAAATTGAAAGTAAATCGATCAGACGCTTCTATTTGTACCTTCGGTTAGCCACCACTTGAATAGCTTGAGCGTACTTATCCCGTGTGGCTTGCTTCCACTAAGTCTTCCCTTGCAGACATTGTCTGGGTTTCGTTTGTACTATACTTGGCAAGTAGATCCCCTTGAAATTTCTGGGTCCTTGTAGAGAATTGCCTTTGTGTTGGGTCGTACCACAGATATCGCTTTTCTTTTTATAGTCACGAAGCAACCTTACCATTACACTTCTTAATCGTTTCATTTTTTCTCACTACTCCGTCTTTTTTTTTTTTTTTTCGTTTATTCCTCAGAGCATGAAGCTTGATATACTTGTGCTGGCACTTCTGGCTTCAGAAGCATCTGCTGTCTGTATCTTTGGTTTTGGATGTGATCAATCAAGCTCTTCTGCCGTCAACGGATATCAGCTCGCCGTCGATACTGGTAGTGCATCACCGTCCCAAACACAAGGAAGCGGTAGCAACAACAACAACAGCAATACCAGCAACAGCGGATCCTCTACAACCTCATTTATAACGACCGCCACTAGCACTTCCACCAGTGTTACTGCTGATGGTGGAACCAACGGAATTTCCGCCTTTCCTGCTACCACTTGGAATGGACCCCACTTGAGGTCCACTGCCACCAATACCTATAACTCCAACCCTACCAATGCCAACAATGGTGGCAACAGTGGCTACGGCAACAGTGGCTACGGCAGCAACAATAATAACAGCAACAGTGGAACCAAGGTCAATGCTGGTGCTGTCGCTGGAGGCGTCATCGGTGCACTAAGTAAGCGCAAATTTTTTCATAGGTAACATCAGTCAGTACCATAATACTCATTTTGCCTTTATGAACTAGTTGTCATTGGTGCCGCCGCTGGACTGATCTTCTTCCTTTATCGACGCTCTCGTCAACGACGTGAAAACGCAAATTATGGAACCAAATTGTCAGAAAACGATTTTACAGCCGGTGCTGCAGCCGGACCTACCCTACCATCAGCAGCCTATAACGAACCTTCTCGCTATGATAACGGACGACGCTTTGTCCAACAAAAGAATCCTCATCCACCGCCGATTGGATTCAATAACATCACACCCACACAAAAATCACCTCCATATCAAGCTGAATACGGTCAAATGATCGAAAAACCATCTGAGGATACTCCTGGCGGTGCATGGAAGCCCGACGTAGCAGAGAGCAAGCCCAATGTATAAACCAATGCTGACTCTCCGCTGCATAGAGTCCACTCTTTTATATCCATACTGTCACTTACTCTACCTCATACTCGCATGCCATCCATACCCTATTCTGATCTTAGGATGCCAAAACCATCTTGCTTTTATATTACCGCTTCCTAAAGCCTACTATCTATTTCGTGTTTTCAAATATCTGAAAATCCTGAAAATAAAATTCATCCTATAAAGATTACCTTATTTTCGGTATCCATATAAAGTATCAATGAAGACAAATTAGTGAGCCTGCAAGCACGTTTAACTTAAATTGCGGCCAAGGAGGAAAAAGGTTATTCACCGATATAGCCATGATGGCTTGATTCTCATGGGGACGGAGTGGCTCGCAGATGCGACATTGGCCAAGCCTTCTTGTTTACCATGCACGTTTAAAAAAAAAGAATTGGTCGAAAGGGAGCATGAAAGCAGGAGAGTTAAGTAGCAGGAGAGTTGAGCGGCATCTCATTGACGAAAGGCACTCTTGCCACGTAAACTTTGTGTCAGTCTAGTAGAGCGTAAATGTATATCAATGCCACACTGGCCGACACGTTGTTCAGCCAAGTACTTCCACCATCATTGCCACCATAGTTCCACGTTCGATCGAGCTTGACCATCTTATAACATGACGCCATATGAGGTACTTATTTGACTAGATTTCAAACCAACACGCCGCCCTTAAACCAGTTTTTTACTTTGCATCCTCCTCCTCGTCGATTCCGCCCCTCCCGTTTGTTTGGGATGGACGTTGCTATCGTATGATACATGTCAGCTCCCAAATTCTATAAAAAATAAAACAGACGTCATGCGACCTTAAATTAAGACTCACAGCTGCCCTGACTCCTTTATGTGTCTGTCTACAAAAGGGATCTGCATGAAGTAAGCTAGATTTAAGCTATTGATTATGACATAAACGATGAGCAGAGCGGCTTTCACAATAGAATACACAGGATAATACCATAGTTTATACATGTTTACAAAATGGCAAATAATAATGAGAAAAATACTAAAAACCCTCACAATTCAGTATCTCGAAGGACAAGAACGATGGGAACATGATCGCTAGCACCATACGCAGTCTGACGTATTTCACTCTCAATCACCCTGTCTTCTAAATCAGGAGTGATGACAAAATAGTCTAATCGCCATCCTAAAAGCTTTGAACGGCAGTTGAATCGATAGCCATAATATGTGTAATGGCCCTTGGTGGTAGGATGAAGACGACGCCAAGTATCGATCATAGCAGGCAATTTTGGGTCTTCAGAGTCCGTTAGCAATTTGGTAAAATCGGTTCGTTCTTCGACAGTGAAGCCGGCCGATCTCAGGTTTGTTTTCGGTCGTGCGATGTCATCTTCTGTATGAGCGACGTTCAGGTCTCTACCTGTCGAGTTAATCAAAGCTCCTTTCTGTGACTCGCCAATAAGGGCGTAACTTACCCTGTCCATATGACTCGCTTGCCATCCTGTTGCAGACCACGGAGATACTTCTCCATATGTGTGTTGAACACCATCCTAGAGTCTAGATTCTTCAGTCCTTCCCCAGCATTGGGAATATAACAAGCAACCATAACAAAATCTTTAAAATGCGCAGTAATCACTCTGCCACGCGACGATGCTTCATGTCCTGGAATCCCATACACGACTTGACTAGGCTTGACTTTTGAAAATAACGCAGTGCCAGCGTAGCCCTTTTTGTCTTCATAAGACCAGTACCTGTATTTGTAAACTTTATCGTCCACTGCATCCGGGACGGGTTCATTGACCTTGGTCTCTTGTAAACAAAGTACATCTGCGTTTTCTGCCTTCACATAATTGCTATAGCCTTTGCGCATAGCTGCTTTGAGGGAGTTGACATTATAGGACGCTAGCTTGACTCCTCCGGGGGGAGCAGCTAGAAAGTCGTACGTGTCGGGCATAGTGGTATTGGTAGGCACCGAGGGGTCAAATGGCACAAATGCCGTGGATTTCTTTTGCTTTTTGGGCGTTTCTGTATCAGAGCCCGAGGTCACTTCCGATACCTGTTTTCTCTTGCTAGCTTGTCGAACCATGGTCGTTAATGGTCGTTGATGGAGACGCGAAAGTCTGAGCATTGGATTGCTGTCAATTTTTTTGACTGCTTTTATTTGTCCATCGAAGGACGCTGGTTTTCCACCTCTCTCCCTCGCACAAATTTGACCTAATGTCGGCCCCGCGATCGAACCCACGATTACCAGCCCCTGTCAAGCGTTACAGAGCAGGACAAGCTCCAACAAATGTACAAGAATCATCAGACGAAGAGGAGGAGGACGAGCAACAAGAACAACAGCAGGAGCCACCATCGATTCAAAGAAGAGATCATGCATCACAGGCAATTCAATTTGCCCAGAAAGAAGTCATCACGGGTGTTGAACAGGTTGCTATTTCTGATCAAGATGCAGCAAGCGATCGTCGACTTCGGCGACTTAAAGAAGCTCAAGAAGCAAGAGCAGACGAATCCGGTCGTCGCCGGCGGAGGTTTGAAGAAGACGAGCCTGCAGCCGCCCAAGAAGAATCGGAAGACGAGGACGAAATAGCTGCGCAAAGGCAGCGAATGAAGCAGAAAGCGCTTGAGCTGCGAAAAGCACAAGAAGCAGAAAGCTCTCGATTACAAGAAGCCATGCCTATAGAAGAAGAGGAGGAAGATGAAGAAGAGGAAGAGGTAGGCGATCCCAGATATTTCTCAATCGCCGTGAAACGACACGACACACCATTTTTATTTTCTTTCGTCACATACTGACTCTAGCTTATGATCAGGGATCCACCGAGTACGAGACTGACTCATCAGAGGATTACGTAGCACCAAAGTTGATTAAGCCTGTATTTATACCAAAGTATGTACATACCACAATCATTACAACAGCTTTTACTTGACATATCTCCGTTTCTAATATCACTTCTACGTTAGGGATAGAAGAGCCACGGTGATGGAGAAGGAACGCATAGCAGAGGCAGAAGAAGCAGCTGAACGACAAAGACTGGAGCGTTTGGAACAGCGAAAAGTTGAATCGCATCAATTGCTCGCTGATCAGCTTAAGAAAGATGTCATGGGCGAAGGTAAGAGAGAGAGACAAAAGTGTTACAAGCGGCTTCTTGCATGGTATGGCATTAATAACATGCCAACGTTCCTTTAGAAATCGATCCCGACTCCGCGGCTGGTCCCCCTGATGTTGATGATACGGATGGCGTTGATGAGGAGGCAGAGTTTGAGGCGTGGAAGATTCGAGAACTGCTTCGTATTAAGCGAGATAAGGAGGAAAGAATTGCGTAAGTGAAAAGTGTTTCAAGTCAGTGGTATGAGATCAAAGTCTAACTTTCGGATTTATGAAAATGTCAGTCGGGACCGAGAAAGAGAAGAAATTGAGCGACGACGAGAAATGCCAGAAGAAGAGCGTCTTAAAGAAGATTTGGAACGAGCACGCGAATCTCGAAAGAAAGAACGATCCAAGCACCAGTTTATGCAAAAGTATTACCACAAGGGTGCTTTCTATCAGGTGAGTGCAGTCCTCAATCCAAGAAAATCTTCGTCATATTCTGATCTTTTTGGTTTTTTTTTTAAAAAAAAAAAAATAGGATAACGACGACGAGATCTTTAAACGAGATTACGAAGTGGCAACAGAAAGCGAAATCAATAAGAAGGAGATGCTTCCTGAAGTTATGCAGGTCAAAAAGTTCGGTATGGCTGGCCAGACAAAGTACAAGCATTTGGCTGCAGAAGATACCACCGATAAAACATCTGCTTGGATGCAAAAGTCCGATGTCAACCGCCGTACTATGAAGCGAATGGGCGGTATGAAGGATGAATTTGAGCATCGTAACAAGCGCAGGCGATAGGATAGAATCACTCATAATAAAATGTAAATGTGCAATATATAGCATTTTCTTTTCTACATTGGTTGGACTCTCTATATTAATGGAACTAGCGTAGGGGCAATTTATGAATGCCATCTAGTCATAATGTGAGCTACACCGTCGATAAAACCGTCCCATTGTGACATTGCGTTGTCAGGATATGACTGTGAAGATGGATCGAAAGGCCGTAGCTAGTGGGAAAGAGAATGAGGCTATGTGGCAAACAGTGGGCACTTGTGTATTTTGCTCTTACCGTCACTTCCCGGGAGCGGATTCCACCATCTTGATCAATACTGTCGCTCACAGTCAATACGTTAGTGTCTTTCATAAGAAACTCCCTCTTGGTATGAATCGTTGCGCTGAGCAGCGTCATGGGCGTGTGCCCCACGTCTGCGTACTTTGGACATTCTATTGTGTCATGGCTGAAAAAATCCGAGCCAGTTAATCATTGATCAAGCATCGCTTCAAAACCATATTGACTTACTCTATTAATTGACATCGCTCTTGTATTCTATTTACAACTTTTTGATAATCGTCATGTGGATTATCCAAATGTTGCCCGTTTTTGATGATGGGCTGGTATACACGACCGCAAAAACGGACATCTGGCCTGTAGAATAGCCCTGTCAGTCATGGTTGCAGTCAACACTTCTCACATATTGAACTTACAAGGTCAAGCCTATAACATCGATAACGGATCTCTGCCTTTCCAATTGAGCCACATGAGGAGCCAGTGTATGGTCACTGCCAACGTTGAATTCAACCAAAAGCCGCTGGTGAGACTTTGTCTTTGCTGACTTCCAAAAGTCGCTGTCTATGTATTCTAATGTAACTGAGCGTTTTGGCTTGAGCGACAATGGTGTATACGGCAAAGTCAGGCGTTTAGATGGTTGGCTGTGGAACACAATGGTACAGTGTTACTCACGCTGTTCCGCACTGACTTCAATTTGGTATACCACTCACCTGGAAAAGAAGCACTGCCTTTCATGCTGCCAATCGTACTGTTTCTGAAAATCGCTTATGCTAAAAGCGCCATTAATAGGGCTATGCAAGTAGTTGGGGCCATTCGGAGTAGTGGTTGGATTTTGAAAGATCAGGTTGCCAAATCTATGTGAGGATGAGTCAGCCAGATCACTTTAACCGTTATATGACCGCTGGACTTGCCAAAATTCAATACTCTACCTGGCATATATATCAACGTTGAATGATTTGTTATCATCAAATTCCCTCCTAAATTCGTCCCGTAGCTTTGATAAAGCTGTGCTGCGCCTGTAGTCGACATGGTGTAAGAAACTCAGTATACAGCTGAAAAACAAACATAAGAAACCAATACTGTACCGTCCGGTGTATCCAGAAACAAGTTCCTCATCCTTTATGTTATCCTGCATTGTGGATAATGCCGAGCTGCTGTCCTTATCAGTACTTGCAGATTGAAGGCGACTCCATCCGCTAATTTTTGCTGTCAGTGGCATGGCGATGGGGTCATAAAACGGCATGAATGCAAGGCTTTCATCACCAATACTTCGCAAAAGCGTTTCATTTGCTTGGTCAGGCGACTGTGTCGACTTGGCTAACTTAAGCTATATTTTCGAAGAAAGTTACTCAGTATGTTATCTCACGATACGCTGAATATGCACATTTCGGTATACCTTGCTACTGACAACATCTAGTAATCGATTTGCTGAATCGACCTTCTCCTGTGTTTTGGCAGATACCCGAATCTGAACCTAGCTTGTTAATAACAACCCACTTTTTAGATACCACATGAAATTAACTTACCACACCGTCTTGTTCCGGTGATATAAATGCTCGAGTCAATTTTGACATCTCAGGGATGAGACGTTCAAGCTCTTGCCATCGCTCGGGCAAAGCCGCTTGACGTCGCGTGGTTTCAACTGGTTCTGGTAAATCCTGGAGCATTTTTTTTGCTTCCTCAACAGCCGTTTTTCTTCCGTGTAACAACAAGCTTTGATCGTGCGACTGTACAGTAATGGACGCCTTGGTTTCATTTTGCACATGTTGAAGAAACTGACCTTGATCGCTGATCAACAAGACGAGTTCCCGCTTTGTACTGGGCAGCACTTCCGTAATGACCTTTCTGGCGGCCTCACGTTCTTCTGGGGACTCAATGCCCCAAGCTCGCTTCACAATTCGCTCTACCAAAGCCGTCTTATGTCTTGGAGCTGGGATATTTTGACTCCGGAGATACGATTGTAGTTGCTGAACAGTGTAAGAGGTGTCTATTTTGGTCATAAGCTTCTCGTAGGCTTTCTTTCTTAGGTTTGTCGACTTTGGTCTGTCTTGTTCAAGCATTTCAAATAGTGTTTCCTGCGCACTTGTTTTGGAGTTGACCTTTGCATTCTGCTCCAGCATGGACGCTAAGGAATCCAACTTTTCAGCAGGTAAATGTTCCACCTGCTTCTTTGGTATCTTCCGATTGCAAGACGAGGCGGTAGCATGCAGGTGCCTAATGGAAGATCTCGGCAGCCGCAACATTCTGACGGTGTTGGTTGGTATTCAAGCTTTTGCCAAAAGTGAATTGCTGCCGTTTGGTGACCGGTTTGTTAAGCACCGTGACTGCCTTTTCTCAGAGCTCATTCAACTTGTTGCAAAATAACACTGATCGTAATTTGCCTGCCTTAGTAATCGTAAAACTAGAATTTCATCCGTTGTCGAAAACTTAAATAACCTACTACAATTATTCCAGGGGATAGTGCTTATGAATAGTATCTAAAAAAGAGCCTCATTGGAGATCAACGCGTATGTACGCTGGTGGCCGAGTGGCAGTGCTAGTCAACGCGTTCTTCTTTCTTGCATCATTTTATTGAGAGATTTTTATCAATGAAGTCCTCTCTCCTGTTTTGCGTCCGAATGCAGACAGACAGAACGATTTTGGAGCTTTTTTTTTTTTTTAAGAAACAAATTGTTTCTTCCAGTAATTCTACTTGTACCCTTGTTACGACTTTCCGCCGCGTGTGCAAAATGAGATGATGGCTATAACAAAAGAGGTAGTATTAGCGGGAAGTCAACCGACATTGGAAATATGTCCTTGTGATCAACAAAGAATAAAGTTTTAACAACCGAAGACCTCATCCGTCATATGAAGCCCTCTTGGGGAATAGTTTCGATCATTTCAACCTGGTATTTCTTACCAGGAAGTACTATGCTGTCAATCAGGAAGCTTCCTCCACTTCCAGTGCTTTTGGCGCATTCAAAAAGCGCGTTAGGTCTTGTAGGAAAGGAATGCACGATGCGGAACGCCAAGGGTGCACGAACAAATTGTTAGGTAATTGAAATGCCGTGAGAAGGAGCAGAAACCGTCAACGTTAAAGATAATGATGGACATGTAGCAAAATGTATCAATGGAATGAGTCTATTCAAAACCAATGATTTTCAGTACTACTACACTTCAATTTGTTTGACAACTGTAATCCATAGCTCCTGTGCTCCCCATGTTATGATTTTGGGTTGTCGTACCTCTATGGGTTTGGGAACATCTGGAAGGAAACGGGTTAGCGTGTTTTATTCCCCACACTTGTTAAACGACGCCTTTATATTGCCGATTTAGCAAATTTAAGGCGGTTAAAGGCGACTCAACGTACACTTTGTGGAAAATACGCCGTTATGTAGCCATCTGTTGTTGCAAAGTGTGGAGAAATCAACAGATAAACTAGAAGAACATGATGTAGCAAATTCACATGACGAAGGTGAGAAAGTGATAGGCCGCTAAGCGATACCATACTAGTTTTGTGTACACCATGTCGATTTGACTGATTTCCTTTTTGTACAGGAAAAACGTCCCTGGTAATAAATTTGGTGCGTAAGAAAACTCGGTCGACTTGCTGCGAATCCTTCTTTCCTCACTCCTTTTTTTTCCCTTGGCTCCTATTACCACATTTTATATATACTGAAGTCATGGTCAATATACCAGTTGCTCCAGCAAACGCAACAACAGCTGGGCTGTTTGTTCAAGAACTTGCTCCCATAGGAGGTTCATTGGTTGGATCGTTCTTTGTCGGATTAATCCCTCTGATTGTTGTGCTTGTTATGTTGGGTGTTTTCAGAATCCCAGCACACTATTCATCGTTCGCCGGTCTAGTAGTATGGTAGGTTGTGCAAAAGGGGGGGGGGCTAAGTACAACACAGCCCAAGATTTACAACTTCTTTGCATCCGAAATAGCATTTTCATCGCTATATTTGCCTGGCACATGCCGGCACAGCAATGCTTTGAATCGATTGCCAACGGTATCGTCTGTAAGTCATATTTCCTGCATCATTGACTAAATTTTTTTCAATATGCTTTATTCACATTTTTGCAAAAGATGCCAACTGGCCTATCATGTGGATTGTCGTCAATGCAATGTAAGTCGGATACTGCACGGCTGATCTCTTTCTTGTTGTGAATACCGCGGCTAATCCGAACCATATTATCCTCTGCCATCTTGCCATACTTGTCAATTTGGTCCCATTTTTCCCCACATTGTCTTTTTAAGGTTCATATACAATATTGCTGTCCGCAGTGGAAAGTTTGAGCTCTTCCGGCGCTGGATGATTTCTAATACACCAGCTGATAAGCGTATATTGCTGTTGATCATTGGATACAGTTTTGGTGCATTACTAGAAGGTACGTCATGGTTGGAATCCGACAGCTTTTAAGCCATGCTATTTCGCGAAATGCATGCGGGTAAAAGGGAAGACTAATAGAATTTCGGAACCATAGGTGTGGCGGGCTTTGGTACTCCTGGAGCTATCTGTTCCTCCCTTCTCGTTTCGCTTGGGTAAGGTCGCATTGATATACACTGGATCATCAAGCGCTGCTGACAAATACCATCTCATTTTAGCTTTGACCCCATTGATGCATTGACTTACACTCTGATATTCGACACGACTCCTGTCGCCTTCGGTGCTTTGGGTATTCCTGTTACCACTTTGGCTACCCTGACCGGCTTGCCAGCAAAGTCGTTATCCCAAATGATTGGCCGTCAATTGCCTTTCGTGTCACTGTTTCTGCCCACCTATGCGCTTTTGTTTTATGCTGGCTGGCGTGATGGTCTTTTAGCGTGCTGGCCTGCTGGCGCTGTTGCCGGTATTTCATTTGCTGTAACACAGGTGAGAAAACACGAAGAGAATGTGCCTTTGACCGCCAACGCTGATCCCTTTTTTGTAGGCTATCTTTTCTAACTTGGTTGGACCAGAACTACCAGATCTCATTGCCGGTCTTGTATCGTTGATCGCCATTATCGGATTTGTTCAGTGGTGGAAGCCTCCGTATAACGAAAAGTATGTGGCAACCATGGTGGTCGCTGGAGGTGAGGAACCTCTCGCGCCACAGAGAAGATCTTCCGACGTATCCAGTAAGCAAGAGATTCATGAGGAGGAAAATGCTACCAAAGACGGAGAGGAAACCCACCATGGATCAGACGAGAAGGCGACGTCTTCAGACGATGCAATTCCTACAGAAAATGAAGGTCGTCAAGTTGCACCCGCTAATGCTGTGGTTGAAAAGCCCACATTATATGAAGCTTTGTTTGCTTGGCTGCCTTGGTTGCTCATCGTTGTCATTGTCATCATTTGGACCTTCTGCAAAGTTTCCGCCATTGGACAGGTCAATGTTCATTGGCCACATCTTGACAACCAAGTATGGCTAACTTTGTATGAGAAGAAGTATGCCGCAGTGTGGTCTTTCCAACCTTTAGCAACGGGAACTGCCATTTTGGTGGCCGGTCTTGTTTTCTTGATCTGCGTTCTGCTGACAGGAGAACATATTTCCATTGCTTGGTTATCGGTGGTCGATACTGCAAAGCAGCTGTTTTACCCTGTTATTACCGTATCTTTTATCATGGCTTTCGCCTACTTGTATAATTACAGTGGTAAGTTGACACGGGAATATGTATGCGAAACTGGAACGTTTTATTCTAACACAATTACTAGGTATCGCTTATACGGTTGGATTAACCTTATCCAGTGTGGGTCGTGCATTCCCCTTCCTCTCTGTATGGCTGGGTTGGCTTGCTTGCTTCCTCTCTGGTAGTGATACTTCGGCAAACTCGCTGTTCGGTAACCTTCAAGTGGTTGCTGCCAGACAGATCGGTTTGTCTCCAATTTTGATGGCTGCCGCTAACTCCTCCGGTGCCGTCACATCTAAGATGATTTCTCCTCAAAACTTGACGACCGGCGTTGCTACCATTGGTCTTCGCGGCAAGGAAGGCTTGGTGCTTCGACGTACCATCGTCCACAGTATTATCATGTGCTTGGCCCTCGGTGTGATCACTTGCATTGAACAATATGGTATCCCACAATTGATTCCCCCAGAGTAATTTAATCGTTATCCCAACCGGAGAAAGTCAACATTTTTGATGAATTAAGATCTGTAAGATATGAACACTAGTATACTTAGCTTTACTTCTGACTTAAAAAACGAAATAAAAAAAATATATATGACATTACTTCTACTCTTGATTTCTTGTTTCCTTTTCGTGGTATAGCCTGTGGGCTTGCATTCCCCAAGTGAACATGGCTTTTCCGCAAATACTGCATGTGTCCCAAGTCTCGTCTCCGTCACCTAACAATACCATTGATTCATAGTCAGAAGGGGCGAATCCTGTGTCATCGTCATAATCCACTTCTTCATTGCTACGTTTTCGTTTTAATGGCTGCTGCAGTGGAGGCGTGGTAGTTGGTGAAGTCTCTTCTATCTTGGAACCGTTATCATGATCAAGTGTCGGCGAACGATGGTGCTGAGCAATTTCTCGCTGAATGTCAAGAGGTAAATCGGACCACGTCGACTCGTCGATGTCATCTGGTCGTAACGGAGGATGTTCCAATGCACTCTTTCCTTTTGCAAATAAGTTTTGGATGGACGTGGCCGGCCGTTTTGTTGAAAGATGGGCAGCAGCTATGTTGAGGCTAGCAGAGTCGCAAAATGAGTTTTTAACAAGGGCAGCTAGCATGAAAGTAGACCGATAAACTTACAGAGTCAATGCAAACGGCTCTTTCACCAAATTTCTGAGCATAGGTAGAAGCGACTGCTCAACGAGAGCGTCGGCTCGCTCGGGTATCGAACGGGATATATCAAATACATCGACCGGCATGCGACTGCTTTTGCTGATTCGGGTGTCTCGCAAACCTTTGGAGTCTCGCCAAGTGCCGTCGTCGTTTTTTCCTCGGTTACGCGTGGTAAGGCGTAACGTCGTGGGATACTTTACAAATTCGTCTTTGACCCTTAACTCCACCTCCAACCGTTGAATGAAATCGATGGAGAGGTCATGCAGTCTGGCTGTGGCATCTGCCATGGTTTTACAAAGCCTGAAGGAATCTTCGATGGATATTTGACTTGGAATTAGGGGAGTTGGCAAAACTTGAGAGTTGTCGATGCCATGAATTAAATCCCACAGCAGAGGTCCTTGTCGATCTCCAAACCATTTTAAAAATTGTTGTATAGTACAGTGTTGATGAACATATGATACAGTAAGTTCTGGTAAATACCAGGCTTCGCCTTCCTGTGCCGCTTCTTCGACATCGTCCAGTGCGTCGTCTTCGTTCGCCTGATGTTCGTCTTTCAGCAATCCTAGATTCTTACAAAGCGTGCGGCTAGCTTTGTATCCAATACCCATGATTTTTCTAATATGCAATGGCTCAAGAAACGCTGCGTATTTATCAGGACATAGCAGGGTTTGATCATTGGGCTTGTGTACGTCTGCGGCAAGTTTCGCAAATATTTTGGATGTCGCGATTCCAGCGCTGCATGTGAACCCAAGACGGTCTTTGATTTGATTTCTTATGTAGAACGCAAGGTGCGACGCGGCGTGAAGCTTGATCGTCTGCCAGCTAAGACGTTTCTGGGATTGTGAAGACTGACTCATACGATCTCCATCGCTGTCGATCTTAAAGCCTATCCAGTTGTATGGATTGTATGTGAAACTCTGTCCATTCAACGGAATTCGAAAAGTCTGTACTTCTTCGAGTGCCGTTGTCGAGTCAGGATCACCGTTCCATCCAAGCTCGGTCAGATGAGCTTCCATCATATCTGTAACATCTTTCCATTGTTGAAATGAGCGTTTGGTCCTAATTCATGATGTATGCTTATCCATCGACCTACCTATGAAGAGCTCATCGAGGCCAAGGCGTTCTACTTTTTGACCTGTCACTAGGCTTCTTACAAGGTGAAATATACCTTTCGACGCGGCTCTATATCTCGCCAAATCCTCTCCGTTGACAATGAAAAGCTCTTCGTCCGAGAAAAGTTTTAGTATAATCAGATAATACTTGGTAATAGGTAACAAAACGAAAAAAATTTACATACCAGGACAAGCTTTCAAGGCGTCGCCAAGTAATTGTAGTTTGCGCACACCTTTTGCTCGGGCGATATAATTGCAAGTGACAATGATATGCTTTTCTAAGCGGGTTAGTCGGTTGTGATGACGAAGGACCAAGTGTGTCCAAGTGCATAACGGTTTGTACCTTCTGCTGAACGCCAAACGGCTGACTTTTCAGGGCTGGATTCTCAAGCTCTTCGACCTAATGAATATGAGTGAGCGCTACATGCGTGAAACAAGAACATCATTCAGCGTCATTGCGCACCTGGCCATAAAAAAAGTCGATATCGGTCTGAATAATAACGCGTTGGTCATTAGCAGAATTTGACATGACACTGCCAGCCGAAAAGGCAGTGAAGGCAAAAATTTACTCTGGTATTGGTATTTGGAGCCGCATGAATTTGGTAAATTGAAATAACACCTTTGTTATTAAAAGACTTTGCTAAAGTTCACCCTATCTATCTGTTTTTATAAAGCATTAAACCAATTTCACGCATTCCATAAATGAAGTACATGATCGTAAAATGAACATGTTGCTATTAAATCGTCGTCGTGGTTATATACCCAATCGCCACCATATGTCATCGATGTATGATCGAGGAATTCAGTTGTGACCTCGCATTGGATTTTATCTGCAACGTCAATCAATTAAAAGTTTATAAATATGGTAATATCTCTGGAAATCTCTTACCTTCGCTATTGTCAATCAAGCCGCCTTTAACGTTTACTACAAAACCACCCGCGTGCATCGACGCTGAAAGCAAGGTGTCCTTCTTCGTAGGGTGCCATTTGATTCGCCATATTCCTCCACCTGTCTCTATTTCGGTCAGAGGCGCTCTCATCGAACGCGTGTCCCAAATACGTAGCCTTTCGTCGTAACTGAACAGAGTATGAGTGGCGTTGCTTGTGCGTTAGCGTTGTTATCTGCCAACTTACCTTCCCGTGGCAAGAATATGCTCGGTGTGAGGAGAAGATTGAATGGCTGTGACGCCCATATCGTGTCTGTAGATGTAGCATAAGTCAGTAAACGAACCATGCTGAGGCTTCTTTCATTTCTTCATCGCATGCATACTTTTTACTTGTGAATGTTGGCTGTGAAACGCCCATTCTCATGTCCCAACCTTTGAACAGACAGTCATCCGCACCTTAATACCAAGGGAAAATGTTGGGAATTACGAATAATTTTTTTATGTTTATAATTATTCGCAAAGACTCTCTTACCAGTATAAATCACTTCCGTTTGCCAATAATTGAAAGCCGCTATCCATGCTTCAAGATCATGGGCTTGCCATTGCTCCACAATAGTAACATCAGAAGTAGAGTTCACATCAAACAAGGTTATTTCGCCGGAAGAATGAGATGTCACTATCTGAGTTTTGGATGTACTGACACCAGGTGGTAAGTTGAGCGTTGAAGGGTTGGTATCATTGCTTTGATCTCTTACCGATCTCTGATCCGGGTTGACCAGTCTAGTGAAAGACATAAAACAGAAGGATCTGTCGTTTGAATTGAGTGAAGCTTCTCAAATTGTGGGGAATCCTGCAGATACACCGAGTTGAGTAATCGAGCAAGGCGATCCTGCTAGAGGCATTGGAAAACTTACTACATTATCGTCATATCCATACAGAGACAGTCCGCCAACCGAGTCTGCAACTCCAAGAACTTGATTGTTCTCAATGAGTTGATGGCACCTATTTATCTCGCAATTAGTCACTGCGACACAATTTCGCAACATCGTTTTCGGTCACTCCTGCTTACCATTTCATATCCAATATAGCAGGGGTTTCCAATGCCTGCTGCTGCTGTCTAGCTCAGATGGTCAATCAATGCACACGTCCTGATATTTAGCCTACAGCACTTACAAACGAACGCTTTGGTCGTCTTTCTCTAATTTATACAAATATAATCGGCCTTTGCGCTGCATAGCTTTATCCGACTCAGCGGCTTGGTCATTCTGTTCTTGGTCGTTGTATAATTGGTAGGTTCCGCATGCAAGGTAGTTTGATTTATTTTGAAATGGGCAGAACTCGGTAGAATCTGCACTGTACTCCGTGTCTAATGAGAACAAGGATTTCGCTTGAACCATTGGTCCTGTTGAAACTTTTTTGAAGCGGCTCAAACGTTGATATTCTTTGTTCTTTATTTTCGAAGGGACTGTCGCCAAAAGTTTCGCGCTCCGGTAAACCCAACCTGGAATCCAACCTACTATCCCAATTCACCATTACCTCTACACCAAGTGCAGCGCTACAGCAGGATGAATGTGTTCGAGCTTGTGCCTGATCAGCATTCCCTTGACTTGAGTGTCCAGGTAGTGTCACTCTTGACCAAAGCAACTTATACTCATGAAAAAAGTAAGATGCACAGTTCCAATACGCTATTACTACCGATACTGAGACTGACATTTTTTTTTCTCCTCTTCTTCCTTCAGCTGGAGAAATTATACAAGTTGCTGAATACTTGGTTGCAGACCCGACAGCGCAAGTCATTTTCAAGGCGGAGGCGGGTAAGTACGAGTGGCCGTTTGATATACTGAAATGACAGATCGTCTTGCGCAATGATAATGATAGACCTTGACTTTAGATCAAATCCATATGCTAGAACAACATCAACACGTTCGTCTCTTGAATGCTCGGACAACGGCCCTACATGGCCATCTGAGAATAGTTGTCGACCAGCATGAGAAATTTGGTGGACGCGTTCTCCCCGACACAGAAGCCATCGATATCCCATTACCATCTAGCCTCCCCAACATATCCGATGTAGAGTTCACATTGTCTTGATAAACCCCCCGCCTGTTAATAGCTCTATGTAATATTATGTCAGTGTATAGCCGAAAGCGTAATTTTCAACTAGCCAATTTTCAATCTCATTTTTATTTTCCTCCACAATTTTGCGAGTGCTACGCTCTCAGCAATACTCTTACCATGGCTGGTGATCGGTGTTCTGTCTGTGAGCACAATGTATCCGATGCAGCAAAATCAGCACAATGTTTAACATGTCACCATTGTAATCGAACATTTCATACCTCCTGCCTTCAATTACACCAACTACCTAAAACCCATGATTCATTTTATTGTCAAGATTGCTCAGCTCAGCACGGTCCAATAACGAACAAGTCGCCAACTCAGGCCTTGTCCACCACTTCGAAAACAGCAAAGCCCTCATTTTCGGGTGCAGATAAACAAATAATCCGAAAATCAGATAGACAGCACACTAAACTTAATTATGCTGACATGAACGAAGGGCTTATGGGAGACGAAAAGATTTGGGAGAAAATCATCAACTCAAAGCAGTTTGCTGTAGACCCTTTCAAACGCTATGACGGAGACCAAGTGACCATCGAATTCATACGTCAAAATGGCCTGAATGAACCCATTGTTTTTCCTCACCAAGCTGGCTTGGACATGATGATGCCCGATTCCAATATCACCGTTCGAGATATTGCCAATTTAGTTGGTAGGTCATTTTGTGTAGTGCTGCAACTGTAGGAGGAAAGCAAACTGACTTTTTCTGTCTGCCGGAAAAGGTCTGGACACTCCAGTAGATGTCATAGGTAAAAAGCGTTGCACCTTACCATATAGTTATGTATAAATACACCACTGAAAACTTATGCCATAACCATCAGATGTCGCGACACAAGCAGAGCAGCCCGGCTGGAATATGGCGAAATGGGCAGATTACTTCCACAGTGAAGACCGAGATAGGATACGGAATGTCATTAGCTTAGAAATCAGCGGCACCAAATTTGCTGAACGTATTCGCCGACCAAAGCTTGTTCGGTAAGCAATTCTGTTACGAAACACAGGGCATGGCATTGCCAGTTATATTAATATTACTTGCTTTAGTGACATGGATTGGATTGACAATGTTTGGCCTGCTGACTTGAAAGTAAATGAATACCCCAAAGTCCAGCTGTATTGTCTGATGGGGACCAAAAACTCTTATACCGACTTGTAAGTTTTTGCACTACTGAATGTTACATGGACCTTTTAATAACGTACATACTCATTGCTGTGGACCGTCCTTCAGCCATATTGATTTTGGTGGAACTTCGGTATGTGCTTTATGTTTCTTGTCTTGCAATGTACAACTCTGCCTTACACTCTTTCCGCTATAGGTTTTTTACCATATAATATCGGGATCAAAGGTTTTCTATTTTATCCCTCCGACACCAACTAATGTGAGGAAATATGAAAAGTGGAGCTCATCACCAGACCAACCTACAATATTTCTCGGTGATGAAGTCAAAGAGTGCTACAAAGTGCATATCACGGCTGGTCATACCATGTAAGTACATGCACCGACAGATGGCTAAGAAACGTCTTGAAGACCTGTTGCTGATAGCATGACAGGATAATTCCATCAGGATGGATACACTCTGTTTTCACGCCAGAAGATTCTATCGTTATAGGAGGTAATTTTTTACAAGGTTATGCAATGGAACAGCAGCTCGATATATATGAGTTGGAAGATAGGACCGGCGTACCGCAAAAATTCAGATTCCCTTATTTCTTACGGATGAACTGGTATGCTGCTGAGAAATATGGAAAACTTCTGCAAGGTAACAAAAGTAACATTTATGTGTCGAATAGGCATTTTCATAAGTAACGGTTTTTTTTATGTATATCTTTATTAGATCATCCAGAACAAGTTAGTACGGTCGAATTGAAAGGGTTGAAGAGGTTGGCAGATTACCTGCTATCAGAGACAGAGTACCTGGATTCAAAAATGGGCACTACTGACAAACGACGCCAAGTGCGGCAAGACATACCCAGCACTATCAGCGATCCTGTGGGACTTGTCAAGCAGCTTTCAAATAATGTAGAAGCCGCGCTAGCAAACATACCCACAGTCGCGACACCAACCACCAAGCGCGGTCTCAAGGTCAAGTTGAAAGTACAGCCAACTCCTAGTACCAAGGAACCGGCAAAGCAACCGCGATTGAAGCTGAAAGTCAAGCAGGTGCCAGCAGGGCGACCGAAAAAAGAGGATGACGACTTTGTATATGATGATAGTCAATATTTCGATGAAGAGATTGATGAGGATGTCCTTGCTGCTGAAGACGATGATGATGAGTATGTTCAGGCCGAAGGACAGCGAAAAGCGGTGGCGGCAAAACGACCCAAACCAGTGGGAACAGCTTCGGGAACACCGACCAAGCGCAAGCATAGCGACAAGAAAACATATCATGACGATAGTAGTGATGACGGTCTTGGTACTGGCACAGTGAAGGCCAAACGGGTCAGCCAAAAGAATGCAGGCGAAGCAGCAGCTGAGAAGAAAAACAAGGGATCAGTCAAACAACGTTTGCTAAATCGAATAAAAAAGAAATAGTCGTTAGGAGGAGATTCTTTAATGAACAAAACACCAAGATTGTATGTTTCTGAGCAAAAGGATTTTGTTGTTACGGGGAGATGGTGGGTCTAATGAATCAAACAGGAAGGGAGGCTGGCGGTAAAAAAAAAAAATTACAATACAATAGAAAACCAAAAAGAGCTATTTACCAAGCAAGATATGATAGTAGAATGGGAAGTTAGGTTCTGCCTCGAATGAGGCCCTGATAGCTAGCACCTTCAACACCCAACATAGGATCATTATTATTAGTAGCGACATCCTCTTCGTCATCATCCTCTTCCTCCTCTTCACCATCCGACTGCTTATCTGCATGATTGTTGGTAGCATCTTGGCGAGCTTGTTGCTGCTTTCTTCTCTTCTTTCGTTGTCGATACATACATTTTTTCAAACTCTGTTTCATCTCCAACATGGTGAATGGTTTGGAAATAAAGTCGTTCATGCCTGCTTCAATACAAATCTGACGATCTTGCATGGAGGCAGAGGCCGTCAAAGCAATAATATACACGTCATGCACGTTGTTCAGTTCTGTATTAGGAGAATGGCGAGCAGAAATGATCGATTTGGTGACTTCGAGACCATCCATTTCCGGCATGTATAGATCCATCTAAACGAGGGGAAAGAAGCGCATTTAGACATGTATCAAAGTGACGCATAGCGTAAATTACTCGCTCTGCAGCAAACTTACAAATATCAAATCAAATCGGCTTCTTCGCATGGCATCCAGTACCTCACGTCCATTGTTAGCAATTTCGACACCAGTATAGCCCAGCCGTTTAAGAATACTGATAGCAATCTTTTGATTGAGCACATTATCTTCGGCCAACAAAATCTTGATGGGAAATGAAATGGCTAGATTTTCTTCGTTCGTGTTGCCTCCGCGCCGCTGATGATGATGTTGCTTAGCCACAGACGCTCGCGATGACCGACTATGGCTTGCAACTTGACCACCGCTCGTTGCCGTGGTAGTCAACAGGCTGTTAGAGCTACGAGGAGCATTGGATGATGAAGAATCAGAATTTTGACTTGGCGTGCACGTAGTATGGAAAGATTCCCCTGCCGTTGTGCGTGGTGGTGATGAAGAGAGCGATGGTACATACCCAGATCCGGTGGTTACGCCAGTTTGCGGTTTGAGTCCGGGACTATAACCCGGCGGTCCGGTGGAAGGTACCCCAACAGCCATGGTTGGGTCTGATTTAGTGCTAGCGGATTGGCCCCTTGATGCACTTGACAACGGTTTAGAGTCCACGTTAATGGCTACAGATGGATGCTTGGTATTTGACTGTATTCCTAGATGAAATGACGAAGGGGGTGGTTGAGGTACTGGCCATGTTAAAGGTGGTATAGCTGACTGATGATGACCAGTACTAGACTGCAAAGTTTGTGCTAAAGATACAGCAGGTGAGGCAGGTCGTGTGGTATGTGCGACAGGTTGAGAAAAATATCCCTGTGCGTGTGCAGCATTGTGCGAAGGTGATAAACAGCCAGAAGCTGGCGATGTAAACTCCTGAGACCCATCTGTATTCAATGACTGTGTGCCGCTCGTTCCTTCTGATGAAGTCGAGCAAGGCGATGGTGGTGATGTGAGTGGTGTCCAGCCATCTGACGATCGATTTCCTGGTGTGTCTGGTTGGTGTGCAGCCACAGCAATGGGAATAGTCAAAGCAAACCTGGATCCAACACCTTCTTCTGACTCGACCCACAAACCACCGCCCATATGATTAACTAGAGTGCTGGAAATAGCCAAACCAAGACCAGTTCCGCCGTAACGTCTGGCGGTGGAAATGTCGATTTGAGAAAAGGATTTGAACAGCTTGGGGAGTCGGTCAGAGGGTATGCCGATTCCAGTATCGCGAACTGATATCTCTAGAATTACAGTTTGATCAACGCCAATCAAAGCGTCTGTTCCTTCTTGTGAAGGATTTGCCGCCGAAGCTTGTTTGGCTTTTTGTGCTGTAGACTCACGGACAGCTCTAGATCGAATATTCTCAATCTTTGCCTCGTACACGGGTTTGCCAGTAATGGAAGAGATGGTGGTAGTGTTTGTTTGCACCGCATTTGGCACGTACCGTTTGATGTTGACCTCTATATGGCCCTCTTTTGTAAACTATTCAGGTGACAGACAAATTAGTGGAACGATAAAAAAAAAACGCAGCTAAACAAAAAAGAAATCACATTACCTTGACAGCATTAGAACAAAGATTCAAAACGATTTGAGTCAACCGCATAGAGTCACCAATCAAGATGTCAGGAACATCTCGCTCTATCTTCCATACCAGAGGCAATAGGGTTTTGCCCTTCATTACTCGCGGTAAAGGCGAGTTAGCAGACTCCTTGGAGACCCGTGATAGTACTTGTTTCAAAGAGCTTGAGTCTTCTACGTCGGCTGGACATTCGATTAAATGTACAATTTTATTCTGCAAATTGGTGGTGGCTTGATGACGAGCCATATTGAGCGTATCTAGGCGAGAGAAAATTTGTCAGAGGGGTGGTGACCATGTTACAGCTCAACAGAAAAATATATCTCACCTTTCACACATTTTCGAAGGCTAAACTTTCGCTTTTCAAGCTTCAGCTTTGGATCATGATTGAGTTTGGAGATATCGAGGATATCGTTGATAACCTGGAGGGGTTTTTCATAAAATGAGTTACGAAAGACAAAATGGGTCGAGGCAGAGACCTAACTATACATACAGTCAAAAGATGATGCCCGCTCGTCTGAATGACTTCCAAATGTTCAGTTTGCTCTTCACTAAGAGTTTCTCTCTCTTGTAACAGTAGATCGGTTAAAGCGATGACAGCATTCATCGGAGTTCTAAGAAAAGGAGTTAGTGGGGTTCAGAGTAGAAATCCCACTAAGGGTGTAAATTACCGTATCTCATGGCTCATGTCAGCCAGAAACTTAATCTTATTCTCTGCATCCTGTTTAGCCGCTTCTCGAGTCGACATTAATCGTTCCTCTTCACGTATCCGTTCCAGTTCTCGACCAGTTCGAAGTTTAACGGCTTCCAGTAATTTCAAGATGTGATGTGCATCCTGAGACGTAATAGGCTTGTCATGTAGGATACCCATTACGCCAATGCACTCTTTAGGAGGAGTTGGAGGGGTAGAAATAGGAAAGTCTTCAGACGGCGTGATCGGCAAACCAACGGCTACCATGGATTGAAAACCTTGGTAGGCTGGATAGCTTATGGCCAGATCTTGCAGGATGATTTGCTGACCATGCTGAATAGCATGCTGGTGAGGAGTACCTTCGAGCCGCAACACAGTCTTGAGTGGATCCGACCTATACCAATATAAAAAAAAATTTAAGTATGACGGGTCAGATGTGCTAAGATCACCCAGCTTAGTAGGCATGGCGTAATGCTGTGTCTCCCGTTGTCTCGCAATATCTAGCTCCCTGGAGACTTACAATGTAACAGCGTCCTTAGGGTTGACATGAAGGGCTCTAATGACCATCAATTTGTCCTCTTCGGAAAAGGTGTTTTCTTTTCGGTAAAGGTCCGACTCTTTATATTCTTCATACGACAGTAGCTCGTGAACAAACACACTGCGACATGATGTGATGGAAGTGATTTCGGATGCAAGTAAATGCAGGAATCTTAATCCGACATCAGAAAAGGTATTGGTGTATAGCTGTTGTATTTGCGGAGAAAGGTCTTGGTAGAGAGGAGCCTTCGTCTGGGGTATCGTTAGTGGATTATCTTGATGTTGAATTGCATGGGAAGCCGATTTCATCTCTAGGAGTATAGCAGCGTTGGGTGTTCCCGCTTGCTTTCTCTTTTATAGTTGAACGAAAGGACAGCCGTTGTGTTCTCCACCTTACTTTGGAGTGGTTGTGTGAAAGGAAAAGTGGGTTGATTGATTGAGAGCAGCAGGGAAAATGTTAAAAAAAATAATGAGTCTGCAACCTCTTTTGCAGTACGGCGTTTGAATTTTATGATGACAATATTTGTGCTTAGATGTAAACTCTCAACCTCTTGTTGTGCTTGAATAACTAGTCATGGTCAACCACTTTATGCTCAACATAACATATAGACACCAGCGTATTTCAGGAACAAACAAACGCTAGAAGTGGATAATGTAGCAGTAGGTCGGTAACGCTCACTCATATCTAACATCATAAAAAACTTGGCAAAAGCATATTCAATTCATGATGACTTTTAAATCATTATGTCCCTTGTTGCATCAGGGAAGCAGCCTTGCTCTATGGCCCCTTTTCATTTTTTTCATGCAAACTCCTCTGCATGGTCGCTTGCCTGTCTCCATTACTACGCATGATGGATAGATGCATTCTTCGATAACGTCGTCATCAATGCATATCATAATGACCATCTTAGCCTCGTTGCGCAAAAAGAGATAACATACAAAGAGTCGTTTGATGATCGGTTATGGGATAAATCTCATCTATTTCAGGCTCTTTCGTGGATCATCCGTCTGATTTAACTCCATGTAACCATTTGAAATTCTTATAAAACCGAGAGAAATTACGTATGTGCATAGGATCTGCCAGGTAGGCAGGAATTTCACCAGCGAATGAAGGTTAAAGCATTTACTGAGTGCGTCTTACCCACACTAGCTTAAAAATCAATGTAAAGACAACGGGTTCATTTCTCAATATATTCCATGAAAAGATTATCTCCACGTTAATGAAGTACGCAGTAGTTTCACGGACGTTGAACATATCTTTTACGCCTTCTAACATTGGCGCGAATCCCAAAAAATCGCGATTCAAAGTCCTCGCTCTTTCAAAAGTCACTGCAATTTTTTTTTTTTATGAAATTGTTTACCTTCCCCTTAGCATTACTTCAACATTTCTCATACTTTTTTACATTACGTTCATTCACCACAATATAATAAAGCGTTCTATTTCATCTCTACCTAAGCTAGTCTGCTTGTTACCTCCTTTCCCCACACCCCTACCCCAAAGCACTCATTCAAAGCCACCAATGAAGGATTCGTCCCTTGACATTAGGTGGAAAGACGTAGCTGCGAGATTAAACCCTTTGAATACCTTTTTGCTTTTCCTTATCGTAATTCATTGTTGTTTGACGATGGTAAGGGAAACGTTAGTGGCCATAGGACATACACCGATTTTATTACCACAATCGGCAGCAAAATATCCAATCATTGTTATTCTTGGCATACTAAATAAAGAATCCTGCCCCCAAAAAAAATTATATAAAATGATTCATGGCCCTCGGGACATTTTCAAGTGGTTGGCTTTTATCGCTTCTAACGTAATGGAAAATACGGATGGCTTCATTCGCTTACTCGACGATTTTACAAATATCCGACTATGTCTAAGAGCGCTCCGTGATACGCACCAGTCAGTTCTGACTAGACAAAAGACGTGTCGCATTTTCTCACTTGTCTACAACACTGTCAAAGTGGACCAAAACAAGATCCTTTACGCGCAAACACAGTTACTTCGTCGTATTCGTACAGAGCATGCTGAGCTCAACCAACGCATTGAAACACTTCAGAACAGTCGAACTCATATAGAGCTGGAACTGAATCTTATGGAAGACCACATGAACAGTGCCAGGGACCATGCTCAACAGCGTCGAGATAAGAGGAACAAACGAGAACATCAATACAACCAAGCTTATTTTGTTCCGCTTGTGTCTAACTATTGGCAGAAAAAGTATCTTCGGGCTAGAGATAAAAATGCTACGGCAGAGCAAATGGTTTGTGAGATGAGGGATCGAATTGAACAGTGCCGTGAAGAACTTCGCGAGATTGGACGGGAACTTGGAAAAATTCAAAAGTTGGCAGCCGACCTCGATCAACAAAAAGGGGAGGCGGAGGCGACAACCGCCACGGTCCAAGAATTTCATCAAAAACTATCTCAAGCGAATATCTTCTGGTCTCGGTTTGCTGGAGGCACTTGTCAGGATTTAATAACCACCATTACCGATTTGGTTTCTTTATTGGAGCGACCGAGAGATACTCGTGCATATTACAATGATGTACAAGCTGCTCTGCAAAATTTTGTCAATATGAATAATGACTATCACGCGGAAGAAGGCTTTGGCCAAGATAATTTTGGGACCATCGAATTGGATTATACCTGCTCAAGGTGTAGCCAGTCGCAGCATGGCTGGCCATGCGTTGACAAAGTTCGAAACCAAGACCTATTGTGCCCAACTTGCTATAAGGAAACTCGACTGAGCATGGTAGTAGAGAAGAAAGTCAACGCTATAGGTGTGAAATTGCTAGGCTCAGAAACTAGTCTCAGCTCAATGGTTGATATTAAACGACGATCTGTCCCTATGCACTCTGCCTCTTCCAATAATCTACGACGCAAATCCGCAGCCTCGGATATGCAATCCATTCAAAGCGCTGATAAACCCCTTCTTAAAAGAAACTTTCTGAAAAGCATGTTCAATATCAGCTCTTCAGCCATACATTCCTCCAATCGAATATCTTCCTTCCATACCCCAAGTCGTGAAAATGTCGCGGCTTAAACCGAATACCAATAATAAAAGTAAAAAAACTATCAAAAATGGCCATCAGGTGCTTTTAATGCTCACAGCAATAAAGGGAAGAAAACGGGCTATACAATTAAATTTAAGCGATAGGGGTTACAGCTTTGCCAGTCTTGGTGATAGTTTCAAGGACTTTTTCTTGGGGAACCGTTGCGTCGACGACAACAAGTTGCTTTTCAAGATCGATATCAACCTTTTCAACACCTAGTTTCACGATAAACAGTTAGCATGGTCATGATTTGTAATCGGTTGCAGCGATCCTTGCAGGAAAATTACCCTCGAGCTTGTTGAGTGCGCGGTTCACAGCATTGGAGCAGCCAGAGCAGCTCATTGCGACGGTGTATTTGTATTGCTAATAGTTACGAATGTTAAGCGCTGTTAGATGATCACAATGTTCGATTTAGGAAAGGTGCTTACAGGCATTGTTGTCCAGGTATAAGAAAGTAAAGTGATTTGCTCCTGGTCGGGAAGTCAAGAGATTTTATGTCGTGGCCTGAGCAATTTTTGCGGAACCAGGGACAATTTTTTTTTAACCGTTGGGCTTTTTCAGTAAAATTCGGCATCTGCAGAGCTTGTTGCTGCCAAATATATTCAAACTTTCGACAAATGGTTTATGATCATACTATTCATGCAATTGACTTGTGGATACAGGGTAAGACTGTGAAGTTATACTAGCAAAGGAGTAGATATTTCTACATCAATTAAAAAAACATTTAGAAGTGATAAGACCTGCCGAACGAGTGAATTCCTATTGCGAAAATTTGTTGTTTTCGGAGACATGGCTACAGTTTGACCTCTCTGATCATAATGCTCTGCAACGAAGCATCATCAACATGAATGGTGATATTAAATGGAGGCATACGTAAAGACGATATTTCACTTTTGTATATTTTTGCTAACCATGATGACAAGGGGAAATTGCGAGCTCAGGATTAATAATTGCGTTTCATTAACTGACTTTTCATATTGGATCTGCTTTGTCCAGGTTCACAAAGTTCCACGTCCGTCGATCTGATAAAAAGACCCATGGTATCTAATCTCAGCCTTTGCTTATAACATCCATTCTTTCATTTATGTTACCGATTCTCTCGCATTTGTAATGCATGATATGTGCAAGTGCTACTGTTTTTTTATTATGACATTTGAAAGTAGCAAGCGACATCTGAGACTAGGCAGACTGAATCTCATCAAATCATTAGACAGTTTTCCACCCTATATTTTGGAGAGGAGCGATATGAACCTGAAACATGATATTCTCAGGTCCCCGCCATCAGTTGTGCATGCTAATTGAATCTTGATAATAAAGAAATAAGGAAACTTGTTGAAATGGTATCACTAACGTATATTGCTTGAGCTGTATCATGGCTGTAAATAGATTGAAGAAACAGAATAGAAATCAAAAAATAGATAAGACCAAAATAAAAAAAAAAATCTTCCAGGCGAACTGCGACGGCTTCATATTCAAAGTGATCGACGGTCTGTTTGCTTAAAAAACATCGGCCCGTTCGAGCGGACTCGTTACCTTAGCTATAACATGATGGTCCTCGTAAAGATATGTAACTTGATCCGTTGAAGGCTGTTGTTACATGTCCATTGTGTGCTCCAGCTTGATGGCAAGTACTTGTCTAAACGCTGAAGCATCTATTTATGGATATAAGATCGCATCTTCTTTTTCCACCGGCGACGGAGCGGTGGCTTGAAACTTTCTACTTCTTTGAGGACCGGGCTTGGAAACCCCAAAAAAAACATGCTATTTCGTAAAGAAAGACTAGCGCTTCCATGGATTGCCAAAAATCCCATAATTTTTTTTTAAAAAAAAAAATGCAGTGTTGTCAATCCGACAATTTGAAAATGGGATTTTCTATAAGCTGATGCTGTTTGGGGTATGGGTGACGCTTACTTTTGATGTTAGTGAGATCACTTGGCGTGATGGCTTCCGACGTCACAACTTTCACTTGAGTGAAGCTGATTGGTTGGGTTGCTGCCCTGAAACTCAAGCCGAAGGTCTTTGAAACAGAGAGAAAGTGAAACCTTTCAAACATCGAACCTGGTCATTCCTTCCCTTTGACAAATCGCTTCGTAAACTAGAATCGTTTTTGACACTGGTGAAGTTGCTTTGAATTCCATTCACTCTTCAAGTCTCAGCTCTACATCTCCAAACATGGAGCTCAATCAGCAACTGCCAGACCACCCCAATCAGTTGATAGGAGACAATCCTTCAGCGCTGGACCCTTCAACGCAAAATGAACACATTCAACAGTTCTTACAGCAACAGCAACAGCAACAGCAACAGCAGCAGCAGCAACAGCAGGCCAGCATTGACCAGCAGGTAGCGTCATTTCTCAGTCAAAACGACCATTCCGGTAATGTCGCACACACTAATCCCGAACTTCAGCTTGCGTCTTCCCACTCGTCTCCTGTACAGCAACAATCTCAGGGTCAATCGACACTACAAATGATAGATCGTCAACTAGAAGCCGTTGCCAAACAGCAGGGGCAGAATGAAGCTGTCATGTCGCAGCTTTTGTTTATGGGACAATCGCATAACAATCAACTGTTAATGGCCAATGATCAGCAAGGTCATCACAATCAATTACAGCCTTCGCTTCTTGAAGAGGCGAAACGGTCAGAGCAGGAAGCAATGCTTGCGAATGAAGCCAATATCAATTCGTCGCATCAGATGCAACTTGGCGCGCATGATCCCAACAGCATTATGCATCAGCAAAACGAAGTCTTACAACAACAGCATAACCAAATACTGGCTGATCATTTATCATCGCAATCCACGACACCGCAGAATGAGCACAATATGATGCAGCAGCAACAGACACAGGCCACACCTCCTTTGCCGCAACATCCTACGCGTGATCAACAGACTGGGCAGATGCAACAACAGACTGCAGACGATGTCAATGAACAAACCGTATTCAATCCCATGTTACAGTCGATGTCAAACTCGGTGCCTCTAAGCGGTGCAGTGATGCAAGAGTTGGGTGAGCGACAGTTGCAGCAACCCTCTCCTGCAAGCATGTCACAGCCTCAGATCCTGTCCAATCCCAGCTCACACAGCTCAACACCTCATTTGCACACTCAAGAAGTTGTTGGCTCGCAGCATCATACCCCTGAGCAGCAGCATGAACAAATTTTACAAGGCATAATGGCTTCTGTTAATCATACCATGGCTAGCAATACGCACGATGCCAACTTACAGCAGCAACAAGCCCAAGTGGCTGCCATGCAACACGCAGTCGCACAACACGTTCAAGCGCAGCAAATGGCCGCCGCTGTCGCCGCTCAACAAGCCACACCTGGTATGGCTTATGACGGTGATATGAAGCAACAACAGCAAACGTCACCCTCCATGGACCAAATGATGTCTGCAGCGGCTACCGATTCCCAGAACTACAATAATAATGTAATGGGTAACGCCAAAGAGGTTCAAGTGCCAGCAAGTCATGTTGTGCCATCCCAGCTAGGAACATCCATGCCTCAAAACATGAACTCGGTCGTCTCTGACAATATGATGCAGCATGTTGAACAACAACATGCAAACCAACAGTCATATAATACCATGCGGAATAATATGATGGAAGCTAACCAGGCAGTACAAATGCATAGCGCATTAATGCAGCAACAACAAATGCAGCAATTGCAGCAGCATATCCAAGCTATGCATAACTCACAGACACAGCAGCCTCCTCAACAAGATCCACATCTCTCACAACCACCTGCTGAACATGGTACGAAACGACCGTACGATACCGGTGCAACTGCTCAACAACGGAAATCCCGTCGACACACCGTGTCGTCACCTTATCCCTCTCACCTCAATATGCTCCAAAAACCAAATTTGTATATTGATACGGCGAATCTTCAACCAAGACATCAGCCGCCATTCGTTCCTATCGTTCCTTCTCAGATGGGCCAGTCACCTACGACGAACCACGGTGCAAGTTTACCGGGGTCTATAGCCAACAGTCCTCAAGAAGGAAAGTACCCTGGTGGATTCAATCACATTGCACTACCAGCACGACCTACCAGTCTTTCACAAATGAATATCGAATCACAATCTACTGCATCTCTTTCACGGAATGTTGCACAGGCTGCACATGTCTCAGTGAAAGAATTTGAACATATGTCAAGAGAACAGCTCATTGCCAGACTTGTTCAACTTGAGCAGGAGAAGCGCGGTAACAGTCCTGGCTCTAACTCAGCACACTCTGCCACTACTCCCATCCCAAGTACCTTACAGCAGTCGACTACAGCGGAAACGATGCAAGATAACACTCGGTCCGGACCTGCAGAAGCCGCTGCCACAGACACTAGTACGAATCCAGATGAAGATGATGACGGTCCGAACACCCCAATTGACAATCATACCTCCACCGATAAATCCAAAGCCGAGGGCGAGTCCAAGAACGATGATGGCGAAGAGGAGGATGTCGACGACGAAGAGGATGAGGACGCCGATGATGATGCGCCTAAGGAAGAGCAAAAGATGCAGTGCCGATGGACCAATTGTGGCCTGGTGTGTGAAACGCTGGAGAGTCTCATCAGCCATATTGGCGAAGCACATGTTGGAAGTGGAAAGGTGAGCTAATGGATTCTCCTATTTCTCTGGTATGCAACGTTGTTTTGGTGTACTCATGTTTCCTGTATTTTCTAGGCATCCTACAGTTGTAACTGGGAAGGTTGCGCGCGAGCTCAAAAACCATTCACGAAACGACACAAGATGTATAACCACTTGAGAACGCATACTGGGGAGCGACCCTATGTGTGTCATAAAGAAGGTGAGACGGGGTTTCCAAGTGTATGCGGTGCCCCTAATACATTATCTCATCATATTCTAATCCCTTTTCTTTCGAAAGGATGTGGCAAACGATTTTCTCGCCCGGACTCTCTCACGACGCACATCAAGACACACTCCAATATTCGACCCTATGTTTGCAGTTTCAAAGGCTGTAAAAAAGCTTACTATCATTCCCGCTCACTTAAAAAACACGAACGTACACATGCTGGACATGATTCAGGCGAAACCAACGATGCTAATCTTGGATACATACCCTCGCAAATGGACGCACAAAACGCTGGTGGTGGCGGCTACCCAACGTATGCTCCAAGGCCAGTACCGCCCTATGTTCAACCGCCACCCCCCTACAATGCTCAACCGATACCTACTCCGGAAAAGATGGCCGAAAACCAAGCTGCCTATATGGCCCATCATCAAGAACAACAAGCTGCTGCAGCGGCTGCTGCTGGCATTAACGTCTCTCAACTCGGTCAGATGGCTTCAATGAATGCTTATGCACAACCTGGTCAAAACCCTGGTGGTCAGATCTACAATCCGCTTGTTGCTATAAAATACAACCCTCCTGGCCAACCTTCTATTCCCCACCAACAATTTTCTGGTAATAATACGCCCATATCAAATCAAACCTCTCAGGCCTATGCATATGGTGCACATCCTTCCATTTAGACCCTGATGCATCATTATAAACAGCCAAACCACACAAAAAAAAAGTTAAATTGTATTGGATCCAAGCAGTAAAATAAATACTGGGACAGAGTTCCTTTTTTGCAGGCAATGGAAGACTTCTACAGAATGAGCCACTATGGGCTTGTCATGCTTATATATTAACCGCAGATATCGACTGTACATTAGATAAAAAAAAACGTCAATAAAATAATTTCGCCAAGTTCGTAATTTCCTATGTGACTTCCTTTTGTGACAGCCCCACTGAATTTTTTCTCGACTCTTTCAATTCCACTTGCAAATATCTTCACCAGTAAAAGGTTTTTACAGGCAACATGGTAAGGATTTGAGACGATAGTTCCGCTAATTCTTTCACATCAGTTATTAACCTCTATTCTGTTAACAGAAAATAAAAGCCCTTTCCAGATCCTCCAGCGATTACGTTCGTGAGCGAGCACAGGACATTCACAAGGTGCAAAAAAATCTTGATCCCACCGTGCATCCCTTTGAAAAGGCTAGAGAATATGTTCGTGCCCTCAACTCTGTCAAGACCGAAAGAATGTTCGCCAAGCCTTTCCTTGGGTCTCTCAGTGGTCATATTGACGGTGTCTACTCTATGGTTAAGCACCCACACCGCTTGAACTCCATGATTTCTGGCAGTGGCGATGGCGAGATTCGAATCTGGGACATCTCGGAGCGAGAGTCAAGCTGGACAGTCAAGGCTCACAAAGGTATTGTGCACGGTCTTTGTCCGTCTCCCAAAGACTCCAAATTCTTGTCTTGTTCGGCGGATAGAACGGTTAAAATCTGGGACCAGAACGAAGGCACCACACCCATTCACACTTATATGGGTAAATACGCATTCACTGGATTGTCACACCATTATACCGATCCTCTGTTTGCTACTTCTGGTAACGCTGTTGAGATTTGGGACCAAAACCGATCTGAACCCATTCAAGAATTCAACTGGGGTGCCGATACGACACACACTGTCAAGTTCAACTACACAGAAACAAATATATTCGCAAGTTGTGGCACGGACCGCACCATTGCTCTGTATGATTTGAGAACTTCTCAACCTATATCCAAGGTTGTCATGTCGGTAAGTAGTAATTGAGGTTTTAATCCGCTGCCCCTTATGATGGTCGTGTATCTCACCAATCCCCCCCCCCTTTTTTTTTTATTTTGTCATGCGCAGATGAGAACCAACGCAATCGCATGGAACCCAATGGAAGCATTTATCTTCACAGCTGCTAATGAAGATCACAACTGCTATACGTTCGATATGCGAAGAATGGAATCAGCTGTAAATGTCTTGAAGGATCATGTTTCAGCGGTTTTGGATGTAGATTACTCGCCCACCGGTGAGGAAATCATCACTGGATCTTACGACAGAACACTTCGATTGTATAACGCCAGACAAGGTCACAGCAAGGACGTCTATCATACCAGGCGAATGCAGCGTATTTTCTGCGTTCAATTCACTATGGACAGCAAATACGTTCTTTCCGGCTCTGATGACGGTAACATTCGATTATGGAGAGCACACGCTGCCGAGAGAATGGGTATCAAGAGTGTCCGTGAGCGAGCTCATCTCGAATATAGCGCCAAACTCAAGGAGCGCTACTCCCACATGCCAGAGATTAGACGAATTGACAAGCACCGTAACTTGCCTCAATCCATCAAAAAGGCGGATAGACTCAAGAAACAGATTCTTGGCAACCGTAAGAAGAAGGAAGATAATCGTATCAAGCATTCGGCTCCCGGTAGCATTGAGAGACAGCCAGAGAGGAAGAAAGCTATTGTTGGTGTTGCGAAATAATTTCTGCCTTTTATCCATCCATTCCCATTCATGCCATGTACAATATTACCATCATCCTCCCCCATGCAATAGGAGAATTGCTCAAGTTTTTGCTAGTTTATTTTTCATACATTTTGCTACCCTTTATTTTTAATTGTAGCTGTCTAGATAAAGAATTGTTTTCTGGATTTGTTTCAACCATTGTGTAAGCGTACCGGTTAGGATATGGCTTGTTTAGTCTGGTTTACATTTGGGATCAACAGTATATGAATGCAGGTGTATTATGCATAGAATTGGGATGGAATCTCCAGTCCACCGTTTATTAAGTGAGCTTGTAATTTTACAAGCATTCATATAGATACGATCAGATTTGGACAGAGTAGATTTGGAACGAGGTGGCACTCTTGGTCACATTAACGCTGTTGGAAGAGATGGTTAAACCTTGACCTACTTTGCTTTCATACAAGTTATAAGTAGCGCCATTCGCGGTATAAGTGGCATTCCAGAGAGTTGCACCACAGCTGCCCAGCTGAACTGCCTGGCCGCTAACATTGATGCAGGTTTTTGTTTGGATGTTCATGATCTGGAAAGATCCACTGACTTGGTTCACCATGAATACTTCTGCAGGTGACTGGAGAGTCGAGTTGCCAACTGTCAGTGTGCCGCCATTTGACTGCAAAGAGTTAGACCCATATCTGAAAACAAGGTATCGACCTTCTGTCAAATATCCTCGCAGGCGCTTGCTACCCTTCTCTACTACAGGCATTTTCTGCTTTCCATATGGAGGCGAGCTCTTTGGATCCGTCAAACTGTACACCACGGTTAATACTGGAAATAAACCATCCCAAACCCCCTCCACCCATCTATAAAAAATGGTCAACTTACTTTTCGCACATTTCAGTGGGATCCCAGTTTCCAGAACTGTCTTTGGGTGGAGTGGCAACATCAGGCAAGTTGGGAATAGAGAAATCAGGGTTCTCAAAGTCAAAGAGGTTGAGAAGTGACGACATAGTTTGTCTTGCCCATGGAGAAATCAATCCAGCAGGAGCACGAACACCGCCATTGTTATCCTTTCCGATCCATTCTTCCAATAGCATCAATGTGCTGCGGTGGTCAGACACCTCTGTGAAAACGTTTCCTCCTCTGCAGTAAGGACTGATGCAGATAAATGGTACTCTTGGTCCAGGACCAGGCGATGATTTGGTACCCAATTCGAGCGCTACAGGCTGCCACTCGCTTTTAGGAGCTTGGGGAGGTATAACGTGATCGTAAAAACCTGGTAGAAGGCAAAAGTCAGTCGAACATGTGCAGAAAGCTTAACCGCCCCGTCTCCAAGTTTATACCTCCAGATTCGTCATAGTTGATAATAAGAGCAGTTGATTCCCACAACGGAGAGTTCATGACAGATTCAACCACCTGTCTTTGCAACCAGGCACCGGCTGAAGGACAGTTATCTGGATGCTCAGAGAGTTCTACCAAATAAGCAATTATTAGCCAGACTATATCTTTACCACCCTTTTCAGTATCACCATTTACCTGTGGCGCCAACAATGTAGCTGACTTGAGGAAGAGTTCCGTTAGCCGCACGAGCTTGGAATTCTGCAATTCCTAGAAATCCAAGACCCTTTTGTTTTTCTACTCCATCTGGGAGAGCACTCCAATATTGGAACCACTTCAACGGGTCATCGTCAAAATTATCTAAGGAAATGGAAAAAAGAATGGTTCAGAAACCACTTATCTATAATAACTGAAAGGGAAAATATTAAAAAGCACTTACCGTTGTCTTGGAACACTTGCCAACTAACACCGGCTGTGGTCAAATTTTGAGGATAGCTGATAATAGAATAAGATTAGAAAAATATTGACTGTAGAAAAAAATCATTATCAAGACACACTTACGTGCTCCACTTCAATGTTGGCGATTCGGTATTGTCTTGCAAGGAATAGCCACCAGCTGTTGGAATGATGGGTCACGAATGTGAATAACAATGAAAATTACTAGGCATTCAAGACGGTAAATATGCCTACCGGAATTGGTACCACTCATCCAAACAACACGGTTAGGGTTAGTAGAGGCAGTGACTGATTGGAAATACCTGATAAAATATGTAAGTATATCTGCTATGTCGATTAATGAGTGACGCAAATCACTTACATATCAGCTATGGTGAACTCTTCGGCAAGAGCAAAGTGAAATGGCAATTGGTCTCTTGTTTCGTATCCCATGGACATGGGGCTATTTCCCATTGGCCAATTATTGTTTTTGCCACCGTTGAGAGCAAGATGGTTTGGAAACCACCCATTACTTCCTCCAGCGGTGCATCCAGCTCGATTTCCGGTGAATTGAAATGGCAAAATATATCCGGCTCCATTGCGCCAGTCAGTACTAAGCAGATATGGTTGGTAATACAAGCTATTGCCATTGCTTTGGATGCCGACATTAGGGTCGTTAAATCCTCGCACTCCTGCCATGGTGCCGTAGTAATGGTCAAAGGATCGGTTTTCTTGCATGAAATAGACAAAATGCTTGATTTTCTCTAACCCTGTGGTGTTGGTCCCGCTTGCACAGGCCACCCATTCTGTAGCAAGACAGAGTGCAACTGCTGCTGTAATTGCAAATTCCATATCTGATGCTCAACGATCGTTTTGCATATAAGCGGTTTTATAATAGTTCCAAGTCCTGTTTTACCACCACGTTCGAGGTAATCTATTGCTTCCGCATTTAGTTACACCATTGGCCACATATTGCATTCATATTCACCTACCGAATACACCATGTGGACAGCCTCTATGCACTTTTTCTGCTGTACGCATCAATGTAGATGTAGCACGAGCCATGTCGCTCTTACTGACCGACCATCCGACATACGCCTCTATGTGTAAAATGATTTAGGGCCAATGTTGATACGCACATGTAAACATTAAAATGCTGCTCTGAAGCTCTTACCAAGACATGAATTCAATTTGTGTTTTTATCATTGTATATAACTTCAAAGAAGTTCAGTATGCTTATCGTTCAAGGAATTAATTTCACTAAAATTAGGCAGTCTGTGCCAAAAGTAGGATTAGTAAATATCACGAATCGTTCCCATAGTTCAACCTTGCTTGTACGACCACTTTGTACAATGCAGCATGAAGCTAGTGAATTTATGTCGCTTTGCCAGGGAAGGTCGTGTCAACGTTGGCTCTCAATACATCTCAGATTTCATGTCTTGTATTCCACAAATTACATTCCGCTCTTACTTTAAACAATTGTATACCAAACCCTTTCCGTAATTGAGTTTACATTCGGAAACGTTTAAATTTACTCCATTGACATAGTATTGAAAAATATGGGCTGTGTTTTATTGAATAACTCAAGACCGTTCATAAATACGATGGTGATAATTGGGTTATTTTAGACTTCGAATTAAACTGCTGACATGAACTACTTAATAGTTGACAGAGTAAATATGGAAGGAGGTAGCTGTCTTGGACAACTTAGGCTTGCCAGAGCTGGCTGAGAAATGCTTTCCAGAAGCAGCGTGAGTGATTTGATAGGTAGTTCCCTTAGGATTGTAAGAGATCTTCCATTGAGCAGTAGAGCAAGCAGCAAGAGAAACAGAGCTGCCAGAGGCGTTAAGGCACTTTCCAGTTTGCGGATGCTTGATGGAATAGTTGGCTCCATCCTGTTGGATAATGAAAACCTCGGACTGAGATTTCTTGCCGTTGGACTTGACAGCCAACTCATGAGTTTTGGAGTTGGCAGCAACAACTTGGAGAGAGGTGGTGGTAGTGGGGCTTAGGACAAGGCTGCGACCTTCGGTCAAAGCACCACGGACCTTCAAGCTACCAGTCTCAACAACAGGGAAGGTTTGCTTGCCATAGGGGGGAGTGCTCTTAGGATCGGTCAAGCTTTTATAGTAGTTAGTAAAAGTCTAAATTAGTCTTCCAGTCATGTGTACTCACGCATTGCACATCTCGGTGGGATCCCAGGCGCCGCTGGAGGTTTGAGCGGGCTTGGCAACAGTGGGAAGAACAGGGATGCTGTAATCAGGGTTCTCGAAGTCGAACACGTTGATCAAGCTGGAGGTGGTGTTACGGCTCCAAGCAGAGATCAAGCCAGCAGGTGCCTTGTAGGCGCCATTAGCGTTCTTGCCAACCCACTCTTCCAACAAACGAAGAGTAGCGGTATGGTCGGCAACTTCGGTGAAGACGTTTCCACCTCTGCAGAAGGGACTAACGCAGACGAAAGGAACACGAGGACCATAACCGATAGGAACAGTAGCGCCGTTGAACTTGTCCTTAACCCAGTCGCTCTTGGGAGCTTGGGGAGGAACAACGTGGTCAAAGTAACCTTAATATGGATTTAATGTTAATATATGGTTATCAAGATCACTCATATTAGCTTGCCATCCATTTAAACTTACCACCGCTCTCATCGTAGTTGATAATCAAGGCAGTCTCGTTCCACAAAGGAGAGTTCATGACAGCATTGACGACTTGCTGTTGAAGCCAGGCACCTATATAAAACCAAAAAGTTGGGTTAGTAATAGAGCTTACTATGAATGAATTTTTTGTTTTTGTTTTTCATGCTTACCGGCCATGGGGGTGTTGCTGGGATGTTCACTCAGCTCAGTAGGTCCAACGATGAAGCTGACTTGAGGAAGAGTGCCATTACCGGCATGGTTGTAGAAGTCTTGGAGACCAAGGAAACCGAGACCTTTGCTCTTTTCGGTACCGGCAGGGAGACCGTTCCAGTAGGAGAACCAAGCCAAAGCGTTATCATCGAAGTTATCTAGATTCAAGTTCTTAGAGAGTATGTCCGCTCACAGCTATTACAGCAATAATACATACCGTTGTCTTGGTACACTTGCCAGCTGACACCAGCAGTGGTAAGGTTTTGAGGATAGCTGAAGCGTAGTATTGTTCGTCAGATGATGCTTTATGAGCCGGTATGATAGAAGTAAAAACTTACGTGTTCCACTTGAGAAGAGGGCTTTCGGTGTTGTCTTCCAATGTGTATCCACCATCTGGTAATGCGTTTGGTCAGTACTTTAGTCCGGGTCAATGCTACCACTTTCGGAAAGTCCTACTCACTGCTGTTTGTGCCTGACATCCAGACGACACGGTTAGGGTTGGTTGGGCCAGTAACAGATTGGAAGTACCTTTTGTTCATCAAATAAAAAAAAAAATTAATCACCATCAAAATTTTACAGAACAGATGATCAGAAATGTAAAACTTACATATCACCAATGGTGAAGGCTTCGGCAAGAGCGAAGTGGAAAGGAATCTGGGTTCTGTTTTCATAGCCCATAGACATGGGGCTGTTGCCAGAGGGCCAGTTGTTGTTCAAACCACCGTTCAAGGCGGCGTGGTTTTGGGTCCAGCCATTGCTTCCACCGGCGGTACAACCGGCTCTGTTGCCCTTAAATTGGAAAGGCAAGAGGTACTTGGTGCCATTCTTGAGATCAGAGCTGTTGGGATCGGGCTGGTAGAAAAGGTTGTTTCCATTAGACTGGATGCCAACATTGGGGTCGTTGAAACCACGGACACCGGCCATAGTACCATAGTAGTGATCGAATGAACGGTTCTCTTGCATGAAGTACACGAAGTACTTGATCTTCTCCAAACCAGTGGAAGTAGTAGCGTCAACTTTGGCCTTCTTGGCAGCGGGAGCAGCACTAACAACTGAAAGCACAGCTGTAATAGCAGCAGCAATGGTAATGACCTTCATTGTGTAAGGAATGGATTGGGGATAAGTTTTATTGTATACGTTTCACTGCATTATTATATACCGTCTAGGCAATTAGGTTTAATACGACCAAGCTACAGACCTTGCAGTGTAACCTGTATTGTAAATGGCTACAGTTACGTAAATATGGTTTTCCTATTGGCCAGTGTAGTGATGATGAAGGCTATGAAATGGGAGGTGTGGTACAAACGTAAAAGAGGTATAATACCAAATTTCTCCATGGCAAATTCTCGGACCCCTATTGGTAGACAAGTCTGCCGAGTACAGATCTTGACGGGCATTAAACTGCCGGCTCCGAAATTGAACGATCCATGAGCAAACGACGAAGCAAATCCCAGCTTCTGCGAAACGTGGAAGTCTATGTGAACTTTGTTTTGTTTCATCTTACTCTATCCCCGTCGATGCGGCATTTGCTATCCATGTCAATCGCGGTGGATACCCAAACAAAGGTAAATTAACGCTTTGTATGCCACGATTTAGGCCCATTTCTCCCAGCGCAACTGCTACACATAGCATTTGCTGACAGTATGCCCTATCTCTTAATCCATGTAAATGCACGATACCTAACATATTATGATATTATAATATTTTATTGCCTATTTGAGCAAGGAAAATGCTGTGACCATCGAGCCAACGGTCCACAGTTTAATGGAACTCAACTGAGAAAGGTTTGGTGAGGTCGATCTTGAACCCTTGAGCAACATATGCGCCAGTAGTAGAATCCTTGCGGACACTGTAGGATTTACCGTTGACTTTAACAGACTTGTAAGAGCTTCCTAGAACAGCGATCTTCTCTAGTTTGGTCTGCTCGTGGTAGTGGAACTTTCCGCTAGCTGAGAGCTTGCCCTTTGCGAACTTGAAATCAATATCTGAGGTCTTTGGTTGTTCAATGGAATGACCATCATCAATATACAATCGTCCGCTGGCCTTTCCAGAATTGTCGAGAGCAACAAGGAGTTCGTAAGGTGTAGCATATGTAGCATCAATAGTCATCTTGGGAGCCTTCAAAGGCAGAATAGCGCCACCACGAACGTGGAGAGGAATGTGGGTGAGAGGAGCCTCAATGGTCTTGGAGGTGGGTCCGTTAACAGGCTTTCCGTTGTACCAGTCATACCAAACACCGGTAGGGAACTTAGCATGGATTGAGGTTGCGTTCTCAACAACGATGGGAGACACAAGCACAGAGTCACCAATCAAGAATTGAACATCCTCAGCCAAAAATCTATCATCCTTGGGGTATTCGAAAATAAGAGGGCGCCAGACACCAGTACCAACAGTGTTGGCTTCTTCAAACAAGGTATACAAGTAAGGCATCATGGCATAGCGAGCAGCCAAAGCAAGTCTAGTAGCTTCAGCAACTTCAGGCCATCTGTAAGGTTCTTGCGAGATTTGACCGATACCGTTGTGGTTACGAGCTTAACAAGAAACAGGACAAAAAAAGTCAATACAAAATTCCATACTACTCACTCCATGAGTAATGGTACTTACCGAATGGATACAAAGATCCAAGCGCTTGCCATCTGGCGCAAAGCTGCATGTTGGTATCACCATTGAAGCCGCAAATATCAGAGCCGGAGAAAGCAATACCCATCTGCTGCATCTGCAGTACAGCAGCAATGGAAACCTTAAGATAGTTCCACTGGGAGTAATTGTCTCCAGTCCTGCATATAGAATATTAGTCAGTGTGAAAATTGCATTTTTCTCTTACTGATCGCTTACGTACCAGTGACCGGCGTTCTTTCCTGTTCCAGGGAATTGTGAACGGGTAAGCAAGAATACACGCTCTCCAGGGCGGTACTTTTGGATAGCCTGTATGAAAAAAATTGTCAATGGATGGTCTTGGCGAACTGAATAGCGCGTTCATATCATACATACATTGTTGGTAATATGGGACTCAGCATGGCCGTAAAGGTTGTGAACATCATAGTGAGGAACTTTACCGTAGTGAAGAGCAGTAGTAGGAGCAGTCTTTTCACTAAGGTTTCCAGCACCATTGTTAATGACATAAGGAGGATAGAGCAAGTTTCTGGAGTCTCCAGGAACACCAGTGCCGAGTGCATTAAGGTTAGCTTCCCACTCAGCGTGAAGTTTAACATAATCGTCTGCAGGCAAGTTCCACCAGAATTCAGGAGATTCGTTTCGTTTGCCGGTACCGCAGGAGCCCAAGCAGAAAGATGAAGGTTCGTTCATATCGATCCATACCTGTCATAATTTTAGTTAATAAGAAGTTAGGGCTCGATAAATTGGCGGGATATTGCACTTACACCATCCAACTCAATGGACTTCATGAAAGTATCGACTTCGTAGTCCCAGTACTTCAAAGAGAGGTCAGTAAATTATGTAAATAGAGAATAACAACATGACATGGGATTCCTTACTTTTTGGACATTAGGATGCCACCAATCAGGGAATGCAGTGTAGCCTGGCCAAACCTGTCCCTCTAATTTACAAAATTATCATGTAGGTTAGAGTCACGCATTTTTTTTTGTTTCCTTTTACAATTCACGACACTTACGAAGCTCAGTCTTGTAGTCATTCAATTTCATGAATACGTCCAAATTGTGACCTCTGCTATATGGCTCATAACTGGTGTTGGTAGAGATGGCAGGATCAATCATGACAACATAGCGTTGCTTGCGGCTATGAAGCTTGCTTGTAAGTGCCTTAACCTTGGAAATAGGGAAATTGATAGGGTCAAAGGTGAAATCCTTTGTGCGATCCATATAATCTATGAAAGAGAAAATCAATTACACCATCAAGACACAGCATTATATCATAGCATACGGGACTTACCAATATCAGTCCACATGGTTTCAAGAGGAATTTTGTTATCACGGTAAGCTTCAACAACACCATCAACCTCAGAGATGTTATGATAACCATAACGACATTGGTGCCAACCCAACATCCATTGTGCAGGCATAATGGACTTGCCAACCAAATCAGTGTAGGAGGAAACAACAGCGTTGGGAGTGGCAGGTTCAGGGACGAAGAAGTAAAAGTCAAGAACACCTCCAATGACCTTGTATGTGATTCTTCCAGTCATGGTGAAGATGTCCATTCCGTGAGCGTTCAACAAAAGGTTACCATGAGCTTTTCCGTCACGGATTTCAGTGTAGGCAGGATGACTTCCGTATTGATTTTGGTAGAAAGGATCAGCAACATCTCTTGCCCACAAGGTAGTGACGTTGGCATGGTTGTTGCGACGGTAAGCACCAGTTACTTCACCAAAGCCATACAAGTTGGCGTTGTCTGGAACCTTGGTGGTCAATTCGAGATATTGATCTTCGAAAACAAGAGGCTGGCCAGTGGTATCAAAGAGGACCTCCTTGTCGGAATTACGAGTGACCTTGAAGGAAAATGGCTTGTCGGTATAGTGGAAAGAATAGTTGGGGTGAGAGGCAGCCTTTTTTGTCTTGGGTCGAACGAGACCAAGGGGTGAATCAGGAACCAAGTATTGTTTTCCGGCAGTGTCAGCAATACGAACGTGAAGTCTGTCACTAGTCTCGTATTCAACGTCAACACTTAATTTGCTGATGGTCTTGCCATAAAAGTCTTTCTTGCCATCATTTAGGACTAAAGGAAGGTGCAAACCAGTCTTGGTTTTCTGAGCATGACCATTGACGCGATATCCGGCAGCATGATGGCTGACAGATGAATCTACGACAATACCTGTTTGAAAAAGCGTAAGAATGCCGGGTACATTGATCAACGCCACCCTTTCATTAATAGAAATTACCAGGAGCGGCAGCTGGTAGTTCAGCTTGAACGACTGTGAAGGAAAGGAGTATGGCTACCAGAATGGAGCTATACTTGGCCATTTTGGAGAGCGGTAGGTAGGATAAACTTTCTCGGAATGAGGGAGGTATGCTTTATATACCAGCGCTGCAGGCTAACCAGCTAAGCACATCTGGGGGAGATATTGTTATTTTCTAAATGTAACCCAAGTTGCTCCTTTTGGGAAGGAGAGCGGATGGTACAAGATTCCGCCTGTACCCGCTACAGTGCATTTCGACCCTAGGTATGGCTTTCTACAATACCTTTATGCTAAAAGAAAAGTAATAGTCGAAATCAAGAGATGACGAGATTACAGAATTAGAAATAAATATCAATTAAATGACTGTTGCAAAACTTTTTGTTTCTCTTGACAGCTTCCAGGAGTATCCTTCTCTCCTCCCGCCTGGGAAAATATGGGGTACCCACATGGGAATTCCGCGGCCCCGCTTGCATCTGCGTCCGCTTTTCGGGCATGCAGCCTTTCCCCAGATTCTGCCTCCGTATTTTACCAAGCTGAATCAATGTCGTCGGTATTTCATACCGCCTCTAGTATATGCACAATATTGTGCTGTGACGTCGCATCAGCAAGCTTTCCGCGCGTTCCAAGAGGCTTGCACTAGCGTGAGTGTTATTAGTTACCCGTTTCCCAAGTACAACAAGTTCGCTTTTGGTCAGTTTGTTACGCGCAGTAAACACAGGTTAACAACGGAAAGCCATGAAGTAATATCGGTACTCCAAAAGATCAGCAAAGATAATTAGCTGTGCAACGTTCACCCCAAAAACCAAACGTTTTTCTTCCAGCGAAGTTTACACAGAGCAGCCATTGAATTATTATGGTTTCCCCACACACCGAGTGATATTGTTGCAGCAAGAAAGGATTTTTTGGGATTGCTTTTAGTAAACACTTGTGAAGTAGAAAGGCTATGCTTCGAAATGGCAAGTGCTGACATTGTTACGGACGTAGTTCGGTCCACCATTATAACGTGAGTAAAAAAATAAAGACACAGAAAAAGGCACTTTTACATTAATGGTTCGTCGCTATTTGAAAGGCGGTTGAGATGAAGATAGACATCCGTTCCATATCTGATTATTAAGCCAGGTCAGTATTGATGGACGCACATGAATGAGTGCTTAGAACTTTCACTTACCCTTCCATTGAAATCAGCTTCAAATCGCCTCCAAAATAACGGGCATACTAAGTAATGAGGCGCCATCAGTAAAGTTTGAGAGTACGAATTACAAGAGTTAGTGCAAATCACTCACAAGTCTGGATATGGGTAGTCCATAGCCAAAACCAGCCATGGGAGCTTTAAAGTCTGACTTGTTAAATTCTGGTTCCAGAGCTTGTACTTCAGCGGTTGTGTACTGTACCATGCCATCACATTAGCTTTTTGCTCATCAACGTGGGATGGGAGAAACATGGTGAACCTACCATATACGTCCAAACCAGCGGAATGCCTGATCTTGGTATACCTCCACCTTCGTCTGACACTTTAATGGTAATATCCTAGCACAGAACGATAGAATTGTTAATATCCATCCAAGCATAAGCAGCGAATTCTCTACAGCATGCTTTGCCAAGTTACCTCTTTGCCCTGTGCTACGATGATCTTGACAGGCGGAAATTCACCTTCATATTCGTCGCCGTAGGTTTCCACAACAGCTCGAAGCGAGTTCTTCAGAAGCTCAAAGAGCATATGGCTCAGATGTGATGGCACATACATAAACTCTACCACTTCGGGACAATGAAGATGCACTTCAGGCGCTTTAAACAGCCCATAGTAATCTTCGCATATGAACCGAGCATTCTCTATAGCTTCTTGAGCGATTTCAGCAATGTTGGTTTTCGTACAGATGACGCCTACATAATCTTTCCGCGGTGGACCTCTAAATAATGCTGAATGTTGACCTGCATAATAGAAGAAAAGTTAAAACAAGGCTGGTAAATATTGGGTAACTATGCATAGAAATGCAGACTGACCTATGAGCATTCGAATGCCGATGCGGGACATGTAAAAGCGATCTAAGAAAGATTGGACGTCGGTATCAATCAAAGCCGATTGTCTAAATTTTTTATACTCCACAATGCCTTGAGCTGACAAGGGTTGAAATAAGGAGGTGAGCGATGGTAGTCTTAAGTGGTGCATATACATGTGTACACTACTTACCAACTGTCGTCACAACAGGGTCGTGCCTTCGCTTAATGGCTTCAATGCGCTTTACAAATTGTTCGTTATAACGCAAAACTTCTGGAGGCCAATCAAATTCGCCAACATCCTTAAAGTAATACCTTTACACCAAAGGTTTTCGAACATAGATGAGCATCATGTGATGTCTGCAGGTTAATGGAATTCAGATCTATGAACATACCGGTGGCCAACTGGAACATTGGGCTTAACCGCGAGTCCTCCATTTTGTTCTAGCATTGCCAAGTTCGGCTGATTATGTGGTAAATGATTGGCATTGCCTCCTGCTGTGGATTGTTTCAACTGGTTCTTCACTGAAGATGATAGTTCCGGGGGCGGCATTTCAATCAGTTCCTAAAAGGAGCAACATATGAAAAAGTGTGAGAATGTCAATGAAGTATCGATGGGATCATTGTAAAATGATCTCATACCTGAAATGATTGCGCATACCAATTCTTGACCTTCACAATGGATGGCATTTGGCTCAAGTTGTTAGGAAGTTCTTCAAGTTCTTTTACTCGATGTGCAAGTCGAATCGGAAGTTCCTCTTCATTGATAAAATATATGTCGCAACGGTTAGTCCCATGATACCTTCAAAATATAGCGATGACGGGAAATTGATCAACAGCGTATAGTAAACCCATACATACCATGTATAAATTGACCAGCCTTCAGAAGAGTACCCTGCGATGGTTTTTGACCTGACATGGACAGATCGGATCAATGGCACGTAACGTTACCGATCTGACCAAAGTTGTAACTCTTACCAAACATGACCATTTGCCTCAGTGAGACTCCAGTCTGTGGAAACTTTGCATAGTGCTTGATTTTCTCATATAGTTGAGGAGTTATTTTAAACATTTATGTTTAATGAGAGGGGAGGAAACACCTCTGATCGGGTTGCGGGGTAAAGCGGAAGCTGTAGACTGCTTGAAGCGGTGGGGGTCGAGTGTGTCACATGAAATACGGACCGAGTAATAGCGGAAAGTCTGACATCAAGCAAGCCAAACCCGTTCATTAAATCTTTTATTGCCATAGTAAGCCTTTCGTTATCTTGTCAATACTGTGAACTTCCTTAACGTCTCCTTCATCCAAGCTTCTAATTACAGGTGTTTGCTTCAATTTATGGATCAGCCTTTCCGCTAAAACGTTAGCACTAGTCAGTCAATCAGTTTCATTTTCAACGTCACAAATATCGACGTGCTTACTCAATACTCGCGTGCGATTGATCTCTTCGTAAAGTTCATCATCTTTATCCATATGTTCTATGGACAATACATCAAGTTGGCTGATATCATTGTACAAATTCTTTAAGCGTTGGCGTTAGCATTTCAAACCTCGTATTATCCACGCATGAATAAATTTTGTCTTACTGTATATTGCCTCAACTTCCTTTTTGCCTCCAAATAAATGTGAATCTTTCGCTCGAGAATCTTTCTAATCTCTACGTACCTAAAAATTAAATTAAGGTATACAGAGTTATTCACCTGGATATATTGTATTAATCCTAACCATCTTTTGTTTACCGGCGCAGCTTGATGATATCACGATTTGAGTCACCACTATTATCATGCCATGGAGAGGGATACGATGTTATCCAGCTAATATGCTTCAATTAATGAAATCTGTACATAAAACCATAAATTTTGAAAATAAAAATTCGTACGCAATGGGATCATCCACGTCAAATGGCATCATCTTCTCCAGCCGTGTTGACTTTGGCCGAGCTTGTTGTAACCGATCATATTCCATCGACTCTATAAGCTTTCGAACCGCTTGCGGTGGATATGCTTTTTGCGTTCGAGATTTAATGTCCACATTCACTTCCCATCAATAAAGGTTAGTTTCGCCACGTCCAAAGGCATATGACACTGCACGAAATGTTGCATTACAATTTGATATAGCAGCTTCAACTACAGATTGAGGAACGGAGTCAACTTCTTGCTTGTGGAGATTCCAGAATCGTTGAGGTAACTTGAATGGTGTCTCATATATGCTAATTAACCTGTTCAGTAATTCCTTGTTCTTCTGAAAACCTGTCAGCTCTGCCTCTACGCTCATAAGGTCCAGTCAAGACAAGAACCGCAATGCACAGACTGCCTGAAAGTGCGAGAGATTAAATCACGTGCTGGGACTGCTGCCATAAACCGTGAAGTAGTCCATTTTTTGCAGATCTACTGCCAGTACTTTAACCTTTCTACAATTCAGTCATGGGAGTTCCCGCTCTCTTCAGGTGAGTGCGTAAGATGTATATTAGTGGAACTGATTTACGTTTCTGATCATTATATTTCCAGATGGCTGTCTAACAAATTCCCAAAGATCGTGACACCTTGTGTCGAAGAACAGCCTAAGAAATTTAAAGGAGTGGTTGTGCCAATCGATCCAACCAAGCCTAATCCTAATGGCGAAGAATTTGACAATCTGTATCTGGATATGAACGGTATCATTCATCCATGCTGTCACCCAGAAAATAAGGTATGCAGTTCGATTTGTCTCATGGTCGGATCTTGAGAATCCGCTATTAACTGTGACCGTACGTTTGTCGAGTGTAGCCTGCACCAGAAACCGAAGATGATATGATGGTCGACATTTTTGAGTACATTGATCGTATAGTGAACATGATTCGACCTAGAAGCTTGCTTTATATGGCTATTGGTAGGGACCCTTTTTATGTGACTGAGTGGTAATATGAACTGCGGACAATGCTGACAAAATTTTGGGATAGATGGTGTTGCACCCCGCGCAAAAATGAACCAACAACGCTCTCGTCGTTTCCGTGCTTCTCAGTTAGCACAAGCAGAGTTGGATGCAAAGGAAAAAGTGGAGCAAGAGTTGATGGGTACGATTTTCAGGTTTAATACGAGTTTTCATGGGACCAAGACTAATACTGATTTGCAGCCATCGGCCAATTACATCAATTGCCGCCAAAGAAGAAGGCTTTCGATTCCAATTGTATTACTCCTGGTACACCATTTATGGACAACCTAGCGACTTGTCTTCGTTATCACATTGCTCATAAGCAGAACACTGATCCTGCATGGAAAAACGTACGTATTTGGCAAGAATAGTCGTCACGGCAGTCAGGATTATTCACTAACCGTCTCACTACCATGTTTATAGCTCAAGGTCATTCTTTCGGATGCTTCTGTTCCTGGTGAAGGAGAGCATAAAATGATGGAGTATATTCGTCAGCAGCGTGCACAACCTGAACACAACCCAAACACTGTTCACGTCATGTACGGCTTGGTAAGTGTTATCAAATATGTTTTAACTTGTGTATGGTGGCATGACTGTTTCTAACTGGAAATATCAAAGGATGCGGATCTTATTATGCTTGCTCTTGCAACTCATGAGCCACACTTCAAGATCTTACGTGAGGATGTCTTTGCCAAGGAAGCCAGTTCAAAGAACTGTTTCGTCTGTAACAAGCCAGGCCATCGAGCAAGCGAGTGTCGTAACCAGAAGAGTGCGGCTGGCAACGATGCGGTTGCGGCACCGCTGGATGACGACAAAGCAGCACCACCAAAGCCATATGTTCTTATGCACGTGGATGTTCTCCGAGAATATCTAGAGTACGCGCTCAAGCCTGAAAACCCTAACGTAGTCTGGGATTTAGAGCATGCTATAGACGACTGGGTGTTCTTGTGTTTCTTCGTAGGAAACGATTTCTTGCCTCACTTGCCATCCTTGGAAATCCGCGAAGGAGCTATCGATACACTATGTACTATTTGGAAACAATGCCTGCCGGTGATGGGTGGATATCTCACATCCAAAGGAGAGGTTGATTTATCCAAAGCTCAATATTTGATGACTGAATTGGGTAAGATGGAGGATCAAATTTTCATGGACCGCAAAATGAGTAAGTATACGTCTTGTGTCTTTATTTGACTGGAAGTAGAATGTTAAATATTTGATGTTTCTAATGTAGAGGAGGAAAGGCGTGCTCAAGGAGCTAAGCGAAGAAGATTGGAAAACGATAGGCGTAAAATTGAGCGAGAGCAATTTGACAAAGGCCCTAGTTTTGCCGACATGACGGCCGTACCAGTCAATGCCCCACATTCAGGAATGTCCAATCACGAAGTTGTTGAAAGCCTTAGAGCAAAGCGAACTGCAAATCAGAGTGCGGCGGCTGCGCTGAAAGCTGAAATCATGGGCAACCCGTCAACGGAATCCGATACCCAGATGCAAGACGATGGTTCTGAACCCAAAGGAACTAAGCGAAAGGCGGATGAAGTGGAAGATGAAGAAGAGAGCAACCAGGAAGATACAGAAGCTGAATCGACTGCAAATGAGGAGCCTGATAACGAGGCTGCTGGCCGAGCAATTCTTGCTCGTGTGGCTGCTGACAAGAAAGCCAAGGAAGATGCTGCTCAGGCAAGAGAACCTGATGACGAAGTGAGGTAAGACCCATTCCCGTATAGTCCACACCTTATGTAGATAGGAGAGCTAAACATGCTTTACAGATTATGGGAGTCTGGATGGAAGAGCCGATTCTATCGTGCCAAGTTTCAAATTGAAGAAAACGATCATGAGGAGAAACAAAAGTAAGCAGCATGGCTATCAATTTTGCTCACGATAAACCCCAATTGACCATGCGTATTTTTTCATTTTCTTTTTCCAAGGATTGTAAAGGCATACTGTGAGGGTCTGTGTTGGGTATTCAAGTACTATTACCAGGTATGTTTCTGTCGAACTATTCTTTAACAAGCACTACTCTGTCATTGACCGATTTTCTAGGGATGCGTTTCATGGTCCTGGTATTACCCGTACTATTATGCACCTTTTGCTTCTGATTTTGTTGATCTTGCCGAGATGAAGGTCGACTTTGAGCTTAACGCACCGTTACGACCATTTGAACAGTTGATGGGTGTCTTACCCGCTGCAAGGTATATATTTTATATCTTAATATCTAGTTATTGAGTACATGCTAACTTACAAACTTTCTTTTCAGTCGAGACCACATTCCAAAAGCTTTCCATCATCTGATGACGGATGATTTCTCACCCATCATTGATTTCTATCCTGTGGATTTTGATGTCGATATGGACGGAAAGAAATGGGAATGGCAAGGTAAGCTATATGCCAGTGTATAAGGGCATCATTGAAGGTTGTTAAATGAAATTTACACTGATCTAATTACTTCACATTATTTTGCTTAGGCGTTGTCAAGCTTCCCTTCATTGATAAGAATCGTTTACTTGAGGCAATGAATACAGTCTATGATCAGCTTACTGAGGAGGAAGTCATTCGCAACTCTTTGGGTACAGACAAGTTGTGGGTCAGCGATAGTGACAAGCTGTATGACTTCGTCAGTACAGTTTACACAAAGCGAGCAACACACGACCCAATACCTCTTGATACGACCAAGAGTGATGGTATTACTGGTTTCATCAATGATGACCCAGATTGTATTCCTCGCAGCACATTAAGAGCACCGATCCCCGGCCATGATTTGCCGGATATTTCTAATGATTGCTCCCTAAGGTAAGATGAGGCAAGACAGTATGTACTGAATGCGCGTATGAGGTGCTAATGCTTTTCCCCTAGTGCGATATACACTATGCCTAATCCTGGTGCTAGTCAACCCTTTAAACCAGCACTTCTTAAAGGAGTCCGATTGGGCAAGAAAAAATTGTCTTGGGAGGACTTGCAACGTGCTACGTTTGAAAAGCAAGAACATAGAGGCCGAAATGATAGATGGGATCCTCAAGGTCAACATCTTGCACAGCATCGTGAATTGTGAGTATTTTTATTTGTGTTGATGGATATTTGGAAGTTGAGTACTGACTTGTCCGATCTTCAGTAATAGTAGATCCGGAGGCCGTAACGGAGGCTATAACCAAGGAAATAACAATAGCTATTACGGTAATTCCTATGACAACTCGTATAATTCTCGAGGTTATGACAATCAACAACACCAAGGATATCAAGATTCGAGATCTGGAGGCTATGGAGGCAACTCTGGCGGTGGTTATGGAGGTTACGGAGGTGGCCAATCAAACGGTGGTGGCTATGGAAATGGCGGCTACGGCGGCAACCGCGGTAACTATGGTGGCAACTATAACAGCAACCGAGGCTACCGCGGTGGCCAACAAGGTTACCAAGGGCAACAAAACTACAACGCTCGACCTAGAGGAGGCGGTGGTGGCTACCAAAACTATGGCGGCGGCGGTGGCTATCAAGGCGGAGGTGGCTACTCTGGTCAGTCTCGAGGTGGATACAGAGGCGGCGGCGGCGGTAACTCTTATCAGGTATGAACACTTTTCTATTTGCTGGTACACAACTTTCAATTCACTAATTGCCAATTCAACAATAGGGTAGAGGAAACAACTACCAGCATTAAGCGAAGAAATGCTCAATAGGATCGTAAATGAGCACACAGCTATCTACCAATCAATACAAAAAATAAAATACTTGCAATTTCTGACTCTGTACTGTACTGTATAACAACTTGTGATTATAAATTGTTGTCGTTATGTTAAACGTGGCGAAAATGGAAGGAAAAGCGTACGTTGACAGTTGCATTCACAAGCAGCTTACGACCCATGGCTTCAAACCGATATGAAGAATAGACTATTGGTATTTTATTTCTGCTACTGTAGTTGTTTTGACAATCCTAAACGCCGCTTTCCATTTTATCGTTGTGTTGATGTAGTCTTGGTAAGCCTAGAGAATCAATGACATGTTGTGGCATGCAGTAGACAGGATCGATGCTTCTAAGTCCATCGTACTTCAACAGCGCTAAACCAGCGATTCCAAAATGTGTATGAAAGACATCCACCATATCGCCCGGACGATCTGAAATACCACCATCCTCAAGATCCTAGTGACCACATGAATGAATAATCTTGACTTTCAAATAAAAGAACAAGAGCAAAACTATAAAGATTTTACCTGGGCTGAGAGGATGAATTCCGTTAATTTTTCAGGATTAATCCAATCCATGCGATCTATCGTTGCCAGCGATGATAGCACCCACCAGGAGTAGCAAACCTAAGATTCAAGATGCTCTGCGTTACTGAAAGTAGAGTGTCCCAACTGAGGATGGAACTCCATACTTACATCTTCCAGTTTTTCTGGTCTACCATTCAGTCCTCCATTCTTTAATTGTCTTTCGCACAGCCACCAGCCCAACAGATCTCTATCTACATGATGCAGGGCTCCAGCAATGGCGAGAGCGTTGACGCAAGTAAAAACTACACAGAGATTTAACGTTGTATCCGCGCTTTTCGAGTACTGGAAATTAACACTTACTCTGAGCAGAATGACTTTCACCACCGGGCTGATTGCCAAATCCTCCGTCGTAATTTCGGCACTTTACTATCCATTCCACACATTTTTTAACGTTGATATCGTCCAGTCGCTTCAACAGGGAGCAAATAGAGAGCGCAATGTAACAGAATCTGGTGTCAACTTCTCCCCATTGGTCTCCTTGGAAGGATCCATCCTCATTCTGTAAGCTGGCAACATCTAAATTGGATATATCCAAACGCCATGAATACATGTACAGCTTGCCCCAGCATACTCTCGTATGTCATGCCTTACATTTTACGACTTTGTCGGCATCGATGGCGTCCAGTGCGTTCAGGGTAGCTAAAACTTGAATAGCAGGCAAAGTGTTTTGAATATGTGGGTCATGACCAATATGTCCACCGAATCCACCACTCTCATGTTGGCAGTCGCAAACATATTTAATAACTTCCTCTCGTGGCAAGGCGTCGACGTGCTTCATGAGATCCAGAGCTGTTATGCCCCAGTATATTCCTTGTAGGCGCAAGTGCTCGGTGAGCCAGTATTCTAGATCATCCTTTTTCGTGTTTAGCGATTGAATGTATTTGACGTGGAGGTCAACTTCTAGCTTGTCTGTCTTTGGTGGTTCAGTCGCCATTGAGTCTGTTGATTCTTGAGCGGATTCGTCTGAGTCCTGCGTTGCGTTCAGACTCACTGTGGTGATGACCTGAGAACTGTGGGCCAATGAAATTTCGGCCAATATAATTTTTCGTCCAGAACTTTGACTTTTAGGAGCCTGAACAGAGCCATACATAAAGTATGTTTTTCGAAAAATTCCTTTTTGAAAGATTGACTCATGGCTCATGCTTGTAACAAACAGCTGTTAAATCACTATAGTAAGAAAAAGTAGTATATCCCTATGTAAGTGCGTTTTAAAATTAAAGAACGTATGATAGAGGTACTTGTTTGCCAAGATATATAACTCTATGATGAAGCATCTAAATCTTTTTAATTAATAAGTCCACCTGAAAGATGGAATATAACATCCTAAAATCCATTCATATACAGATATTGCGGCCTTGGATATAATCGCTGAAGTTTTGGCTTCTCGTCAAGTGTATGAACGTGACTGCTAAACGACTTTGTCCAGCTTTTTGTGAGCTCAATTTTTTTGGGAAAAAAAAAAAAAAAGTTACTTTCCATTGACATTGTCAGCTTCAGAAACAATGGTCAAAACAGATGTACAAGGAATATCAGCAGGTGATATCAAAAACAAACACAAAAGAGAGGATATATACCACAGACAGAAAGCCGAGAAGGCAAAAGCCAAACGAGAAAGAAGACTGCAGATAAAGAAAGAAGAGGATAAGAATCCAGAACTGAAAGAGGTACAAACAGAAGATCCAGATCAACAAGTTATCATGCAAAATCTAACCTTTTAACATCCTGCAGACTCGTCTGAAGAACAATGTTCCGAAGACTATTGATAATACTCGAGAGAAAGAAGATACCTTTGTTGAGGACGATGAGGAAGTTGCTCAAGAGGAAGCCACTGACGAGTTCGCTCAATACTTTAGCGGCCAAACTCCAAAGATCTTGATTACAACTTCCAAGCGAGCAACACCGGTAAGTATATTCCATTTTCTAGGCAATATTGTTATTTGAGCCACCATACTCATTGCCTCTTCTACAGGCATGCTACGACTTCTGCGCTGAAGTCATGTCGATATTTCCTAATGCACAATTCGTCAAGAGAGGAGAAAAACATGAAATGCGAAAGATCATCCAGTTTGCAAAGAACAGAGAGTTCACGGATATGATGATTGTCAACGAAGACAACAAAACACCCAATGCCATTACACTGGTCCATTTACCTGACGGACCCACCGCTTACTTCAAGCTCACTAGCATTACTCCCGCTGACAAGATCTCGGGACATGGTCGACCAACAGCTCATCAGCCAGAAATCATTCTTAATAACTTTAATACTAGACTCGGTCATACTGTCGGTAGAATGTTCTCAGCCTTGTTCCCTCAACTCCCAGAATTCGAAGGTCGACAGGTTGTCACATTCCATAATCAGCGAGATTTCATCTTTGTGCGGCGGCATCGATATGTGTTCAAGGACACAGAAAGGGTCGGTCTTCAAGAACTTGGTCCCAAATTTACACTGAAGCTGAAGTGGCTGCAAAAGGGTACTTACGATCGAAACGGAGAGTACGAATGGATATTTAAACAAGAGATGGAAACCAGTAGAAGAAAATTTTTCTTGTAGTGTACAAACTTGGGTTCATGAAATACATAATAGCATTTTTCTCATATTGGCCGCTATCATAGTTCGCACTTGGTTGCTTGGATGGGCTCAAAACCTGGCTTATACAGTATGAATGAGCAAATTAAGTATCGGCCAATAAATTTTCCATCCTCCTCAAAACCACCTGGTTTGACATTCAACTTTGAGGCTTGATCTTGTTGTCAATCCAAATCATTAAACTCGAAAATGGCAGATGGTGAATGGCATACTGTGTCACGCACCAATGCTCCGGCAGCACAAAAGGTAGAAGCGACTTCAAAGAAGACAAATGCTCATGGCCGAAGATCGTCCCACAATCAGGGCCACCAACACAACTGGAGACAAAAGCCCAAGTCAACTGCTGCTAACGGTCGCTCAGCTGATCAGCAACAGAAGTCTCTGCACCGATCGAAAGACGCTACTATGCTGAATGCTGCTGCTCCAGAGTTTGTCCCCTCCGGTCAAAAGGATCATAACCCATTCGATCTGCCCGAAGACGACGATAACGATGATGATGAAGAGGAAGACGACGGTTCTCCTGACCCAATCGACATGCCACTTCCACCATATCACACCACCATCATTGTTTCATGCCCTTTTGATAACTGCTCGGCTGTCGTACCATTTTCAGATACTACATCACTCGTTCAGCATATGAAAAATGAACATCAACTTGGATTCAGGAACATCCACCACATGTATATGGCTCTCGAGGCGTACTTGCAAAAGTGGGCACACATCATAAGGGAAAAGGACTTGAAGGAATATGGTGTACAAGAGACTGTAGATGGAAAGGGTAAGCTGTTGCGGAAGTTACTCTGAATATATTTTCGACTTACTGACTTTTATCGGGTTCCTATAGACATCTTTGTTATTGATCCCGAACATTGCAGCACAGACAAGGACATACGAGATGAGATGCAAAAGGAGAAGCTGGTAAGCTGGTGTACTGTACTCTGAATCCGATCATTTGAAACTAACAGCCGGTTTTAGGCGGAAGTATTGAAAACCCAAGACAGAGAACGACATGTGGATGCAACCATACCCCGAAAATGCCTCTTCTGCAAGAATGTATGTGATAATAGGTAAGGCTCAGTGAACTGATTTATTGGAGCGTCAGAAGGGCCTGGAGCTAATGATTGCGATTCATAGAGCCGCCTTATTCAAGCATATGTTTGCTGAACATAACTTCAACATTGGATTACCGGACAATCTTGTCAATGTCAATGAGTTCCTAGATATGCTTGAGTCGAAGCTTGCAAAGTAAGGCCCACCATTTAATCTCGAAAATAAGTGTTCCCGTGCCCCCTGACTTATGATTTCCCTTTTATGTTCAGCTTGCAGTGCTTGTACTGTGAGAAAATGTTTACGGCGGCAGTTGTGCTTCGCAAGCATATGCGCAAGAAGAAGCACTTCAAAATTGCACCCAATAACCGACTATACGATCGATTTTATGTCATCAACTTCCTTGAACCAGGAAAGAACTGGGAGAATTTTGAAAACGATCGATATGAGAGCGACGAAGACCGACGCGATGAGTAAGGAACTACTGACATGGCAAAATGTAGGCAACAACACTAAGTCGCTAACATAATGTTTTTTACTGCAGCTCTTGGGCAGACTGGGATGAAAAGGATGCAGAGCCCACCATGTGTCTTTTCGACGAAGTTGTAGTCGATACTCCTGAATTGGCTTTGCTTCATATGAAAGAACAACATGATTTTAATCTTGATAAAATTCGAAAAGATATGGGTCTCGACTTTTACAAGACTGTAACTCTGATCAATTATATTCGACACCAGTCTTCTTTCAACCGATGCTACTCGTGCGGGACCACTACAGACGCCTTCTCAGAGCTAAGCGAACACATGCAGAAGAATGGATGCTTTAACAACGTCCCTTCTTTGGATGCTGAGTTTTGGAAGGATCCAAAGTAAGGATAATAAAGATGGATATGCAAGGCTTCTTACTTGATGCTTACTACATTCACTCACTCTAGGTATCTCCTTCCTACGTATGAAAGTGATCCACTTCTTACGGCGATTGATGACGGCGAAGACAATGATGACATGGATATCAACCTCCCTGATGAAGAAGCCAACCAAAAGTATTTGCAACAGGCCGCCGCTCATGCTCAAAAAGAAAAATGAAAACTAGTATCAAAACAGAGGTCTCCATTTAATTTATATGTCATCCGATGGTACAAGGAAATGTGATCTTATAATAAAAAAAAAAAAGAAGAAAAAAATAAAAGAGGAAAAGTGAAGCCCTATATTATTACTTTGCAACCACTAGAATAAGAGTCAGAACGCAGGCTACCACTACGATAATTAATAAGAGGCAACACATGTTCTTGCGAGCATTCTTTTGATGGCGGTTCGCAATAACAAGTTCACTGGCTGCGTCCCGTGTGCTCTGTGCAATATTGAGAACATTTCCATATATACTCTCTGTTCAAGGATGAAGTGTGAGTATAGATTTTGATAAACGAGTCAAATGACCGAAAATACATACGAATTCCGCTTTCCTGTTCATTGACGAGAGTTCCCAAGTCTCTAAATATTTCATTCAACTCTGTAATACCCTGTTCAATCTCTTGGATTTCTCCTTCTCTCTCGGTGATAAGGGCCTCATTATATTCAATCTCATTATCCAATGCCTGCAACTGCATTCGTCGTTGTGGGTCCTCAATCACAGGTGGCTCGTGCTCTGAACTAGTGTGTTCTTCCAACTCGCTATATTAAGAAGTTTTAAAAAGGTGATCTTGTCTGTACCATGATATACTGCACACTTACAAAGGCTGTCCAGATTGAGATTGTAGCATCGCAGTTGTAGCCTTTGCTTTATCAACATACTCGCGCTGCTTGCTAGCAGAAAGTCGTTGCGCCCGTTGAAACTCTGAAATGACCTTTTGGAAATCTTTGGAAAGCTTTTGTTGCTCCAGTTTCCTTTGACGCTATAACCGATTTCATAAAAAGTATTAGAACTCGGCCGCCGGTAATATGACTGAGGGGGCACGTGCGTAGTACTAACGGAAGTTCTCTCATCTGGTATAGGGCACTGTGAAAGCAGTTTGATGTCTTCACTGGTATCTTTTACAAGGTCTCTTGTGGATTCTGTGACATCGTGACTACATAGGGGAGTTGCATATTGATGTTAACGCACATGAAATTTAATACCGATCTACATTGATAAATATACCAAACATACAGCTTGTTTCTGATTTCGGCAGAATCTCGTGGACTACCCAAGAACTCAATCAACCGATCGATGCTGGATATGTTACCATTGATATGGAAAATCTGTTGTGAAATTCGTTGGGTTATTTGCTTATAATTGAGGTCATCGTGCTCCTCTATGGATTGTATATGAAGCAATGTTAATATTTCTCCGTTGAATCAAGGTGTATAAAATTTGTTATTGCTGAGTTACCGATAGCTATAGGACCAGTTCGTGCTCTATTCCCTCTTCCAGGGTTTGATGGACCGAAACCTCTTTCAAGATCATTGAACGACATTGTGTAAGAGGTTGAAATTAGACCGAGAGATAGGGGGTGGATAAGCTTGGCGAAGCTGAGCGGTCGGAGACACAAATTGAGAAAGTCACGGGATATGCCATCATCTCAATTGGTGGGCGATTTGCAAGTTTGACGCAGAGACAAAAACATGTTGTCGTTTCGGCTCAATTTGTCATCTCTTCACGTCTTATTAATATTTAACTTTTCCTAACAATCACTTCTATCCATGGAATCAATGGATAAAAAAGCTCCAGTAAGCTACAATGCCAATAGCACATGCAGCTAACCATGCCTATTATCCCCGTCATTGGCGGCGGAGAAGCTGAGGAAGCGTGCGAAAGCTGCATACCCAAACAGTCACAAGTATCCATTTTCGTCTTAAAAAAAAATGTTTTATAATCAAGGAAAAGGGTATAAATTACTGTGCTTATTCCAATTTGCTCCACTCCAACTTCTCTTCTCTCTTCATTATAATGGGTCAACCTACCTTTGACAACAAGTCGCACGACCTGGCCGCTTCTGGCTTTGGAACAAGAGCAATCCATGCTGGTCACGTTCCTGATGGCTTGACCGGCGCTGTCATCCCCCCTATCTCTCTGTCCACCACCTTCAAACAAACTGCTGCTGGTGTCCACAAGGTAATTTCAGTTCTTCATGCGTTGGTGCTAGTGAAACGATCTTTCTCACACTTGCGCTTTATAATAGGGCTTCGATTATTCTCGATCTGGAAACCCCACTCGCAACAACTTTGAGGATGCCGTTGCCCTTCTTGAGGGAGGCAAACACGGTCTTGCTTTCAGCTCTGGCTCAGCTACTACTGCTACCATTATTAACAGCTTGCAAGCTGGATCACATGTTATCTCCGTCAACGATGTCTATGGTGGAACTTACCGTTACTTCACCAAGGTGGCTGTCGGTAATGGCGTCGATACTACTTTTGTTGACTTGGCCAATGCTGATGATATTGAGCCTCACTTCAAGGAAAACACTAAGGTAAGCATCTTTACCAAATCACGCCATTGGAGGGCTGGATGGCTATATTCAAGGGGGTTTTTTACTAACTTGGTTCTGTAGTTGGTTTGGATCGAAACCCCGACAAACCCAACCCTGCGCATTATCGATATTGAAGCGGTGGCCAAACATGCCCATGCCCATGGAGCTTATCTCGTTGTCGATAACACTTTCATGAGCCCTTATTTCCAGAATCCCTTGTCATTGGGTGCTGACATCGTGGTTCATTCCGTCACTAAGTACATCAACGGTCACTCTGATGTCGTTATGGGAGTTGCTGTCACCAACGATACTAGCATTTACGAAAAACTCAAGTTTTTGCAAAATTCTTTGGGAGCTGTTCCATCTGCTTTCGATTCATTCTTGGCGCGACGTGGTTTGATGACCTTAGAAGTTCGCATGAAACGTCATGAGGAAAATGCCCTTCGTATTGCCGAATTTCTGTCAAAGAACTCTCACATTGACGAAGTTATATACCCTGGATTGTCGTCTCATCCACAACACGAGCTTGCTAGACGTCAACAACGTGGCTTTGGAGGCATGTTGTCCTTCCGTATGAAAGGCACTCTTGACAATGTGAATGTTTTCCTTCAAAACCTTCAATATATCACTCTGGCAGAATCTTTAGGAGGAGTCGAATCGCTCATTGAAGTCCCTGCAGTAATGACTCATGGAAGTGTCAGCGAAGAAGACAGAGCTAAACTCGGAATTACCGACACTTTGGTCCGATTGTCTGTGGGCATTGAAACCGCTGAGGATCTGATTAACGACCTTGCACAGTCTTTGGATGCTGCATATTAAATATTTCTTTTCATTCCTTCTTGCTATCATCGCACCATCTTTATCTTGGAAATAGAATCTTCCATCAATCATAATCATCGTATACACTTTTTAGAGCTTTTTTTTTGGGGCATTAAAACACAAAAATTTCACTTGTATTTCATGGCATATTCAAAAAACGTCTGATTTTTTTTTTGTTATCGTGGCAGTGTTTCTCTGGCGCACCAAGTGAATCGCTACAAAGGTTTATACGCCTCTGGACTCTGCTGTGTGCCAAACTTCATGCATGGTGCCATCAAATGTGCGGGTATAGCTTGCTATTATCGGGATGACATCAATGTGACACTTCACAGTCAAAGGCATGAATTTAACCGATTTTATATAAATTTACTGCCTTTATTTGCCAAAAAAAAAAAGAGCAGTATCATCATCCCCTTCTTTCTGTTATCATGACTACCATTAGTATTGGAAAATATCTTATCCACCGTCTCAAGGAAGTTGGTGTGGAAACTATCTTTGGCGTTCCCGGAGACTACAACATGGTATTGTCAGAGTGACAACTACTACGGTATATGGTGTTTTTTACTAATCGTGTCAATTTTTTCAGCCACTTCTTGACCAAATAGAAGGTAGCTATGAGCCATTAACAGCATCATACTCTTAAGATTATAATACTAACAGCTTTAACAGACGATAAGGACGTGTTTTGGGGAAACAACGCTAATGAGCTCAATGCTTCATATGCTGCCGACGGCTATGCAAGAATCAATGGTGTAGGAGTAAGTAGCATCTCAATATACCAAAGTATCACCGGCGTAGGCGTACTAACGGACATTTTACTGAAGGCTTTGGTTACCACCTTCGGTGTCGGAGAGCTATCAGCTATGGCTGGTATTGCTGGTTCATACTCTGAAATGGTTCCAGTCATCCATATTGTTGGCATGCCTAATACCAAGTCTCAAGCTACTGGTGCTGTTCTCCACCATACTCTTGGAAATGGCGATTATCATGTTTTTCAAAAGATGTTTGCCGAGATTACCGTTGCCAATGCCTTGTTGAAGCAAGAGAATGCAGCCGAGCAAATCGATCGAGTCCTACAACATTGCATTGCTAACGTGCGTCCAGGTCAGTGTTATTCCGATGAAGTCTGTCAAAATTTTGATGGACACTGACACCCTTTGCAACCAGGTTATATCGGTATCCCAATTGACTTGATCAATGCGGAAATTACAGTAAAAGCCTCACCAATTCCATCACTGAGCTTGGACATCCCTAAAAACCCCGAAAAGACTCATCGAGCAGCTCTGGAGGATATCATCGCAAAGGTAGAAGAAGCAAAGAAGCCCATCATCCTTGTCGATGCTTGTGCATTGAGAAGAAATATGATAAAGGACGTCCAAAAGCTAATCGAAGTATCTGGCTTTCCTACCTTCACCACTCCTATGGGTAAAGGCGGAGTCGATGAGGACCAACCTGCCTATCGGGGTTGCTATGCGGGAGATGTCAGCTATGACGAAGTCAAGCAAGAAGTGCATGATTCCGACCTCATCCTAGCTATTGGCTGTTTGAAGGCTGATTTTAACACTGGCGGTTTCACATATCACTTGGATTCAGACAAGGTGATAGAATTCCACAGCTTTAACGTGAGCGTCCACTACGCAACATACGAGAAAGTTAGTAAGTAGCATTATTTCATCTTCATCAGGTAGCTTTGGACTTTCTCAGTGGACATTATTTTTACTGACTACCATTTCTATTACCAGGTATGAATCAGCTCATTCCGGATTTAATCAAGCATTTCCCCAAGAAGCGGTCCATCGACTTTGGTCCACGACCCTGTGGTCCACAAGCCGATAGCAACTCTGAAGTCATCGACCATACTTACTTCTGGACGAATATCCCGCGCTTCTTGGAGCCAAGATCTATCATTGTTGCCGAAACTGGTACCTCCATGTTTGGTGCTATCAATATGAAAGCTCCAAAGGATGCGATCTTCATTACTCAGTTCTTATGGTTAGTTTGATCATAATATATACTCCACATCGTTTGCTTTATACTAATGGTCATCTTTTAGGGGATCCATTGGCTATAGCGTTGGTTCGGCCATGGGAGCCGCTATGGCCGGGCGTACACAAGACAGACGAGTCTACCTGTTTGTTGGTGACGGCTCATTCCAGTTGACGGCACAGGAAGTGTCGGTCATGCTACATCAGGGCCTTACCCCTGTCATCATTATCCTCAACAACGATGGTTATACTATTGAAAAACTCATCCATGGACCTGACAGAAAATATAACAACTTCCAAATGTGGCAATACAGCAAGACATTAGAGTATTTTGGCTGTAATTTGGAGCACAACCTCAAGGAATCGTTCCAAGCTAAGGTTGGTGCCCAAGCCAAAGTCACAACCCGGAAGGAACTAGAGAAAGTTCTTGAGCAAACCAGGGCAGAAAAGAACAAGATCCACATCTTGGAAGTTTGCATGCCTCAATTGGATGCTCCCAGAGAGTTATTGTTGCAAGTGAAGACTTCTGAAAACCGTTAACCGGTTGATTATGGATGGAAAGCACACCTTAACATAGCATTATATTTACAAATCAACACTTCGTTTTTTCATCCAACAGTATGGACAAGGTGATGTACACATGTCGCCAATTCATCTAGTTAGCAATTCATCAAAACCAATAAACCGAAGTGGCATTATTGATATGACCTAAATTCTCCTCACAAACACACTATCCATCCTTATGTATCCATTCGCTTGACACCTGCGGACAATCATGGGGTGCCCATCGAGACAAAACAGCAAGAATTCCACACAATAAATTAAATAACTGCCATAGGTAAGCAATGACAGGTGTATATTGACAGTCTGCCGTTGCAGGAGAATACAGTACAATTTTATGCAATATGATGGGTATGCGTTAGACATTTAGAAATAGAAATACTTAATCCTCATCGTAGTCCTCGAGTCTCGTCCATCCATTCTTGTCCGCGCCCTTGATCAATCCAGCTTGATCATCATGGTCCGTTGAGCTGTCACCAAGGCCACGGACCTTATTCCACAATGTGGAGTGCTTTGGCAGCGGACGACCATCTGATGGACGAATCTCTTCTTCCTTTGCCCGCCAATCTTGTTGGTCTGATGCGGCATAGGTGCGTGATTCCGGCTCGCCCTCATGCAAAGCGATCTCTCCCTTCTTCTTGTTCTTTTCGCCTTCAGGATCATACACAAACATAGGGTAATCGGTTGTTCGACTATGGTTTGCGGGAGGATAAACGCCTAGTTCGTGACCAGTGCTGGTGTTGTCGTTTCCCATTCCAGGCAACCAATATGGAGTGCTGGCCTTTGTGCGCTTTCTTCTTCTGTAAAAGTACCATATACCGGCTCCAACAATTGCCAGGAAGGCAACGGTCGAAAATGAGATACTAAAACCCAACTTCTTGGCATCTGAGGAGCTACCTTCGTTATAAATAATGGGAGGGAGTGCAGGAACAGGGTTTCCGCCTGTGCCGACGTTGGTAGATGGGAAGCTGAGAGCACACGCTGGGACAGGTGCAATGGTTTGTGTTGCTGTTGGGGTAAATTGAGTTACCCATTTCCAAGGTGAGGTCGACATATCAAGAATAGCGAGTTCGTTCGTGTAAACAAAATGGTTATCCTCAGTCAAGTTCGTATAACCTACAGAGCAAAATGCAATTAGACATGCTTTGACATACAAGGAGAGCTACATGAGCAGTGTTTGAGACTTCTGACATACCCCCCATAATGATCGTATAGTTTCCAACTCGAACTGCTTCGTGACCTCCTCGGCCGATAGGAGCAGTTCCACTAACTGTCTGTTGCGTCCAGTCCATTGTACATGTATCGATAACCCACACGTCGTTGTAAAATGTACGTTCAACACCAGCTTGATACCATCCACCAAACAATACCAGCGAGTGGCCGTCTGGACCTTCAGACATTGAATTCCTATCAAGCAGATGAACCAAAGAAAACTGTTAAATGGTACCCCATGATTATGAATAGACTGGACAATACTCACTCTAATCTGGATGGGGGGATATCTTTACCGGTAGATATATTAGCAATTCTGCAGTCCGTAGTGCTGAGGTTGAAGACTGAATAGCGGTCAGAGTTAGAAAGCATGAACTAGCACAGGCTTCGTCAAAAATAAAGAAAAGTAGCAGATAACATACCGAGGGCTGTGGAATAGTCCTGAATGGCTTCCGAGAAAGTGTTGGTTGTAGTATTTTTTGTGGCGGCAATCCCACCAAGAACGAAGAGCTTTCCGTCTCTAGACAAAATGTTAATTCTATTTCACTTTAACTCGCTCAAAATAGCTAGATCCCGGCTTACACAATATTTGCAGTATGGCCCGCCTTAAAACCAGGTCGAAGGTTTTGTTGTACAGTGTCGACAACTTCTCCCCAATAGCTATGATTTGTATCATAGGTGTATACATCATTGTACTATACATAATATCTTTGATTAGAAAATGTTCAATGCATAAAAGAAATTTAAATAAATACATACATATGTCATTGATGAATCGGCATTTTCGGTTCTGCCACCAAAATACCATGCAATGTCATTGGAATCAATATTGGCAGTCATGGACATACGATCTGACTTAGGGAAACCGAGAGTTAAAGCTGAAAGAAAAATTGTTATTGCTTGCAACGATAATCATCAACTACGATAAATGACTTACGTTGGTTAAGGTTCCCGGTGCTATTTGTTCCCTTGGTATTATACGCAAGAATGCCTGTGGCGAGGGCATTGGAACCACCCCGACCGGCTTGTGCATACAAAAAGCCAGACGAGTCTCCATAAGCCACACCATAATCATAGGGTGCTGCAATGGAGTTCAATGTAGTTACGTTCAGCCTGCTCTGCCAATTGGCTGTAGTTGTTGTGAAGGGCTGTGACATATCCAAGGACCATATCTCGAAAGATGGCTGATAAGCAGAAATTAGTGGTTAATATGATTGTTAGGGTATTGATTGGTAGGTAGCTCGTATTACTGACCGAAAGGGAGCCGAGTGCATACAAAGCATTGTTCAACAACACCAAACTAAAAAAAAAACCTCTATATATTAGTTGTCTGCACACCTGCAATGCGTTGAAATCGTTAAAACCAGTGGTAAAAACATTACTTGAAGTTTGAATAATTCTGCGGTGATGAATATTGAGCTGATACATAGGGAATGGCCGAAATGAATGACAGAATGATAAATGCATAGCCCATTGACGCATTCATCATTTTTGGAGTTCTCGGGGTAGGATCACAAGTGCTAGAAGTTCTCCAGCTAAAAAAGTGTAATGCTTTGTTCAGGTTACACAAGATGGTGAGAATCCACATGATGAATAACTTGGCAGCATGATTTTCTGATCTGTCGGGAAAAATACGTGCTTCAGCGTGCTTCAGCGTGCTTCAGCTAGAGATTCAACTGGGTATGATTTTTGACTGAAAGGTTATTCATTCTGGTCTAAAGCTTCTTTAACTAGTTTGCGTTTAGTATACGATAATGAAAGTTGAAATGTCTACTCCAAGCCAAGTTGTAAGTCACACAAAACTGCTTCATTTACGCAGTGATTATTTTTAGGGGCGGGATACTTGGAAAAAGTACATCTTACTGCATTCATCACAGATAAAACAAATCACCAAAATACGAGATTTGCCGAATGGGATTGAAGATAACTCGACACCCTAGTCTTATTGTTGAATTGCAACAGTGACTAACCAGCGCTGTGCAGATCTCAGCACGGCAGCGTATTTGCAACTTTATGTTCTTAAAGACGAGGCGTGACTGGCAGAGGTTACAATCAAATTTGCTCTAGTGCTCAGCAACCCTTCCGTAACGTTTTTTTTACTCTTCGCTCTCACATTTAATTACTTAGGTTGCATACAATCTCTAATTTTATTACTGGTTGAATTAGATGACCGCATCTAAATATTATCGACCAAACATTCTGCAGGTGGATTGACGTCAAAGCCCTCAAATCCATTGGGGTTCTTTGTCTGCCAATTCCAAAGGCTGACGCACATTTCATCGAGGGTTTTTTCTGCTTTCCAATTTAGTTCTGTGTTGGCTTTACTAGGATCTGCGGTAAGGTTGGTTACATCACCAGGGCGACGCGGGCAGAGTTCATAAGGTAATTTTCGCCCAACAGCTCTGTTCATGGCTTGAATCATTTCCAAAACGGTCGAACCTTCACCAGAACCCAGATTATATACAACGCAGCCAGGATTTGTCTTCAGCTTTTCAAGTGCAGCCAAGTGACCAGAAGAAACATCAACAACATGGATGTAGTCTCGTATGGCGGTTCCATCCTTGGTAGGATAATCATCCCCAAACACCCGAAGCTTATCTCGCTTGCCGATGGCGACTTGACTCAAGAACGGCATCAAATTATTTGGTACACCGTTAGGGCTCTCACCCATAAGACCAGACGGATGTGCACCAGCAGGGTTGAAATACCGCAACAATGCAGCGTTGAATTGGGGATCGGCAGCGCATAAATCCATCAAAATTTGCTCAATGAATGTTTTGGTGCGACCGTATGGATTAGTAGAACCCTATCGCCATAATTATCATTAAAAAGCCCTTTTCATGGACATTTTAGGACCATGGTTGGCCAACAATGATAAGAAGCACTTACAATTGGAGACGTCTCAGGAATTGGAATCACAGGTGGGTTACCATATACCGTTGCTGATGAGGAAAAAACAAAATTCTTCACGTTTGTTTCGTTCATAGCTTGTAAGAGATTGAGGGTACCAGTAATACTATTGCGATAGTAGGCAAGTGGTATTTGGGTGGATTCACCAACAGCCTTCAGACCTGCGAAATGAATGACAGACCAAACATCAAATTTGTTGAATATCTTCCTTAGGCCATCCAAATTCAGGATATCACACTTGAAAAAATGAACTTTCTTTCCAGTGATCTGTTCGATGCGACGGATAGCTTCATAAGATGCGTTATACAGATTGTCGACCACCACGACATTTTGACCTTGTTCCAGCAATTCTACAACGGTGTGAGATCCTGAAGGGACGAAAGGGAATAAGTATAGTTTCGTAAAGTATAGAATTTGATTTTGATGAGATTTTACCAATATAGCCAGCGCCACCAGTGACAAGGACATATTTTGAATCGTAATTAGTGGCCATCATGTTGAGTAGAAAAGTACTGCTGCTTGATAAAGTTGTGGAGATTTGAAAGAAACACGAACTTGAACCGATCTGATAGGGTATAAATACTAATTGCGCCTCCGTGTGCAACGGAAGACTCCTTTTGGTCAAAGTGGCGCAGTATGGGCCTACGGGGTTTAGAAGAATCTCTTCTGTTTGTCATCATTAAATGACCTGCACAAAGTTAAGCGTCCATAGGGATTCCTCGCATGGAATGAAGAGAATAATGAATTTCCTAAAGCTAAGTATTAGCTAATGCTGAAGGTCATCCCATGGGCTTTGTCATGCTTAGGTCAGCACACCGCGGATATTCATTTCAGTCAGAACTGATCGACTTGAGGCGACTGCGGTAGGTTATTGTATCGGCAACGAATGCTTGCAGAGCTCTGGCATCTCCACGTTTATCTTCATGTGGGTTTGTTTAAAAATAGACAGTGGCATTACGGATTTATGAAATGTGCAACCAACACTTTGAAAATAGATCTTTCTAGCTGGTCTGTGCACATAACAGTCATTTGCGCGGTATACAGCCAGTTCTACAGCGGGAATAGGAATACTTGCCATATGGAGGAAGTTTTAGTATTGTAAAATACCAATCAAACGCATTCTTTATGAATTTCGAATATAAAAAAAAAGGGCTTGCTAATAGACAGCTACAAATTGCGGCAGAGAAAAAGAATGTACAGAATTCGTCGGCCATGAAAAATTGGAACTGGTTTCATTATCCACATCGAAAAATACATAAAGAAATACCCGCCAAAACGTAGCATACTACTCACAGTGATACCACCGTTTTAATAAGTGGATAAGTTCCGGTTCGGAGGAGTTAGCGGGTCAGACGTGAGCCTCATCCATTGACAAAATTTCAACAGAAGCGTAGGCAATACAAGTCAACTTTATCGCCACCTATTCAATACACGAAAAGCAAAGCCACCAAAGTAAGGGACGTAATCTTTCACTTCACAACATACTTTTCACGAAGTCTGACTATAGTCATTAGTCCAGATAACCGTGCATTGACTACAGAAGTTATTGCCATTTATATAAACTATGTGTTTTCTTTCGAGAGCGACAAATATCGTATTCACTGTCAATTGCCCCAGTATGCAGAAGGTCCGTAATTACAAAGTATCATAAATATTTGCACCTTGAACTTGAAATACAAACAGCGATTGTTACTCACACACACACTCTCTCTCTCTCCTCTATCCGCAAAAGCAGATATTGAGTTGACATCTGCTGGGGTCTCAAGTTCAGGGGAAACGCCACTAGTATGGTCAAGGCATTCATTTATTAAAGTCATGTAACCATCATTTAAAATGCAGCAGTGCAATATAGGGAATAAAATCAACATGAGTATCTGTTACAAGCAATCAAGCAAGAACAAATAATGACGCGTATGTATCTGGGACTTAACCAGCGATACTACCGTCAGTGGAGGTAGCAACGATGGAACTCTCAGAGCTGCTAAGGGAGCTTTCTGCGGTGGAAGTGATGCTATCTGAGACAGAGCTTGAAGCAGCAGAGGAGCTAACAACAGTAGAAGAAGGTAATGGAGAGGGGAAGAGCGAAGGAAGGGCAGCGGGAATAAGGCCGTTAATATCAACGACAGCATCTCCTCCCAAACAGGGAATGGCAAAGGTGCTAGATCCAATCATGATGGAAACCGAACGGGTAGCACATTCATCGCCATTGTGACCATTTTTGCCGCCTTTTTCACCCTTGTGCTCATCATCATTGTCATCATCACCCTTGTCTTCGGACCAAAGTTGTTGAGGTTCGGCAGCCTTGACATTACCTTGCTGAACTTCGGCATTTCCTGCCTTTGAAAATGGTGTGGCGTCAACAGCGCTAAGTGCATACAAGCAGCCGATTAGAATGGGAATGGCTGAGCGCATTTTCAGGATATGTTAGAGTGAATGCTGAAAAATCTGGCACTGAGATTCAGCTTTTATATAAGCAATTTAATGGTAGTATTGCCCTTGAAAAATTTATTATAATACCCCTGAGATTAATCATACTGCGGGCATCAAATGTTACCCATTTGACTTTCATTAAAGTGTTTGAATATGCAGATAGCTTTCTCAAGTCTTCCATTTAGACAATCATCATTTTTCACCTTTTTATGACTTCTTCCGTCGGTAACAATGATGATGGGATCGCTGTCTGTGATGGTGGACTTGAAAAGCACATCTATGTCATTTGATTAAAGTATCGTTTTTATCAGGTGACCAAGATATATTTTACTTAGCCTTCATTATCGCTCATCATGGCAGCAAGTGTTTTTACTTCAATTTGATTTAGATAGTAAGTTAAAGAACTCTACTAGAAATTCCATCATACCATATTCGATTCATTCATGAGGCAAAAAATTAATGATACATTTCGTTTTCATGTCATGGAAAATTGCAAACTAAATATGTCACAATATCTTCAGAGGTCTCAGCATACCAAATCAATATAAATTTGGAAAGCTGATTGATCATATGTAATTTACCTTTAATATAGGCAACATCAAGTAACTCAAGACGATAATTACACCAACAACAGGGAAAGGCGAGGGTGTTTAAGCTTACGACTAACTTTCTAAAATTTGCATATGTCCTGGTTTAGTGCAGTAAAACCTAAGCAACGGGTGCATGGCATCCCAGTTCAAATCTCTGCCGATTATCCCGGATCGCAACTTAAGAACTAGGATATGAAAGCGCCATTGCTATCATCTGTCCACAGCAACCTCTATTCCCAAAAAATAAGCTCAAATTCTTTCTTAATTGAAAGATCTCGACTGTCATTTCCCTGGTACCCTATCAGGTACTCATTGCATAACGGTAAAATATGTTCGTTCGAGTTAAGTGTCATACTTTAATTTTCAATTTCCGGTCTAGTGCTTCCGACACATTAGACGAAGAATGTATGTTTATGCTTATTGTGAAATGACGTCCCATTGTTACTGATGATTTTTTCAACTTCCTTAGATAAAGGCTATTTAACAAACCATCAAATCCATATGAATGTTTTATTCGCGAAAGTGCAATAAATGCCATGTCACAAAACAGAAAGCGCTGCTATTTAACAATCATTTGAAAGGCTCATTACCTATTTTAAGGTGTATACTGTGAAAATAATTAGAACGAATTGGAAGAACACTTTTCAGAGAAGTTGTTTGTCGCTTCGATGCGGCGATTAGAATAACATTGTGCTTATGATCTGCGAACCAGACACGAAGAAGCGTTATTTCGTCGTGATAAGCATGATAGCAATAACAAAATGACACCCTGAAAGTCATCATGGCAAGCAAAATCATGTTTTTACATTTTTAATGTAACATCCGGATGGCATTTTCTTCTCATTGAACGTAGCAAAATAGTAAAAAAAAAAACACAGATCATGCCATCAAAAGGCCATTTTGGATAATGAAGTCGAAAATATGTGCTCGTATTAGCTTATGCAAAAAAAAAACTCCATTTTCAGGACTTTGCGCTGCTGAGCGATGAGTGTTATGCTAACAAATGTATATCTTACGTGAGGTGAACACTTTGGTGATGGCACTTCAGGCGCATTTCAATACATAAATAAAATCAAACATTGGGTATGAAGTAGTGACTTAGAACGTGTTACGCGCACTATTGCATATAAAAAAGTGTTCGGTTGAACACGGTACTTTGAACACAAGCTTGTGATTGACTTTGATTCAAGTGACGTATTCGAAAACTATGACAGGCATGAAGAGTACTTTTCATCGACATCCATTTGAAATCCTCAAAACGATGTCGAAATGGTCCACAGTTTACCAAGGAGGGAACTGGGCCACATTACAAGTATGGCAATTGGTTTTTTTTTCTGGTGACTTAAAAAATATTTTATCCCTGAATCCGTTTTGACGAACTTCTTAAGATCACGAGCAGTTCCATGGAGCAAGGAGTCCTTGACCTTGCATACGATAAGAAGACGTTGTCTCGTCAAATTGAATGCGCAAGTTATCAATGGCATCTGGCGGCAACGGAATCCCCTCAGCTTTCTCGAGATTGTTTAGAACCGTGGTTTATCTCACTTCAAAGCCGAGATCATTACCGTTAACATGCCATTCAAAAGCCAACACAACTATAATTGCTTGGAAGAGACCTATATTTGGCTTTCGCGAAAAATAATCGTCGTGATGGCGTTGTCTGTGGATGAGTCTATAGTTAAATCTGATTTCAACACTGTACTTAACGCTGTAGGCTGAAATCCGCTGAAGATGTCGGACTCCAAGTCAAGGCCAACCCACATCGGATCCAATTAAATGCAAATCCAAACTAGAGGAGATCAATAGGCAGTAGAAGCGCAAATCAGCTGTTCAGTATCATTTATAGAGATGTTTTACGTCTTGGATTTCCATAACTAGTACACTTCCACTCTCATCGCTTTAACCGCAATAGAGCACAGAACTATGTGACAATTCACAAGTTAGACTGTTGTTCGGCAGTAGTTCTTGCTTCAATGATAAGTCGCAGTCTGACTATAACCAAACAAGGCTTTAACCAAGATGAGCCAATCTACAGAAGTACACACTTTCTGCAATATTGATTTCTCTCTGGACGAACTCCTTTGCATTACTCCATCTTGAAGTCAAGCTTTTGGTGTTTACGTAAAAAAGGAGATTAAGCAAACGACAGATCGGATTGTTGACCCTTACAATGAAAAATATCACGAATTTTTCTTGTACTGCCGAAAGCTCCATTGTACTTTTGAGACGTTGGCATGCAAAGGCCCAACATATCCCGGTGAGTAACCTCGTCCACTTGCATCGGAGATAGTGGCAATTAAGTCATCAGTCCACGTTTCAACTTCGTTGCATTCATTTATTAAGATAATTACATTATCATCCGTTATGCAAAAGGAAATGTAGATACGAGAAGATCAACTTGAGCATTTGTTTGAAGCAAACCTTCAACAAATAAGTACGCAAAAATTATCTGATACATCTATCAGCTTTAAGGGGTGGTTGCTGTGGTAGTGGTAGTGGTAGTGGTAGTATCGGTAGTGGTAGTGTCGGTAGTGGTAGTGTCGGTAGTGGTAGTAGTGGTAGTGGTATCGGTAGTAGTAGTAGTGGTGGTGGTGGTGTCAGAGGTGGTAGAAGCATCAGAACTGGAAACACCAGAGCTGGAAACGTCAGAACTAGAAGCAGCAGAGCTGGAAGCGGCAGAGCTGGAAACAGCAGAAGAGCTAGCAACAGAAGAAGAAGGAGATGGAGAGGGGAAAACTGAAGGAAGGGCATCGGCAAGAAGACCGTTGAGATTAACGATAGAACCGGCTCCCAAGCAGGGAATGGCATAGGTGCTAGATCCAATCAGGATGGAAACTGAGCGGGTAGCACATTCATCGCCATTGTGGCCACCTTTGTCCTCCTCATCATCATCATCACCCTTGTCTTCGGACCAAAGTTGTTGAGGTTCGGCAGCCTTGACATTACCTTGCTGAACTTCGGCATTTCCTGCCTTTGAAAATGGTGTGGCGTCAACAGCGCTAAGTGCATATAAGCAGCAGATTAGAATGGGAATAGATGAGCGCATTTTTAGTATGTTGGAGTAAATGAAGTGAATGCTGAAAATGTGACATTAAGATCGATCTTTTATATATGTGACCTGAAAGAAGGGTTGTGTGAAAAATAACTTTATGATACCCGTAGATTATGATACCACGAGTATCAAACTTTACTTATTGAACATCCATCGAATCTAAGGGTTAAATGCAGGTAGCTTTCCCATGCCTTCAATTTGGTCGATTTATTACTATTTTCCAAGCGTTTTCATACCTTCTTTGGTATATAAGAGTGTTTATAAGTTAGATTTTTTTATTATAAGTTCAATTTTAACAACCAAATAATTTGAATGATTTCTTTTTATCAATCGGCTAAGACCATTTTCTAGTTGACCTTCTTCTCGCCCATGGCAGTGAAAGGTTTGGCTCCGCTTTGACATGAGATGCTAGGCTAGAGAACATGAAAGGAAATTCATGAAACCATATTTGATTAAGGCTTGATGTAATCAATTTATTTTTCCACTTTGGTGCTTCCGACGTAATAAACGAAGAATGTATTGTGATGCTATACAATATGATAACAGTTTGCTATTAACAATTTACTCAATTTTCCTTAAATAAGGGTGATTGAATGACAATCTTATCCCTAAGGAGGAGATGTTTTCGAAAATGTTTGTAAACACTATGCCACAAAAAAAAGTTGCCACCAGCTTAACGATTCTTTTAAAGAAAATGCAAGGCTCGTTATTTATGTTAGGAGAATATACTGCGAAATGATTGGAATCAATTGGAACCAATCTGTAGAACACAGTTGCACCGACGATGGTTCGTCGCTTCATTAGACTAGCTTGCGCTTTAAATAGGCTGCTAAACACAGGACGAGAAGTTACTTCGCCAACGTAGAAGCCTGATAGCAATAGCATAAATGCTTCTATGGGAGCAGATACTTACCTTACCGCCTATCCACGTTCATAATTTTTTTTATGCTGTGGTAAGCTAAGTCATAATTTGTTCAGCAGTCTTCGGATATCGTTGAAAGCTAGATGATAATTTTCTTTTATTCCAATTCCAATTCATACCCTGGTGCTATTGGCGTTGAGCTATCGGGATAGTTTTTAGCTGATTTCCATACATCATAGGAATGCTTTTGTCGGGTTCTGCTAGTCTAATACAGCATCCTAAATTCAGTAGACCAGCTGCGTGATTTCTTCTAGCTAGGTGGCGGTACCACTTTTAGTTCCTTTTATCTAATCAAATATATGCTCTTTTCATAATGGGCTTCATTATTGATTATCGCTGAGCCAGATACAATTTACCGATTGATGGAAAGGATTCACTCGCGTACTGTCACCAAATCCTGCAGTTCGCAGACGGAGATAGAGCATTATTGAATCTCAGCTGTGCCAGCTCATGTTGTAGAGATGGGCAATTTAGATGATAATACGATTAACCAAGATTTTTGAGGATGTTGACAAATTACAATTGACGCATAACATTCTACTACAGGAGAAAGATTTTATTACATGATTGTAGCAGGTCAGATTTCTTTAACGTCAACCAAACATGAGCAAATCATTCGACATCGCCTATCCAAATATCGTGTAACGGGCGTAAATTTTTGGATACACACTTTATCATGAAAACATTGTCATTCAGAAGTTACATTCAAATGCGAAAACATGCTATCGTACTTAACAAAAAGGTATTTACAGTACGATTCATCTATTGCTGTAATGCTTCTAAGCTGATGGAAAAACGTCTCCTCTTGTCTTTAGCAGCATATGAACAGCACAAGCTAGTCTTAATCACAGTGACAAACAATCGATGTGCAATTGTATTCTCCCATTTGGTTCTAATTAGGTTCTAATTAGTTTCACAATATATACCCCTCGCACAAATAACGAACCTTACATTCTCTTTGAACGATAATCAAGCTAGTAGCACTTTCTTTTTGTGGTATATTGTTTATAGACAAGATCCGCAAATAACCTCCTTCTTAGGGATATGATGGTTAAGGATCTTTTATTGCGAAAAGGCTTATGAGCGTTAGCGAGTAACGCGTCGCAATAGTAAAAATGGAATTATTTGCGCCTGAGCGAAGCGAAGAAGCCTCGCTTTAGCACAAAAATAGCAAAGTAAGAAATGAAAGTGGTGAGAGAGCAAAAAAGAGAGGAGGGAATACAAGAAAGAGAATTAGAGTGAACGCTAGGAGAAGTTGTCAGAAAAAGATAAAGAGGGGAAAAGGAGTAGAGGCGAAATATGCGGGGGCACAAAAGAGAAGGTGTACATATTGAGTACACGAAGAAAGAGAAAGGGAGTCAAGAGCAAAGAGTTTGTACCGAGAAGATATCCGTAAGTGGCAAGTTGTGTAGAATTAAGGTGGTCGGAAGTCAAAGTCATCACTGCCGGTGACAAAGTGCAAAAAGGAGAGGAATAGTCCGACCTTCCGTTGATTCAGAGCATGATCAATATAGCTATAGTGCGGCGTTGGAAGAGGAGAAGGAAGTAGGTCAAGTTCTCGAGCGCCAAGAAGGGAACCGAGATGATAGCATCGTGTGATGTGTCCTCGAGTGAGGACTTCACCACCCTGGCATTTGTATTTGTGAAGCAAGGTATTAAATCGGTATTTTCGAGCTATCAAAAGTATTCTTGGATTCCTGATGCGTATAGATATATCAACCAAAGCTCTGTCTCGAGCGGAGGGTAGGATATTGCGGGCTATGGGTGATGCGGCGATGGTGTAAAGTTGCAGTTTGTGATTACGGATGTAATCGGTGATGGTGAGGGGGTCCCAAGGGGGGCCTCATCGGAAAGTTGAAGATACCGCTTATGAAAAGCCGTGGGTATAAGGACGGAGTAAAGAAGCTTGCGTTGAAGAGGAACAGATGGTGGAGGTAAGGAAAGGAGGGTAGAGCGAAAGGAATGTATAGGATTATCTTCATGTAAGGAAAGGAGTTTGACTTGAAAACGAAATGTAAGTTCCGTCATTCGAGCCGGGATGGACGATAGTCCGGTGAGGATATGGTTGAGCTCTTGGCCACGATGGCCTTGGCAAATCCATTGAGTCATAATGGTTTGCATTTTTAGGAGAGGGGCAAGGGGGGTGTTAGAAGCATATAAAAGAGGTAAGGCATACTCGTAAGTGGATCGGAAGAAGGTCTTAAACAAGATAAGCCGAATGTATGGGGACCATCCATGGCTTTTCTTGGTGGAAGCAAAGAATAATTTCCGAGTACGTGTAGCCACCGTAGAAACAAAGGAGGGAAAGTCAAGACCATTGGTGGTGAAGGGAATGCCTAGGTATGCATAAGATGTTACAATAGGAAGAGGGGCAGTGTTCAATGCCAGTTGAAGGGAACGGGAAGATGAGGTGTCAACGACAGCAGATTTGTTGACATTAACGTTAATACCATTGTGAACACTCCAGGTTTGGATAATGGAGAGCATACGGACGGCGATGGAAGGAGTGGAAGGTTGTAAAAGAATGTCGTCGGCGAAGAGAAGAAGAGGGGGAATAAAGGGGTGGGGGTCGATGCGGGCGAGTTTTCCTGCGAGGTCGTCAATGTAAACATTGAACAACCATGGGCTAAGGATACTGCCTTGGAAGAGACCGACAGAGCGAGTGAAGAGGGGGCCAATAGATTGGTTGACGATCATTTGGGAAGAACAGGAAGAAAAGAGAGAATCAACAAGTTGGATGAGAGCCATTGGTGTGCCCCGGATGGTGAGCTTATCCAAAAGGCGGGCAATGGGAACTCGGTCGTATGCTTTTTCTAGATCAAGAAAGATTTTGAGATGGCGATCTTGTGACGGGTATGGCAGATGCATTGGCTAACCATAGGTGGGATATGGTAGTGTAGCCAGGGCGAAAACCAGCTTGAAAAGGAGAGAAGACATTTAGCTCGGGTTGCGAGTAAATAAAAGAGAGGAGAATAGATTCAAAAATTCGTCGTAAGCATGGGGTGAGGGAAATGGGGCGAGAGGAAGAGGGTGTGAAGGAATCGGACTTCTTGGGGATGGGGGTGATTTGGGACACATTCCATGCACCGGGTGTAATAGTAGAAGAAAGAAAGGTAGAGAAAAGAAGATGCATGGAGGAAAGGAAGGTTGTTGAAGGGGAAAGTGCTTTAAAGATGCGGATGTCAAGGATATCCAGGCCAAAGGTTTTGGCACTTGGATATTTCATCACATGGTGGGCAATCTTTTCCGGTGTGAGGAAGAAAAGGAGTGGGTTCTTAAGCTGAGGAGCTTGCGCTGAACCTTTACTGGTCCAACTGCAACGGGACGACATTCAGGAGCAGGAAGGAAGTCATCTTGATCTGAGAAGCTGATATGGTCGTTTTCAACCAGAAAGTGAGTAAGGACTTTCTTGGGAAGCGCGAACGGGGGGGGGGGTTGCAACTTTTGTTTTTGGGGAGGACTTGACGTCCTCCATTGCTTCGACTGGACGGAGGGGCATAGGAAGCATCCGAGTCGGTGAAGCTCATGTCTGGGTGCTGCTGGCCGTCTTAATCACTGCATCTTTTTGCAGTCTGTTCGTAAGATCAGTGTTGTTGATGGTTGAATTACGTCTGAGCGCAGTCCAGAATGTACCCGCCACCGTAATCACTGCATCGTTTTGTAGTCTGTTCGTAAGATCGAGATGTTGATGGTTAAATTATGTCTCGGCGCAGTCCAAAATATCCCCACCACTTTAATCACTGCATCTTGTTGCAGTTGTTCGCAAGATCTGAGTTGTTGATGGTTGAATTATGTCTAGGCGCAGTCCCGGCCACCTAAATCACCGCAACTTTTCGCAGTCTGTTCGTAAGATCTCAGTTTGTTGACGATTGAATTATGTCTGGGGGAGTCCAAAATATCCCCACCACTTTAATCACATAATCTTTTTGCATTCTGTTTGTAGGATCAGAGTTGTCGATGACCACTTAGTCGTTTTCCCTCAGTCACCATGTTTGTTATCGTATAGCCCTCGCTTTTGAACAAATTCTTCAACAGGATTCAAGAACGCTGAATTGATAGTTAAGCATAGATATTTATGACCACTAGCCTCAACTAAATCTCGAACTGCAATTGGAGCATGGATGGGCATTGTCTGTTATCAGATAATGACCGTTGGTGTTGTTTTTATGCAACACACCCCATAACATTGCACATTATGTTGGTTAAGTGTTCTGTAAGCGTGCCAATTCTACCGTTAACGTC